GATGAGGATGAGGCGGCGTCGATGAAGGCCTTCGGAATGACCCGCGCGAGGAAGAGCGAGGTCCAGAAGTTAGGGTTGAAAATGATGTTCACCGAAGAAACCAGCGGCGCCAACGCCGAAGCCGTCCTGTGTTCGCAAAAAGGCACACCCGAAGAAGTAAGCTGGGGCGCATGCAATGATTACCGCACCTTTGTCCCCGCGCTATCCGAACAATGGGAGGCGAGGGGGGGGGGGGAGGTGAAGTTGAAGGTTCAGGCGTTCTTTGCGGAGGATGATGCGATGATTGGGGAGGGGGGGAGGAGGTTTTGGGAGGAGTGTTGGGGGGGGAGGGAGGGGGTGGAGTATAGGGGGAGGGTGGTGGGGGGGACGACGCATGATAGTATTGGGGATCCGGAAAATGGGGTGTTGGAGGAGATTTTGAGGGAGGCGAGGAGGGCGTTGGAGGCGGGGGCGGAGTGAGCTTTTGGAGAGGGGGTTCGGTTGGGGTGGGGGTGGGGGTTAGATTAATCGAGGCTTGAGGAACTGGAAGAACTGGAGTATATAAATTAGCTTTATGCCATTTGATTGGTGTGGTATGCGAGATTTTGGCCATCTGATTCAGCATAAGAACCTTCCTCGACTTCGTAAAGGACGTTATGTGATATACTATGCTAGCGCTGAAACCAACGTGCCATTTTCAAGATGTTCTGCGAGAATTCTCGCCTTGATATGGTGGTGGTGACGAGAAGTGTCGACAGCGGTAGGGGGACGGTGACAGGAAGTGATGACAGGCGGTGGTGACGGGGAGTAACGACAGCAGCAGAAACATGGAAGGGGTAAGTCAGGGCTGTGTTTTGCAGCATCACGCTGTCGATAATTCGTTCACGCTATCGATCTGTACGGTGTGTTGATATTTTTGTCGAACTATTCGCTTTCATCTACCTCCCCATCACTCTTGTACATCTTAAATGCCGCCTGATTCACCGTACCACACCGCAGGCCAAAAAATACAATCCTACACCCTCTCATCTATGCCCCCAGATCTCAGAATGCATCGAAAATAAGCAGTACCCCACACAATCCATAGAGATACCAATGGAAATAGACAAAACTTTCATTTAACCCCCAATTTGTATACGCCCTTTGCGCCGGGTTTTGGTAGTTATATCAACAATAGAAGCGTCCCACAGACCACCCACCCCCTACTTCTTCACCTTCTTCTCCTTCCCCTTCCCCTTCTCCTTCTTCTCCTTCCTCTCCTTCCTCTCCTTCCTCTCCTTCTTCTCCCTCTCCTTCTCCCCCTCCTCTACCTCCCCCTCACCACTCTTCTTATGCTTCTTAAACACCGGCCTCTCCCCCACCACCTCGTCCCCCTCCACCTCCCCAATCTCCCCACACTCCCCTTCTTCGCCAAACCCAATCGGCCTGAACCTCATCCTCAACCCCTCCGGCTGCTTCCTCGCCTCCCTCTTCCTCCCCACATACACCTCCCCCCCCACAACATTAACCCTCTGCAAATGCAACGTCCTCCCCACCGGCGCCTCTAACGCCTTATACCCCCCCCTCCCCGGCAACAGAACACGAGTCGTATCCGCCGTCGCCGCTGCAAGCGCAACGCTATACTCACCCCCCGGCAGCGAGATCGTCGGAGCGTCCTCCTCATCCTCGTCCGCGCCGCTGGAGGCGGGGAGGGTGAGGTTCTTGAGGCTCGCGAGGGAGAGGGAGGCAGGGGCGGTGATGTGCCAGATTTGCTTGTTGGCTAACGCGGCGGGGGTGAGGAGTTTGTTGGTCGATGAGGAGATGGGGAGGGGGGTGTAGCCTTTGGGGGGCGCGAAGGGCGTGCGGCGCGTCGAGGTGTGTTGTGCGACGGCGGGTTGGGGGGCGGGGGAGGGGTTTTTGTTGCGTTTTGGGAGGGTGGTTCTGGGTGTGTGTTAGCTTTGTGCTTTCATTTTTGAGACGGATTGGGGAATTGGGGGATTGGGAGATTTTTTTTTGGGGGGGGGGGGATGGCGGACTTACGTAGGTGCCGTCACTTTCTCAGGTAATTCCTCATCACTCTCACTCTCACTCCCACTTCCACTTCCACCCTCACTCTCGCTGCTGCCGCTGCTGCTCGTATCCTCATCCGGCCCAGCTGCCGATCCAGCCTCTCCATTCGAATCGCTCCCCTCCTCGCTGGAAACATCGTCCATGTCAATATCGCTATCAGCGATGCGCTCCGTGCTCTTCTCCGCCTCTTTCGCCTTCGCAGCAGATTTCGAGACCTTGGCTGGCTTGGCCGCTACGGCCTTCTTAGACTCCTTCTTGGAGGGCTTTGAGGACGCCATTGTGTGTGTGGGGGGGTGGAGGGATTGGGACCGATTGAGGTTGAGGCTGGTGGTGGTGACCGAGAGCTTTTTTTTTGGCTGAGGTCGGTAATTTTTGCGATAAGCCTTGCACTGATCGATTGGCGATAAGAGAATCCGCGATTGGCGGCCTTCCAACAACTCTTTTCAACGACGACGACAACTCGGTCGGGAGAATTTGGAATTATTTTCCGACGAGGACGAGAGGATGTCGTCGAATAAGAGGAGGAAATTGAATACCGAGCCCGAAACGAAGAGTAAACCCCTCCCTTACACCCACACCGTGGTAGCTGGCACACAGATATCTAACACCACACACAGGCCTAAGCGCCTTCGCCGCCCGCCAACAGCGCAAACTCGCCACAGCAGCAGGCGCAGCAGTCGGCGCCGCAGAAGCAGTCCTCGAAGGCCACGGCCCCGATGAGCTGAACGGCGCCTCGTTCGTCGAGGCCGGGAAGACTTCTAAAGTGTTTCGGCTTGGGATTGACGGGCCGGGAGACGCGAAGGCGGAGGAGGGGGAGTTCTCGGATTCTTCGCCGTATGAGGGGAGGGATGAGGGGAGGGTGTCGGGGTGCGTTTTTTCTTCCGCGGGGGGGTAAGAGTGCTGTGCTGATCGATTTGATGTGTAGGAAGAAGTCACGTGGGACGAATACGCCGTCTGAGCAGGTGGTGGTGGAGTTTACGACTGTGAAGGCGAGGGGGGATCGGATTGTGCGGGAGAAAAGGGGAGGGGTGAGCGTTAGGATTGGGCCTGGAGAGGTATGTTTGTGGGATTTCGTGGTGTGGTGATCAGGGGCTGACTCTTCGTAGCGGGTGGTGGTTCTGGGAGAGTATCGTCTTGCGGTTCGTAAGGGACGGGCTACGCTGTTGGGGGCTACGTTGTCGCCTGAGAGCACGAAGGTGTTTGTGGATGTGTATGCCGCTTCTTCGCACTCGTTGCCTGTTATAAGGTATTTGGAGTCGGAGGATAATGAGGTTATTATCAGTTTGGGTCAGCTTAAGTCTGGGCTGAGACCGCTGAAGAAGCTTTCGCCGCTGTTTTCTAGGTTGTGGAATGAAAGCGCGACGATATTGGATGGTGATGTGGGCTCAGATGAAAGGAGTTCTTTTCAAATTGTATGTACTACAACGAATTCTGTGGGTTCAAAGCTAACACTGTGCAGCTGTTCTCTACTGCAGATGGCCCGCGGAAGATACCCCTTCACAAAGTCTACTCACCACCAGAATGGAACGAAACCTTCGCAGCAGTATCTTCTAGCAAGTGGAACCGCGAAAGCGTATCAAGCACGATGATCTGCGGCCCAAAATCATCTGGGAAATCTACATTTGCCAAGCTCCTCGTCAACCGCCTATTGACCTTACCACCACCACCCAAGTCCCGGTCAAAAAGGCCAGCTGGTGTATTACTCCTTGACCTCGACCCAGGACAACCAGAGTACTCGCCTCCAGGACAACTCTCTCTAGTCCACCTCCTAAAACCGAACTTTGGACCACCATATACACATCCCGACGCCGACAGCGGCGGCTGCACCGTTATACAAGCCCATTCCGTCTGCGCCATATCACCATCAGCCGACTCGGATCATTACATGGCGTGCGTGTCCGATCTACTCAGCCATTATCGGCACTACATATCTTCACACGCAGAGTGCCCCCTGATAATCAACACGCCTGGATGGATTCTCGGGACAGGCCTCGAACTACTCATCGAGCTTATCAAAAAGGCGAAGCCTACTGTTGTCATATACATGTCCACCGAAGGACCTGTAGATGTTGTCAAGAGCCTGCGAGAAGAGGCGAGGCAAACTCCAGTTATCGAGTTGCCATCGCAGATCAGCGAGTATACGACTCGGACCGCAGCGCAGCTGAGGATCATGCAGACGATGTCGTACTTCCATCTAAATAGGAAGGATACTACGGCGCCGTGGAACTGGAGCCCGTTGACATCAATGCCGCCTTGGATGGTTAAATACTCTGGGCCTGGTTCGGGAATACTGGGTGTTATGTGTATTGGGGAGCAGCCGGCGCCGCAGTTCCTTCACGATGCTATCAACGGGAGCGTAGTCGCTGTGGTTGTGATAGACGACGAGCTTGCCCTCCGTAGTCCTCAGGAAGGGGAAGCAGAAAATGGGGATCGCCTCTCATCGGACATCTCTCCAATGGTCACAGCCAACACGGCAAATGGACACTTACCCTACCTCGAACCTGGACCTAACGGCTACCCCGACCCCAAGCATAGCCACTCAATCGGCTTCGCCCTAGTTCGCGGCATCTCCACCACCTCCAACTCTCTCCAGCTCCTCACAGCCATCCCCCACAGGACCATCAGAGAACTAGCCATCTCCGAGAAATCAATCGTCCTCGTGAGTGGCAAGCTCGAGACGCCGGGATGGGCGTATACGGAGGAGTTACATCAGAAGGCGGTGGTGGCGCTGAATCGGAGGAAGAAAGAGATTGGTGGGCTGGTGGATGATGGGGAGTCTGATGAGGAGGTGGAGGGGGATGGGGAGTATATGGGGGAGTTTGAGAATGCGCCGTGGGTTGAGAGGTTGGAGGGGCATAGGGGGAGGGGGGTGGGGGAGAGGGTGTGGAAGGTTAGGAGGGATTTGGGGAGGGGTGGTGATGGTGGTTGAGGAGTCAGGATTTGGGATGGAGTGGTGATGGTGGTTGAACGGCGGTCAGGATCTAGAGTAGACCACCACATACCATCACACTATGATATATATTGACCGACTACATATATTTTATATCCCTACGAGTGGCCGGAATCTTCAGCCAAGATAATGAATATGACCCTATCCCAGTAGCGTACCAGCTACAATTCTCACTATACTGAACGCATGTCTTTCGCACCTCGCACGTGACCACCTTCCCCCTTCAGGAACAATCAACACTAGTCCCCAAACAACCTAGCGTCACGGAAACCTGTCACTCTCCTCCCCAGTGACTAATGTACTCCGCGTCATCGCTGGTAAGCCCAAAAGTTGCCAAGCCAAGTCCAGCCACACCCAGCCAGTTGTGTCACTCCGCCTTGATTCGCCCTCGCACCCTCACACCCGGCTCGGTTTCGTTGCCTTGCAGCAACGCCTCCCATCAACGTCGTCCAGTCCCCTCCATCCCTCCTCTTCTTACACCATCCCAATCGTCCTTCTTTCCCAATAACATCATATCATAACAACAACAATACTACAAACGACTGTGCGCCATATACATATCTACTGCGAATTGATAACCTCCACCAAACCCGTACCCGTCGATACAGCTTCCTGGTCGCAATCATGAAGGGCGCACTCTTCACGGCGGCTATGCTGCTGGGCTCGGCGTCGGCCGGTGTCCACAAGATGAAGCTCCAGAAGATCCCTCTTGCTGAGCAGCTGGTGAGTTCTTCCTTATCCAGGGTTGGGGCAGACCGTATTCGATGATCATCGCTGACTTATTGCGCTGTAGGAGTTTGCCAATGTCGAGACCCATGTGAGGAGTCTCGGCCAGAAGTACATGGGCATCCGCCCGCAAACCCACGTCGATGCCGTCTTCCAAGAGCCATCGTCCGTTAAGCAGGGCGGCCACCTCGTCCCCGTCAGCAACTTCTTAAACGCACAGTGTAAGCAATCCCCAAATCCGTGACGTACCGTTCCTTGGCAGCACAGCTAATCCGATTAGACTTCTCCGAGATCACCATCGGCAACCCACCACAGTCATTCAAGGTCGTCCTCGACACCGGCAGCTCCAACCTCTGGGTGCCATCCCAGTCCTGCGGCTCCATCGCTTGCTACCTCCACAGCAAGTACGACTCGAGCGAGTCGACCAGCTACGAGAAGAACGGCACCGAGTTCGCCATCCAATACGGCTCCGGCAGCGTCAGCGGCTTCATCTCCCAAGACCAAGTCAACATCGGCGACCTAGTGATCAAGGACCAGCTCTTCGGCGAGGCCGTCGAGGAGCCCGGACTCGCCTTCGCCTTCGGTCGCTTCGACGGCATCCTCGGTCTCGGCTTCGACACCATCTCCGTCAACAAGGTCGTCCCCCCCTTCTACAGCATGATCGACCAGGGCCTCCTCGACGAGAAGGTCTTCTCCTTCTACCTCGCCGACGACAAGTCCCAATCCGAGGCCGTTTTCGGCGGAATCGACAAGTCCCACTACACCGGCGAGCTGACCTACATCCCCCTCCGCCGCAAGGCCTACTGGGAGGTCGACTTCGACGCCATCTCCTTCGGCAAGGTCAGAGCGGACCTCGACAACACGGGCGTCATTCTCGACACCGGCACCTCGCTCAACACCCTCCCCTCCTCCCTGGCTGAGCTCCTCAACAAGGAGATCGGCGCCGAGAAGGGGTATAACGGCCAGTACAGCATCGATTGCAAGAAGCGCGATGATCTCCCGGATATCACATTCACCCTTGCTGGACACGACTTCGCGCTTGGCGCGCATGATTATATCCTCGAGATGGGAGGAAGCTGCGTGTCTACCTTTATGGGAATGGATATGCCCGAGCCCGTTGGCCCGTTGGCTATCCTGGGTGATGCGTTCTTGAGGAGGTGGTACAGCGTGTATGATCTTGAGAAGGGTGCTGTTGGCCTGGCTGCTGCGAAATAGATGGGGCGTAGCATATTGAGAAGCTAGAGGGAGCTGGTGAGGGGAGGAAAGAGGTTGATATAGTGGATTGGATGGGGAGGCGAGTGAAGGGACAGGAGAGTGCAGTTTTGTGACATTGTGTCGTCTTTACTTGTCTGTTGTTTTCCTTTTCGCATTTCTCTTTCGTCTCTCTTCTTCTCCTTCTGTGAGAACACAGCATGCTGCTGCCTTTTTTTGTGAAACTTTTTTTTTTGGATCTGAGATTCGAGAAGGGGGGTTAATTCGAGCAAATGCATATTGTCAACCATCTATCTCCTTTTATATCTGGGTATACGTGAAAGTGACTGTGCTGGTGACTGTGATAAATGATAATGACTTAATAGTGTTACACAAGAAATAGTACTACACAAGGATTTGTCCTTTGTAAACATAGCCTCTAGGTCATAACCCAGGGGGTAGGGATACACCCCAACCCCCCCCCCCCCTCCCTCCTAAGGCCCCAGAGGGTGATAGATATAGGCAGTATCAAGCCATAGCAGCATAGATATCCTTATCTCTAATAGAAGCATCAAAAATAACTCTTAATGCTTCTTCTATGACATGGAAGCCCCGATATTAAAAGCAATCCCCGATTTACAAATATTAGCCTAGAAATTGCAAGTTATACTATTTGTTTCTTCCGCATAGACCCCAGCAAAGACTCAGCTCATAACTCGACATGGCGGCTCGAACAGGCTCTCTCCACTTCTGGATGCTTTCAAGTGTTACCAATGGTAATGTCACTTTTACACGGCTTCCAGGCTTGCTTTATCTCGGGGAGTGAATGTTTCAGACGAACAAGTCTTTAATAGGCATTGAGTCTTTATCTACCAGAAAGCATCCCAGAAAAGGTTGGCACGTCAATCCAAAAATACCAGACTTGTCATTGATCCTTCAACACTCCGCTTGACCGTGGACTGCGAGACCAATCAACCTAGACTTGAGAGGGCAGTCTTAGAGCACATCGAGGCTATCGTCTGTACCTGTCTACTCATGTACGACGCTTGTGTTGATGACGACGAAGTGGCGACTGAGATTGCGAGACGATGGGTGTGGTTTAAGGTGCTTCCTAGCTCCTTGCATCAAGGATAATCGGAATGGTGGAATCAAGTGGCTATGGAAAATAAGAGTTTTCTCGGTCTAGACTCTGCGGGTATTCCTGAGCTTCGGGGTAAGTTATAGTTATAAGTTAATTCTAGGCCATTCAAGAGTCTAAGCCCAAACCGTTTTAAAAACGTGGTAGTAATTGTACTATTGGGGGTTTAATTATAATGTCTAATCATATCAAGTGCTGGTTCATAATTTATGAAGTGATATATTGTAAAAACCACACAGTTATTGAGATATTAATTAATTCGTCAAATTCATATTAAAAATTGGTCTCCTGAACCCCACTCTTGGAAAGCATCTAGCTTATTAGAACCGTCAACAGCCATGATACTATAGTCTATGAACTCCTCCCAGTAGTTGAACCCCAAGTCTGCAGCCATTCTCTTATCCTCAAGAAGAGACCTGTGATGACCAGGTAAAGGTTTGCTCGGAAACATTGCGCCGTCGTGGGCATCAGTGGCCTCGGCCGCCAGAATCCAGGGAAGATGCTCAAATTCATCTGCTGCGGGCGATGGCGTATCCATGGCTATGGAATAGACTGAGCTTGGCTGACTTGGCGTTAAACACTCTGACGATATGAGCTCTGGGATGGAAGTCTCTTCGTCGATTAACGTTATGAATGAAGGGGTAAAGGTATTCGTAGACATTGGTGATGGTGGCCAATTAGGTGATTGTGAGTCCCCAAACTGATATTGTTGAAGATTGCGAGATGTGGGAGAAAAAATCGTCTCCATCCTCGATAAGCTGCAGGTTTCTTCAGGCTGTCGTTTAAAAGGAGGCGGTGTTGAAGAAGGTGAGTCCGTCGAGAAAACATATGCATCTATGTTTTTCTCACAGTCCTTGTCCCATTGGCAGGTGTTGCAACTTAGTGGACTGACACGCGAATGTGCTTTATCACTTTCGTCATCTTTCCAATCCTCAGAAAAGACAGCAGTAAACCCGGAAATTATTTCCCCGCTGTCAGCGAACCTCCGCCGCCGCGACCGACGATCCTTGGAGTTAAACTGCCATTTCCAATTATCAGAGAAGACCGCCGTGACGTACGGGACTCCTTGGCGGTCATTGATCCCTGGCGTTGAGGGGGATGTACGTCCCCAGCAAAACTGGCACGCTTTCGGCATATTTAAACAAATGTGTTCCAGGAGTATCTTTATTTTGTGTGAAAGGTAAGAGACAGCAGTCACATTCTATGGCCAGCTTCGTCTCAGGTTCCTCTACTGTTATAAATATACGTTGCGTGTTCTGGGTGACGAATAGCCAATCGGATACCGTGTTGATAATATCCCTCTTTCGTGCGCTCGGGGTAGATTTTTAGAATAAGTGAGTCCCATCATGATCCGGAGCAACTGTTCCCCATCGTAATCCTGAGTAACTGCTCCATGGCTTAAGTAGTTTGGGTTATGTCCACCGGAATCGCTAACTGATATGCAGCTAGTGTTTTTGACAGCTTCCACCGGAATTTCTAGCCAATAGGAAATCGGCCACTGTTAACTTGGCAACTTCCACCCGAGCTTCCACCGGAACTGATGGTCGAGTTATTATTCTAAAAGCGGGGATTTGGAAATGCAAAGAATACCTTCATGTCTCCACGCGGCTTTTTACTTTGAAGCATTCCAGTTGTTTTTGATTTTCCCAAGTAAATAAGAGAGGTGCGTTCTAACCGGCGGCGGGGTATCTTGTGCTGGTTACCCGAGGGTCGTACGTCGGCCAATTTCCCGGAGAGCGGGCGACAGAGTGGCTTTTTACTTTGTCCAAGCAACGTCTTGCTACAAAGTTAAAGTTGACTCGGCCTTCGATTAAAGTATACAGGATGTGCACACCTCTGTAAGTAGTTAATTTACCACCGGACAATGGAAACCAAGCGCAACACTCAAAAATAGTCGCAGAAGGATACCATCAGATGCGTCTGTTGTGGATAGACCTCTTCATTCATTGCCGTTAAGCCGTTGACAGATCTACTGCAGTGAGATACACAGCTCAACGAGTATACAGAGCTCAACGAGTGGGAAAATTCACTTCCTCCCGAGCTTAAGTTAGTCTCATGGGATAGACAAGCTATGGAAAAAATACAGAATAGCACATCATATATTTTGCTATGCAAGCTTTAACGCTGCAAATATCCTACGATAATATACAGCTCCTGTTAAATCGCCCTTTGATGACCTACCAGGGGGCATCTACTAAACTAAACCTAGATACTAGTGAGTTGCTAGTCGATGCGCCTCATTCATCACTTGATGTAGCGCTGAACCTAGATATCCTCGACCTGGGCCGTTCACAATGCTGGAAATGGGCGTTGCGAACATGAGGTGTTGACAGCTATGCTCCAATACTACGATTGGTCGGGAACACTCCTGCTGCTACAAACCTGGGAATCCATTGCCTAACATCGGGTGTAATGCTAGGAGTACTAGCATTATCAGACTGATCTGGACCAAGAGTACAGGATTGCAAGGGTGGGATTGCAAGTCTGATCAAAGTTCCTCGAAACTTCGGGCTCAAAATTGTGGTATGTAATCTATGTTGAGATCTTAATGGATCTGATGCACGTTATAGCAGCTGGAGAGGTTAAGGCAATGTTATCACAAGATGGTAATTGTTGTGAATCGGATATTCTAAATACGAGCAGAGCAGCCTTTACATGGAATAGGCCAAACAGCAACATAGGTGTCAGTAAACAGGTACACGGGATGGGGGCGGACGAGTAGCTCTCGGTCCAGAATGAATACTGGTTACGAACGAGTTCCACCTCTCCGAGTCTGCCCTCTGTTTCTGAAAATACACAAACGCCACCACAGTCACCAGTTCCTTCACTCACCACATATGCGAGCTATGGCACCGACGCCTTTACTTCTTAATCCGATTTCTCACGCGACTCCAGGGCCGATATGGATTTCGACATCGACCTTAGTACTATCCCAATGCATCAACAGGGCATGGAGCCCGTTTACAATGGGGAAGCACAATTTGGAGTCAGAAGCCTAGAGCAATCTCCATCGATGCGCAACATAGGTGTCTCCGCAGACACATTTCCATCGTTGGACCTTCCGGGGCAACTCTGGATATTGGGCCCTCCTTTCGCATTCCCTAAGGTCGAGATTAGAATCCATGCTATTAAATGTTGTCTCATATACTGTTGCTAGTTCATGACCCTTTATCCATTATGCTTTCCACTGTCATGGTGACCTCTTCGGGAACAGTTCCCCGCTCATGGACCCTCCATGATGGGCTTCATCATCGGCCGCACCGCTTACGGGCGGTCCATGGGCAGTTTTGCACTGCACTACTACGGAGTCCTCGAGTTCCTCACCAAACGCAGCATATCATCAACGCGTTTAGTGCTTTCGGAATCTCGACAATGGGCCTCTATATGAGCGCTCGCACTGCAAGAAGGTGTCGTTGATGCGGCTAATGTTCGATGTCTGCGCGATGCTCGTCTGGGTGCCGCTGGGATGCGATGCTAAACCCGAAGGCTGCCACGGAAACAGGGAAGGAAGGATAATCAGAGGACTTGTGGAGAATCGTGGAAAAGATGAGTTAAATCAGGGAGTTTCGTGTTACCGGGCGCCAATATGAGGGAGAACGGGCTATTTGATGTCAAGCACGAGATCGTTTTGGAGCAGGCGGAGGCGCAGAGGAGGGTGAGGAACAAGGTTGAGGATGCGATTGAGAGATTGATGATCTTTGAATAGGTCATCAATCTCCCAATAATCATCTTTGATGGTCTAACGGTCATGATTTCCGCTTGTCATATGACAAAGCGCGGGAGACCGGGGTTCGACTCCCCGTCAGAGAGAATTGCCTTTCTGAGCTCATGTTCAGATACACTTTTTCAAGCATCAGTGGTTTAGTGGTAAAATCCATCGTTGCCATCGATGGGCCCCGTGTTCGATTCACGGCTGATGCACAATGAACAGTATCCAGTTCGGAGATGTATATATTTTTGTACGTGGGACTTCGACCCGCGTGCTAATTTTTTTTTATTATAAAAATGGAGAGCGGCAGAAAGGTGGGTCAGCTCCGCCGTCGGAGAAGCTCTCGGTGACAACGCACCTCTCCTACCAACATGAAAACCAAAAACAACTATAACTCTTCCTTGAATAGGTCATCAACCTCATGGACTCTTGTGAAAATTCAAACTGAGAGCTAAAACCGTGCGTTAAAAGGTAAAAAATTACACCAATAGATTTATAGTGGGGGGGTATGATAAGAGATAGGGTTTGCCTTTAGCTCATTGGTATCAACCAGATCAAACTTCCCCAACCTCAGAGCTCAGCGGAGTACTAATGCGATTGAACTGAAAGGGCAGCAATTGTATCCAAGAAAGCATCCTCGGATCCAGTAGCTCCTCCTAAATTACTATACTAAGGGGCTGCTTCGGGATGTCACCTGTCATTAAAATAACGACATAAGGTAACCGTAACGGGGCGAGGTGACCGTGACGGGGACCATCAAAATAACCAAATGAGGTCTTAGCTTCGGAAACAACGTGGTTAATCTGCAGTACTTCGGCAGTTGGCGCTACTTGTGTCTGGGGAAAGTTGTGATGGTTACTGTTCGATTTCCCCGCATGGATTTCCCCGCAGTAATGCCTCGAGCCGATAAAATCCTACGTCTAATACAGCCCTGATGAAGTTAAGCCTGTTCGGCGGAAACGCGCCCCTATTGCCCCACTCCTCCCGAAGGTGCGCATGGGGAAACCTGGGGAACTTGACAATTATTGCTTCGAGAATTGTATATAAACTTAGCATCCTTTCACCTGTGGGTGTCTTTATGTTCTGTCTTATATTTACAGTCAACCAATACAGCTATTATCTTATTCTATTTTGGATATAGGCTCAAATTCGCATTTGACCTGTCCTCAACCAGAAGTTTTTTCTCTCCCAACCAAAGAATTTACTGCTAGAGTGATATCATGGTTGGAGTCTCAAATGAGGCGAGCAGCTCGCGGATGCAGCAGCTTACCCAGGGCCGCAGGTTAGGCTTTCGGGGCCTGCTTGGCGCCAATCGTTACCTCCTTTTCTCCTCCCTCTTTGCCTGCATCGGATCATTCATGTACGGCACTGATCAGGGGATTCTTTCCAACCTCTTAACAGGACAAAATTTTGCCTCCAAATTCCCAAGCGTTTATAGTGATCCTGTGCTCAAAGGATGGGTTGTGTCTGTTTTGCAGTTAGGAGCATGGCTGGGAGCCTTAGTCAACGGCCCATTAGCCAACGCCATCTCGAGAAAATACAGCTTAACAGTGGCTGCATTTGTAAGTTTAGCAATTTTGTCTTTCTCATGCTCAACTAAGAATATTATTTAGCTCTTCACCCTCGGCAGCGCCATATGTGCCGGTGCACAAAACGTCACCTACCTCTTTGTGGGTCGTATCATAGCTGGGATTGCTGTAGGACAGATCTCCCACGTCGTACCTTTATACATGGCAGAGATCTCACCTTCTGAGTTCCGAGGAGCACTTGTTTCTTTACAGCAGCTGGGCATTAGTAAGTACAATATCCCTTCTTATGTCTTTGATACCCAGACTAATGCCCTTTTAGCTGCTGGAATTATGGTTTCTTATTGGCTTTGTTATGGCACAAGTTTTGCAGGTGGCCAAGCCTGCGATGCAAACGAATCCGCGCCTTTCGGCGATTCCGGAGCCTGGAGTCCGTATACTGATGTTCCAGAAGGGGGCTGCACTGGGCAGACTGAACTCGCATGGAGATTGCCTTTAGCGTTGCAAGTGGCTCCTGCTCTGGTTCTGCTCTTGGGAGCGCCGTTCCTGCCATTCAGCCCGAGATGGCTGATGTCAAAGGGACGCGATGATGCATGCCGCGCTGCTATTAGCGAACTCCGGTCATTACCTCTGGACGACCCGATCGTCGAGACTGAGTACCTTGAAATAAAAGCTGCGGTTCTCTTTGATGAGCGTACAGCTGCAGAACTACACCCTGGCAAAAGTGGAATTTCTCTTACTTTCGCCAAAGTTGGTATGCTTTTTACGAACACGGGACTTTTTAAACGTCTGGCAACGGGTTGTATTATCATGTTTTTCCAGCAATTCACTGGCATCAATGCTATCATATAGTAAGTTCATACCTATCCTTGGGGTTCAAATTTACAGGCTAATCTCGAATTATAGTTATGCACCTACAATCTTCGGCAGTCTCGGACTCAATGCATCCACAACATCTTTATTAGCTACCGGTGTCCTTGGTGTCGTTGATTTTGTATTCACATTCCCCGCAATCTTTTGGGTTGACCGCTGGGGCCGCCGTAAATTCTTTATGGCTGGTGCTCTTGGCATGATGGTTTCTCACGTCATTGTCGCTGCCATTGTTGGTCATTACGACGGGAACTTTAATGTCCCTGGTGGTAAAGTTGCTGGATGGGTTGGAGTTGTTTTCATCTACGTAAGGTTACCCGTTGCAACGTTCAAAGAATATTTCTAACTAGAGTTCAGATGATGGGCGCTAACTTCTCTTACTCGTGGGGCCCTGTTGCATGGCTGGTGCCCGCTGAGATCTTCTCCCCAGGCCATCGCAGTCAGGCTGTTAGTATTATTATTAGCTGCAACTACATGATGAATGTAAGTTCTCATAAGCTTCTCTCACAACATGTTTTATCTAACAAATCATTCTAGTTTGTTGTAGGACAAGTGACGCCCAACATGCTCGACAAGCTAAAGTACGGGACTTACATATTATTCGCCAGCTTCTGTCTGCTCATGTTTCTCTGGGTCTTTTTCTTCCTGCCTGAGACCCGCTACAAAACGCTCGAGGAGATGGACGAAGTGTTTGGCGACAATTCTGCTACGGTTGATCGTGAGCGAATGCAAGAAATTATGGCAGAGATTGGTCTCGAGCAAACTCCACAGCAAATTGCTGAGAGGTTGAGCGATGAAAAAGACAGAGAGGAGTACATGGAGAACACAAAAAATGTATGAACATTAGCTATATGATAGACATCTTCTTAATATAGAGGGGTCAAATCTATTCGCAGTTCGGCCGTATACTATAGCTTATGCTTAGGTGCTCATGTGAACTGCATTTAGGTGGCAGTGAGGCGGAAGACAGAGAGCAGACCCCTAAAAATATTACGGGCAGTTGAAAGTTCTCGGAGATAATCTATAAATTAAACTCGCGTACCTAGAGGATACGGCTAGAAATGGCCCCTTATGAGACCAACAAGGGCAATTCATCATGCAATACGGGAACCACCCACGTAGAGAATGGGGGCCAGGGGGGACTCATTTTTTGCAGAGAGTAGATATAATGCCAAAAGCCAAAACAGGCTTCTTACGACAAGCGGACACAGACATAGAATGTATCAAAATGGTTCTGCATAGAATACTAAAGCCGTCTATTGATTATAGAAATCTATTGGTTTTTATACAAATTAATGAGTCTTGCCCTCAACAGCGCCTTGCGTTCCCTCCAGATCACTATACAATCTCCATTGATAGTCTAGGCTGGGATCGTTGAATCTTGCCTTGATGTCCAACTCAGCAATTTTCTCCATGTCTTCAGCTTCCATCTCGAAGTCGGCCTCCAAGTTCTGCTGGATCTGCCAGTCAATGACACTCTTGGGAATCGCCGAGCGTCCACTGTTCACAGCCCAAGCTAGAACAACCTGCACAGGGCTCCTCCCATATTTCTTTCCAATCTCTTGTAGAACAGGTTGGTCAGTCACTCGGGTCATGTGCGAGACCTCCTTGCTCCAACCGGTGTTTCGGTAGAAATCGTTCATGTTGCCCAGCGGGCTAAATTGGACGACGTGGATTCCCTTGCTTCGAAGCCATGCGTTGAAGTCCTTTTGCTGGAGATATGGGTGAACTTCCATCTGATGGACGGCTGGTACCTTTGAATGGAGACTCAGTAAAGTTAAAAATTTTGGGTGATTGACAGTGTTTGTTAGTACTTACTGTATCAGATTGATCGAGTAATTGTTGGATTTCTCCCTTGCTAAAATTGGACACCCCGATGGCCTTGGTCTTCCCCGTCTTCACAAGCTTCTCCATCGCCTTCCATGTCTCTACAAAACTTGTCTTTCCCAGAATCATCTTTCCATCCGCGTCGCGGGGGAAACGATCTTCTCCACGGGCAAATGTGCAAGGATAGTGCATCATCAACAAGTCGACATACGGTGTGTCGAGATCCCGCAGGGAATCGTCAAGAGCGCTCTCAACATCGTCGGGATGGAAGTTGTTGCACCACAATTTGGTGCCGACGCAAACCTCCTCGCGAGCAACACCGCTTTCTTTGATTCCATGTCCCACCTGCTTCTCAACGTCGTAGACGCGCGCTGTGTCGATTAGGCGGCAGCCTGCTTTCAACGCCCGGCTGACAGCATCGACTTGTGCATCGGCATCTTGGAATGTACCAAACCCAATGGCTGGGATTTTAGCTCCTGTGTTAAGCGTATGCCGGGTCGACCTCGTTGAAGCAGCACGGCGGGCATTTCGTGAATGAAAAGATAGCACTGTTTGCACCTGGGTCCTCTTCAAAAAAGTGTTCAAAGCATTCGATGTCCGCACAGGTAGAACGAATATAGAAGCCATAATGCTGCAAGTCGAAAGGATACGATAGCCGGTAGGACTGCGTTGTACTGTATCACTAGTCGGGCTGTTAGAGTTTCGTTGCCAGCAAAAAACTCCGTGAACTTCGAAATCCTTATAGGGGTGCTATTCGTATTATTATTAAGCCCAAGTAAGAGACTCAATGGATGGGATGTAATAATATACACATCGTTGAGACGGCCATCGCTAGACTCGGGACATTGCGCACATGTCCTGTAACCCCGCGTTCGTTCCGCGCCGCCATGACAGTGTAGTCCCCGTAACGAGGCACAACGCCAACACGGGAGCTTACGGAGTACAGTGCTCCATCAACCTCACCAAAGCTAGTGTTGTAGGAATAACCACCACTTTCTCAAGAGTACGCTTCTCCAATTGTCCGTTTACGGAGCACAATACTCCATCAGCTTCAGCAAAGCCAGTGTTGTGACAACAATCAGCACCTTTTCGGAGTATGCTCCTCCACCCGTCTATAGAAATAGAAGTGGTGCAGCAATGTGCAATTATTTCTCGGATTACTTCGTGCTAATTGTAACTTGGCTTAAGATCGCATTGTAATTTGTAGTCGTTGCAAAGAGACTCGACCTCTTGTAAGATTTAAGAAACTATGAAATATTAGGACAGCAAGAAGAAAGGTATCAAAACTATACTGCTTAAATCAGGTAATGAGGAATAGACTCTATTGTTTTGTTACCATTACATATAAACTAGTAGATACGGTCCATTTTAAGGAAGTGTAAACCCTCCGTCGATGATAATATTTGACCCTGTCATATAGCAAGCAGCATCGCTGGCTAGAAAAACGTAGAGCTGCAGAACCTAGTTAGTATCCAGTGCGTGAAACTTTAGACAATCCACTTACGCCCTTCAACTCCTCGGGGTTGCACACACGCCCTGCGGGAATCATAGACAACCATTTGTCAATGAGTTCTTTTGGTTGTCTTGTCAACACTACCAGAATGAGTCAGTTTCCATGATATCGGATGGTAAGGGCAAACATACTCTCAGTCATGATGTATCCTGGTGAAACACAATTCACTCTTGCAAAATCGACCCATTCTACAGCAAGACTCTTCCCGAGTTGTAGAGCACCAGCCTTTGAGGAATTGTATGCAGCCTGAGTCTGTGGGACGTTTACGAGGTTGGCACTGACAGATGCCGTGATAATCAGGTTCCCTCTTCCTTGCTTCTTGAAGATCCGCCCAGCTGCTACTGCGGTCCACATAACACCATCGTAGTTGACACTATTCATATAATTCCAGGTTTCTTCATCGTACTCCAGAGATGGGACGTTTTGGCACACCCCTGCGTTCGCGATGACAATGTCGAGGCGGCCACGGCCGAATTCGGTTGCTATCTGCTCAATCGTCTTTGCTATCGTTTCTCGTTTTGTTACGTCGGATTGAAAGGCCTGAACTCGTACTCCTGTTTTTTCAGCAATCTTGGCTGCGATCTCATGGGCATCGGTTGCTTTATGGTAGATAATTGCAACGTCGGCTCCAGCCTCGGCGAGACCAGTAACGACTTGACGACCGATACCCCCTGAGCCACCTGTAACCAGTGCTATTTTGCCCTTGAGGGAGAACTGCGATAACACAGGCGTATTGAGGTCAGCCGGCTGGTAGAGAGGCATATTGAAAGATTGGTCAAAGGACGTTCTGAATTAAAATAAAGGTCGGACAGGACGAACTGAGCGGGAAATGCGGACAACACTGTTGGAAGGGAACTGCTTCTTTATTACAGGCCATGAGACAATTCTCCCTCTGTTCCTAAGCCAGTCTTTATAACCCACGCAAGCAGATCTCCCGGCAAGTAAATACACGCTACATGAAGATTATATCAAAAGTCTCCGTCAATCTGTTTTTCATTTGAATTGTAACTACTCTTCCGAAGCTGGTATTGATGGGCAGTTCCCGGGTTCAGCCACAAAGCGATTAGTACCTCTCGGGACGAGGCCATACTCGTAACGAGGTCCCTCGCTATCATGGTTTAATTCACCATCAAAAAAGTCAATTCCCGGATCCGCACATGTCTACAACCCGAAAAGTGGATTTGCCATGCGCCAATTCCCCATGGGGCCCCGCGGATTTGACAGGTCTTAGAGCGACTACCATCCCCAGGATCGGGATTGCGTTTATCATTAATGCATCAGCTTATGTCCAATTTCCGGAAAAATATAACTACTTATGACTCTCTAATTCCTCATAGAAATCCCGTACAATATATATATAGACTAGCTACGATCTATATGCGCTGGCATAGCAAGTGTTTAAGTTACCCAAACTTTTATAGAACTTGTTTTACTTTTTGTCATATTCCCTCGCAAGCAGGATGGGGTTCTTCTCCTTGGATCAGCACCAAGGGTGGATGGTACAGTCGAAATTGGAGAAAGGTCGTCTTTTGTTTGCAGCCAACTGCCTGGCTGGCATGTCCATATTCTTCTTCGGTAAGTGTACTCTAATCGAATTGTGATAGTGAGTAGTGGTGTTAATAATATGCAGGTTACGATCAGGGAATGATGGGTGGTGTCAATCAAAGCCCAGACTATATCAACCTCATGAAGTTCGGTTATGTCGACGATGCAGGCGTTCCTGTTGTCACAGATACCCTTTTACAGGGGGGGATAATGGCGGTTTTCTACCTCGGAACGCTCGTTGGCTGTCTGTTCGGCGGCTACTTCGGTGACAAATACGGAAGAATCAACACTATCGGTCTAGGTGCTGCCTGGGGAATTTTTGGAGCTGCTCTCCAATGCTCCGCAATGAACTCCAACTGGATGATCGGCGCCAGGCTTGTCAACGGTATCGGCACAGGTATCTTGAATGGAATTGTTCCGGCTTGGGCATCGGAGCTGTCTGACTATACTACTCGTGGAACATTCATCGCCATGGAGTTTACTCTCAATATTTTCGGTGTTGTCGTCGCATATTGGTTAGCATATGGAGTTAGTTTCATTGATGGTGGAGAGTCAGCATTCCGTTGGCGTTTTCCGATTGCCTTTCAGATAATCCCACTTCTGTGTCTCCTTGCTACTTGCTGGGCATTTCCAGAATCTCCTCGCTGGTTGTCTAAAGTCGGAAGGAACGAAGAGGCCCTCTACATTCTCCAGAGACTCCGAGGCACGGAGGGGACAGACGCCGGTGTCGCCGAAGCCGAACTTAATTCCATTAAATCCGTCATCGAACTCGAACAACACGCCGAAGGTACCACTTATATCCAGATGTTTTTCGGTCTCAAAGATGGCAAGCTACATACAGCCCGTCGCGTTCAGTTGGTCATCTGGCTGCAAATCATTCAATGTTGGACTGGTATCGCCGGTGTTACCATGTATGGGCCGACTATCTTCCATATCGCTGGTTTTGGGCCCGAGAAGTCGCAGTGGATATCCGGCCTGAACAATATATTCTACATGTTCTCAACACTTATCTGTGTTTTCACGATTGACCGCATCGGGCGCCGCTGGACTCTGTATTGGGGCTCCGTGGGACAAGGCATTGCTATGTTCCTAGTTGGTGGCCTTTCTAGAGGTGGATTGGACGCAAGAAACGCTGGAAATATCAACAATGCAAACCAGTGGGGTGCTGCAGCGGCGACTATGATCTATGTATATACTTTTATTTTTGGAGCAACTTGGCTGACGGTGCCTTGGCTGTATCCTGCCGAAATCTTTCCTCTTCAGGTTCGTGCTAAAGGAAACGCATGGGGTGTTGTGGGATGGTCGATTGGAAATGGTAAGTAAAGACAAACCCAAACCTCAAGAATTATAACTGACTATTTTTAGCCACACTCACTTTAGTCCTTCCATATATCGTCAATGCGATTAACGAAAAGATGTTTTACATTTTTGGAGTTGTCAATGCTCTCAGTATTCCTATTGGTATGTCTTCGACTACAATTCCGTTTTTTTATGTGGCTGAGACCTAATATGGAACAGTTTGGGCACTATATCCAGAATCAAACCAGCGAACGCTTGAGGAGATGGATCTTTTGTTTGCTGCTGACGCGCCTTGGACCTGGTCTGCTGAGAAGAAATTCAAAGAGCTTAAGGAGGAGCGTGACGCAGCAGGTCTGGATGGTGATTTTGAGGCGAAAGCTGCACACCCAGCGAGCCATGTTGAAGATAATAAGGTGTGAGAGGAAGAGGTGTAGCTCTAGGGGAAATATGTTAAAGAATGTTTGATACTTCGTTTCATAAGCTTCTCTTTGTTTCTTGTAGTCCCACGACGATAAAGTAGTGGCACAGGAAGAAACAGAGCGAGGCTTGCAGAGGAGAGATCGCTAGTTTTTGGGTTAAACAGCTTTATCTATTCTACAACAAATACAGTAATTATTCCAATCAACTTTATAAACTTATCTTGGATTGTGCTGTTGTTTGTTATTTATTCAGCCTATTCTACCTTGCCGAAAAATATTTATTTTAGATAGCTGTCGTATACGGGTCTTATGCCTGTCCAGGGACTCAATCCTGAGTTGCGAACGATGGCCTTTTCGGATCACCGCTATACGACCCATGTTAGAGGCCGGGGACCGTCTTATGCCCGCAAATTGGGCTGGACTGTCATACAATCAGCATACGACGACTACCAATTTGTATGGTGTACTGATAAGGTAGTCGGAAGTCCGCCGAGTGTGTCTGTAGATCCTGGGCTTGGCGGGGGCCGGGTCCGGGGGTGATGGGTGTAGTGGGATTTGGGTTCGCCAATGGGAATCCAATGGCGGAGTTGCGGGTGTTGGTTGGTTGTGTGGAGTGCCAGGATTTCCCGGGGACATCGTGCCCCGGACAGCATCCTGGTATGTGGCTGCCACATGTGCCGTGGATGGAACCCTGTCGTCCTCGTTACGAGGCAGGTGTGTCGAGACGAGGTGATGGGGATCATCAAGTTATAGGAACGACGTGCGACAACGGACAGCTCGAGGGCATATATAAACGATTTCGTCAGCTTTGACCACAAAATATCACTCTTAGAAACCAATACATCGTCATTATCAGCATTATCTTCTCCCGAATTTTACTTTTTCGATATACAGAATTCAACCGATATCATGGGTAGCGAAGTAACTGCTGCGGCGGCCTCACACCTCCCCGTCCAGATGCAAGTCAATCTTGGAGGAAAAATAATTGCCAGTATGCATTCATTCTTCTATTGCTCTGTCCACCTCAGTATTTTCTAACAAGTTTACCCAACTAGTTACTGGCGCAAATCGTGGCATTGGTCTCGGCATCGCTGAGTGCTGTTTGGCCAACGGCGCCTCAAAAGTATACAGCATTGATTACGCAGACGATGTTGGCGACGACTTCAAAACCCTCTCAAAAGTGTACCCGGGCCAGCTATTTGCTCTGAAGGCGGATGTGACGAAGGAGCAGAGTATTACGGAAGCTATCGACAAGGTGCTTGAAGAGGCGGGCGCATTGCACGGTGTGGTGGTCAACGCAGGACGAACAAATCACAAGAGTGCGCTCGAGTTCACGACTGAAGAGATTGAGGCCTTGTTTGCTGTTAACGTGAGTTCCCATCTCCCCCTCTCTCAATTTTCTTTCATGCTCCCCCCCTCCCTGTTAGAAATGACCCTTGCTAACGCGAAATGCAGCTTTTCGGAGCCTTCTACACTGCCCGCGTCGCCGCTCGCGCTTTTATCAAACAAAACGTCAAGGGAAGCATCGTATTCACAGCATCGATGGCTAGTTACCGCCCCAACAAAGTCGTCCCCTCGACACCATACGGTGCCTCGAAGGGTGGAGTCCGCAACATGACACATACGTTAGCCATGGAATGGGCACAGTACGGTATCCGAGTGAACTCCGTCTCTCCCGGACTTGTGAAGACGGCTATGACTTACTGGGTTGAGAAGCAAGCCGATTGGGAGACGCAATTGAAGTACTACCGGGGCATCCCGAGGCTCGCAGAGGTGCAGGAGTTGGGTGGAGCATATGTTTATCTGCTGAGTGATTCTGCAAGTTATACAACTAGCATTGATATCCCAGTGAACGGTGTTATTGGCAGTAAGTATTGATTCTACGTTGTCTAATCTACTCTAATCATACTGACAACTTTCTAGTCTGCTAAACGATTTACATAGAACGTCATGAATTAATAGAAATAGAGTATATAAAATGCAGAAGTAAATCATTTCTTATACGCTATGGTACATCATTGTGATTGTTTGATATTTGTGAGATTGTGGGCCGATTAGTATTGTCAATGTCTAGTATAACGCTCACGATCTGCGTTGTGAAAAGGTTTCTGTAGTTGTGGTGACAATAGGATCAATCCGCCATGGGGTATATAAGTAGGTCGCAGGTTCGAGAGCCACAGGGAGTAAAATAAACTAGTCTGGCTGGTGCTGTTGCTGTCAATCGGTGATTGATCTTATATTTCTCGGAGCTAGAAAGAAGAGAAACTGCCTTTCCTGCTTTCACAACCCAAGCAAATCCCCTTTCAGCTCCGGGTTTAACTGTGCCCTCCACATCTTTTTCTCATTCAATAAAAACATCTCCCCTCCCTTCCCAAAGCAAAAGTTTGCACATCCACCAGGGACATAAACCTTTCCAATCAACATTCCTCCAGGGCTCCAGACGTGCACTCCATCTCCACATCCACTGTATACGTTCCCCTCTGTGTCGCATTTGATACCATCAGGGATACCCACATCAGCAAAGGCGAACAGTCGCTTATTGGCGAGGAATGGACCACCGTGGCGTGTTATAACGTCAAATGCATATCTGTGAAGAGTTGTCAATTGGACGTATTCGTTTTGCGGACAAATGGTATACTTACATGGAGGCAGCCTTCGCCGGAGAATAAATCCCAGAAGTATGTGTACAGCCAGCCATACCTGCAGTGTCCGTAATGTACAAAGTCAGCTGGTCAGGAGAGAAACATAGTCCATTTGGTTTCGTGAGGCTGTCATCCATCGCCCTGATATCTCCGGTTCCGGGATCGTATCGGTATGTCTGTGGGGGCAATTGTGGCAATGGTCGAATGCCCTGTTCATGCCCGTATGTTGGGTCCGTAAACCAGATACTCCCGTCCTTGTGAATGACCACATCATTGACCGAATTAAATTGTCGTCCGTGATAATCACTTATGATCATTTCAGTCTTATACGGCTCCTCCGGCTTCATGTAGACCAGACCGCCAGGCTCAGTGAGAGAGCCCTGCTCACAGAACAAGATGCCTTCCCGATAATTGACGCCGCCATTAGCTAAAACAATGTCTGGCTCGATACTATCGACATGATAGCCTTTCCAATCGTTGTAAACTCTCGAAATCTGGACATATTTCTCCCCAGCGCAGAGTAGATGGTTGCTCGTGATATATACTTCTCCCGTGGCAGGCATATACACACCTGCCTCGTGAGCAAATGGTTCAATTTGTTCTGCGATGACTTTGATAGTGGGGTTGCTGCCCAGTATCTGAGAGAAGCGTTCATCGTGAAGGACAAAGCCTCCTTCTGGGAGACAGCCCTCGGCGAATGGTTCTCGGAAGTATTTTTTACGCATTGAAGCAAGCTCCTTGCGAGGATAGACGATGCATGACTCCGAGACAGACATTTTTGCTGTAGACGTCGTTTTAGGCCACAAGTCAAAAAGTTGGAGGAGCCGGGTTGAAGGTAAAGGTGGGGTGGGTCATGACCGAAATATATATAGTTGTTTTGTTAGGCGCGCGTCTCGTTTATCACGCAACCTCCCGGAAACAGCCAGAACTTATTACACAAAGCCATGTGTAAAGTGGATAATGGTATATGCGCCTGTTTTCCCCTTTTTGAACCTCTTATCAGTACTCTTTTTAATGGTTATTAAATATGAGATTTATAGGAGAATGGAAAGTGTTGTCGCCGTTGATAATTATACTATATGAATCTTGTGACCCATGAAATTGTCATTCATTTATGACCAATTTATTACATGAATTCAGACAAGAGCCACTGTAATTGCCCAAATTATCATACACAATGTGGACTTTTTGCATTGATATAGTTGTTTCATTATACTCGTAGAATTGGTATTAACAAACTGTGTATCCACCATCAACCTTTATTTCTTGCCCAGTGATATACCTCGATGCAGCAGAAGATAAGAACGCAACGGTTCCCATGAGTTCTTCTGGTGCCCCCATCTTGCCTTGGGGGATTTTGGATTCCCACTCTGCCTTTAATCCAGGGTTGTCGACAAGAATTTGAGCGTCCCTAAGGCGGAGTCAGCATCAGAGAGAATGCAGAATAGTATGATATCGACTCACATGGCAATTTCAGTAAGCATGTACCCTGGGCTTAGACAATTCACGCGGATATCCTTATTCGCCCACTCGACCGCTAAACTTGCAGCCAAATGCCTGACGGCCGCTTTGCTTGCATTGTACAAGGCCTGTGGCTGGGGCACATTCACAATGCTGCCAGAGATACTTCCGATAAACACCATGTTTCCGGCTATTTGACGTTCCATCATGTGCTTCGCAACGCCTGTCGCGAAATAGTAGGTACCTTCAACATTTACGCCCAACATCCGCTTGATCCGTTCTGGCTGGAAATCGATGGCGTCACAATTCTCACAGAAGCCTGCGCAAGTTACCAGATTTGTGATCTGTGAATGCTGCGTGAGGATTTCGGCAATGGCAGCGTCGACATCGGATTTCGCGGAGACATCGGCATAGTGAGCTGTTACTTTGGGAGTCCTTTTCGGACACTAGTTAGAGCATGAGACATTGGGACGAAGGGGAAGGCTCACTTTTGATTGGGGTATGTCTCTGAAAATAATCTCGCAATGGCTACAGCTTGCTTTTTTGCCTCATCTTCTGTTCATGAATTAGTACAGCTTTATGTATCAATGAAGGGTAGATTGTAACTTGCTGTTTATGTCAACAATTGCTAAATCAGCTCCGCTCATAACGAGCGCCTTGCTCATCGCGAGGCCAAGTCCTCTCGCTCCGCCAGTAATTACTGCCGTCTTTCCTGTGAGCGAGAAGAAGGGCAATGTTGGATTGAAAGCTGGCGTAGTAGCGCCTGCATTCTCTCGACTATTCTTTGACATTGTTCCCGCTTTGATTGATCCGTCTACCTGTGATATTTGCTGGAGCTTTGCGTAATTTTGGAAGGTTCTTATCGGAGTCCGGCTCGTACGCGCAAGGTTTATCGGCGGCCAACAGCGAAGAGCTCTTCTTGCAGTTGACAACGTTCGTAGGGAAGACATGGTGTAAGAAATATTTGTAGAGGTTCACGGTTCCATAAACATAAGTTAGAGCAGATACATAGCATCACAAAATCTCCATCATACCGTCGAATCGTCAGAAGTTTATGGTAATGCGGGGTGAACAAGCAAGACAAAAGTGACCCACAGGGACGACACTAGCTCTGACCCCGAGACGAGGCACAATCTAGGTCGGTACGGGGAAGGCTAAACTAGATAAGGCCCTGGAAACGAACCCGCAATCGACAAAAGGCGGGGATCGACCATATCTCGGAAGTTAGTCGGCAGCTATCTATTGAACACCACTCCATGCAGCATGGACGTAAAAGGGAGTAGAGCACGCCTGCATTTATCCTCGTTCCGACACTTCTTCATTCCGGTGTGGATATCCACGTGGAGCTATGGACACAACACGGCGTCTCGCGAGTGAGGCACCGCCTCGAAAGAAACGAAAAACCCGCGGTCGCGGGCTCCGTAAATCCACAGGATGGTAATTCATCTTCCCGCCCGAGCATCGACAGTTTAGCCCAAGCTGACATGAACGAACTAGTATTACCTGTAAACGACGTCACTTGAAGTGCGATGAAGCTACCCCAGACTGTGGACCTTGCTCAAAAAGCCGACAAGTCTGTCTATATGCAGCCTCTACTCAGATGCAAGGCTCCCTTCAAACGGGACAAGATAGTGCAGATGCAGATGCTCACAGACCCTCTACATCGCAATGGCATTCCACATACCCGGATCCTGATCGTGAGCAAGCTGCAAGTGGTTTGCTGCGATTGACCGCCGAGGCTGCAGCTGCCTCATCATCATTGCCTGTAGATGCAATATCCCCACCGACCGACACGCCGTACTTAGAATCCTCTGTTCAAGAGCAGTTTGAAGCAGATACGGAAATAGCACTCACTCCCCCTGATGCTGCTTTCTATAGATGGTTTAACCTGCTCGCTAGTGATCTCACTTCAGAAAAGGCAGGTGGAACACGCCTTTGGACATCTTTGACAGGTGTACCAGAGACAAGTGCGCCAGAGACGAGCGCAGTAGATACAATCGATAGTTTACATTTACCGGTATCTTCACATCAAACATCTACAGATAGTCTCTTAGTTCAGGATGTTTCTCTCCTGGCATCCCCCGCCCCGAATGTGTCCGCGTCTTTCTCATCAAGACCACCGTATACCAAACCCCCAGATCAAGATGCATGGCAAGGGTCCGAACCAGCAAAGTTATCAGATCAGGAACATGACCTTTTCGAAAATTTCGTGACTAAACTAAGTGCTTGGGTGTGTCTATCTCTGATTTTGCACCCGTTGCATAGACTAATAATTACTATTCAGATCGATCTTTATGACCCAACAAGGGGTTTTGCTATTTTAGTACCACACCTAGCAGTAAGTGGATGCCTTTGAGACAGGCTGAGACAAGCCTCTCTATCTCACTCACTAATGAACCTTAGATGCATGACGCCGGCTTAATGAATGCCATCTTGGCACTATCGGCGCGGCAACTATCAATAAATATCAATGCCACAGAGGAGCAACGAGACCGCAATATTGGGTTGCAATACTACTACGAGACCCTCCATTACGTACAGCAAGCTATGCATTACGATTCTTACACCGTTAGCCGTGAGCTCTTAGCAACAGCACTTATAATTTCTACATATGAAATGCTAGATGACTTTCGAAGTGGCTGGGAGCGACATTTGAAGGGTGTCTTCTGGATTCAAAGAAGTCAAGTCATCCACGGAGATTCAGGAGGGCTACAACAAGCCATATGGTGGGCGTGGCTGCGCCAGGATATATGGGCAGCCTTCCGCGAGCGTCGCAAGACCCTGAGTTTCTGGACTCCGGCAAAGCCCTATACTGCTATGACTTCTTATGAAGTGGCTACTCGGATTTTATGGATATTCGCAAAGGTTGTCGACTATTGCTCGGAAGAAGCAATCCAAGCTGGCGAAGGAAATCTGCAATTGAGAATAGACAAGGCAGGAAGCATATTTGAAATGCTAGATGAGTGGCAGAATAATCTCTCGGTTGAGTTTGCCCCTTTAGCTGGAAGGAAGGGCAACCCATCTGATGTTTTTGAACCGATCTGGATACATCCGCCAGCGTTCGGTAAGCTGCTCAATTTAACCACTGTATATCCGCTGACCTGTAATAAAGGCAATTCTATCCAGGTCCATTGTGCTGGTCGTATTCTTATCCTCCTCCATAAACCTTCTCTTAAAGGTATGCGGGAATACATGGCAAATCAGAAGCTATTAGCAAAGGCCGCCGAGACTGTCTGTGGGATTGCCATGACTTTGACTGATGCTGCCTCGAGCCTGGTGTCGTCTCAATGCTTGTACATTGGTATGTGGAATTTATATCCAGACAGGCTGCATATGCTAAAATTAGTTATAGCTGGATTATGTATTCAAGACTCTCGGCAGAGGGAGGCTGTCATATCTCTCATTGATGCCTGCCACCGAAGGACGGGTTGGCCGACTCGGTCTCTAAGTCATGATCTCAGAGAAGAATGGCAGCAGTCAGATGTCGAGTGATTTAACCTCTTCTGGACACTAAAGGTTTACAGTATGTACGCTTATGAATTATGAGTTACGAATTGTAAAGATGGGCATAATCTATAGCTTATGATGTATAACAAATATGATTTATCTGGATGAAGTAATTCGCCATTCTTTCTTCCTGGGACCAATCCCGAGATACTTAAATGCCTATGGGTCAAAACCAAACCTTATATGCCCCATAGTTATCCGTAGCCATTAATAGCATCAGATCGGAATCTAACCTGCCGAATTACATCGCGGGGTTAGTGACGCAACAGGTGACCATTACCCGAGGGACGCGTCTCGAGGCTACCACCGATAACCGGACTATAGTAATCCGTCTAGTTCAGCATCAACAAAACAGTTATGTATGAACTAAAAAAGGCTTCTGCCTTCCTTGTCCCCAAAACAATATTTTCCAGCACATCTTTTATATTCCACTACCTTTAGCAACTATGGCTCCTCCGCCTGACTGGAAATTATCAAACAAGAGCAATGTAGTGCTCACCGCCGCCGAAAAGGGCAAATATGGCGTTATAGCAGCTATAGCATACAACATCGAACATATCATCGGCTTCATAAAAGCGGCGGAGGTCGCCAAATCACCTATCATCATTCAATTTTTCCCCTGGGCGGTGACATATTCTTCTGGATTACTCATTCGAACCGCTGCAGACGCCATATCTCGCTCGCCCTTACGAGACCATATTGTATTACATATGGACCATGCCCAGGATTACAACTTGATCAAAGAATGCGCCGACAATTTGCCGTTCGATAGTATAATGGTTGATATGAGCCACTATGAAAAAGAAGAAAATCTGCGCAAAACACGCGAGTTGGTGGCCTATTGTCAGGAGAAGTGCATAGCGACTGAAGCCGAGCCTGGTCGTATAGAAGGAGGGGAAGACGGCGTCGTGGACACGGAAGGTTTGGAGGGAAGCAAAACTACTCCTGAGGAGGTCGACGAGTTTGTAGATACAGGAGTTGATGCTCTTGCGCCGGCGTTTGGGAACATGCATGGAGAGTATTGGAGTATTGGGCCACAATTGGATTTCCTTCGGTAAGTAACAACCGTCCAAGCTGCGTGATTATCTACACTGCTAACGCTTTGGTCCTCCTCTTTCAGCCTTGGCCAGATCCGCAAAAACATTAGTAGCAGAGTTCGAATTGCTCTGCACGGTACCAATGGCTTCCAGGAAGATCTATTGAAGAAATGTATCGCGGAGGGATGTTCTAAGATTAACGTGAACCGACTCGTTCTGGATGATTACTACGACCACCTAAAAGCAAATGCGCCTACCATGTCACAGACGCAGCTTATGACCGAGGGGACGCAAAAGGTAGTCGACCTCACAGTGAAGTGGATGGAAATCTGTGGTAGCGCCGGGAAAGCAGTTTAATGATACATTATCAGAAGTTATAAAAGCATACATACAATTGAAGCCTTCGAACTTTTGAATGGCACGAGAACATATCATGTTTTATCACGAGACGAATGAAATTGGTGCCAATCACACCCGAATCTTCTCAGTTTTGGGTCAGTTAGTAACAACCATCCGAACCATCCGCTTCCAAATCCACGTTCTATAGCTATAGGTACTTTGCCTACTCGAGTGCCGTGGATTTACGTACGTAACAGGCAAGGTTCAGGCATGTCCCTCGGGCCCACTTCGGCCGGACCCTCATCCTATCCCCGTGGGCTCTTCTTTCACCTCCACACGGCCCGAAAGAGGCGTTTTAAGCTTCTGGCTCACCTCTGTACGGTTTCATGCAGATCACGGCGATGAAAAATGTCTTCGGCGCCTTGTTTATAGTTGTTGGTCTGGCATTCTCAGTGTTTATAAGTGATAATTGTACTTGTTAACGTACCGGTTAACGGGCCGATTGCCCCAGGTAACTTTGAAACAACCCCGTACCTGTCTCCTTGGCTGGGGTCTAAATACGTGTCTATTATTGGCTTTTATTAGAGTGGCATTTCACGGAAGGATTCATGCGAATATTTGTCGCGGGGTTATGCTTAATGGGCTTAAGCGCAACTATTCCACTAATTAAGACATCGGCCCTTTGCTGCTTATATTTTTGTAGATCCTTACTACTGTTACTATATCCACAGTTGTCAAATAGCTTAACAAAGAGTTTATATATTTGACGATGGAGGCGTTTTGAGGGGATGATCCCTCACTCCATTCCGAAGGGGGTGGAAAACTATTGCCACTTGGGTACGATTACACGTCTACTTACGCTAAGAACGTCAACATGAAAGCCTCAATAAAGATATGCTTGGCCGCCGTGCTTTCTACATCAAGCTGGTGGTCTCATTCGATGGTAGACGCCAAATCGGTGTTTGCCCACTACATGGTATGCCTCCTTGAAGTCAAAACAATTAGAGCATCCATGTTTGCATTTATGGAGTTAAGTGGCGGCTAACAAGACAGCTTTCAACTCTCGATCCGAATACTGATCACGCCAAGCAAGATATTGACCAGGCCATAGCAGTGGGACTCGACGCATTTGCAGTCAATGTTGGAGCTCCAGGGGCAGATTTTTCGAAGAACACCCTGCGGCAGTTGTTTGATTACGCGAGAGACAAGCCATTCAAGCTATTTCTCAGTTTCGATTTTTATGCAGCCGGCGACATAGGAGCACATCAGGAGTTTTTCAACCTGTGGAGAAACGAGGCTGCGTATTTGAATTATGGGCCTCAAAACCTCCCAGTGGTTTCCTCGTTCAGTGGAGGCTCACTCGGCCCGGATGTGTGGCGAAACTTCAAGGAAACAAACAATGTCTACTTGCTTCCCAATCTAGAGGGCGACGCGGATTACTACAACAATCCCACAGCATTTTTCCAGAAATGGGGCAATGCAATTGATGGTGTCTTCTCCTGGGAAACGGCTTGGCCCGACGCTTCGAATACCCCAGTGAATGTGACCTCTGAGAAGGACGTTGCAGTTAAGAATGCAGCGGATAGGGCAGGGAAGTCTTACATGATGGGTAAGAAGAGTTGTCTCTAAATTCAGACGAGCAAAACCGATGATGTTCTAACATATGGCAGGATTATCTTCACTGCAGTACAAGCACTGCTGTGGCGATTCTTGGTATCGTTCTGGCGAGACCAACCTCCCTGAACGAATGACACAGATCCTCTCCTTAAAACCTGAACTAACTGAGGTCATGACCTGGGTAAGTAGCTTAACTTTTTCTACATTTATTCAGCTAGTTAACTCAACATTAGAATGATGCCGGTGAAAGCCACTATATCGGCCAATGCTGGCCTGAAGGGCTCCCTGAAGAAATCCTCCAATACGGAAACTCGGAGACCTATCCTCATGACGGATGGCAGCCCTTAATCACCTCATTCATCAATGCGTTCAAAAACGGCGAAGAAGCCAGCCAGATGAAGCCCAGTGGTGATAGTCCAATTGGCGCCCTGTGGTACCGAGGCGTCATGGCTCCCTGTGACACCGGACTGCGAGGCTCAGGGGCGGCAATAAATTCCGTCAACTATGCCGTTGTCCTTCCTCCGACAACTCAAGGGGCGCGCATTCAAGTCTCCAGTGGTGGTCAGGTATTAAGCAATGTTCCGGCCCACGAAGGCTTAAATTACAACGCAATCGGTGGCATGGTGACCGGCCCACAGAAACTCGAGATTTTGGATCAGAGTGGCGCTGTTATTGCTTCAGCGTCTAGCAAAGTGGATGTTTCAAATGGTCCACAGGGCGGTTTCTGCAACTTCAATTACTACGTGGCTGGCATTCAGTAAGAATCTGCTTACGACCACGACTTATTCAAGCTGAAGTCCCAAATCGTCAAACCCCGACAGCGACCGGCATGAACAGTCTGAGGAGGTAATTTGTGTTAGCTCTCCAGTAAAAATTAAAGTGTATCTGCAGAGTAAATATTATGTCTAGGGAGTTACGATAATTTATTGAAACTCCACGCAGTGCTTACTCTCCTAACTATCTGAGTTTTTGTTGTGTGGGTGAAGCTGTTTCGAACATAAATATACCACCTTCCTAATATCGATGATCTACCTGTGATAGTTGACGAGGATAGAACGCGGGCTCATGATTCGTCAATTTGGACCTGGTCTTGCGTGCTCAACAGTGCATCCCTGGCCGACGCCGTCGTGCTTAGCTAACATGTGGAGAAAAACTAAAAATGTCACTTTGAAGGATTTGAGTCCATTTTGCTGAAACTGTATAGTAAAAATAAAAAAATTCCCTTGACTGGAGCGATCCGTAAATTCGCACAACCGTGCTGCCCTGCTTATCCCTCGTTTCGCCTCCGCTGAGCCGTTGTTAGGGGTATTTCCAGTACGGTCCATCATGGAAGCTGGCAAGGAGTTGAGCGAGGATACCACAGAATCAAAGGACACAGAGAGGTGTACGGAGGCTGAATGCAGCCAGGAAACAGATAACGGTCTCGATGGAGGGTTTGCAGCGTGGTCTGTGGTATTTGGCGCATGGTGCTGCCTTTTCTGCGCATTTGGTTGGGTTAACGGTATGACTACAGCCTTATTGAAGATCTATGTGTGACGAATCCCTAACAAAATTGGAATCTCATAGCTAGTGGTAATTTCCAAGAGTATTATGAGACTCATCAGTTACGCGACTATTCTTCTTCTAGTATTTCATGGATCCTTTCACTGGAGCCTTCTGTTCTCTTCGCCACTGGACTCGTTGTTGGCAAGGTGAGTGTTACGCATCCCTATATATGGCCACACGAATAAGCTGAGACCCAAATAGGTATTTGACAATTATGGGCCTCGGTGGCTCCTTATCACGGGAACATTCCTACATGTGTTTGGTCTAATGATGACTTCGGTCTCCTCTGAGTACTATCAATTTGTACTGGCCCAAGGCATCTGTAGCCCCCTTGGAGCGAGCTTTGTTTTCTACGCCGGGCTCTCTTGCACAGCCACCTGGTTCCAGGAGCGCCGCGCCCTTGCCTTCGGAATCGTGGCGAGCGGCTCGTCTCTGGGTGGAATTGTGTTTCCGATCTTGTTAACCCGACTGCTGCCAACGGTGGGATTCGGATGGTCGTTGCGCATCTCAGGGTTTGTGATTCTGGCTCTGCTTATCATAGCCAACCTGATGGTTCGCTCGAGGATCAAGCCCGTTCCAAGGCCCTTTACCATCAACGACTACACTGACCCCTTCTCAGAGCCAACATTTGTACTACTCATGTTGTCAGTAACCTGTGGATTCTTTGCCATGTTTATTCCAATCAACTACATCGTGCTTGAGGCAGTGAAGAATGGTATAGACGCCAACTTGTCGGGCTACTTACTTGCAATTCTAAACGCCGGAAGGTATGATCTACTCGTTCTGATTTTACAATCCGTTCAACGCTGACCTGTTGGACAGTTTGCCAGGCCGTATCCTACCAGGATACTACGGAGACAAGCTTGGTCGATTTAACGTTATGATTGCCATGTGCGCCTTTTCAGCACTAATATTGCTTGTCATGTGGCTCCCTGGAACTCTGGTTGCTCCCCGCTCCGCAGCCGTGTACGTCGTCACCAGTCTACTATACGGCTTTGCGTCGGGAGCATTTGTAGGGATGGTGCCGGCGCTACTAGGCCAGATCTCTCCCGACATAACGAAGATCGGTGTGCGGCAGGGGGTCCTCTTCACGTGTATCAGCGTCGCGACACTAACAGGAAGTCCTATTGCCGGGGCAATCCTCAGTCAGCAACACGGGGCCTTTTGGGGACTGCAGGTCTTTGCGGGTGTAATGATGGTAGCCTGTGTTCTGTTTCTGATTCTCGCGCGGATAACGCTAGTCGGCTGTGCTTTGAGGGTCAAGGTGTAGACCATTAAGCTGGGCTATCAAAGGAGTAAAAATGGCCATACGGGAAGAGGCACAGGTCTTAAAGACAAGTGTGCTATAGGTTTAGGCGGTGTCCTCTGTGCATACTGTGTAATATGTATTATGATCCTTGCCTGATCTTAGCTGAGGATCGATATCAGCCATTTAACCTGATAGACTTTTGAACGGCAGCATAACACATGATGTTTTATTACCAGGCGAATGAAATTGGCGCCAATCGACCCGAATGTTGGCAAAACTGCCTCCCAAATAACTTCCAGCAATCACAGGATGGGCTAGCTCGCTCAATATGAAACTCATTTCCGCTCTACCGTTCACCAGACGTCTATCGCCACGCCTTTTACATCGCAAAGGAAATCTTGTTTAGAACGTCCATCGCTACAAAGCAATGCCAATGAAATACGCTCATCGGCCGATGTACTTAATCTCAACTGTTCTCAGAAGAGGGTAGGATATTAGCACGGAGATCAATGTAAGCTCATCGCCTACGTCTCCGCCATATAGGCCAATCTTCTTCGCAACTGGAGCGATGTACTAAAATAACATTAGTGGACTAGTATATCAGGAAAAGCAAACGACCAACCCAGGTCTGAGCCATCCCCAGGAAAGAAAATCCAATTCCAATGAGGAGGGACCCCGTTCCAGCGAGACCCCAAGGCATACGCTTCTGGTCCTGCCAAGCACTCAAGTCGTAACCCCCAAGACGTGGGCGAAACCAGAAATGCTCGATGAACAATATCAAGGCAAATGCAAGGGTCCAATAACCTAGTATGGACAGAAGATTGTTAATAATATCTTCAAGAACGTTACGGCCACCGTACGCAAGGGCGAAGGTAGCGGCAGACAGGAGTGTACACCAAACGAAACGAGGGACAGCGATAAAGTGCTTCCCAAGCAGTTGCATCGAAAGAGCGCTGGAGTAGATGTTGACAATGACGTTGCCCACTGTCTGTGATTAGATCGTGCGTTATCAGGTGCTGTTAGAGGCGCACTCACAGAACGACAGGGCGAAAACTATGCACGCAAACTTTCCCCATGCCTCTGGAGGTGACATGATTGTGAGGATAAGGGCGCCTACACCGTTCTCGTGATAGATGGCAGCGAGATCGTGGTTTGCGGCAATAATGCCTCCAAAGCAATTACCCAAGATCCCGACAAAGATAGTTGGAATCAGTAGGCCAAAGTATGTGAGTCCGAACACCAGCCATTTGCTGGTGTTAACAGGATAATGGACATAATAATCGCCAACAATAGGGCACCATGAACTGCATACTCCAAAGATGATGGCAAAGTAGGATAAACAGCCCCCGCTGTAGTCCAGTCCGACGGCTAAGTTAAAGCCGGGGGTTGGGGTAAAGTGTTTAGATGCCTGTCCGTATAGGACGCACATTAATATCGCGGCAAATATCCACGCATATCGCTCATAGTTGTGGATAATAGCGATGCCGAAAAACGAGACAACGAAAGAAATGATGACGATGATGACTATCCCGACAGCAAGGGAAAGACTGCCACCAGATACTGCACGCAATAATTCACCTCCAAGGATGCTGGAAATAGTCGCATAGCCAATGTTAACAATGATGTTGAGTATACTACACAATTTAGCTCCCCAGATACCCAAAGAGTAACGAGCTACTGCGATTTGGCGCAAACCCGTGGGCGGACAAAGCGTGGCAGTAAACGCCGGGATAGTGGATCCAATCACTGTTGCAAATATAGTGAGGATGATTGATGTGTTGACCGAGAGGCCAAATATGGGTCCCAACATGCCGATCTGGATAAGAACGGGGCTGCAGAGCAGGGAAAACCAAAACAGCATCATCTGCTCGACAGTCAGACACAGTTTCCAAGATAACAGCCCAAGGACTCATCCTGCTTCACTGAAGAGGTTCATCGGAGAGTTCTTGGATACGAGACGAATGTGGGATAATTTACATTGAGTTTCTGGGGAGGACTCCGTTTGTCGTCGGGAATGCGCTCCACCCCCATGGCTTCGAATTTCGTGCGCCCATCTATGCGCTTCTCAACGTTGACGAGGAATCGTAGGATGGCATTTCCCTCGCGAATGGTGCGAACTTGCGCATCGTCTAAATTCTCAGGGGGGGTAATGTTCCTATCGCTAGATGTGCCGGCAGAGTCATCATCTATTTGCTCGTGGCCGGCCTGGTTCTGCTTCTCAACGTCCATTGAAGTCGCCATGACAGTGAAAGGTTCCGTAAGGAAAATGGAGACACGATAATCGTACAGGAGATGGTGTTAGTGATGAGAAGGGAGAATGGAACAAAAGGAAAAGAAGGGAAAAGAAACAGCTGAGTCGCCCACAAAATTACACCCTGGTGCCAAAGAGAGACAGGGTGACACTAATGCACACACAAATGGTTGACAGTACCGTTTTGGATTCAAATGCATGCCTGCAGCTGCATTGTAGGATTACAGGCGTTGTTATATCTGACTTTGGTTGATCATTGAATCCGCCTGCTCGCTTCTTCGCCGGCCCCGCTACTCACCGGAATTGTTCGGGGATAAGCTCGCGGAACACATAATATTATCTACGCCATTTAAACGGCAGATAATGTTCAAATCGTGCTTATAGAGGTGTCGTATTCCGAATCTATGATCGGCGTAGTTTATCGTGGACATGCGGGTAAGGCGGCGGGGCCGAGTAACGATGTACTTCGTAAGTGGGCGGGTTTTCATACTTATCAGTAGCAAACATCCACAGTTACAGTAGGGCCCGAATCTAGCGTTTACCTCCATACACTTAGTTTCAGATAAGTTCGCCGCTCCCAGCTTATCTAGCTTGCACAACTTCATGTTATAGACTGGGATAATGAGTTTTCGGCCTTGAACTTTCAGGGGCTAGAACCACGGAAGCCCCTCATCCATCCGCACTAGCGCCCGTTTCTACTCCGCTCGTCGCGCTAGATATAGTGTCAACGACAACAACATCCACAGCTGCGTCGTATTGTCTATTGTTTGAGCGATCAGGACACTAAAACATACAGCACAATGCGTCAGAATACGGTTCAACGTTCACACCATGGATGCGCTAGATGTAAAAGGCGGCGACAGAAATGCGACGAGTTACGGCCCGGTTGCGGCCGATGCATGGAGGCAGGCAGTGAGTGCAGCTATGCTAAGACGTTAAAGTGGTTAGTGGCTCCTCGGAGTGTGGGAAAGAAAAAGAAAGAATTAAACACAGGTAAGCAATGTTGTGGTGGTATAACGCAATATGGGTCTATTCATAAGTGCTCACTAACAGCTTTACTTTCACCAGAGCACTCAGAGGCTATAGCACCAATTACCCCAGGAGCGACAGAGACAGGACCATTAATTTGTTTAAACCCTCCAAGGCAAGGGTATGGGGTAGCGCCAATTGGAACGATGCTGAGTAAAGAAATCGATGCACTGTCATGGTTACCTTTATCCAGTCGTTCGTTGCTTCACCATTTCGTGAACAAGGCATCTCACATTACAGCTTGTCACGCCCATATTCAGACAAGAATATGCCGTCTTATCGTTCCCATGGCACTCCAGACACCGTCCTTACTCTATGCCACAATGGCACTGTCTGCATTACACCGTTCAACGCTCATAGATGGCATGCCGATGAATTTCGATCTCGATGAACTCGTGTCATCGTTCATGGCATCGAGCCTCCAAAACCTTCGTCACGAACTCCAGGCAAAGGAGGGAGTCTCGAAGTACGCTCTTTTGGCAACTATCAGAACACTCTGTGTGTGCGAGATTCATTCTGGCAGAGCAGATGCCAGGTCATGGCGTGTCCATGTTGAAGGTGCGATAGCATTGTTAGGAACAACAAGGGCAATATCGGGTGTTGGTCCTGTCGACGATGGCGAGTCACAATGGCTCATAGGCAGCTGGTATGCGTCTATTGAGTCTCTAATGGCGCTTACCACCCGTCGTGGCCTACCAGGACCTCAAATAGACCAGCTTGGCCCAAGAGTATTGTTACGCGAGACACAAGCAGAAAATCGATATTTAGATATATACAGCGCTTACTCAACAGACCTCAATGATACCTTTAAAAGGATTAGAGCAGCCGCCTGGGAACGTCAGCAGCTAAATGCCAATGCGGACATCACCATTGAGCCATCAAACCGGGATCTAGACGAAGAAGCAGATAGGCTGGAAAGTTCAATTCGAGCTATGATCGGAAATTCATCCTTCCGACCAAACGATCTACAAGTCCTTTCGCAGCACGAAGCACAACAGTTCCAGGCATGTAACGAAACCTATTATCACACTGCTCTCATTCATGTTCTACGACGTGTAAGGCAGCTTCCTCGATCGGATTTACGTGTCCAGGCATCCGTGAAACGAATCATTGAATGCTGCCTCCAGATCACACCTGCGGATGGACTATCCCCTTGGGTGATGTTGACTACGCCCCTCTTTACGGCGGGCTGCGAGGCACTTGGAGAAGACCGTGCTATGGTTCGACAATTACTTCAAAGCATGTATGACTCGCTCAGGATCCGAAACATTCAACGATCACTTGGGATACTGGAAACGAGCTGGAGTAACACAGAGGATAACGATGACTGGGACAGTCTTCTTGGTGAGAAATTCGTGCACGGTTCTCTGCCACAACTTTATATGATATCTAACTCCATGTGAAGGTCAAGATGATATTGATTTCATCCCTTATTGAGCGAAAGCTCTTTTCTAGACTGCCCGTAGAGGGTTAAATTTCAGTCTCGATTAGTACCGCCCTTATTCGACAATAAAGCAAGCCAACCATCACTAAAACCAAAGTTGGTTGACAAGTCTATCCACACGATAAACGACAAGGTTATGGATTGCCTCTTTAGTGAGGCAGTATCGCCAGATATCGCCAGTGAGCGCCATAACATAATAGGAATTCGCCAAGTGATGGGAAGATTGGGGTGGTCAGGTATGAGTTCAGTATCTCGGTCTTCGGACAAGTGAGGGGAAGGCGGGGTGATGATGGTGGGTCCCCTGTCCACGCTTGGCGCTATCGTCATCTCTTACAGTTGCCTATTAGGGACTAGCGTTATAACAGGCGGCTTATCATTATAACCTCACATGAAAATACAAACTTTCTCCAAGGGCTTCCTGATCTTGATTAGTATATATAGAACCTTTTGCGCTTGGCTAATCCATTGAGTAACGTGAGCTTTTGCTAAACATTAGACCCCACAGGTAGGGCCCGACTCCACTATTGAGCTGGCAGTACAAATATTTCGATTCTTGGAGAATCCCCCGAGAACTGTATTTCCTTGAACACAGCAAAAATGGTTATGGGCAAAGTAGTCAGATGTTTGGCGTTAGGTTTATGCCTGGCCACTTTAACCGCCGGCCATGGGCAGCACGCATTTGTTGATCAAGAACAAGAAATCTCCCAAGACCGACTGGCAGAATTACAGAGAAAGTGGAATGATGAGGTAAACAAGTCGCCATTGTACTGGATTATTCTTTGTAGCTTACATGGACATAGTGGGCATTCTCTGGGATCTCGACATTTGCGCATCTGCCGCATCAAAAGTGTCTCGTCCATCCAGGGGAGTTATACGACATTGCCATTATTGGATCTCCATTTGACACGGCTGTGAGTTACAGACCAGGGGCACGCTTTGGACCACGCGCCATTCGTGCAGCATCCGCTCGCCAGACTGCCAATCGTGGTTTCAACCCCCGCGCTGGCTTCAATCCGTACACGTCATGGGCCACCATCATGGACTGCGGTGATATCCCAATCAATCCTTTTGATAATGAACTCGCATACCGCCAAATGACGGAAGCCTTCTCTGAACTCGCCCATCGCCCAAGTAAATCCGGTTCGCAGAAACCTCGTTTAATCACTCTGGGCGGTGACCACAGTCTTGCGCTCCCAGCTCTCCGTGCGCTCAATGAGATTTATGGACCCGTGGCCGTGCTTCACTTTGACGCACATCTCGATACGTGGCACCCGGCAAAGTATCCGTCTGCGTGGACGTCAGAGCAGTCTCATTTCAATCATGGCAGCATGTACTGGATCGCTTCCAACGAGGGTCTCATTGCCAATGGTTCATCGGTCCATGCTGGGTTGAGGACTCGCCTCTCGGGGAGTGGATGGGACGACTACGAAGACGATGATCGCCAGGGATTTTTCCGCATCTCAGCTGACGACATTGATGATATTGGCGGTCCAGCTGGAGTTGCCAAGCTTATCGTTGAAAAGATTGGCACTGAGATTCCGGTGTACCTGAGTGTTGACATTGATGTTGTTGACCCCGGACTCGCTCCCGGAACTGGAACGCCCGAGCCTGGTGGATGGACAAGCAGGGAGTTAATAAGGATTTTGAGAAATGTCGAGGGGTTGAACGTTGTTGGAGCTGACATTGTAGAGGTCGCCCCAGCGTATGATGGAAGGGGTGAGCAGACGGCACTGGTGGCTGCACAAGTTGTCTATGAGATATTGACAAGTATGGTCAAGAGGGGTTTGCCTGTTGCGAAGGTTTCAAGCTCGAAGGACAATGTTAAGTCCGAGCTTTAGATATGTTTTATATATACCAAATACACCTGCTTGAATGCCGAACCCGTTATATCCACTTATCCGCGGTGTTCTTAACCAGCGTAGAGAATCCAACTCAAGCGCAGACATATATCAATGGCTAGTCTTCCCCGCATCTACAGCTAGTAAATAAATCGGGTCTTCCATTCCGGCACAGGGATAACATCCGTCAAGCAAATAAAGGTCGCATGCTTATGTCGAAGAAGTTATTCTAATATTTGGCCATGCATGGTACGATGTAAGTCTTGTAGCATCACTATAATCAGAGGGGTTACAGTGTGAAAGCACAAAAATCCTTATCAATGCTCTTTCAATTATATATATCTTTACATTGCCATACAACGACCGCTTCATAAACTTCTAGGGCATAACAGACTCTAGCGAAGTATGCTCTAAACGCATCGGTTTACGAAGACGAGGACCAAACTTCTGCAATACAGCGTATGCGGGGATAACCAGACCCACACAAATAATAGCCTGAGCAGCGAACGACCAAGTGTATCCTGTAGAAGCCATTGTTAGAAAAGACTGGATTCCAGTTAAGCATGGTGGGATATACCTGTTGCGTCAACCCAAATATTGATGAACCAAGGATCAGCGAAAGCCGAGAGCTAGGTGAAAATTAGTGGTGGACGAGTGAATACTGATCGATTGCACATACGTTGAGAACTACCGCATAGAATGTAATCACTTCATTCGCGTGTTCGGGGTAGTTGTCGACGAGATATGATGATACCACAGTATTACCAGTTTGGAATCCAAATGCATCTTTTGTTGCAATGATCAGTATAATAAACCACAAACTCGCAATCACTGGATAATTGAAAGACTTACATAAGAAGAAGGCAACTTGTCCTACCATCCAGTGCCAGTGATTGTCAACAGACAGTCCCCACAGAAGAAGACCAACTGCGGAGATAATAGCCGCTGGATAGCCCAGCCACAATCTCATTTCCGGAACTCTTTGGTTATTATTGCGCTTGGCTAGGATCGCCATAATCCGATCGCTCAATCGTCCAGAGCAAAGTATTTCAGCTGCAACAACCCCAACCAGTAGACTAATAAATAGTAGACCTTGTACCTGCAGTGAATAGTTTTCATAGGCGGCAGGTTCCATGGTTAGTAGGGAACAGATCCTTGAATTTCATCAGTAAAATATTATCTTCACGGAACAACTGAACGTACCACCAGTATTGGCCAAAAAGGTATGCGCAGAGACTTATGACAACTGTGGGATAAGTCCAAAGCTTGCAAAACTGTACGAGCCCATGCCACGGTTTGGGATGAGGCACGCCAGGAACTTTTTTTAGGCTCTGTGGCAAATGTTAGCAACCGACCATGAACAGTTTCTCTTTTTTGGTTCTCTTACAAAATAACCCAACTGAGTCGTCCGCTTAAGACCAGTATCGTCAATTTGAATTTGATTCATCTCAGCTTGGACAACTAATTCGCGAGGATAGAGCGTCTCTGGCAAGAAACAACACTCCAACACCAGTAATACCGCGAACATTATAGCAACATGATATCCGGCCCAGTATTGGTTGATTGTTGCTAAGAACGCACCAACTACATCAAGATTCTGTCAGTATATGGACTCTTGACCGCGGAATTCCCACACCTACCAATGGCTCCAAGGAAGCCTCCGGCACCTATTGCCATCGTCCAAAGGCCAATACGCTGACCCCTTTCGTGCTCCCATGAGATATCGTTGATAATAGAAAGCCCAACATTGGAGGCAGGCGCACACCCCAAACCCTGGAAGAACCTTGCTGTCATGTACCCATTCAGGCTGATGGTCTTAATCGAGGTGCATCCAGAAGCCACGAGTGCAATAATGCAACCAAAAATCATGACTGATCGTCTGCCATATGTGTCTCCTAAACTACCAGTAAAAAGCGGTCCGACAGCAAGGCCGAGGTTGGATATCGCAAATGTCCAGTTGACCTCCGTATATGTGGCGTCAAATTGCTTCTGCAACAAGGCAAAGGAAGGGATGGTTATGGTAGAGAAGTATGTGAACATGAAGTATGCCATGCACACTATCAGAATGCAGACATACTTTCGCCACAAGGGCCAGTTCATGGGATCCTGAGGATCGCTAGTCAAAGGAGGAACCAGAGGGTTGCCATAGGGGTCGAGTCTGGTCAATGCGATTTGCCCTTGCTCAGAGGCCTCTGCCTTTATATCGCTTGACACTGTGGTGTTGATACTGTTGCTGAGTTCGCTGGAATCTTTCCCTTGAGTAGCCATGATGACAATGCAAGTTAAGACGAAATGGAATATATAAATAAAGTAGCAGGCTTGATGAGTGCCAGTGTTGGTGAGATGAGGGATTCAAACACGTCCATTTGGATATATTTGTATTAACTTGATGGTCGTAGGATGTTCAGACCTTCTCAGGTGTAACCTCATCACTTATCTTGCACACGATGCTCATCTCTTCAAATTGCCGTGTATAGTATAGCCTGGATTTATATCCCTGAAATGCGGAGTCCCCGCAATCTCTTTATCGTTCTTGCATCCGAGACAGATAACAGTAAATGCCGATGATGCTTATGGGTACATAGATATCATATCACCAGCCTAGAAGTTTCGCTGGATCTTAGCGTCATCTCTTCGAGTTGCTTTATCGGGATTAGCTGCCGATCGTTGAGCTTGATTGTGGGTGGGGTTACCAGGGGTTCCTTGGGAGGAGTCGACTACGATAGGCAATTTTAGCCCAATGTACGTTACTTCGTCTTATCATACTGGTATTCCATTCGACCTCTATATTCTTTTTGCACTTACGCTGCGGAGATGTTGTGGTCAAGCGGGGTCTGGTGACAGAATGGAACGATGTGGAACCATTGATAGTGCTCGCAGAGATACAAGGAACTCAAGCATGTAGAAGGCAGCAGTGATATCCTATATATATGTCGGTGGTATAATATTTGGTCGTGCTGCAAGACGGCGTAAAGTGCAGCCAGCATCCCCCTCTAGCACCCCGAAAACTATCAATCGCCAGAGACTCCACAGGCCATCGCCGTTAACCACAATGTCTGATCTCCATATCGAGTTAACCGCTCCCAATGGCAGGAAATACACCCAACCAACAGGCCTTTTTATCAATAACGAATGGGTCAAGAGCAGCGACGGAAGGAAAATTACCTCTATCAATCCCACGTACGTTTCGCCATTTCCACCAGATGATACGTCTAACCCTCTACGAGTGACGAGTCAGAAATAACCTCCGTCTACGCAGCTGGCGCATCGGACATTGACCTAGCGGTGGCTTCCGCTCGAAATGCATTCAATGATCCTTCATGGCGCGACCTATCCCCGACAGACCGTGGAAACATGATAATTGTGCTCAGTGACCTAGTAGCAAAGCACGCTGCTACACTCGCCACTATCGAAACGTGGGATAACGGGAAATCGTATATCGATTCGCTCGGCGATGTGGCTGAGGTACAAGGCGTGCTCAAGTACTATGGTGGATACGCGGATAAGATTCATGGGCAAGTCATCGATACCGGGCCAAACAAGTTGGCGTATACTATTAAGGAGCCGGTTGGAGTATGTGGTCAGATCATCCCATGGAATTTCCCTCTGGCCATGGCGTCGTGGAAGCTGGGTCCGGCACTGGCGTGTGGGAATACCGTGGTCATTAAAGCTGCCGAGCAGACTCCACTAAGTATTCTATATCTGGCACAGCTGGTTAAGGAGGCTGGCTTCCCACCAGGTGTGGTTAATATCGTCAATGGATATGGAAGGGAGGCAGGGGCTGCTATCGCAACACATCCTGGTATCGACAAAGTGGCATTTACAGGCAGCACGGCAACTGGGAAAGAGATAATGAAGATGGCGGCTGCCAACATGAAAAATATTACGTTGGAAACTGGCGGCAAGAGCCCATTATTAGTTTTCGAGGATGCGGATGTTGAACAAGCTGTGAAATGGGCACATATTGGTATGGTCTTATAATCCTTTAATAACTGCGTGTTTCATTTCACTGACGAGTCTCAGGAATCATGTCCAACCAAGGTCAAATTTGCACTGCCACATCTCGCATACTAGTCCAGGATTCAATATACGATAGCTTCATCGCCGCCTTCAAGAAGCATGTTCAAAAGGTCTCCGTCGTTGGAGACCCATTCGCCGAGACCACATTCCAGGGCCCACAGGTGACCAAATCTCAGTATGATAGTGTGCTGGCCTACATCCAAGCCGGCAAGGATGAAGGAGCCACCCTGGTCTCAGGCGGCGAAGTATTTACCAATGGTCCCACACCAAGCAAAGGCTTCTTCATCACACCCGCCATCTTCACGGACGTCAAGCCAAACATGAAGATCTACCGTGAGGAGGTCTTCGGGCCTTTCGTCGTGATTGCCACTTTTACAAGTGAGGAAGAGGCGCTGAAGATGGCCAACGATACCATATACGGCCTAGGCAGCGCTGTCTTCACCAAGGATATCACAAGGGCGCACCGGGTCGCTAGGAGGATCGAGGCTGGTATGGTCTGGATCAATAGCAGCAACGACTCGGATTATAGAGTTCCATTTGGGGGAGTCAAGCAGAGTGGTATTGGACGCGAGCTAGGCGAGGCTGGTATGGCGGGCTATACCCAGACGAAGGCCGTTCATGTTAATATAGGCTTAATGATCTAGGTGGTGAGTGATGAAGTCGTGGGTGGATAGAGGGTTATCTAGCTAGCTTTAGTTGCTCCCAAAATTTGAACAAGTGTACACTGCGTGCGGGCAAATGGCGTGTGCGTATTGTCGTGGATTAAAGTGTAAGGCGGAATGTGATGTCGTCTCGTAGCTACATAATAAGTATGGTATGAGTTAAAGAGGTCTTATGGGGTGGTAGGGAGTATTTGGCGAAACTCGAAAGCTTGGCGTGGTACGGTGGTTTATAAATTGCCGTTCAGGATCCGTTACATCTTGATCTCTGACATACAAAGTGATATAAACCGTCACCATCAGTATCATAGCCATGAGTGCTGAAAAATTTCGCGCGAGTGCCGAAAGCGGGGAGGTTCCGGTTGATTGCCATGATCAGGTGTTACAAATAGCATATATCTATTCGGATGAAGGGATGTGGGATGGCAACGGAATCTTCGATGTCTTGGATAAGCTCCATGCGCGTGGGTGGTCATTTGGTCAGGGAGATCTGAAGTTCAATCGGTACGATTTCGGGGCAGAAACTAAATGCTTTCCTGAAGTAGACTGATTAACGGTGTCAAAGCACTCTGGATATATCTTACCTGGCTCAAATAGCAGCCGGCTTCTATCGCTCCAACTTCCAAACCGACGACGACCCCCTCTCAGCAGACGAGTTCGACGCCTTCTACGCCCAGCACCACCAGTTGCTCAACCAGGACGCGTGGAGACAGTACTACTCGCCAACTTTTCTCGCGCAAGCAACCTCGGCTCGCTTCTACCGCCTCCCGGACTTGCAAGACCTACCAGACTCAAGCGGCCCGCTCGGGGAGCCGCGACAAAAAGGAATCGGCCACTTTACCAAACTTCCCCGCTGGGCATATAACGCCGCGCGGACCCCTAAGAGATCGCCAACTCTCTCCGTAGCAACCATCACTCAAATCGCTCTCTCCACCCTCCAGCAGACTACCTTGCGCCTACAGAAGGACCACCCAAGCGTTCAACCTTACTCAGCGACTCAAGCCAGCTTCTGGCTCAAGCACATGAATATAGATTTTCCCGGCCCCTTTACTAAGAAGCAGAAACACAGACTCAACGAATTCGATGTGTTTGCCGCGCAAGGAGGCTACGATATATGGGCGTGGGAAGCGCACTACTCGCCGAAACTATGGGACTCGATAGAAGCGAGAATCGCGCCCCTCGAGCCAGATTTGGATGGGACACTCAAGAGCGAGGTGATGTGGTGTGGGATGCCGGATGGTTGTTATGTGGAATGGGCGGCGCGGGGAATAGGGTGGGAACCGGAGGTGGGGGGTGAGGAGGAGATTCAGTTCTTGGCTGAGATTGCGGTGAAAGAGACGGAGAGTATTGAGGTGGGTAATTGGGACTATGAAATGCGATCGCACTTGCTCCTAGGGGTGATGCATGCTGTGTTTCAGACTGAGCGGGAAAAGCATGTGGAGGGTCTGAAGCAGAGGATCGTTGAGTCTGGCATTTATGATGAGATTAAGGTCGAGCAGTGGATTCAAGAAGTTCGGGTGGTCATAGAGCCGTACATGCAGAAGTTGGAGGTTTGGCCTCCCACAGTTGAGGATCGGAGTGGATTATTACGGCATATCCTTACGGAGAATGGGCAGCTTTTCGCAGGATGGAGGCTTTCAGACACATCCAAAGAGTTTGATTTCCAGCTGAAACCAAAGGAATAACATACATCCCACCCAAGTTGGGCATATTCAATCAAACTTTCAAAACAAACCTCGAGTGCGACCTCGTCCCAGGTTGGTAGTCATACAGCTGCATAATATCTACGACTGCGTGTACCAACCTACAATTTAATACGTGATGTATATCTCTCGTCTATCAATTGCATTAACTTCGTTCATGAAAGTCTTTGGAGACGTATACAGACTTCATTTCAAAACAACAGGCGTGGATAAATAATGGTTACTCCCCTTTTTGTCTGCCCCTAACCTCTAACTACTAATCTACATCCGCAATACATCCACCGCCCTCCCTCCATATCATACAAAGCTCTACAATCCAAACGTACCCGCCAAATTAACAGCCACACACAAATGCGAATATATTTCGTTTTCCCCACCCCACCGTCTTTAACCCTCATATTACAGAAGCAGCATCGCCGCGCCAACGAAGCCCATCAGCCCGGCGCACACATTCGCAGCCCCCGTCGCAGCGGCCGCGCCGGTGCTACTGCTTTCGCTCACAGTGCTTGACTCAGATGCCCGGGTGGTGGATGCCGAAGGCTTGGTCGTGGCGCCATTATCTGGGGCAGAGAAAGCAGAGGAGCTCTCGTTCGGGGTGGTGACGGTGGCTAGCGTGGTGCTGTCGTCTGCGGTGCTGGCATCAGTGGGGCTGGCATCAGCGGTGCTTGTCATGATGTCTGGGGCTGCGCTTTTGGTGATTTCGGTGCTGGTCTTGATATCTAGGGCAGTGATTTCTTTGTTGGCGTCATTGGCGGTGGTGGAGGCCACGATAGAGGAGACCACAGAGTCGTTAGCACCAGCAGAGTCGATTGGGAATTGAAGCGTGTAGTTAACGATAGTAGCGTCAGCATCGTCAACGATCTTAAGGGCGTAGTCAGAGCCCTTTGCGATTGAGGAGTCGGGAGTCCAGTTGAAGGAGCCGCTGTTGTCGAGGCCACCTAGTTCTAAGTTAGTATATGTTAAAGGGGTGGGAGGCGGATGGTAGAAGGGGGGTGCCAGGTAGCGGACGTACTAGCGATGGTAGACACAGTAGTCAGGGCGGCAGGGTTGCCCTTGACAAGTACCAGCGAGACAGCTCCTGTCGTTGTAGGAGACCAGGTGATGGTAAAGGCCTTGCCTGCGGAGATGGAAGTGTAGTCTGTATTCGTGAATGGGTTTGCTGCTGACGATTGAGCGGCAGCGAGGGCCGTGAAGGCGCTGGCGAAGAAGGCAGTTGTAAAACGCATAGCTGCAAGTTTGTGAATTTAGAAGCTAGGAGTATCTGAATGACGGTAGTCCGTTGCTGTCGCTCCAGATGTGCTTGTGGTGAATGAAAGTGAGAAGAGAGCCAACAAAACAGTCCGCTTTATTATGCGCAGCAAACAACTGTGAAAGCAACAACAAAGGCTACCGGTAATGAGGATTAAAAATATAAAAATCTGCCAATTCGCTTTAATTAAACATTCGATGTCCCTCTTTCTGCGCCAGCTCTCCTGGGAAAGCTTCAATTTAAACCACAAACGACCCCCTCCCTCCAACCACTCATCCAGCACCGCCCCTTTGGAAAATTAGTCATTCCCGTAACAACACGGCAGTGCAGCACGAAGAATAGAATTAGAATAACCTTTTTTTAGTACCTATCAAAGAAAAATGAGGTTAATTGTGTTTAGGGGTCCACTCTCACCAGATAGCTGGGAAATCCGCGGCGCCTCGGGGTCCGCGGCCTCCGCGCGGGATCCACAGAAAAGTATCGCCAAGTGTAAGATATATACACGCCAAGACCATCACTATTCGACGCAACAAATAACCATCACCAATTTCAAACGGCTTTGGTGGACAGTTGGCGCTCAAACGCTCAAGTTCGTGGCGCATGTTTATTCTGCGCCCCTAATAATCAGCCCATGAGCGGCCATGCCTCGTATTAGGCCCGTTCAATTAGGTTGTGTTCTGTGTGTTTTGGAACGATTCTGGGATGGTCCATCTCTACTGCGCCAAACTGCGCCAAACCGATGATGGGCCGTACGAAAATGCGGCTCATATGTGCCTATTCTAGTCTCTACTCTTGGTAATAAGGTTAGTGGTTTGAGTTAATAAGTAGCCTGTCAGTATGACTCGTTTATATATAAATTTATCTTCCTATGCAAGCTGTAGTTATCAGTTCGCATCAACAGCGCCATTGTCATTCTTTTTTCTCACTCTATCCGCTTCTTCATTCCTATTGCCGACATGGCAAATTCCGTACAAACGCGAGACCCAATGGAACCAAACAAACGCTCTTCGACATGGTTTGGAAGTCCCATCGGGTTGCGCCCAGACCAAACAACATCCTTAGCCTTGCTGCTAGAATCTCCTTCCCTATCCTACAATCTGAAAGTAACGGCGGCATCACGGCATCCACAGCAAAATCTAGAGCAAGAATATGACCATTCTGAAACCAGAACCGATTCTCCGCTACCTACAGAGTCAAACACGGACAGTAGCAATGGGGCTACAGGGGTGGATGGGGAAGACGTACTAGAAGAGCTCTCAAGGCGGGCAGCCAATTTGTTCAAACTATTTCGCCTAGCTGCAGAGCGTGAGAGGTGTATGGATCAACCCATCGAACAGTGGCTTCGGGTGGCAACGTGGTGGCTGTTGAAAACCAGGACGTACCTTAGTATCGTCACATACAACAAGTTACCCCTGAGCGACAGGGTTTGCCAGGATTGCCAGAGATATCTAGCCAAAACCTTATGGGTTATTGAGAAAGCGCTGTCACTGTCGAGAGAAACACTAGATACTGAATTCGGTGTTATCAAAGATGGGCTACGGAAACTCGCGAATACCATGAAACAACAAAATTTACTGACTCCAATGGAGTCAATCGCTCTAGTAGCACAGGATTTCGACTATTCTATAATGGTCCAATATCCCTCTTTTACACCAGACATTTGGGATGCTCTCTCTAGAAGCAATCGGGGGACTTCAGTGTTACAAGGCCAACACCTGACATCATCCCACCAACTGTAAGCCGATCAATTTATATATACTCACCCTAAGTTATTAACATCCAGTACAGACCGACCTCAGATCTCCTTCCACTCTCCGACACATCGGAAACGTTTGTATATGCCACGATGTTTGTTGAAGTTATGCTGTTCGAGCGTAGCAGGGAAGCTCCGAGTTTTAAGTTCCCCTGTCTTTTATCAGTTCGGCGGCAGAAGACGGAGAAGACTCCCGAGATTTTAATTGCGAGCCAAAACGCACTTCTAAGTCTGCTCATCCCCCTCGATTCTGACATTAACTGGCACATGCAACCCCATGCACTAGAGATCAAGGTGCGAATGGGCGTCACTGCACGTGTTCAGCTTTCATCCTGGGACTTTTATGGTCTACGTCGCGTCTTTAATTATACCAGCCATCTACACTTACGCCTGCAACCCTGGGCCGGGGAAGAACTCATCTTCGAGGCTACAGCAAAATCAGTGCAGTACACTGCTCCAAAGTCGTCGGAAAGTCAACGGTTTCCAGCTCTACCAACGCCAAATTGTGTCGTTCGTGTTTTTGAAAACGTAACGACGGAGATGTCAGCGTCGGGAACATGCAATACCCAGCGCGGATTTCGATTGGCAGTTATGACAGACCCAGCTACTAGAGACCTGAGATATGTTTGCCATAACATGGGCTTTGGTAACTTGATACGATATGCTCTAATTGGAAAAGACGACAACCAAGGGCTGCAGCTTAGCTTTGGCGATGCTGGTCAGGAGTCTTCAATGACGCTCTATTTTACTTCCAACCAAGAACGACTAGACTTGCTCAGATCTATCACAGGCCAGCCAGACACCAACGAAGTGGCATTAACAGATGTTGCACTCAGGTCGGTAATAACGTCGGACGGAGTTCCCACGCCTTCTTCCACATACGAGTCCCCAATAAGTTCACTCGGACTACAACGGATCCGAGTTTTCCCCAATTCGATTATTATAGAAGGCAGCCACGGCGTCCTTACAGACCGCATCGATGTTCGATCTACAACGCTGAGAATGCGCCTTCTACATAACCTCCCGCAGAGCCCTGATCAACTACACATGCTTCTCGTATACCGTCAAGAGCAAAGCGACCTCACAATGGGCGTTTCCCAAGCCTCGATCCCTATATCGACTCAGCAGTCTCTCGCGGAAGCGCTTCGCCTGGCTTCCAAGCCCGAAACTGTGCGGGCATACCAATTCGAGCATCTTCACGAGCTGCACAGATTCCAGGCCGCCCTAACAGGCTCCACCGTCGGCTACGATGGCTATGCAGCCTCTTTCAGCATTGCGCGTCGGCGCATGTTGGTCCCAGTGTACACGCAGTGGAAAGCGTCGATCGTGCGTCTCCAGATCGTCTGCTCGGCAAACGGCAAAGTCGTGAAGCTGGCGGCGTTCTTCAAGGATTTTAGGCACGCATCAGCTATGATTTTCGAGGTGAAGCCGACGGATGTGTTTGAGTCGTTTACGAGCCGACAGGGGCGATTCGGTGTACGACTTGTGGATGCCAAGTTTGCGATGCCTAGGAAGACGGCGCTGGCTGATGATGGGAATGAGGGGTTTTTGGATTTCCGTACCCTTGAGTATCCGGGCGAGCATGATGATATTATGATCTCTTTCGATGTTAAAGAAGGTATGTTTCTTATGAGTTCGTTGATAACGAAGGCACTTATACTAATGACTATTAGAGCGTGATAAATTTGCAGAGTTCTTGCCAGCATTAGTTAACAGGCTGCATAAAGTGTAGGAATTATATAGGCTAGAATTTATGATGTGAAGATTAAGGTTTGTAGTATGGGGCAAGTTCTACTTTAGAAAATCTAGCGTATGTGCAAATAAATAATGTCAACTATCAAAATAATATTGTACAAGAGTATAATCCGCTGGAACAAAATAACGCCAGCAGTATTGTAAGGGCCTACCATCCGCTAATCATGGAAAAGTCTTGACCAAATAAGTCATCTACCGGCCAAGATCCCCAATTCTCTATGTTAGGCATCTGATTTGATTGCAAAATCCCGCCATCAGGACCATATAGTGGTTGCGTATGCTGAATATTCCAGTTTATCTGTGGTGCGGACTCTAGGTTCAGCTGAGGAAGGCTATCCGTAGATAGAATGCCTTCCCCACTGGTGCTGGAAGTACTCTGCGATTGTTGAAGGTATGCCTTTAAGACATTATAAAACGTGGAGCAGAGTTGATACAGGCGATCGGTAATTTCAGTGGCGGCGCTAAAGGGCTCAATGGATGCAACAAAATCGCCTAGAGAGCGGAGGCTGGTAAAGTCCTTCGTTGTAACAGCTTCGCAGAATATAATTAGAAAGGGGGCGAATGGGCTGGAATTCAGCGTCCTGTCGAGTATTAGAGATATTGCAGAGACTGCGACTGATTTTTTGAGCAGAATTCGCAGTGACAACTTACCAGTTAGTATAACCTCTCCAGACGTCTTTACTGCCTTTATAGCGTGCAGCTGCTATATGGTGGAGTTCTAGCGCTTTCCTGGCAGATGTCACGCATTCAGAGCAAAATACCACGGTTTCGGATGTAGGCGGAGGTATAACGCGGTAGGTGACCGTGAGAAGACCGTGATACACAACCTCTGTTGCCTCAAGAGCTGCTTGGAGAACATCGAAATATATAGCATGATTATGTTGAAACTACGCAACGTTAGTCACGAAATGAGTAAGAAAGGGGGGCGTTGCAACTCACAGAAATCCATCGTTCATGCCAAGCTTTAATATCTGCGGCTAACTTGTGAGCCTGGCCGATGCGGTATTCTGCTGGCAAAGACATGGCAGCCCCAGAATACAGCTCAGTGAATACTCTCCCTTGAAATTTCGTTATGTCAACCCAACTTACCCAGACGGCATGCCATGAGTAGAGGCTTACATCTTCGGGATATGACGGAAGTGTTGTCAATATATCGCAGTCCTGTAAAGTAGGAACATATGCTAATCGGAGGGAGAGAGATCTTTCCAGACAGAAAATGTTCCAGAATGCAAGCTTCTTCGCCTGGATCTCTTTTGTTACATAGATTCCGGCCGGTATACGATGGTAACCTAGCGTCTGGCTCATCTGTGCCGCCGCCATTGATAATAGGCGACAGAGATACGGTTTAACGCTCTCTGTTGCGTGAAAAGCCCCTAAGGCTAACGCTTGGCAAGCTTCCAATGACGGACTTGTAGATAGATGAAAGTTCTCCAACACCACCTCAAAATTCAACTGACACATAGATGCAAAGCGGCGAAAGTCAGACGTCTGCTCCTCTGATCTCGACACATCTTGTTCCGCAAACATATAATACAGACCTCCGTTCACCAGAGCAAACAGAGCAGGAGAAACGTCGGGCGTAGAACTATAAAGGCCTCTGCAAAGACTTGCAAAGTTCGATACATCCATCAGAGGCAATTTTAAGAAAATCCGAGGGATATTCTCTACAATTCTGCAATTAGCTACCATACAATCAATGACATCGAATCAAGCACTCACTATTGGCAAAACGCAACACATCTTCAACCACCTCAGCAGGTGGCAGTTCAAAGTCCGACAAAGATAAAGATGTTATATTCCGCGCAGGCGTGAAGCGTAAGTCATGGAGTGGTGAGCGATCGCTCTGAGTCCTAATAACATTCTGAAGTGCGGTCAGAGCTTCCAACATGTTCGGATCCCGCCGGAGCGAGGTGCTCGAAGTAAGCATTTCAAACACCGATTTCGCATGGATCGAGTGACCGAGGAGAGTAGTACGGCCATGCACATCGTTTGCTTCCTGAAGTAAGGGAGATGGAGAGTACTCGGGCAATTTTTGCTGTACTTCGCTCTGGGCAGCCCGCTGTGAAAATGATGCGCTGGAGACATCCTGGCTCCGCTGAGTGTCCTTGTCCCTGGCCGTCAGCTCTTGAAGCATCTTTTCAATAGAGACTAGACGGCCATCGATCTGGACCACCTTTTCTTCACTTCTTCAGTTAACAGGATTCAAAAATATAAGGGTCTCTGACTTGACTGCACATACTAGCGGCTTGAAGTTGGGGTCCTATCCCGCGCCGCTCGCGGCACTGATAGAGAAAAGTGGCACTCAGTGCCGTGGAGCCGGCAATTCGAGCATGGTATTGCACGATCGCACCGAGCCTAGATTGTGTTAATTTATGTTGAATTTTCAAGGGGGATGGATAGGGGTAATTGTGTTCTACGAACCTTTCTTGCGCGGCATGCGTCACACTTACTATCTGTCAGTACAACATTCTCAATTATGGAATGGGCAGCTTACTGCTCGTGGCTTATTGCTCGGCACAGATGATGGAGCCCCCTCGTATCTTCCTATATCCATATCGCTATGCTGGATGACAAATTTGCCATTGGGCTGATGAGATTAACAGACGATCGAATAAAAATACGAAGTGCATTTCTATACGATGAAAGCCAAGCATTTACATCACACACACGTGAGCGGCACGTGTTTTGCTGTCTCCAAACATAATTTACTTTGCCAAAAAAAAACAATACAAAGAGAGTTAACAAAAGCGTATTAATTAATATATCCTGGGTTAATGTCGCGTTGACACATTTGTCGTTGCATATTGTTTGAGCAACGTAAATAAGCGGAAGGTGGGGTTTGCGCCGTGGTTTCATGGCTTTATTTTCGCTCGCTTCTCCTATTTTATTGTTTTCAGGTGATATTTATATTGGGTCACATATAGAGGCATTATCAGACAGATTTTATAGACGCAGGATGTATTTTAAGACTATCCAGCGCTTTACTTCAGTACAACACGCATCAATACAAGCATCACCGTCCCTCCCTTCTCCCGCCCTTTCCCATTCTCCCTTCCTCACCCTTCAAATCCTCTCGCCTCCCCTCTCCTCCCTCCACAACGAAAACAACCAAACACAAAAAAACCCCTTCCCATCTCCAAAAAATCCCACCCACAAAAACAAAAGCCCCTAAGTAACAAGAGAAAAGAAAGTGCAAAACCACAAAGCAAAAAACGAAGACTCCTCCTCCCCCATCCACCCGTTTCCAATGCAAAAAAGAGAGAAAGACAAAAATACGAAAGTGAAGGCAACAAGACGGAAAAGAAAAACGGAACAACAATTAGCGCCCCCTGGATTGGGCTGGTTATCGTACAGTACAGCCGGTTGATGATGCGGAAACGGATTGGGCACCGGGTGATGGACGCCATATGAACACAGATACCCTTTTTATATACTTCTCTCCCCCGCAAGCTTCCTCCCATCGTCGTGGGTGTGGCGTGTGTGTAGATGTAGAAGTCGACATTCGCAAGGCTTGCACGATTTGTCGTCTCCCTCAGCGCAGCTGGCTCAGTAAAGAACACCCCCCCCCCACCCCTCCATTGCAAAACCACCACCCCCCAATCACCTCTCAATACTCTCCGGGCTAATCGGCCCAACCGCCCCTCCTTCTTCCTTCCCCCCCTCCTCCCCCATCTCACTATCCACCCTCTCCATCCCCACCCCCCCGGGCAAAATCCTCTTCTTCCCCCCCTTCTCTGGGCTCCCCCCCCCCGTCTTCCCCACAGCAGCAATACCAACAGCCCCATTAACCAGCTGCTCCACCCCTCCCTCAAGCTTCTTCTTCTTCTTCGCATTCCCCGCCTGCTCCTTGAGCGGGCGCTTGCGCGGACTCGTGATCTTGCCCGTCGGCGGGAGGCGCGGTTTAGGGAACCGCTGCTTCAGCGGTAGATCCTCGTCTTCTACCAGCGGCTCGTCGCTGTTAGCATGTAGCTTGGCGAGGAAGAAATTCTTCACCAGCCCGATTTGCGATTGTATGTTCTCGCGCGTCACGGGGCGGAGTGTGGGGAGGGTTTCGAAGAGCGTTGCGGCGGCAGGGCCAGCGGCGGGGTTATTGGCGTTGTGCGCGCTGTGGACCTTGGCCTGAAGCAGATGCAGCGGTACTGAGAGGGACGCGAGCCCGAATTCCTTGTCCAGGCCTAGCTCCTTGAAACCGAAGAAATCCTCGTCGATGTCGTCTGCGAAGTCGCCCCCGACGAACTGCTCGCTGCCGTCGTTGAAGGCGCCTACGCCGTCCGTGCCTGCGTCTACGAGGGCTGGGCGGAGAAGATCGGTTAAGTGCGCCTTCATGCGCTCGTGCATGACGCCTAGCTTGGTACCGAAGCGTTCATTGTCATCCTTGGCGTAGCTCTCGAGTGTCTCAACGTCTAACCCGCTCTCGCTGAGGGTATGCAGCATGACCTCCTCGTTGGTGAAGCGCTCCTGCCACTCTGCGCCATTCTGGGCTGCGAGACCCGTGGCGGGTACTTTGGGCGCCTCACGGTAGATGGCGAATGTGCGCGCGATCTTGGTGAAGTAGTCCGCGGCGATGTCGGTGATGACGTCGAGGGCTGAGGGCTGTAGCTCCTCGAAACCGGCGTGGTAGCAGAGTTTGCCGACGGAGCGGCGGAGGGCGGCTTGGCATACCCATTTGGACATTACGGGGCCCTCGTCGGATTGGACGTATGGCTCGATGTCGGCCTCGTAGAAGGGCTGGGGGTTGTACTTTTGGAATTGGTTGTTGTACATCTATGATGGGATTAGCATGTTGTAGAACATATGAGACCGACAAATAGCTTACCTGAGTCTGCAACTGCATCTGTTTGACCACTCCAATCTTCGAACAGATCTTCCTGGTCTCCTGCATTTGCCTCATATTGCTCTCCATCCGTTCCGTCAGCTTGCTCTGCGGCGATCGGAAGTGGCCCGCTGGAATCATGCGCAGGAACTCGCTTGTCTCGACGAGATTCCCCGATGCATCCTCAATCCACTGCAGCTTCTCCGGCACATCTGGGATGGCTGACAGAGGATCATAGTAATCGGGCAAGACACGTTCGTCATCGCCTCCCTCCATACCTTCGGCCAGAGTCTCAGATCCTTTGACAGGCTCCTTCCCATCAGCAGCTTTGGAATCAACCGCATCTCCACCTTCCGCTACATTATGCTGACGAATCCATCTCCTCATGCCAGCCTTCGTTCTAAGAAGCGCGGGCTCATCAGGGTTGAGCCTGTCGCCTTTGAAAAGCTTATGTCTCTCCTTCGCAGCGAGCGCACGGTCCTTCTTAGTAACCTGCTTCCAAACTCGGTACTCCTCATCCTCTTGGAGATCCTCTGCGGCAGCGCCTAGCGCCTGGCCAAGCGCCATCCCATTCATTGACGGTCCGTCAATGTCCATCATATCAGCCTGGCTCCCCGTTCCAGGCATTCCGCCGGGGGTGTTCGAACCTCCCAGCGTGGGCGAGCCAAAGCCGTTCTGGCTGCCTTCTACCCCGAAATCCGAGCCCTCGTGGATCAGATTTCCGATCACGCTGTTGAGCGGGAGCACGGGCTTCTGGTCTACGCCGGGAGTGCTCTCAGCCCGACCAGGCGCGACCTTGCGTGCCTTGGAAGAGCCCTTGACACCTGTCTTGCCGGGTGCCTTGCGCCCTCGTGATGACATAATCGGCTCATCGTCGCTTTCATCACCGGCGTCATCTTCGACGCCATTTTGCTTGCGTCTCTCCTCAGCTTCTACCTCGGCTCTAGGTCTAACCACGATATCTGGTATTAATGGAACCAGCTTCTCTGCCTCTCTTCGCATGCAATTCGCGTTGCGGCGAAGGGGGTGACTAGGATCGGCGTTGTATTTGAGGCAGTTACTCCATATCAGATCGAGGTCTGAAACGAAGTCTGCTTTGGATTTATACAAAAATGTCTTTAGCTTTTTCGTCATCTGTCCTAGATCCATTGGTGTTTTGATGACTGAACTGATTAGCCTTGCTCGCAGAGTCATTTTTGTCACTATACTTACTAGCATTGTAGTCTGGCGCATCTCTCTTGTTAACCCGCGTGAGGAAGGGCGCAGAGTACTCTGTCATCGCCTTAAGCTCGCTCAGCACCTTCTCAGCGGCTTCGTATAATTCTTCCTGGCCAACGTTCTCTTCGCTGGCCCACTTGCTTCTATTCTTGCGCACTTCGTTCATCAATGATCGTAGCTCGGCATCTGATGCACGCACTTGGTCGCGCTTTAAGTCGATGCGCGCAATGAGGTGCTTCAGGGTCAAGCTCGACGCGCCCAGGTTCGCACTGGACAGTGTGCCGTGGTGCTCTCCATTGGGGCCTGTCCCGCCATGCGAGTTATTTCCATGGTCCATCTCAGCATCAATCTGCTTCTCGGACTCCTCCAGCTTCTGCTGCTCTAGCATGGCCACGCGATCATTTTCCAAGGTGTAAAAGAGGGTGTTGAAACTCCTCTTCACCGCGTCCTCTGTAGCTTTCTTATCAGCCTCGAGCTGCTTCCTCGCATCTTCCGACGTCTTTGGTTGTGTTTGTGATGCAGATTCCTTCTCTTTATCAGATTGCTTCGATAGTGATTTGTCGCTCTGTTGCGCCGGGGAGCTCCCAGATTTCGAGGGGGAGAGCAGATTTCCGGAATGCTTGCTCGTGAGTTGTGGTCGAGTGTCGCCCTCCTCCTCCTCATCATCGTACTCATCATAATCCTCATCGTCATCCACAGCGCGACCCCCCCTCTTCGTCGCGACCTCGGGAACCGCGTCCTCCATCTCGGCATCCATCACCACCGCCCCCTCCCCATCCCCGATCTCCTCCTCCTCCCCCCCTTCCCCCCCAAACAACCTCGCAATCCTCGCCTCACTCCTCCGATACAACTCCCTAAATAACTCCACCTGTCCTCCCCCATCCTCCTCCCCATTATCCTCCCCGGCTACGGCCGCCATAGCGACCACTCGCGCACTCTGCGAATCTTCAAAGCCATCCTGCGACGCCCGCCCCGCGTCCGCATATCCAATTCCCTCCTCGCTCAGTCGCGGCGCGTCGGCGACGCCCAGCGGCGCGGCCCCGATGCCAGGCATGTTGCGGCGTCGGGCAGAGATGAGTCGCGGCGAGGGAGAGCTCGCAGCATCCGCGCGCGGTCGCGGCGAGCTGTCGGGGCGCGGCGCGTGCTCAAGTCCGGTGCTGGCGCGCGGCCTGCATTGGGAGATGATGGAGCTGCGATTTGAGGGTGTGGCTGATGCGTGATGTTGAGATATTTGATGGATTGTCAAGGCCGGTTTTGGTCCTGGGGTTGGACTGACGTTGGAGCGCGGGCGAGGTTGGGTGCTAGTAACGAGAGCGAGCGGTGGACTGTACTGGACGGTGCAGAACACCAAATTTATTTACTAGGCCGAGGGTGAACTACGATTAATTATATCTCGCCCGCGAAGTAAGGTAATGGGAATTATGAAAATCTAAATATCAATTCAAGCTCATTATCTATAATTTGACCCATATAATGTTCCCCGTCCGATTGCTAAATTGTGGATTTATTGACGCTGTTTTCCCCAGATCCCCACTGACTTCCCCCAAGGCCCAAGGGTGTCGCTTCGTCAGAACATCAGATGTAATTTACTGTACGGAGGACGGAGCAACTTCTTCCAGATCACGTGGTTAAACACGACCGCATTCACGTGACAATAAACAAACTCACACACGTGATTAAACACAGACCTATCAACACGTGACATGCACTCATAACGCATACGCAACTTACCAAAGTGGATCCCCATACGCCAACACAGCCAGGAATAGATCCAAGCTCCCAACATCAGCACGAAACCTCACCCACCCCAGCCTCGCCTTCCGCAAAAAAACCACAACTCACCAAACACAGACAATGCTCTAAACCATCCCAATCACCCAACCAACAAAACTAAATACCATGCGCATCCGACTTCCCTTCGCCGGTAAGCTCCCTCCTCCCCCCCAATCCCCCCAGGTCCTCCCCACCCTAAGAACAAGGCTGACGTACCCCCCAAGGAGCCTTCCTCATCCTCCTCCTCGGCGCGGCCTACCTCGGTCTCTCCTCCCTCCAGCTCGCTCTCCACATCAACGACAAAGCCCTCCACTTCCTCACCTTCTTCCTCCTGACCCTCTGCTTCTACTGGATCCTCGACACCTCGCGCCGCCGCACCCTCAACCTCACTCTCTCCATCTGCACCGCCTTCCTCGGCGTCGGGAGCGAATTCCTCCAAGCCCTCTTACCAAATGGGCGCGACTTCGACGCCTACGACATCCTCGCCAATGTCCTGGGGAGTCTCGCGGCGGTGGGATTGAGTACGTGGTATCACAAGCGGATGGTAGAACGAAAACGGCTGCGCAAGAATTACTCCGCCGTGCCGGGGGAGGATGGGGATGGCGATATGGATGTTGAACTTGGAGAGGGGGGCGGGGCGCAGGAGAGTGGTGTGGTGCCGGGACATACGGCGCCGCAGGCGGTGAGTTTGGAGGAGGAGGTTGATGCCTGGGATGAGAATGCGGAGGATACGTGGGAGGAGGATGATGCGGGGGTTGTGAGTCCGGAGGGGGAGGGGGGGAAGTTGACGCCGAGTGCTAGTAGTGGGGGTGATGAGGGGGAGGGGAAGAAGAGGGCGGATTGAGTTGATTGAGTTGGAAGATGGCCAAATTTTGATGATGGATATGATTAGAGGGCGTTTGCTGGGTGTTCGGCGTGTATACCATTCGAAAAGAAAGGGGGATTTTTTATATGGATGTGGGAAAGGGTTGTGTATTTCTGTGCTGTAGGATCTATAAACACTCTGCTTTGAATGCACGGCGTTGCTAGATGCTATTTTTAATTAAAGTGCAATTTGGAAAATATGTATGTAGTTGCATTTATTACTAAACGCCTGTTTGGCAATCTTCGTTTCCATGCCGTCCGAGACATCCGCTCGACGACACAGACGTGCAAATACGATAGCCCGCCGTGTAAATCTAAATTGGTATCACTAATAGCCGCTGCAAGCACCCTCCTCGATTCTCCATGCAATTCCCCGTCCGGAGCCCCAGCTCTAGAAAGTAACCGATCGCCTCGACTCAACAGGCGAATCCGGTGGACTTCCTCCATTAACGTACATATACAGCCGACTCAGATCTTTCACCTTCAACCCCGCCACCTCCCTCGGCATTTTCCAGACCTCATCCACATCAATCTCCACCGCCAACTCCCCATTCGAAGCCGCCGCCACCGGCATAGACGGCGGATGCAACGACGTCTCCCCTTTCTTCCCGTTGATCTCAAAAGAAGTAAACGGATACCTCGCATCCGACACCCTAACAAACTTCTCCTCGTGCCCTCCCCCCTCTCCGCCATCATCCCCAAAATGCACATGCATATCCCACACCCCTCCCTCCTCCAACGTCACCTCCCTCAACTTCTTATCCAGCGGAAACAGGCGATCAAGATAATGCTGGTTCATCAAATGTCCACTCTCCGGAATCTGAAAGACGCGTCCCTGATACCCTCCTCTCGCTTTCCCGGCTTCGATCGCCACTTCTCCCCCTGCGGCAGCGAGGGCTTCAGTCTTCATAGCTTTCGACTTTGCGACTGCAGGGAGAGGGTTGATACTATGCAATATCCCCCATCTCGACACAAAATCCCGCTCATTAGCGTAGTGCTCAATATACGATATCGCGCTCGCCGTAGGATGCCTCGCCGTCGGTTTCGCCGAGACTCTCGGGTTATTGAAGTGGTTCGCCGCGCACCCAAAAGTGTAGATCTCCAGTTTACTCAACTTCTCCTGACTCAACTGTTCCAGCAGCCAATCGACGATAAGACCCCCCTGGATGCCGCCCTGGGAGTGCAGGATCAACACCACTTTGTTGACGGGGCTCAGCATCGCCACGCGCAGGATCTCGTAGCAGATCCGTACGTCGTTCGTGCAGTAGTCGAAGGTCCGCTCGATTAGGCACTGGATGACATCGAATAAGATGCCGGCTGTGCGGTTGTGTGCGCCACGGACGGGACGCTGGAAGGTGAGGGATAGCCGGTCGATGTTAGCTTGCATCCAGTGCCTCCCGACTGCTACGCCGTTGATGAATATCCATTCCTCGTCTGCGTGTGCGCCGAGGTGTTTCAGCACCGCGGGGTTGGATTCAAACGTCCCCTGGGAGCCGTTAAGGCAGTAACAGAAGAGCCTGTTCAGTAACACAAAGACAAAGACGTAGAGCGCCACCATCCACAGGGGGAAAAGCAGCCAGAGCGGCGTGGAAAGGATGAAGAGCCCCTGTGTGATGAAGAGGATCACGTGGTTGAAGATGGAGAAGATGTTGCCGGGGGAGGGGTAGAGTTCATCGTAGAATCCGGTCGGCCAGGGGCGCCAGGGCGTGATGATGGAGAAGATGGAGGGGAGTAGGTGGATGAAGGTTATGAAGTCGGAGCGGAGGAGTTGCCAGGGCGAGGATGTGTAGGCTAGTGGTGCGCTGGGCTTGGAGAGGGGGATGAAGGGCGGGGGGTTCTCATCTGTGGTGGTGATGGCAGGCATCTTGAAGTGGTGGGTGTTGGAACTGGCGGTGTCCCAGCCGCGATATGTTGGTGAAATGAAGTGATACTGCAGTCGTTTTTGTAAGAAGAAGGTTGTAGATCAAGTTGGGATAAAGCAGGAAGGTCCAAACCTTATACCGACGCTGTTTGCACTGTTCCGTGAGTTGACAGACAGGCAGCCACAAGGATATGCTTGCACCCCAGAGCCTAAGTACTCATACTCCAGAGAGAACAGTTTAGCGCTTACCGCAGATGATCCCCTACTTTGGTAATATTCAGTATGATGCTGCAGGTGATTCAGAGCTGAGGAGGAAGTTAACACGAGAAGGAGGGCATAGGAATGTGGCTGGTGATGATATTATGTCTCAAAGAGGCAGGGGGGAAGTTCATCCTTCGAGGAAAGTACGTAGTAGAGTAGGAAGAAGGCTGAGACGGGGCGGAATGCTGGACGTATAGAACTCGAATACCATGGAATATATATATTTATTTATGTATATATCTGTATAGATACATATATGCTCAGCTGAACAGAAGCTGAAGAGCACCTGATTTGAGGTTAAACAAACAAGAACAGGCGATCTGGTCACGAGGCTGGAGACAGGGGTAGGCACCTGCCAAGAGTTCCGGAGATGTGGAGGAAGTGAGTGTAACAAGGCCCCAAGAGATTTTTGAATCAGCGACTCCCCAGTCACATGACCTCTATCTCCTCTGTACCTTTAGATAACCTTTAAATAGATAGTGTTATCTTTGTTTACTTTCTTACAGTGTAGTTTAAAGCATCATCAATCTCTCCCAGCTCATATACCACCGTAAATTAGGAGTTGTTGAGCTGCACTCACTCATCACCCGCCAAGTGTAAACAAACCCGGCACTTGGCTGATCTCTCCGTTGCCATGCCCCCATCCCGTCCAATCCAAAATCCCAACCCAGACGCGTCTATGCACAAACACGGCGCGTCTCACCCAATCGTCCCCATATGCAGGCTCTCATCCCGAACCACCTTTCAAGGCCCTAGTTTGTGTTTACTTCTTTCCTATTATGGCCAAGAACCCTGATACAGGGCCCATTTATGGACCGCGGTGACTATAATGTTTTGACTTATCTTGCTCTCGTCTCTTCTCTCTCTCTTCTCTCTCCTCCCATCGCGTCTCTGTTTGTGTATCTGTTTGTGCCTCCTTCTTGTTCATGGTCATTGCCATGAAGCATTTCTTTTCAGCATAATTTACGACACTCGACTACTAACAGCAGCAAACTTGTGATATATATTTACCAAGAGACTTATACGACTAGCCTCCACCACCGTCCAACAATGAACGACCTTCCCAGTCCTGCTCCCTCGAGCTCAACTTTCGATGATGAGCTCCCAATAGCTCTCAGACGGGTCCGGAGAAGCTGCTCAAACCAGAATCTCCTACAAGATTCTCCTTCCAGAGCTTCCCGCCGAAGCAACCGCGTCTTTGGAATCGAAACTCCACCAGCAACTCCCCAGCGAAGGAAGAAGCGTGTCAGGTTCTCTGACCCAGGCCCTGCTATTGCAGCAGCTACTGGCCTGACGCCTTTCATCAACCGCCACTTCTCGATTTCCACACCGTCAAGCAATCGAAGACACTCGGCCCCCAGCCAATGGAATCTTGCACAAGATGATGCCCCGCTATCGGGCACTCTGCAGTTTGCACCACTCCGTCAAGTCCTTGATGGAAGGGTCAAGAGACGCATACGAAGAAACCGATTGAGTGAGGAGATCAACACTATCGAATGGGAAAAGAAACAAGAGAAGAAGGCTGAGCGGGGAGAGATATCAAGACTACAACATGCCCTCCGCCAGAAGGATATCGAGCTACAATACCTACGCGAAGAGCAAGAAACTGCAAGTCAACTAGGCGGCGAAGCTCTGACTCCGACTGCTCGAGTACACGACCTCGAAGCACAGGTTGCTGAGCTCAAAGCAGAGTTGGAGAAGAGAGAAGTCTCTGGACAGGATGACCCCAACTGGACTATGGCCGCCCGTGACCCATACGATGAGGATGCTTTCATGCAAGATTATGATAATGACTTCGATGACGGGATGACCGAAATGATTATCAGCACCCCCCTACGCCGCTCCTTCCCTTCACCACCAGCAACAGTCCCCAACACCCCCAGCAAAGGGCCAGTCAACCACAACATCGGCGTCCAAGCCTCCATACCCGACCCTTCCAAACAACTCCTAGAACAACAACTCCAAACACTCCAATCCGAACTCGCCTCTCTCACCAAAACACTCGAGCTCAGCAACACAACCCACGACCGCCTCTCCGCCAAACTCGCCCCCTTCATAACCCCCATCGACGCCTGCCCCAACGAATCCCTCGACTTCGCCCTCGACAGCATCCTCACCCACCTCGCCCTCGCCCAATCCTCGGAGCTCGAATCAACACACCGCTTCACAGCCCTAACCACCGAACTCCACGCCCTCTTCCCCACCACCAGCACCCCCTCCGGCGCCTCCGCCGAAGAAATCATCCAAGCCTTGCACTCCCAATTCCGCGCCGCCCGCCTGGAATTAGAGTATCTCCTCCCCGGCGAGCAGCCAGAGGGCTTCGACAACACCGCCCTCCTCTCCATGCTCCTCGCCCGTCTCCGCCAACTCGTCGACCGTGTAAAGACCCAGGATGACCACATAGACCAGTACCACGAGCAAGAACTCTCTCTCCGCTCCCAACTCTCCGCGCGCGTCTCAGCCATGCAAGGCCTACAAGAGAAACTCGCCAGCGCAGACGTAGTAATCCGCACCCTCGAGCGCGAAGTCGGCGACAAAGACGCGGGGTTGCGGAAACTCACCACCGCGCTAGAAAGTTACCGCACCGAGGTCTCGAATCTGGAAACCCTCATCTCCCGACTGGATGTTGAGCACACCGCTACGATCGAATCGGCGAAACAACAACTCTCCTCCCTCCACGCCGCGGCGGAATCACGCATCCAGCAGGAAATGAACAACGCCTCCACCATCCAAGGGCAGGCAGAGGAGCGAATCCGCCAGGAAATGGAGAATGCGGCGTCGATACAAGCAGCCGCGGAGCAGCAAGCTGCGCAGGCGGCGGCGGAGTCGGAGTTACATGACTCCCTTATCCGCGAGCTGGATGCGCGGCTCTCGTGCGCGATTATCGCTTCAGACACTCTACGCGCTGAGCTAGAGGAGCTGGCTACCACCCACGCAGCCGAGACATCCGCCCTCGTCACCGCGGCCTCGGAGCGCGAAATCTCCCACGCCGAAGAGACGTCCGCCCTCCGCGCCGTCGCCACACAGCGGGAGACAGACCACGGCGCAGCGCTCGCCCTCCGCGACGCGCGCGTGTCGGAGTTACGAGAGGAAGTGGGACGCGTGAATGTTGCGCTTAGGGGGGCACATGAGACGATCGCCATCCTAGGGAGAAGGGTTAGGGGATTGGAGATCGTGGTGGAGGGCGAGAAGATGAGGGGGAGGGAGGGGGTGGAAAGGATTAGGGGGGAGTTGAGACGGGTGCTGGAGATGGGGAAGGGGGGGACGCCTGCTAAGGGGAGGAGTGAGGGGGTTAGGAGGGCGTTGGGTCTTGATGCTAATATTGACGCGGGGGTTGATGGTGCGGCTGGTGTTGCGGTCAGTGGGGTACCAGAAGGACCAAAGGTGGGAGTAGTAAGACAAGGAGGCCTCTTCGATAAGGAACTTGCTAGACGCAGAAGTGGGAGTCTTGGCGCTGGAGGGGAGAAGAAGAGACGGAGGTATGATTCGGGACTTGGGTTTTTGGATGAGGAAGAGGAGGGTGAGGGGGGGATTGGACGGGCGCTGTAGTCATTCGCTACAATATTTTCTTTTGTTTTGTTTAGAGGGCGTTGCGGGGAGTTTGGGGGTGTTTTGGGGGGGGCCTTGTATAGATGTTGAATTGGTGCGTGTTTGGGTTGAATTTATATTTTATATCATATCATATTATATCAATTTATTTATTTATTGCAGTTGAAATGAAAAAATATGTGATCTGATCAAGTCCTGCCACTACATAGAGATTATATTATTTTATACCATATCTATTTATTCACCGAACTTGAAAGTAAAAAGATATTATGGAGCTCTACAACTGCATATAGAATATATTTTATATTTCTACTACACAACACTCATTCATGGCATGCTGAGTCTCAATAATCCTGATTCGACCCACTAAGTCAAGAATCAGACTCATAAGTCGACGAGTTTTCAAGCTCAGCCCTGTCTCACCTTCCCTCTGCCCCCTACTCGCCCAGTTTCCCACACCTCTCCCAACTCGGCTGGGGTTTTGAGGATCGGTTGGCTAGACGGTTCTTTACGATGAAAATTATTGTTATACTTGCGCTGCTACTCGCTGGGTTTAAATATGTGTAAGACGAATATATACACCCACTGTCTCTAATACCGGGGCATGTTACGTTTTTAATGCCCTTCCAACGTTATGTTATTCGTCTGTACACTGCGAGTTTCTGAAAGATTACGATGGTATAGCTAAACCGAAATACGTGTAACGCGCGCGTATATCACGTTATGTGTCTGTAGCCAGGACATTGCAGGGTTTTTGGGCGATGCAAGTGTAACTGTCTTACTTTTCGGCTCTGGGATAGGGGATCTTGGTTTTATGATAGAATGTGGCGCTGCGTTAAGTTTAGTTATTGCTGCACACCCCCTGGTATGACTGGCTGGCTTTCTTTCTGCTCTGGGATATGAGAATTTCTTCGTCTTATGAGAGAAAATGGCGCCGAGTTAGGTTTTAATTTTGCTGCCCGTTGAGGGATCAGAGAGGCTGCTACTATATAGTACTCATACCCCCTCTATGCCCTTTCCAAAGCAGCCTCCTAACTACTACTTTAGCTATCACTGATCTAGCCTACAGGGCACACTCCGAGTCAAAATTCTCCTTTCCCAGCTCCTCCCACTTGCTCTTGCCACCTCAGCGGTGGCTCAAACCGCACAGGTAACGTCGATATAAACACATTTAGGGGGGACGCATCACTAATTCCCAACCTTTGTCAAGATCACATTCTACTCAGCCTTCAAATATCAGGGCAAATCAGTCAACTACACTACATCAGCCTCTGATCAGCAAAACCACTGCCAAGACATCTACCTTTCCCTGTACGCCCCTTCCTACCCCTCTACACCCAACACGCAACTAAACACACATACAGCGACGGCCGCCCTGCCTATTCCGCTCGTCTCAGCACCGGCTGCGTGTGCCGCATGTTCCCGTGAGTCCCTCCCCTGGAAACTTAGTATGGTAATGAGGTGCTGACGCCGGCAAAGTGAGAGTGGGTGTCGGGGACACGTGGTGGTCGCCAACAAAAACGTTCCTTATATACTGCGTGAGAAAGGGGCTACTTCGGTTACATGCACGTTCCCGGATGCATAGTTCAAGAGTAGGGTGGTACGCCTGGGCTATGAGGGAGAGGTTTGCTTTTCTTGTCTTACTCTTCTGGCCCTGGGTGGAATGTCTGAATATGGGGGGATATATGTTGGGTGGAATTCTCACACTCTGTTGGCAGCTGGTTTATTGTATTGGCCCAGATTGTATTGGGGACTGTAGGCAATATAGTACACTATATTCTATATTGCGAGCTGTTAAGTTAAGTAAGGATGAGTTAATCGCTTTACTTAGTCACGAAGAGAGCTTTCATGGAACTATTTTTAGAGGGGTTGGCTGAGAGATTGATTCGACAGGTTTGGTAGGCAGTTTTTCTTTCCTGATTTGGGCGCAGGAGGTGTATTTCTGGCCAAGTCTACCATTCTCTTCTCATCATAAATGGTACATTGGACCCATCAGTATGCCTGCGCTATCACCGAGTTGTGATCTCACCACTCCACCCCATAGTCACACTGACTTCCTTGCCCCTATACAGACCGCTGCTGACTGGCAATGGGGACACCCCTGCAAACTCTCCTTAAAAATCCTACAATCACGCTATGATTGAAACCAAATGGGTATCTATGAGGGCTACATCCCGAATCTCAGCCCCCTTGTCTCGAAACAAGCAAATAGAAGAGTGATGGAATAGTGGTTAGCTCCTAGTGGCAACATATCCCCTCCTACCTCATTAAGAGGACCCAAAAACAAAACCAGTGCTTCCTCTATCACTGAGTTGTCTGTGCCCGATCCCGAGTTCCAGGCATTCCTTTTTTATTGCCTTTTCGTTTGAATCCAAGCACTACCGCCTGACTGCTTTGGGGTTGAGCAAAAAATAGGCGCCATTTATTATTCATGCGCTTTCCTATCAAAGTCCTTCAAGTAAGCCGGTCGATCCACCAACTCCACGTCCGACGCATCAGCCCGTTCAGTACTATAAACATTCACTTCCGTCGACTTGGAAATCCCCCCAAAGTTTTGGTTGCTACCAGAGTTCTCTGAGCGTTTGGAGCGATTGAAATATGAGCTTTTGTCGCTGCGATCGTATCCGGTCGAGTCGCCGGTGTCGCTGGATGACCGCATTCTACTAAAGACTGCGTGTATAGAAGGCATACAGGCAACGATGATGAAGAGATCTGCCTCGATTGCGCACCAATAGATAGTAGGCGTATTATCATCTGCGGCCATAGTAAGCAATCCTCCACGGAGTCAATTGGGGGAGGTGGGGTATACAGGTTGGATTTGAGGTTTTGGCAAACTGGACCAAGGCATGCAGTCGGGCGCAGCTAACACCAGTGATACTGAAGAAAAGCCAGTTAGCATGAGACTGAAAGACAAGCCGCCAATAAAATAGTCATTAGGTGGACTTACACAAAGCCGACGCAGAACATAGACATGATATGGATCTTCTTCTCCAAAGACATGTGAAGTTTAGCAAGCATAGGCAGCGGAAGGCACAGAATAACCAGATCGAGACCAATCTCAATGCCGCCACGGACGAAGCTGAATAGATTCATGTCGATAGAACTAGTAGCAACCATCTCGCCTTTCCAGCCATTCCAAAAGAAGTTTATGGGCGTGACCGAGAAAATCATGCAGAACGTGTTTGCGATTCCGAAGGCAGTGACAAATACCATAAGACCCTTGACAAAGAGCAAGGTCTTTTGGTCCATCATAAAGCGGAGGTAAAAGGCGAGGATGGAAACCTGGCAGAAGGCCTCGGTGGTCATATAAAAGGGGTAAGCCAGATAGAGAAACTACCTCATTGTCAGTTTCAATCGAATAATAGATTGAGGCTGTGGCTTACACGAAGGCAATTGGTAATCTGAGTTGGTGTCAAACCCCATATGTCTGTTCCAAACCCTTCCTTAACAGCTAGACGCGCAATTAACCAATGCTCATTTAGTTTCATATTTAGGCTACTAACCAAGGAGGGCTGGAATTGTCATAGCCATAGATGATAACTAGAAGTCGGAAAGAGTCAGTATGATAGAAAGGAGAACACAGAAAACTTCATACTCCAGCCAGACCAACTAAATAATCATCCCAGCCTAGCTTTGCTTGTGTAGAAAAGTGTCGATGAATCAGACGCAAAACGACCATGACCCAAGCCATAACGCCAAAGGATCCGGCGAGTCCAGTTATTGTCGTGCCCTGACTGCGTATCGGGACGCCACATGCCGCATAAGTCTGGTTGGTGCTCTCTGTACAACAATGTTAGATGCTGTTCGATGTTTATAATCGATAACAATGAGGGCTGTATGTTCACTCACGCAGATTCTCAACAACGGTGCAATTGCCAGCATTGCAAGCCGCGACAGTATTGATGAATGGTGCGTCGACGCAAAGACACCCAAGGTCAGTGGCCGAGCACGTTGTTGTGGGTAAAGCAGCCGCAAAGCATAGCAACGCGCATTGTGGTAATTGACTCAAGAGATCCTGCTGGGCGAAGCAAGCCCTCAAGAGGATTGTCCATGGTAATATGACACGAAGAAGCAACATTTCGCATGCGACTGTGGATGGCAGAACAATGACAGAACGGCTCACATGTGCCAAGGGTAGTTGATAGATATATGGGCTCAGTCTGGTCTATGCATTCAGGGGCGTTCCGAGGGAAGTGCCGAACTGTTGGTTACAGGCATGAACAGTTCGTTGCAGGCATACGTGCTATGCCTGTAACCAACAGTACAGGGAAAGGGCAGTAGATCTCAGGGGTGTTAGAAGACAATCCGGCATCTCAAAACTGGGAGACGAATCCTACATGGCCATTTCAGTATTCTATAGTTGCTTTTTCAACACTAGTTTTAAGTCCTTAACAAAACAAAGCTAACGTGAGACGCAAAGTATTCCTGTCAATGTCAATACTTGCCTCTATTAATGGCAATCGGAATAAGAAACTTTGCCACATAATTTCGGGCCCAAATACACCTGAGCTTTGGCTGGTAGTTTTCTTGCAGCCTATTAGGAGCAATAAATGGCGTGCACGGGCCGGTACGGCCCCACTTCCCCTACTAAACCGCCGAGGCACCGCGCCGTGCCGCACACGATCACCGCCCCGTAAACCCCCACCGCCACATAACACGACAAATAATATGATCTTCCTATTAATTCCGTGGATAACATGTGATATGTCCCTGAAGAGGTTGTATAGAAGACTATCATATCTCCTTTTCCCAATTGTTGAAAGTAGTCATACGTTTCGATCGGAAGAGTCGATTATTTCAGCCATTATCTCGACATCGCTGCCCCAAATCGCTCACAATATTCCCTTTCACACCAGCTTTGCATTTCTAGCGCACAAGATCCTTTGGAAAAGGCTCCTTCGGTAACCAATAGTTTGTTCTTGGGCACGTGGGATTGGCATAATGGTTAACGGCTAAAGAGAACACTGAAACCAACCCGTGTCTTTGCAAGGGATATGCTAGGATCGTGTTGGTTTTGTGGATCTCTATCCTTCTGTAATTTCACGCTACCCAATAGCTCTGAACAGTGTGTGTGTGTTTTAACCCACTTATAATGTCGTTGAAGGCATTACTAAGTATCTGTACAATAATACGAAGGTCGCTCGCTCATTTGCTTTTTCCTTGCTCATTCTCTCATTACCTGCGATTGGAAGTCAAAATTTCAAGTCAGGATGGCTATTATATCACCTACTCTCACGGTATCCGTTGCCTGTGGTGTCCTCGCTCTGTACGTAATCAGTCGACTGTTGCGAGGTAATGGTGATCGCCGATCACTACCTCCAGGTCCTAAAGGCCTCCCAGTTCTTGGGAATATCAGTGACCTGCCTAAACCCGGTGAGCCTGAATGGCTACACTGGCTCAAGCACAAGGACCTCTATGGTGCGTATCTTTTATGGCAGTTTTGCAATGTTAGAGTGAGACAATAGCTAAAAATAAGCTATGTGCTGCCAGGCCCAATCAGCTCAGTCACAGTCCTAGGGCAGACCATGATCATCATTAACGACCTCGAAATTGCCTTTGAGCTCATGAGAGACCGGGCGGCCATACACTCTTCGCGACCTAGTCAGATCTTCAGTGGTGAAATGTATGCTTAGTCTAGTCATAGTTCTTCTAATAATGCTAACCCAGTAACTAGTGTCGGATGGAAAAATGCAACAGCTATGAGCCAATATAACGACGTCTGGAAGATCCATAGGAAGAATATCGCCAAGGTTGCCAGTACTAATACTTCCCTCAAAATGTTCAATCGGGTCCAGGAGGTTGAGTCTGCGCATTTTCTACTCAACCTTTTGGATTCCCCGAATGATCTGTTTGATCACATCCGAAGGTAAGTTCTTACTCGGCACGGCCTCCACCATATCCAGCATTGCATAAATCTAAACATAAATCTGACTACTACACACAGAGAAGCCGGCAGCGTTATTTTGAAGACTACGTATGGCTACACAGCTGAATCCCATGGCCGAGACCCCTTCGTCGACTTGGCTGGCGAAACCATGGCGGGATTCGCTGAAGCTGTAATTCCTGGCAAGTGGATGGTGGACGTCATGCCTTTCTGTAAGTTTGCACAAACAAAAAAACATAGTACCTCTAACAGAAACAAGTAAGATATCTCCCAGATGGATTTCCTGGCACAGCATTCAAAGGCACTGGTCGTCAAATGGCCGATACATTAAAGCAATGTGTTGACCAGCCGTACGAATTCGTCAAGCAACAAATGCGTGAGAAGAGACATAAGACGTCTTTCCTGTCTCAGGCCATTGAGGATATTGGCACCGACGCAGAGATGGAGTTTGTACACAAGTGGTCGGCGCTCTCCCTGTTCACCGGTGGAGCCGATACAGTAACTCATCTACACCCAAGATAATTGGGCTATTGCTAACTGTCTCATAGACTGTTTCCGCGCTGATGACCTTCTTCCTCGGCATTGCTGTGTTCCCTGAAGTTCAGAAGAAAGCTGCAGAGGAGCTCGACCGTGTCATCGGAAGTGGCCGACTTCCTATTAGCACAGACCGTGATAATTTGCCATATATCATGGCAATTGTGAAGGAGACACATCGTTGGCATCCTATTGGGCCTATGGGCTTACCCCACGCCAGCTCCGCAGAGGACACCTGCCGGGATTACAGGATTCCCAAGGGAGCCATAATATTTGCCAACGCTTGGTATGTATCATGCTCATAAAATTCCCGAGGCACCCTGTCACTAACAAGAATACAGGTGGTTCACCCACGATCCTGCTGTTTACGCCGACCCTATGGCCTTCCGCCCTGAACGCTTCCTCGATACCCCAACCCACAAAGCAGAACCTGACCCACGTAGCATCACCTTTGGCTTTGGCCGCCGCGTCTGCCCTGGCCGCTACGTCGCTGACAACGCACTCTTCATCACCATCGCGCAAACTCTTGCAGTATTCAGCATCGGGAAGCTCGTTGAGAATGGTAAAGTGGTGGAGCCAGAGGTCAAGTTTGAGCCCGGCATGGTCAGCCACCCTGCGCCATATCGGATTTCGATCAAGCCGAGATCGAAGATGCATGAGGAGTTGATTAAGGCGGCAGAGCAGGAGTACCCGTGGGAAGAGAGTGATGCGAAGGAGTTGGAGAATGTGAAGTGGTAGATGTTGAGTGTGTAGCCGCGTACTCTGGCGCGTAACTGATGTGACATGAAATAGGAATATTAACCTGCAAAATAATGTTAGTCATGTTTATTTGGACTTAGCTGTGAGGCGATATTGCGACGTTTAGCATACTCGTCAGCTGGTCCGTATGTTAGGGTTAGATTATATTGCACCACGTTCATTTACTCATCGGGTTTGGAATAAATAATATATGGAAATGATAACTCCCCCCTATGTAAATGATATATTAAACTAGAATGTTTATCTCTTCGGGAGCCACAACCACGCTAAGAGATTAAGCCCTGGCGCTTTTATTTCAGTAATCGAAGTTGTCGTTGGGTATCGAGGCTCTGCATCAACAACAATAGAAACAAGTGCATCCTTAAACGCCTCGGTCATATCATCATAAAGCTTATTTGTCCCTTCTGGGGACATGTCAGTCCAAGTCCAAATCTTACCATCCTTCAATGGAAACAGAATTCCCCTCAATATCCTTGCCAGCCCCTTCAAACACTCAAATTCCGGCGAAAACTCCTCCAAGACAGCCTCAAATCCCTTTTCGCCCATATCCGCGGTCTTGCGCACCTGCTGTCGCTTGTCCTGCCTCCACTGCAACAGCCGGCTTGTCTCGGGCAGTTCCTCGGTTTTGGTGCCGTCTTCCTCGCGTGGGCATATGGCGATGAAAAGGAAAACGTAGAAGAAGGACTCGAGGTCGTGGCGGTAAGTACGCGGGTTATTCTGAACGTATGCTTCAAGAGCGCCGATAGCCATGAAAGGCGAAGTTCCTACCATAGAACCTTGAGGTGTTGGACCGCGAGAGATATCCCAGGCCGTGTCAAGATCAATAAGCATGCCCTTTGGCGACTCTGCCGAAGTTGTGGGAGGAGCAATTATTATGTTTGATGCTGCAATGTCCCTGTGGAGTATGCCGCCATCTTGATACAGAGATCGATGGGCCTTGATGGCATCGCGGAAGACCTCTAAAAGCTGATGAAGATTGGCGTAATCGAAGATTGAAGTACCAGGGGGCGAAATAATCAAGCAGCTGAATACAGTACTGCGGTACCCAGGGCTCTTGGGGAGGTTGGGTCTGTTTTCCTCAAACGTTTCAAGCAGAGCCTTCGCACCGACGGCCCCCGCACTAGTCTCGTTTGATTCTGCAGTCTGTTCTACAGCTTCTGTATCCTTAAACTGTTGTGGTGGGCCAAAGATTAGGTCTCTTCGCAGGTCCTCAGTTTTATCAATAACTTTGTAGCTATGGAATTGAACAACCCCCCAGACATTCCTGTCCCGGACCCTTTTTAGTTGTTCTGCCTCTGGTTCGTGCCATGGCGGCTTCCACTTATACTTAACCACAAAATTCCATGGCGCATCAGGAGATTCCCTGCCTCTGTGGCACAAAAGGCTGCCCCTGGCAATGACCTCTTCGTCTCTGATGAAAAATGGTGGGGTCTGGAGGTACATCTTTCCTGGTACTTTTGTTTTCTCATCCTCTACACAAACGTAGGTGCCTTCACTGTCCTCCTTGATAAAGTTGCTCCGTCCCCATTCCTGGTCGCTCATCGAAGCGTAAGCATCCATGATTGTAAGGAAGCGTTCTGGATGCTCTGTTGTGTTAAACGGCTCGCAGCTGTAGGCTCCAGATCTATCAAACATCCAGCATTCCATGGTATTCCCAAAGAGATAAAATCCATGGACGAAAGAACGATCTGGTCGTTTGCTAAACACTGCACGAGCATGACCAAAAAGTTCAAAAAGGCCATCTTTGTAATCTGAAGCTCCTCCGGGGCGGAATACTCCAACGACTTCAGCTCGTGGTTCTGACTCCGTTATGGCGCTGAACAAGGCAATGCCACCACTCGGACGTAATGGCGACTTGCTAGGCGGTGTCTGAACTGGACAATATATCACACCCCTTTCATTCAGTTTCAACACTTCGTGTAGCAATAGACACAAATCGATTGGCGATTCTATCTTTGAAGAGCTTGTCTTGAAATCATCAAGGTCCACAGACGAGACGACCTTTTGAGTGGCTGGAGACCATGATTTGCCGTCGAAGAATTTCTCAAGGAAGCCTGCAACAGCGGCATGGATACAGCCGTCAATGTCGTCGAGGATATATTCATAATCGTATGCGGAGCTATCGGTAGCAGCTGACGGAGATATAAGAGTACCCCGGTCACGAACCAGCAACTTGCCGTTGTCACGAGATAATTTTGATGAAGCACTTCCCATTGCTATAGGGGCGCTAGGGTGTATCGACGTTGATGACCGACGTTGGAGATAGTGGGCCTGTACGACCTATCAAAACTCTAAAAGCGATGCTGGCTCCGCTTTCTCTCCCCCGCGTCTCTAGTTGTTTAAGAGCCTCAAAATGGAAGAGCCTCATGGGGGGGGGGGATAGCGCTAGAATATGATTGCCTGGGATCTCTCATTCGTGGGCGAGGGCGAGGGCGAGGGCGAGGGGGAGTATAGAGGCCCAAGACTGCAGTAATCCCGGTCGGTCCGATCCGTGTTATGAGCCTTGCCGAAGGGGGAAGGGACTATCCTGTGATGCTATCCGGTGATAGCTGTGATGCTGTGATGCGCTGTACCAGATGCTCTCACTAGTCCTAGTGAGAGCCGTCCCAGAGATGTGGGAGAGCAAGCATTTTACAGTCTTTTGCTACCCATGACAAGGCTGAGATGTAACCCTATCCTGTTTCCATTTTTGGGGGACGTGCCGTCGACGAATCGGTGGCTGATTGGTGTATCCGAACCGGTGAGAGATTGGGCAACCGGTGAAGCAGGATGGATCCCTGTTGTCAGACACAGCCTCGTCGCACCAATGGATTAAAGCCTATGCATGTTGTCTAGTACATAATATTCTGTTTGCTGTTTAATAACCCTAACAGTTTCAGCTTTTTTTATTGGACGCCCTTTTTTATTTCCTTAACTCCGCCTTTAACATGGCCACAAGTGGTTCACCCCGCTTTAGCCTCGTCTTCGCCCGCTCACATATATCACATTCGTGATTGTTGTAGACCGGTCTTCCTTTGGACCGGCTACCCTGGCCTAATCACATGGAGAGCTGCAGCCTCATGGAGCGTGGCTGCATATGGGTTATATACTTATGAAGCCTTGCTTATATCTTGCCTTACTTATATATTGCCCGTATGCATGCGCTGGCAGTGTAACATACATATATCAGAAGATGTAATGAGGCTCAGCAAGGCACTAATAGTTATGAGAGCACTAATTAGTCGCAGTCGCAGCCGCAGCCGCGCACATATTCTGTAGAATACGAACCTCGCAAAGTCTCATCTTTCCTCTGGCCCACTCCGGCGATGGCGCTGATTCAGGAGGGCTTCGTTTCAGCAGATACATACAACTCTCTCCCTACCATACAAGAAGTTGCCGATGTCCCACAGGAATATGCAGCCGATCTAGAACATCTCCAAGAGCTGCTCGCTAGACATAATGTTCCAGAATCCATCAGCATCCGCCTCATTCACAGACACTATGACATTGCCGACGGCGACGCCATGGTCTTCAGAGATATCGCACTACCAGCACATGGCACAGTCGAAGTCATGCGAGCTACACCAATAGCTTCTGCTCAGCTTCATGGAAAGAATTTCTTTGTTAGCTCTACAGCCCAGCTTCAGGCATACGAGTACACAACTGAGACAACTGTGGGCCTCTCCGAATATGAGACATTTATTGCAGAGTTTGTCGAAATTGTGGTTCAGCGGAAGTTGCAGCACAAATTTGGCCTCAAAATCAATCACCGCAGTGAAATGGAGGTCAAGGCGGACCAGAAGGAGTTCGAATTTCCAGAGGAACAATGCACAATCACGATTCCCATCACCTTACCTCTACCAGAAGCTACTCATGAGATTGATGTTGACACGGATTGGGGCGCCGTCGACATCCAGCATAAGCGCAAGCGGGGAAAGACCAAGCCGAGGCCAAGGCCAAGCAGTACTCGAACAACCTGCAGTCATGGTGGTCCTGCTGCCCCGGAAGATTGTCGAGGAGAATGTGCGAAGGAGGGTCATGGTGGTCCTGCTGCCCCGGAAGATTGTCGAGGGGAATGTGCGAAGGAGGGCGGAATATTGTTTGATGGAAGGATTGTTCAGCTGGGTACACCTTTCCATGGGCTGCTTAACAACCTCATGGAAGTATGGTGATGTTCATATTGTATTTGACTGTTATTATAGCGTATGATTAGTTTGTTACGGAAACATAGGGTTGTTAGTTAGCCCATATGCTTCAAGAGGCGCACATGATGAGGATATATCCAGTTTCTACCAAGACCAAATTGAAATTGCATGTGCAGGAAAGTAAGACACCTTGTAAAAGACAAGGCACCCACGGGTTCTCGAGTACGATCTAACATACAGTATTCGCCTAAATCCCCTCCACAATTAAGATTTCTGACTTTCGATCTCCAGCATTCCGATCTTCAATCCTGCCTCATGAGAGCTCTTAAATTGAGACCAGGCGGCATTCATGGCAGATGATGTACCCATAGCAGCCACCATTCTCTCATGAATCATTTCCACTGGACTCTTCCCGCCATACTGGTTTCCAATACAAATCAGAGTCTGATCCCTTGCTTCAATGACCCCAAACAAATTATTCGACAAAAGCAAATGTTCCTCTCCGCTAATGGCATAGTCTGGTGCCACGAAATGACCTTGGTGTAACGCGGCCTGGTTATTGAGTACGATTCGTTCGAATGTACTACCTGTCGCACGAGTCGCATATCCCTTCATGGAAAATGCTGTAACTGCCCGTGATACTTTGTCGACTGCAATACTAGCGATGATTTGCATTTCTTCCTTTTCAACACCAAGGTTCTCGAGTGATGATTGGTAGACCGTCATCTGAGTTTCGGGGTCCTTCGGCTTGAAATCGGTATTGAGACGATCGAGCAACATTGTAACCTCGGCCAGTGTCTTTTCAAGGCCTTCCTTATCAATCATTGACCACGATACACGTCTGCGGACCATATTGGAGCTCTCATATGTGCTCGTGCGAGTTGCTCTTCTAGACAGCTTTTGAAACAGCTTCCGGTGCCTGCTCTCATTCTCCTCCTCTTTTGCCAAACTGCTTCCAACTTTTTCAAATGCTAGAGGTTCGTCGCTAAAGTGATAGTCATTCAGAGTTTCGTTTGCATCGTCCATGAGCTTTTGGATGTGAGTCAACGTTTGAGCTGCGAGCTTCGCATTCTTCTCCGTGGGGCGCTCGATGAGAAACTTGTTTGAAGGCGCCCCGGAGCGGTCCATTAGGCCCACGGCTTCTGCCCAACTTCTTGTCGAGTTGTCAAGCAACGTAGCCTGGAGCATTAAAGTTGTTAGGTCCTTGGGGAAGTTGCGCGCCCTGGTGAAGTCCTTGTAACATTGAAGGAGGTTCTGAAGCACGGAAGCCACTCCGGCGATTCCAAGGATAGTCGCAGCAAGTTCTGCCATGATGGTATCTAGGATTTGCGAGGCTGTGAGCTATTTATATAAAACATATAAGACCCTCAAAGACAACCTATAGAGTGATAAATTGGAGACAAGCAATAAAAGTTCTTTTCACAAGAGGCACCAGGTTTGATGAGCAGCAGGAGCAGACCTGAGGCTGATGATAAAGAAAAGGAGGACGGCTAAAGTTAACCCCCCATCTGCCTATTCCTACCCAACGGTAAATGAACTGAGCCGCTTCATAAATGAGGCGGCCTGTTTAATAACTGTCTTGGTTTACAGTTGGGCAGGAACATATACCTTCGTAGTTGCGAGGGCCTTGAAGTCGCCTTGGACCAAGGCTTGGAGAGCCTCGGATAACTGATGCGCTGGAATTCTGCATTAACCATAACGTATCAGAATGAAACATTTTCTCTATGGTCGCAATCTACAAACTAGTTGGCTGACTGAGGAATTTTTTATAATTGATGGACCTCATTGAAAGAGCAGCGCTTATTTTTATTTTAGTGTGCTTGCATGGGTGGATGACGGTGTGGGTGCCTCTCATGCAGACATATGTGTTCGGTGAGCGACTAATGTGATGCCTTGCATCCTGCATGCCCTCTTCCCATGACTTCCCGCCTCCCTCATTTCCACGAGAGCCTTGCGACCGTACGTATTTACTCTGTACATATCTTCCATTAGATGGACTGCTATCATCGGTGGACTGCATTGCAAAGTATCTGAAATCAAAATGTCGCAGATTCACGGCCATAAGAGTAATTCATACGATAGCATTAAGCTCGATGGCACCAGCCGGCTTAGTATCGGTGATACCTTCAATAATACTGTGTGTACGTAAACCGTGTACTAAGGCTCGCATTTGCTGCCATATTATCTAACATATTCAAGTCCAACAACCCGTGGCGCCGTTGCCAGTCCCCAAGCAGCATTTCAACGTTCTCCTTCCAAGGGCCCAGCATTTTGTAGGGCGAGATGGAGAATTGGCACAACTTACCAAGGCTCTTGAGTCCGGAAAAAAGGCGGTCGTAGCAGGACTTGGGGGCGTAGGGTATGTTACGTCTTATAATAATATGAGCAGAGTTCCTAACTACCCGAATAGAAAATCACAGATTGCATTAGAATACTGCTATCAGTACCGAAAGAAATACCCGATTAGTTACGTATGGTGGATTGATGCAGTTAACACGGCCAGAATCGTTCAGGCGTATTCTGACATTGCAGAAACTCTCCATCTACCCGTCTCAAGCAAAGAAAATCTGATGAGAGATGTCCGCATTTGGTTCTCGCAACCTGAGAATGGCCAGTGGCTATTTGTTTTTGACAATGTAAACGACCCGGAGGCGGTTCTCCAGCGTCCAATCGACGGACAGACAGGATCAATGCTCGACTATATGCCACACAACCATCTAGGGGGTCAGATTATAATTACCTCCATAACAAAGGAGGCGGCATATATCGTCAATGCGGAGCTTATTGAGGTCGATATCCTCCCTAGTTCAGAAGCTCGCCTGCTGATTAGGTCATATCTGCCACAGCCCCCTGACAATTCAACATCCGAGGATCTTGATATGCTGGCAGATACACTTAGCTGCATTCCTCTTGCACTAACACAGGCTTCGAAGTATCTTAGACAGATGGGAAAAACTGTCAAGGAATACCTCTCGATGCTTAAAAACGGTGCTCAAAAGTCTTCGCTATTATCAAGGCATCTAGGCTCGCATCATCAGTATCATGAGAATCAGCATACAATCTTCACGGTCTTGAATGTTTCATATACAACACTCAAACACAAACATAAGTTGGGGTTCGAGATGCTGAACATTGCCTGTTGGCTTCATCGCGTCAACATCCCAGAAAGAATCCTCCGCCAACATTGTCAAGGCGACAAGGAGATGAGCGAAGTTGAATTTGACGAGGCAATATTGCCATTAATGCAATATTCTTTCTTGGAGAAGCAAAGCCGAGATTCAGGTTCAGACGAGGCTGTGTACTGTATGCACAGCTTAATACAAGCTGTAGTGCAGATTTTTCAGTCTGAAGAGGGCCTGGAAGACGCCTCAAAATCAAACGCTCTGATGCTTATTGAACAGGAGACTATTCCACTAATGTACAAACACAACTGGCACGCCCTAGAGTCTTGGCTGCCACATATCCACTCTGTCATTCAGTGCAGCAATGGCTCTACACTTATACAACATCAATCACGTTCGCCCCTCCATCTTCTTCTTGGTACATACAGTTTCAGCGTGCTATCTCGTGAGGATGAAGCTATGGAATACCTAGAAGCTAGTCTACCTGACTTGCAGCGACCAGTAGATATATCTAACGGCGCCGTCTTTCTTGCATCCTGCTATGAGGAGAAAGTCAATGGAAAACCTAAGGCTATAGAACTACTCAGGTTGACCCTGGAACGCCCAGATATCTGCTCAGCTCCTATGAGCTTAGCAATTAGATTAGAGGCCCGATTCAGGTGCAAGATTGCAGCCCTACTATGCGAATTATCGCCTCCTCAACCCAAAGAAGCGCAAGACGAAGTTTCTAAAGCCGCGGAGCTACTAGGGAGATTTGAAATTGTGGGTCATTCTTATGAGCAACTCATCCCGTACATGATCACGCGGTGCCGTGGTAAAATTGCTCTTGTGCACGCTGCGACTAGCAACTCTAAAGAAGCCGACGAACTCCTTCGCGAATCAGAAATTGAGGTACTAGAGTACTGGAAGCGGCTCAAAGATATTAAGACACCATCTAATGTTGATAACAATCGAAAAGTTGGCCTATTGTCCCTGCTTGGGCAGGTCTATATGGCACAGGCAGCACGTGGACAACCTCAAGTCAAAGAACAGAAATTGAAAGACGCTGAGCTGTCGTTTAGGACATGCTACAACTTTTGCAGGCATGATAGCGGTGATCTCAGTACATGGGCTCTAAGGGCTTTATATGAGCTGGCTGAATGTTTGCGGGAGCAGAAACGATACTACGACATGGAGGTGTTACTGAAGGTTCTAACGTCTAACTCGGGCATAGCGGAGCAGGGGAAGACGAGTGCAAAGTTCCTCAAGTCTGTAGATCTTTTGAGTTGGGTGCTAATGGAGCAGGGAAAGTGGCAAGAGGCATTGGATGTCTGTGAAAATTTCTACCCGGCCATGGAAAAGGTTTGTGGCGAAGGTCATCGTAACACTGTTGATGTTAGAAAGCGGCAGGTCGTACTAAGGGTGGCTATTGATCGGCAGCGGGAGAAGATGAATTGGGATAAGCCGAATTGGGATACGATGAACTGGAATAAGATGAAATGGTTCTCCTCCTGGATGTAATGCGTTATGGGAGTCGAAGCAGACTTCGCAAAACTTTCAGCTATGTCTGCTTCGATATAACGATATAATGATATAACGACGGAGTTTTGGAGTTATAGTTAGTGAGCAACTATTTTATTCCTAATTTTGAAATTCTCATAATTCGATTGGATTGCCGCCCTCTCTACCCCACAAGAGAGGGACGGAGCGGTTTCATCGTGTTTGTGGGGTAAGGATCCACCAATATGATAACCTTGGCGTACGTCACGCCACATTCTGGTGGTGCCAGGTACGAAACCCACGAACAACCAACAACGACCAACAAGGAAAGGAAAACAAATATAACTTCGACTTTTAACCTTGGCTGTGTGAATATATATATTTATTGCTTGGATAAATATCACTAAAGGTTTTGGATACCACGGCCGCGAAAGAGAACACCTGTGGAGAATAACCGTCGAACGACTCCAGTAGGGATTATCAGAAACCAACAACCCCACATCCACCATCGTCCCCTCAACCAACTATCACGAAAGTATCACGAAACAACCTCACACCTTTCACATCACCATCTACATCCTCAAACCCTAAAAAACAACACAGCTACAACAGCAACAATGACAGAAGCCACCTCCCAAATGGACACCACCACCAGGTCCCTCGCCTCCCGCTCCCCAACACCAACAGCCCTCGTCTCACCCCCCACACCCACATCTGGGACATCGACACCGGACATGCCGTAGGTCCCCTAAATTATCCCCCTCCACCCAGTCTACAGCTAACCCCTCCCCCAGTGGCACACCAACCTCAACAACAACCTCCCTCTCCACCCTCTCCACAACAGCCATCAAAGACGGCCACCGCGGCACCCACCCCCCAGCCCAAGACGCCGAGCGCGACGACCGCATTAGCCGACTAACCGGCATGTCCGGCCTCCGCCACCCAGGACCACGAGTCCTCTCCACCGTCGGCAGCGCGAGCGCCACGAGCGCAGGAGGCGGACGCGGAAACGAGGATAATGGGTCAGTAGGCGGCTCAGCGGCCGGGGAAAGGGGTGATGGAGATGAAAGTGGGGTGGAGAGCGCGATGGGGGAGGGGACGCTAAGTTTGGCAGGGAGTCAGGAGGGGGCGGGACGGGAGGCGGAGAGGATTGTGAGGAGGCTTGATGGGGGGGATGGAGAGCCGGCGGGGGGAAGGGCGATGGGGAGTCCGGAGGGGGAGGGGCTTGGGAGGTTTTATTTCGAGGATAAGAGGTGATTTGTGGGAGAGGGGCGCGGTGATGGGGAAGATTGGGGGAAAGGTTCAAATGCGGACTGGATTGATAAGCAGAGGCACGCGGGAGGGTGAAGTGTAGACTGCAGATGGATAGGTGGAGGTGCAAAATGTACTGGTATTGGAGAAAGCCATAAAGCACTCTATAGCAGCGAAAATCACCCCAATTCCGGCCTTCAGCAACTATATATTGTTCCTATGCGACTTTTATGACATAAGTCCCCCCACCCAAGCAACACCCACACACGCGGCACCTATTACCTCCGTTCCCGCAACACACAAATATCACTCCGAACAATATCCACATTCACTCTCACTAAATACGTAAACTCTGTGGCCTCAGCTATGACGGATGGCACATGCGATAATGCACACAGAAAAGGCGATGGTCGAGAGGCTGAGAAGCAGCTTAATGGTGCCCCGGGCCGAGAGTTTGGTTTTGATGCCGCTGCGGACGGGGAGGGGGATAGGTTCTTGTGATTCCTCATCGTAGAGTAGGGGTTTGGCGGGGTCTGAGCTTGGGATTGGGGTCTGTGGCCTTGGGTCCGCCATCTTGAGATACGTGGAGGGTAGAGTGGTGTATGAGTTGCTGGGAGGGTATATGAGCCAAGCGATATAGTGAGGGGATTTGGTGTCCGATATTATGATCAACCCGTATAATTTTTTCATGAGCGATTGGAATGGTTGAGCTTCAAAGGAATGGAGCGATGGCGGTTTAAATATTTATATAAATAAGGTGGAGCGATGGTAGTAGCGCACTTTGACGCACCATAGTTATAGTATAAGAGCGAAGCTTTCTAAAACCACGCCACTTATGGCAGCCATGCTATGCCTCGGCCGTTCCCATCCATTTCTAAAAGAGCGGAAATATGGATATCAAAACTAAACTCATAGCAAAATGCACCCTCTTATCCCTCACGCCGCAGCTATCATCCGCCTATGAAACCACACTACAGCTGCAGCTCCTGACCTGCTCTCATTCAAACAAGCACCCTCTCACACCCCTCCTACTCCTCAGTTCCTGTAACATACAAATACCACATCACTCATCCCCCGACCATATATCCCGAAAAATATCCACACTAACCTTCACCAAATACGTAACCCCCGCGACCTCAGCCATGAGCAGGCAGATGCAAAGTGCGATGAGCAAGATGGCGAGAAGATACACGATGGTGCGCTGGTACCAACCTTCGGGGTAGAAAAATGTATGGATTAGTTGTGTTCCTTGTCGTAGACGGGGACGAGGGGTTGTGATTCTTCGTCATAGATGGGGGGCTTGGGAGAGCTCGAGCTCCGGACCGGATGCGGCCTTTGCGGGGACGTCATCTTGGAAGGTTTGTTGGGCCAAGTAGTTTGGGTGTTGTAGGAGCTGGGAGAGATGGTGAAGAGCTTGGAGTCTGATGTTGTGATAAACTCCTGTGGGAAGCTGGAAGGAGGCTGTGGCAAGGTCAAGGATTATGGAGGGCATATAATATAAGGATGTTTAGCTAGCTTTAAAGGAAAGGAACGAGCTGCTTTGAAAAGATTTCTAAATAATCTGAATGGATGGAAGTAGCGCATCGCTGGCGCATCACCATGCACTAGAGTTATACTATAAGACCAAAACAATCTATGACGCCACTCAGGGTAGCCATGCTATTCCTCGCTACGATCGATTTCTAACAAATGAAGTAGAAATATGAATATCAAAGCCAAGCCTAGCACTATACACACCCCTTCTGCCTCACAACGTATCAATAATTTAGCCATGAACCCGCACCGTTTTCCACTCCCCCGATCTCGTGCGAACTACCACACACACCTCTAACTGCCCATTATCACAGCCCCTATAACCAGTCAGCCCTCCCTCTCCCCATCTCCACAGCCCCTGAAACTTACTACATCTCTCACTCTCACCCATCCAGCACACCCTCTTCCTCCTCCTCCTCCTCCTCCTCCTCCTCCTCCTCACCACCTACCCCAAGCAAGCTTTCCGACTGACAAAACACACTCCTCGGACTATCAATCCTGACGCCCAAATGCTTAACCAGATTGAGCACATCATACACGTCCGCCGAGTGCTCATCCGGCGAGCCAGAGAAAACAAGGATATCATCCACGTATATTATGGCGTAACGCCGACGGGACTGCGCGAAAACGGCTTCAAAGTAGTGGTGCGGGGGTGGAGAGTCGGCGGAGTTCACTAGCGATAGGTAGGTGAAACAGGTGTTGACGCGGGCGGGTGGAGGTGGAGGTGCCTCTTTGCTGCGGATTGGGAGTTTGATGGAGGTTGTGGCGTCTTGCTGCTTTGGGGTTGTCATGTTGGAAGATTATTGTTGGTTTGGAGAGGTTGTGGAGAGCTGAGGGAAGCTGAGGGGAGCCGTGAGGAGCTGTGAGGAGCAGAGGGGTTTTGTGAGCTGGGACATGTTGTGGGATGTTGATATCACGAAGTAAACAGTCACACACAAATATGCTTCAAACGGAAGGAGCGAGGCATTCGAGGGGTTCTCTGAATAAGGCAGGAGCGATGGTAAGTAGTGCTGCACCAGCGCACCATTAGAGCACAACAGTTATAAAATAAAATCCAACCTCTCAAACACAATCTTTAGACCAGTCTCCTGCTAGAGGCAGTCAAGCCATGCCTCGTCCCTCTACACACTCCGTGCTTTCCGAGCCACGGAGAAAGCAAAAACAGAGCACAGGGCAAGAGAACACCCCCCTCCCCTCTCAGGTCCCACGCTCCTACGCCCCCCCTATTATCCTTCCTTCCCCCGCCCACCATCTACACAACGCACCCGACGTACACCCCTTCTCCCAAATCTCCCGATACATCCTAACATCCAGTATCGCAAGATACACGCCCCCCACGCAGAGGACTATGACATAGAGTACGTTGAACGGATAGGGCAGGCTGTCGTATACCTAGTTGCAGGCGCGGAGATATGGGCATCGGCGCGGGGCGGGGGGGAGTTGTGATTCCTCATCTTGGAGGGCGAGTTGTGATTTCTCAGAGGTGGTGGCGTGGGGTAGTGTGATGGGGGTTGTTAGAGGGTAGTGGTGCTGTTTCTCGGATGCCATTTTGGGAGACGAGCTGGTCGATGGGTTGTAGAGGCTCCAAGGAGCTGATAGATTTTGAGGGATATTGTGAGGGGATATTGGGAGGTGAGAAGCTGTGATGTAAATACACGCACTCAAACCCGAATCATAAGAAAGGGATATCACAGTGGTTTAAATAAGTTCTCTTCAATAAGATGACCAGACGCAGCAGTAGCTTACCACTACCACCGACGGCGCCAAAGCTATAATACACAAGAGCCCTGCGAAACCTCCCATCAAAAAACCAATCTTTTAAACCAGTCTATGCGCACCACCACCCCACTCTCGAGAGTAGCCATGCCATGCCATGCCATGCCATGCCATGCTCACACCACAACCCGCCCGCCCACTTCGAAAAAGCACTCAAACCCAAACCCAAAATCGCGCACGAGAGGAACAACTCCACAGGCTCACCACCAGCACCAGCCACACTAACGCCATAATCCGTAGTAACACATAAAATAGAATCCACAAGCAGTAGAAGAAGAACAAGGAAGACGACATAAAAACAGTCTAGCATTTGCATCCCCATCCTATCCAGGGAGTAGTAAACCTCACATCCCCCCACCGCCGCCGTTAGCCTGCCCGCCATTAACACCCGCCTGTGCCACATTCCGTGCTGCCGCCTGCACACCCTGCTGTTGCGCCAACTGCGCCCGCTGCCGCTCCATCATGCTCGACTGCTCCGCCGGCGTCATCACAGTGTGATACCCCGTCGGCCCGAGCGGAGCTGCCTGAGGCTGCGGCGTCGATGGCGCACCACCATTGGGGTAGTACGACGCTGGGAACGGCCGCGGTGCCGTTGCGGGGAGGTGCGAAGTGTATCCCTGCTGCGGCTTCTGCGGAGAAGCTTGTCGCGCGGGCGTCGCGTATGGGTACGCTGCTAGGCCGTTCGCAGGGGGTTGCGCGCGCTGAGCGGCGTACGCTGCATTGGCTGGGGGTTGGTAGCGTTGCTGTGGTGCTGTTTGGGGTGGTTGGGCGTACTTCTGCGCGTTAGGAGTTTGGTAGTAAGCTTGTGGGCCGGAGGGGTATTGTTGGGGAGGGCCGGGGCGAGGGACCTGGTGGGGGTAGGTCGGTGTGCCGTAGGCTTGTTGTGGCCGGTATTTTGTGCCTGAGATGGTGCGGGGAGGGGTGTAGGGGATGGGACCGACGGTTGAGGGAGGGCGGACCATGTTGGTTGAGGGAGCGCGGTTGGGGGTTTGGGATTGGTTGTAGTATTGCGCCGGTGGTGCGGAGGGACGTGCTGAAGCCGCCGCGTACTGGTTTCCGTATAGGGAGGAAGAGCGGTGGTGCGAGGTCGACGGTGTGTGTCTAGAGGTTGTAGCAGCTGTCATCGCGGCGACCTTGGCACGAGCTGCGTATTCGTCCTCTTCCAGCACCCCCTTGAAAGTATCTGTTAACACAGGGACCTTTGTGCTGATGCTGAGATCAGACAATTGATCCGAATTCAATTTCGCAACAGCATAAGGCGGTAACGTCGCGATCATTAAAGTTAATTGGGACTTGAGAATGCTGTAGGTGGCAGCTTCTGCTTCGCTTGGTTTGGCCGGGCTTGGTATGTCGGCGCCAGGCATGACGCCAGCACGGGGGACGGCGCTCAGAGAAAGATTGCGGTTTCTCTGGTACGAATTCAGCGTCTCGAGAAGATCAGAAATACCGTCCAGCACCTCTGCAACGTCCTTATCCTCAATCGACTGGTCGTTTGCGTCTGAGGTGGAGTCTTCGAGGCTTGGATCGATAACCTCTTCCCAGTTATCAACGGCATCCTTGAACTTCTCATCTTCGTCGTCAACAGAGTCAACAGCCATATTATCCGACGTAGATTGCTGGGCATCCAGTCCAACTAATGCCATGGTCTCCATGTTGTTGGCGAGCCGTTGGAAGGTCTTCTCGCCGACCCGTTGCCACCAGATTTTGCTAACCACCCCTTGTGGGACAACAGCTGCCGCATCATCCTTTGTTGGAGCAAATGACGAATATGCACTTCGGAAGAGCGCGTCTAATTTCGCAGCTTCTTGTTCAGCAGTCTCCGCTTCTGATGTGGAGGCCTTGACCCCGTTAAGGCTCATGGCTCTCTCTCGTTGTTTTCGCTTCGGGTCTGGAAGGTTTGAGCTGCCGGTATATTCAAGCCAGTGGCCGGATGATATTGGTTGACTATAATAACTCTGGTTGTTGCGCGCGCGTTCGATGTCCGATACCGATGGTTGCGACCAACCGATCGCGAGGCCCTTGTTTGAAGAAGCCCTTATCGGTTTGGGCGGCAGGAAAGGCAATGTGGATGTAGACGTAGAGAACAAGTCGCCCAGTGTCTGTAATTGCTTCTTGTCGTCCACGGCCCCAGATGTATCTATCGGGACGATCTGTGTAGTGTTGATCCCATTTGGCAGACCTACCTCCCGCAGCGGCTGTGGTACTCTGATGGTTCCATTCGGCACCTTAGCCGTCTCTTGGAGAGACGAAAACAGCTGCTTCGCGCCGGGAGCATTGCCGTACAAAGTCAAAACGAGCTTATGCTCGCCGGGCGTCATCGATATTTGCGTCGAGGCTTTCGGGGACGTTCCGTTTGTAGGGTAGTTCGAGATATTTGGGCTCTGTTCCCGCTCCTCTTTTGCCGACTTTAACTCGTCTTGTGTCTTCTGACGATGCGCGAGGTCTTCGGCCGTCTTTGTAAAGAGATTGATGTTCGTGACGAGCTGTGATTCCCGGATAGACAAGGGTGTGTTGTGGGTTCTGGTTGACCCGTTGGGCAATTGAAGCTCGTCGGTCAAAGATTTGGAAGCGGCTTTGGCGTCGGAGATGACATCGTTGAGGCTCGAATACGCGTGAGCAGCTGCGCGCGCGATGATGGTGTTGGCATTGTCGGTCTTCGATCGCTTTGCCTGTGGCTCTTTCGACTCTTCACGATTGGATAGCGGGCGTTCGAGGATGGAGGGGGTTGTATCGAATCTGTCAAGGCTCAGTTAGAAATCGGGTGGAAGACAATATTCCGTGGTGGCGGGATCTGCATATCAGGTAAGTGGTGCGCGCGTACCTTTTGAGGATGGTGATGAAGTCGTCGATCTGTTCGTGCGAATTCGTCTTGGGAGCTCCATTGGTTTTTGGCTCAGTCGTGCCGTTCACATGGATGGACGACTCTTCATTGCTATTAACGCGCTTCCGTTTTGCTGATGTTGAAAGAGGGGATTGTGACCGATCGTCTTGCGGCTGAGGGCTCAATAGGCCATTCGGCGACATGGCGACGTCTGTCATCGTGCTGGAAGATATGGTAATCCGCGATCTGTTGGGCGAAAGGCGCGTTTCGCGAATCGCGATGCGATCGCAAAAGTGTAGCGTGTGGTGTAGTAAGTAGTACGGGTCAGGTCGTTTAAAGTCCCGGGGCAACTCGATCTCTCTGTTTGTCTCTGTAGAGAACAGGACTAAAGAGCCACAGGAAGGTTATCCCACGAGAATTATAGCCACCATGAAAGCAGTAGATGTCGGGAACCCAAAGAGACTTTCAAAATAACCTCAATAATTAGAAAATATGATGTTGAACGTGATGAAGTCAGGGATGGGGAGACATTTCCAGTACCGTTAAATCGTTAAACCGATAATATTCCCTGGTCACGTATGAGGAGCCGCAAAAGGCACGGGTCGCTTATGTAAGCAACGCGGCGGCGCGATTGGGAAAAGGTACGAGGGAGGAAAGGCTGTATAACAAATAATTTATAGGGAAAGGACCACCGACAAACATCAACAATTCTACACAGGAGAAGACGAAGAATACATATACTATAGCAGCTACGACTTTGGGCTTTGCTCTTTCTGCCTCTACATCCATTGACAGCCAGTCTACGCTGTGGAAGAGCACCTGCTCCCGTCTCTTCATCAAGGTAAGGCCCATTCCCCAATCCCCCAATCCTGTGTTTGCCTTTCCATGTCTTCACAATGCGAATCCAGTCTTACTCATTATACAGTATCCTATTATACACCCTACTTGCTTCAATTTCACACCTCCCACCGCTCTACCTGGCCACGAAAGTCGATTTTAACTGGATCGGGCTTTCCAAAATGAACGGATGCAATCGCGTGTAGTTTACGGCAATGTCTACGGCAATTGTAGCAATGTACGACGCCGACAGGTTGCAAGCGCCTTGACATTCAGCGAACTTCGTCCAACATGCATTTCAGCGAGGCGTGCTATCCCCCGGGGAGGTGACCAAGCCATTCGATGGGCGTCGCTTTCCTCGGCCGCTGCGGTGAAGGCGGCGCATCAGTCAGAAGCATACGAGCAACCTCCGGAAGAAGACAGGCTATTGCACCCAATTACGAGGCCATCTTTGGATTATAGACACTCGACATCTGGCGCACAATCTGTCTCTCCGCCCCAACAATCAACCACGGGAGTAGCCTCCGAATTCCGCGTAAGGGGAAATAAAGCCCCAATCTCAAGGGCGGCCATTGTAGCCTCCAAATTCCGCACAAATAGACCGCCGAACTCAGTGGCTAGTGGGGAGAGAGACAGAACCCCAATGTCAAGGGCGACTGTAGCCTCCAACCTACGCGCAAAGAAGAACAGACCAGCGAACTCGACGGACTACAAACCGAATTCGCTTGACATCAAAAAGGACAACAGTGGCCTAGAACATGTTTCCGCCCAACGTGCATCTTTGCTACATTCTTCAAAGAAACCAGATCGCCAGGTCAACATCAGGCCTCGCAGCAACAGGCAACTCAAAAGTCAACGCCCCTCTCCCAGCCAAATAATAACTGCCTGGCAATCTGGGACTATAAATTTCCTATCTAGCGGAGATGTCGAGGGATGGTCAAAGTCGGACGCATTAACAAGCATATTCGTGCAATATATGAAGTATATGGAGTCGCCACATTTACCACAATTTTCTCAGGCCAACCCTGATCAACTGGAAAGACTGTTAAGACCATCTGAGCCCTTTTTTACTGAGGATATCACGGCCAGCCTTCAAAAACACGGCTGCACACCTCAGGATGTACGAGGATGGGCCTGGATTGTTCTAGCACCCAATGCCCACGTTGCTGCTGAACGATACCTTTCGGCAGATACCACTTTTCCTCCGGTTGCAATCCTCACCAACATCCTGCGCATGAAGAAGATGCATATCAAAACTCTGCGACAATTGGTTTTTAGAGTTTCTACTATGCTAACCAAAGTCTCCACCTCTCCGACCAGCAAGAATCGTGGTATACTGGAGGACAACTCGTTTCAGACAGTGGTCTGTGGCCTTCTGAGGCATGCTCGGGAAATCGATCCGCTTTCGTTCACCGGCATTGCCCGCTTGGTTAGCCAGTACTGTGGTATTGTTACATGCATTTCCGACGAGGCTCGTGGTTTTGGTGGGAAGGAGTACACCAGGCTGACCAACATCTGTCGAACTGTCATCTGCCGGCTCTCAATACCCGCGGCCAAGTCTCCTTACGCGTCAATGGGGTATGCCTGGGAAGCGCAGCAGGTCATCCTCGAGGCAGGGAACTCGCTCCAGCCGGCACTAGAACTGGATGCCAGAAGCTACCAGGCTATAGCTTGTGTGCTACTTGCCGACAAGAAGACCGAGGCGGAGACTGAAGCGGTTGCACATCTTCATCGGTCGTGGCCGCCTTGGAAGAAGGTCTTGGATGGAATGGATGCGCGCCGTCAGCCAGAGGACGATGCATCGCGAGCAACCCGCGTTCTTGAGAATATGAAATCAGCTGGGTATCCCCCGACATCGTTCGAGAATGCGATAAGCATTCTCGCAGGACGGGATACAGACGGCACTCCGGCGATTCCTACGCGGACAATTATGCATCTTGTGCGGCAAAAGTTATCCAAGGATATCAGACACAACAAACCCCTCCAGCCCGCTCACAAACGCCCATCAAACGTTGCTAGCAAACAACCCTCCAAACCCATCCAGAACAGCGCCTCCGAACCCGCCCTCACAAACCCCCTCAAATCCGCCGGCGAAAGAACCCCTGCATCCAACGGCAACAACTCCGCCGGCAAAAGCCCCGCCGAATGGGCTGCTCGCATCCGCGCCACCCGCGACGTCCAAGAAGCCTGGGCAGCCTTCCGAGCCTACCAGGGCCTCCCCTCACAAGCAATGTTCCACGAGATGTTCCTCAAGCTTATCTACGACAAGGTGAACCGCTTGCGCCCGCGCATGCACCACCCCGCCCCTGGCGACGGGTTTGAGGTCTTCCCAGTCGAGAACGACAACCTGAGCGATTTCGAGATTGAGCGCAAGGCCCCGCCGGACGTCAGGGGACTATACGAGCTCATGAGGGCGGCGCAGCTAACTGCAACTGACCGAACGCTCCGCCACCTCCTCGCGCAAGCCGATTCGATCAGCTGGGCGCTCCGACTCCTCCTCGACTCCGGCCTACCCAGCGACGCCGTGAGTGCGCTCGTTCGCGGCAACGACCGAAAATCACGGCACTCATTCCCCAGCGAAACATCGCCCGCCTCGCCCAATTCCCTCAATCAGAAGGAAACCGCCCTCGCCCGCGTCCCCCATGGCATCTTCACAGCTCACATCAAGCTCCTCGCCCGCCTCTCCCTCTCCACCCCCCATCCCAGACAAACCCCTCCAATAACACACCTCCACACCGCTCTCACGCTTCTCAAATCTCACCCTTCTCCTCCCAACTCAGCATGGCACGCCTTCCTCCGCGCGGCAGCCGCGCCGAAGACCCTCGCACAGCCGAACAACACATCCCCCGACACCGCGCTCCTACGCACATACAACCACAGGTCAGCGCCGTACTGGAACTCCGTCGTCCGGGAGACGGTCGCGCATCTGAGGGAGGGTGAGGGGGACGTAAACCCAGATATCTTTCAATACGCTGCGTATGCGCTGTATTCAACCATCTTCGCTGCGCGTCGCCGCGACGTTGCCGGCGCGCACGAGGAGGCGGAGAAGAGTCTCCCTGCCCTCCATGAACTCTGGGATGCGATAACGGAACCATCGGAGGACGTAGGTGGTGTCGGGGGGGAGATGGTACATCAGGTTATGGGAACGCATGTCTTGGCGTATTTACGCGTCCTCGCTATCGCGGATGCGGATGAGGAGATCGAGAAGGTGCTGGAGTGGATGGTGCGCTATCAATCTACACTAGGTGTGGTTGGACGCACGAGGGGGAATGGAATTGCGAGTTTGAGGAGGGTGATTGTTGCTGTGCGCGCGTATTCAGAGAGGAGGGATGCGGAACGAGAACGCGATGGAGAGGGTGAGAGTTTTGAGGGGGAAGACGAAGGGATGACGCAGCGTTTAGTGGCGCTGGCGGAGGAGATTGAGGAGGAATGGGGGGGGTGGCCGAGGGAGGAGGAGGTGGAGGAGTATTTTAGGGAGGGGGAGGAGAGGTATGGTGGCGGGTTTGGGGAGGGGGAGTGGGTTGTTGGGGGGTTGGTGGGGTAGATTAGATGCTATACTGCGTGTGGTTGCGGTGTGTTTGGGGGCCTTCTCAAGAGCTGAGGGGCGTGTTTATGTGTGTGTGTGTATTATTGGGATTGAGGATTTTGTATATAAGATGGAGATACGTTGTAGATGTAGATTGATTGATAGATATGGTAATAGAATAATACCCAATGTATTCGCTACTCTGGCTCTATCTAGTCTCTCTACCTCTCAAAGGCATCTCTCTCACTGTTACGAGCCGTAACACTCGTCCAATTCAAACGGGGTATCATTTTTCACCATCATCCAAAACTCCTTTCCTCCCCCCTTTTTCCACCCTCCACCCATCCATCCCCCCTTTTTTGAATCCTTTCCTTTCCCTCTCCCTCAAAACAACCTCAAACAACAACAGCAGCAACCAATATCCCCGCCCCCCACCCCCAAACCAACCCCCACCCTCCCCCTCCCCCAACAATCCCCCTCAACCCCCCGCCCTGCGCACTAACCATCCCCCACAACATCCCCGCCACCAACACCGCGACAGCAATACGTCCCACGAAGTTAGGGACCACGGTGAACATAAGCACAGGGAGCAGGATCGAGGCGAGCGCCGCGAGGAGGAGCGCGCGTTGGGTGTGTGGCTGCGTTTGTTGCTGGTGTTGGTAGTGCGTAGGTGGAGGAGGGGTGAGGGTACGCTGTACACTCTCCACTGGTGCTACCACCGGCGCGGCAACCGGCGCAGGAGGTGGAGGCGGGGGGGCGAGAGATATCAAATCCCCCCCCCTCTCGAGGAACCTCGCCTCCTCCCACACAACCGGCTGTGTATTCGCCAAAAACGCGCGGTAAGCTTCAACATCCTTACTCTCAGCCGCGGGAAGACGGGAGGTTTTAGCAAAGGAGGTGAGAGACGCATTATACTGCGCCATTTTGTAACTAACCCGCGCGAGCAGGTCGGCGCGGTGGTGGTCTAATTGCGAGGGCTGCTGGGCCGCCGCGCGCCGGGAGGAGGGGTGGGTGTGCGTTTTCAACCCCCTTTCTCTGTTCTCCTCGTTCCTGCGAGACCTCCGACCACCAGGTGATCTAGCAACGGCGGAGGACGGCGTAGGCGGTAGTGCTAAAGTGCGCGACGCAGCGTCCGCGGCGTCGAGGGCGGAGAGATGCGATTCTAACTCGCAGAGCTCATCTTGCATGTGTAACAACAACCTATGATTCAGCGTCGCGAAACGCCTGTACACCGGCGGAGAGGTGGTTAAGTGCGTAGCGAGGGCGTCGTATCCGCTTGGTGGCGGTAAGCGGGGAGATAGGGCCTGCATGTCTTGGTGGGGATGAGGGTGCAGCGAGAGGGGTGGGGGAGTGTGCTGGTTTTGATGACGGGGGTGCTGGTGGTATCCCCCGGGCGTGGAGTGGAAGTCTTGTCGCATTTGCGCTGCTCTCATTTGTGCTGCTAATTTCGCCTCCGTTGGCGACGCGAGAGGTTGTGCGCCTGTGGGGGGTCGGGATAAGAGCAGTCGCGGCGTCGGCGAGGGAGACCCTTTGACGGATTGCTCAGGACTCGTACTCCGATCTGTATCCATGTCGACGTCGGCGCGGGACGAGGTATCAGACGCCGTGAAAGAGGATGCGGAGGACAGGGAGGGTGTGCGGGCGTGCGAGGAGGAGAAGGTTGGAGCCATAGGGGTGGCGTCGTCGGCGGAGGAGGTGGGGGAGAGGGGGTGCAGCCAGGTGGTTTGAGGACGGGGTTGGGAGGGGTGGGAGTCGTCGTCGTCGGAGTGAGAGTCGGGGGTTTCTGAGTCGTTGGGGTGAGGTGCGGGTGATGGGGCGTGGGGTGCGTATTGGATGGTCTCGTCGTTCTCGTTTTCGTCTATGTCGGAATCTGAGTCCGAGTCTTCGTCTTCTTCCTCGTCCTCATCGGAGCTGGAGGAGTCTTCGTCGAGGTATGCGAAGACGTTTGGTGGGTCGGGTGCAGCTGTATCTGTTAGAAATGGAAAGGCTTAGGAGTGTGAGAAACATACCAGGTGATAATGGACCCTCCTCTGGCTCCTCAGTAGTCCCCGAAATAGTAACCTCCTGCACAGTCTCAGTGCGCGACATCGACGCCTGCGTGATAGTCGAGTTACTCCCACTCGATCCGCCCGAATTATTCGTCGCAGTCGTGAGAGACGTCATCGTCGACAGAAGCGAAGGAGACGTCAACCGTCCCCTCGCAGCAGCCAACACCGATCTATAATCCTTTGGTTCTTCCTCCTCCTCCTCCTCCTCATCCTCCTCCGAAGAAGAAGAATCGCTATCCGCATCCCTCCTAGCATGTCGCGGATGCTGCCGCACTAAACTCTGCGACGACTCCTCACCATGCGCCGGCGCGTACCGCTTCGCCGAATTGGCTTTTGGTTTGCTACTTTTCGAAACATGTTTGCTGCTGCTGCTGCTGAATGATGAGCGATGCGATTTCCTCGATTTCTCTTTGGAATGTGCTGCTGACGTTGTGGTTGTGGGAGAGGGGTTGCCATCTCGGCGCTGCTTCTTATCACTTATCGTGCGCGACGCACCCCTGGACCCAGCAAGGTCCTCGTCGGGAGACTCGATGATGGCGTCGATGGACTGTGAGTGTTGGTATCTGGGAGCCATTTTTTGTATTGATTCAGGATGATAAATGAGTTACTCAGAATGAGTGAGACCTGCGGGGGGATTTGGGTCAATATTTATCAATCAACCGCGGGTATTGTATTTGAGGAGTTGGTTGGTGGTGGTATAGGAGAGGGGTGTTAAGACTCCCTCTTACCATGTCCGGCAGCATGTGCGAGTTTGGTGGAGATTGGGGTGTCTTACCTGACGTGACGGGAAGAGAAAATGTGAGAGCTGATCAATGCGACCTGTCTCACGCAGCGGCAGAATTCGATAGAGGGGTATTATTGTATTTCGAGATAGATTGATTTCTCTTTTTTTTTGTTCACAATTCCATGGCCACGAGTGAGGCCGCGTATGATATATAATATAGCTTTCTTTTGACGGGGGTAGATAAATCGAGTTGCGTCGTATCTTAGTAGTGGCGGTTGGTGGTGTTCCAGACGTGTTTCAGCGCTTCATGGCCACGAGACTGCACTCAAACATTTGGCGGGGTGAGAAGGGAGGGAGAGCGGGTGAGAGGATGGGGGGTGATGTATTGGATCAATTCGGGTTTTTCTTTTAAAACAAGATCTGAGGGTATTTTGTTTCGAGCTGATGAATGGGATGGTTGTGTCGATCGATCCTTGGGGAAAACGCCTTGCGCCAATGGTGGAAGTAAGGAGGTACTGGGGTTGTTTGCAGCAATCGCAGGAATCGCAGTGATTTTCTGGTAGTTTTCTTCTCGTTTTCTGTCGTTTTCTGGTAGTTTTCTGGTCGTTATTGGTGGTTGTCGTTGTTCGTGGTGGTTGCTGCTAACTATCCCTTCCCTGGGCCGTTTGTGTGGCTGAGAGCTGAAGCTGAAGCCGGAGCTTGGTTGTCGGGGATTCTATTGTTGGATCATAACTTGGATCATCGCGGGATCGTCGTGATGCAAAGTAAATCCCAAAAATAGTCGTACAGACGATGATGATGAGTACAGACGAGATGATCAAGACAGTATTGTATTGTACAGACTGTAAGACGGCGGAACGGAGGAGCAGGTAAGGACAAAGACAAGTGTACGAAGTAAGGGACAGGCAGACGAAGATGTCGTGATGATGTCCGTGATGCCGTACTGTACAAATCGTATTGTACAGAGTGAAGAGTAAGGAGTGGACGGTGAAGGGTGAAGAATGAGGAGTGCAAAGGAAGGTTATGATGTAAATGAGGCCGTGGTAGTGATTGTCGTGATAGTACTGGCAGTAACTGTGCGCACACAACAAAATTGTACTGTACTGTACACACAAACTGTTACAGCGCAACAACGTCCGTCAGAGTCAAAAGTCAACAACATCCTACTCTTCCCGGGGCTTCACCTTCTTTTCTACTGCAGCATCGACGCCCAACTACTATGCAAGAGAACAAACCGGGGCGCCCTGCACGCCGCCGAACTCTCTGGGCAAACCTGGGGGCAAGAGTAGAAAAAAAAAGTGCAAAACCACCACCGACCAATGCACGGAAAACACATCATGTCCCACCGCCGTACATATGACGCTGTACACAAGAGGATCCCCCTCGCCTCATCCTCTGCCCATCCTGCACGTAAGAGGAGTGTCAGTGTCATGCTGGATATGCTGTGCATACACCCTCTTGCACAACACTGGCCGCCTTGGATGCACAAACCTGCACTCCTCCTCAGAGCACGCACAGTGGCCACCAAAGAGAGGGGAGGAAGAAAGTCAGTGGGAGAAGTCAGCTGCACATCTGCTGTTCTTGTCGTGATGGCGCTGGGGAGCAAATCATAGCACCGAAGGAAGATGGATTTCTCCATCCAGCTGCAGCTGCACAGTGCAGAATCCATGTATACCGCCCATAACCACGTCCATCTACCGACCCCCTATGAACCTTACCGACCCAACCCTTTTGTGCCATTGGGTGCATAACCCGACCATGACGACGGGCTTGTCTGCGCGTGCGAACCGCCCAAGCATATTTTATCCACGCGCCCAATCTTGGGGAAGGAGGCAGGTATGTAGTTATGCCTTGCTTACACAGCTCGAAGCTTCCCCGCGGACTGAAGCTGTCGAAGGTACGCACGGTGAGGAAGGAAGGGATGGAACGATACACGCTCTCGAGTACGCACAGTGGGGTCCCTTCTATCCGCTCACCGTCTCCCCACTATCTCCACCTCCCCGCCGTCACGGGCAAAACCTTCACAAAAATCCGTCAGCGTGTGGATGTGGAGTGAGGGACCTAATGTGGCGCCTCGCCTCGCCTGTGCTGTGCTGTGGCTAACCCCTCCGCGCCAAGCCAGATCCAAGCTACAGCACACCACACTACACTACCCTCCCCCCAGCGCCGGCGCGGCTCGAAGATCCCACCCCATCTCAAGGTCCCTTCCCCGAGACCTTAATATAGGGTGTCCGACAGCATATCGATAGTTGATACTCGGCGTCACTTATGATATCCGCAAGGAGAAGGTGAGTCTGTTGAGGTGAGGAACTGGCGGGGAGGGTGAGACACGGAGACACTTGTTCCGGAAGGAGGGGATGGAGGTTGGGGGGGAGATGGGAGGGGAGAGGAAGAGGTGGTGGGATTGGGATTGGAAAATGGCGGAGGAAAGGGGGAGGGGGGAATCAGGAGATGGGAGTGATAGGCTTGGTCAGGATTGGTAAAGATCTCAGGTAGCTATCACATATAATATATGAGAGAAACACTGGCACAATATCCTGACCTCCGCGAGCAACAACGATTGGGAAGCGATGGACTATGTCGTGCTTGGGCGATTTATCCAGCCAGAGGACGACGATGAGATGCGTTTATTTGTACTATAGTTCCAGCGGCGATGACTCCGTACCCACGGCTCGGTAGGTTGGTAGACGACGACGACATGATAATGACGGCGCGGTGGGAGTGACGGTAGTTCGTAACGGTGACAGAAAGGCTGCGGCGACGAGAAAGCTGTTCTGGTGAGAAGGAGGGTGACTGTAGGGGAGTCGAGCCTAAAGCTACAGATGTTTATTACTAAGCCTCGTTAGAATGAATGCCTCCAGCGACGGTCGAGAACAACCAACCCCGCTCTTCGTCGAGTTGGAAGGCGAACAACCCGCCTCGCTTTCTATGGCCCCCTATCTACCGCAAGAGATTATTGATCTGATAATCTGGCACACCGAGGATAATCTGACGCTGGCCTCACTACGGCTGGTTTCAAGACTATGTCGGAGCAGTGCCACCCCTCTCTATTTCAGGCGGCTACCTATTATGTTATCGAACAACTCCGCTGCTAACATCGAAAACCTTACTCGATCACCTTATAGTAGCTATGTGGAAGAGCTCCATTGGGCTGACAAGGAACTCCAATACCAGTTAAATGACAACCTCGAGACTTTTCAAGACGCCTTTAAGGAGAGATTAGCAGGGTTATCGAGCGAGGCCGTAATAGAGTGGCATGAGAAATATCGCGCCTGGTACAGCGGACAGGAAAGCTTGTACTATCCCATTTACGTTGGGACTGGCGAGAAAACCTTCGACGTGAGGGGTTTCGTCAACCTGAAAAGGGTGTCTGTTACCAATGACTGTGAAGCTGGGGCTGAGCAATACCCAACTGCACTCGAGGCACCAGATATCCTCGACCGTCCCGCCCCATGGAGCACCACGAGATCGTGCAGCCCGCAGCGGGGAGGCACGTATGTCATGATTCTGAAGTCTCTAGCTACGCTAAACAGGCTCACGCATTTGTCTATCAAAACAGAGGGCGCGAAATGGGAGAGGGTATTCATGTCTCCCCGTCAGATACCTAATGGAACTAGACCGGTATCGCTGTCGCTGTTTGAAAGCATCACGCACCTCGATATTGATCTGTGCATGTGGGACGTGCATCCGTATGGCCATATACCAACACCTCAGTGCCGTGTCATAAACTTTGGAGAGGCTAGAAACCTCGAGTCGCTGACTTGGAAAACCCATCTCCATGCCGTGGATGAGGCAGGGAACCTAGGGAGGCCGCTAAAGGGGCTCCAGGCCGCTCGCTGGTGTCCTCCTGTATTTGCAATTCGCTCTGAACTCTATCCCAAACTCCGCTACCTTGAGGTCGATTGCTTCCGCGTTTCTATACATTGGCTCATAACTGGCTTAACGGCTCTGCAATCGTCCCTCCAGTCTCTCATCTTGAGACGCTGCATTTTCAAGCCCCCTCTTGCGAAGATATTCGTGGAACTCCGGAAGAGAAAAATCGTGCCACCTGTGGCTATATTTGAGAACAGCCAAAACAATGCCAGTCAACCAGATCCGGAGAGACCAAACGTTTTGAATGAAGTTGCTATTACACGATATCTAGTCTGGTTGGGGATGAAGGAAACCTTGTGTCTGCACTCCTGGGATGAGCAGATTGAGGCCTATGAGGAGCGGGCTCTGAGAGTGTGAAAAGATGGATTTACGCCGCATAAGACAGCGACGGATGCTACCATTTTCAGCAGCTTCTTTGCCGTCAGACAATTAAATGGAGTTGACTTTACGTACGCGTCGTGTTACTCGTAATAAATTTGTTATAACTTTATTATAAGTGATAATTTGAGATTATGTCATCACGGACCGGGCCCATCGGCGCCCTGACTAGGGAAACGCCGACCAAAATATTGTCGTCAGCTAAATCCGATTCCACGACTTCCACAAAGTCTGCCTCCCCACCATAAGCCAACACCATGCCGCGAATCCCACCGCGGCTCATCCAGAGCTACATATTCGGTGGCAGCATCCGTTCACACCAATGCCTCCGCCCCAGCCGCACAGCCACGGCATCCCTCCTCCGCCCCCTCCACACCAGCCCAGCGCGGCATAGCCCAGGAGTCGAGCCTCCCTCCCCCAACGACGCCGGCGACGAACCCTACGTCCCCCTCCGCAAACAAATCAAAGACGAGCTCAAGCGCCGCAAAGCTGCCGCGCGCAACCCCTCCTCCAGCCCCCCCAACGCCTCCGCCGAGCGTCTCCCAGACTGGGAACTCACAGTTGGCATCGAGATCCACGCCCAGCTCAACACCCCCACGAAGCTCTTCTCCGTCGCCTCAACCGCGCCCTCCCCCACCCCAAACACGAACATCACGCCCTTTGACCTCGCCATCCCGGGCTCCCAGCCCATATTCCAGCCTACAACCCTCATCCCCGCCGTGCGCGCCGCGCTGGCCCTGAACTGCACTATCCACAATACCTCCACCTTCGACCGCAAACACTACTTCCACTGGGACCAACCGGCCGGCTACCAGCTGACGCAGTTCTACCGCCCCTTCGCGACAGATGGACACATCACACTCTACGAACATGACGGCATCTCCCCCGAAGACTGCCCCATGGTGACCATCGGCATCAAACAAGTGCAGATGGAACAAGACACCGCCAAAACCATCACAACCACCGACGCCGACGGCTCCGAATCCCACCTAATCGACTACTCCCGCGTCGGCACCCCCCTCATTGAAATCATCACACACCCCCACCTCGCCCACCCCCGCACAGCCGCCGCACTCATCCGCAAAATCCAAACCCTCCTCCACTCCGTCAACGCCTGCGTCATCGGCATGGAAAGCGGTGGTCTCCGCGCAGACGTCAATGTCTCCGTGCGACCCCGCGAGTCCGCATCAGTAGAGCTAGGCCAGCGCACGGAGATCAAAAATCTCTCCTCCTACAAGAGTATCCGCGACGCCATCGTCGCCGAGCGCACGCGCCAGATCGACGTCCTCGAGTCCGGCGGCGTCGTCCTCGGCGAAACCCGCGGCTTCAGCGTCGGCGACTCGGAGACGAGACGACTACGCGCTAAGGAGGGAGAGGTAGATTACAGATACATGCCCGACCCCGACATCCCCCCCATCATAATCGGCACCGACCTCGTCACCCGCCTCTCCGAGACCCTCGGCACGCTCCCCGACGCCGAAATCGGAATCCTCGTACAGGAATACGGTATCTCGCTCAAAGACGCCCTTTCCCTCGTCGCCCTCGAGAATGGAGGCAGGGCAGAGTACCTCTACGCCGTCGTCGAAGAACTACGACCTTTTCTCCCCCCTGCCGCTGCCGCCGCCGGCGGCATAGTCCCCCTGGCCCGCAAGGCGGGGAACTGGGTCCTCCATGAGCTGGGCGCCGCTGCCAACTCGGCTGTCGAGGCAGGGAACGATGCACCCCTCTTTGATGACGAGGGTGTGTGCGTCGTCTCTCCCGCGCAGATGGCGCGGATCATATACCACGTTGAGCGCGGTGCCATAACAGGAGCGACGGGGAAGGAGCTCCTCGCCGGATTCGTAGCAGCAGCTGGTGACGGGAAGGGAGCGCCGATTACGAGTGGCGATGAGGTAGATGCGGTTATCGAGAGGGAGGGGATGTGGTTTAAGGGGCTGGATGAAGAGGGGTATAAAGCGCTTGTTGTGGCGACGAGGGAGGATCGGATTGTGGAGGATGTGAGGAAGAAGGGGTGGGAGAAGGGGAGGGGGAAGATTATGTATTGGGTTGGGCGGATGGTGAGGGAGGGTGGTGGAGGGGTTGATGCCAAGGTTGCGGAGGGGTGGGTTAGGAGGGCGTTGGAGGAGGAGATTGGGGTTGATGGGAAGAAGGGGGAGTGAAGGGGGGGTGTAGAATATTGTAATTTATGTAATATACCGTACAAATACCAACGCTTTTTTGACAGCTTCAGCGCAACAACAACTCGTTGTGCACGCATACCCCATCTACAACTTCTTACACAAAACCACACACCCATCCGCCCTCACCCCTTTTTCCCCACTCACCCCGCCATCCATAACAACCCCCCACCTCTCAAATCCCTGCCTCCCATAAAACCTATCGGCACCCTCATTCCCCGCCCCCATAACAAGATGAACCCCCCGCACCTCCCTCCCCCTCAATTCCTCCATCAACCTTTCTATCATCTTCGCCCCCAACCCCTTGGATTGAAAGGCGGGGAGGATATCGATGTGAAGGTGTGCCGGGTACTCCTCTACCAATTCTGGAAAATCGCTGTGGAGCATCGACGACGGGTTGTGGAGAGCTTGCAGCATCCCTCCTCCCAGCGTGGCTCCCGACCATGGAAGCGCGGGTGGTGGAGGCGCGGCCCACGAGGAGGGGAGGCTGGGGAGGTAGGTCTCCTCGTATGCAGCGACAAATGAGGGCGTTGAAGGTGCGCAGAGGATGTAGCCTACGCAGTTTGCGGGTACTAGGCTTGACGTTCCCGTTACATCCTCGTTATTGCTGTCATTAGAGGCGGAGGCGGAAGCATCCAGGACGAAACATGTCCCGGGTTCTAGCCGCACATAGGGGATTGCCCATAGATACGGCCCCAGTGGTGCTGACGGCGCGGGGGCGAGGACGGAGCGTACGTCTGGGGGAGCGGTGATTTCGCACTGGGGGTGTTAGATTTATGTCTTGCAATTGGGTGATAGGGGGACTGGAGGGGGGCGTACGATGCGCGAGACAGCTACTTCGTCCCACGAGTCTGGAGCAGAATTGAATGGTCTAATCACGATCCCTGACTCTGAGTCTGAGGCCATCTTTCTTTCTGTCTCCTCAGATGTTATGGTAGATGTTGCTATTGCTGTTGGTTTCGGTGTTGGCGGGGTAAGTGTGAGTACTAGTAGTAAATCGAGGGGTAATTATGTCATTCCAATATCACCACAAACAGCAGTCGCGACGCAGGTGCGAACACCCATCTATATAGGCCCCTCCCACCCCGCGTCCCACTTCCCCTCCCACGGTGCAACGTTCGCCGTCCAACATCGCCGTCACCTACCTAGCCCCTCGGCGCCAGTTACCACGACGGTGGGTGGCGCACGAACCGGTCCGCTATCCCGGGGCAAACACCGAAGGCCGAAGTTACGCCGTGCGCCTCGCTCTCTCACTTTCACCACCAATGGATCAAATTCCTTCTCATATCCCCGTCGACGCGCGCCGCCAGTTCACTCCCGTCTCTCTAGCACTAGGAAACTCACCCGTGCTGTCCGGTCCTCGCCGCCATGCCCATCTCCACCGCATGACCCCTCCTCCCCCACTTCATCGGCAATCCCAACTTCACCGAACCCTACCGCTCCGCCCCCGACTACGCCGACTCCAATGACACCGTATTCTACACCATCGCTGAATCATCAGCCTCGAGTCACGCAAGCGCCGCGGTCTAGTAGACCCCGCTAGACTATCTAGCATCGTACATGCTTAATGAGCAGCTCCAGCCAGGCGGCCCCGACCCCAACCCCCCCTCCCCGCCTTGAGGTGCGCCCGCCCGACAACCAGATTGTCGGCGCTGACGCCGACGCTACAGGGGAATGGTGGAGTGGGGGGGTTGCTAGGGTTGGATTGGGGGGAGTGGTGTGGGGTTGGAAACGACAATGTAAATGTGCTTATTGATTGATCGATTATAAATTATCATCCACCCCCCCAACATCTAATCCAAAACACCAACCCTCTCGCCCTCTATCCCGTCTAACACTAAGACCCTCACCCTCCCATCGGATATGTTGAGGAGAAGAAGGTCAATCTCTAGGATACGCTCGTTTTGACCCTGAAATGATAGGTTTCCTTTGTGATCACAGCGGGCAGCTCCCCGATTAGCTCTCATGCGCCAGCGTATGCAGCCACCCGTTCAATCACCAACTGAACTCCTAGATCCTGAGGGCGCGTTGGGGATTTGGGGATGTCCCCAGAGGCCTACAAATACAATACGTATGCCCGTAGGCAAAGTGATAGTTCAATTGATCTATCTATTCTATTAACTGTACTGATTGCTATTTGTTCTATATACTGTACCGATTGAAGCCTCCTGTTCCATTCTGCTAGCCACAATGCCCATCTCCACCGCCGACCTTTCCTCCACCGCCGAACTCCCCTCCCCCACCACCACCCCTATCCTCACCCCCGAGACAGCCTATCTCGACATCATCGGCGCTGCGGTCAACCAGAGAAAACCCAGATTCGCCTCAACCTACAGCACCACGCTCTCAAGCTCCACAACGGCTGCGACGACCGCGTCCTCTACACCATCAGCTGTATCTCCAGCACGATAGAGCTCATGCACGACCTAGACGCCCACCAACTATCCCACTGCGCGCAAGTCTTCAACGAATCCCTCCGGGACACCACCAACTCCTCCGTCCAGGCGCGAACATTCTCCCAGATCGAAGCAGGCGCCACCTTCGCCGCCAGTGAGGTCCCGCACGTCTCGATCCTCACCACCATCGCCTTTCGCCAAGCGGCACGCATATACGCGCTCGGTGTGTTGGGGCGCTACGCCCGCCGCTCCGACAGCATCCGCCCCCTCGTGTCGTGTCTGACTCGGACGCTAACACTGTTGCCCAAGGCGAATGGCCCCGGCGAAGCGGGGCAGCTATGGATGTATCTCGTTGGTGGAGCGCGAGCATGCCCGCCAATGCATTTCGGGTGTTTTTGCCGGCGCGGATGGAGCGCGAGAGGGATAGGAGATTTAGGGCTGTGGTGATTAAGATGATGGAGGCGTGGGGGAAGGATGATGATACAAGGGAGGGCATGGGGGAATGGACGCGTGCGGTGTAGTTGCGTTGGGGTGGGGAAGCTGGTGATACGGATAGAGCCTATAGGGGCGTGTTTGTTAGTTTTTATGTAATTGCAAATGGGCGTTCAGATGGGATGTACAGGTCTGACAACTTGTGGCCTTTCCAAATGGCGCATCAGTGGTAGATTGTGAGAAACTATGATTTAAATGCGATGCTTGGTTCTCATCTCTAAAGTATGATCCTCCCTCCTAATATCTGAACCAAAATACCACTCTCCTCCCCCCCACTATCTCCACATTCCCCACGTCCAACTCATCCCTTTCCAAAGTCTGCACATGAAATTACCATCTTCCAAGGGAATTGCGAGCGCTGTGATTCACTGTGAAAACTATTAAACCTCAGTTTATGATATTGTCAAGCCCGATCATCTGTAGCTTATGGTGTGGCTAGATTATAGTAGGACCGTCAACCAGAGAGAGGGACAAACAGAACACATTCTATATATATATATAGAATGTATTGACACCGGAATCTCGACACTGCCCATCCCGAACGGGAATTTGCCCTCCACGCCGATTTTGCTCGGGCCAGGCTCTGGGCCAGCTACGGCTCACCTACAGCTCGAGTTCACAGGTGAGCAGACCATCTACAGCTCAGATCAGTTCAGGTTTGCTTAGGTCTGCTCAAGTTTGCTCACCACTGCTAAGGTGAAATACGTCAAGGCTGTCGAAGTTAACTAAACCTTTTCTCCACTCCCTACAATAACAGTTTCTTCCTCCAAGCTACTCGAACTCTTATTTCCCTCTCCCTCACCACCAACTTCCGCAGTCTTATCCCAGACCCCAAACACAGCGATTAATGTAAACGGCACAGTCACTGCCCACAGAACAAAAGCCAATATCATCGAGTTCAGATTAGACCAATGTGTAGCCCCCACCACATAAGCAAAGGTACTCCCAACAGACTCCCAAGACCTCAATATCCCAGTCGTTCTTGAAATATCGCCGGCCTTCTGCTCCGCACCAGTCTCGCCCATCAGCCAATAAAGATAAGTTTGGAGCATCTCATAGAAGAATTTGAAGAGTAAATATACGACGAAGGCGGAGTTGAAAATCTTTCCAGAGCCGATGTCCAGAGTCGGTGCTTCGGATTTGGATGAGAATTCCGCTTGAACAGCAGCTATCCAGGCCCAGGATGCCGTGATGAAAAATGCAATGACGACGTATACCCACTTTGGCTTCGCAAGGTTCAGGTCGAGAATGATACCAGTGAGGATGTTTCCAGCGAACCCGACGATGGCTGTTAGAAGGGATGCCAATGCTCGAGCTCGAACAGTGAAGTATCCTAACCCAACGAGTAAGACATCTACCGATTGGAGAGAAGGGAAAGAAACAAAGACTAACCTGTAAGATAATTACCCTGGTATGTCACACCCCATTGGCCGGCAATAAATACGGGGATCAATAACAAAATCCTCCGACTCTTCATCTGTTTCCAAAGAGCTCTTGCCTCGATACTAATGCTTGTTTGTTTCATATACGGTATCTTCGTGCCGTCGCTCCTCACAACTTTATCCGGTTGGGAAAGCAGCAGAGCAAATGGAGCACCAAGAGACGAAATGGCAATCAGACCCAAATAAGTGTTGTAAGATACCTTACCAGCATGTGTCGTCTTCACGTTGAGCGCAAGGGAGATTGCTCCTCCAACTAGTGGTCCTAGTTGTCGAATGCACATCCACTAGAGCAAACTGTCAGCATATTTTCGCTGGGGTTTGGGAGAACGAGGAGGAAGAGGGGGTTTGAAATACACAAGAATAATAAAGGGGGCTTCATACAATGCCTACATATCGTCCTCTCTTCGACTCTTCAGGATAGCCAACTGCAATCGCCGCCTCGCTAGCCCAAAGTAACGAAGCACCAATCCCACAAAGCACTGCTCCCAAAAGCATAAACCACTCATTTCCATAGCGGTTATTGCAGTAGAGGCCAGCGGCGTAGGGTGTATAAAATGCAGCTCCGATGACTAGAGTCCATTTTGCAGAAATCTTGTTTGATATTCCTCCTGCGATTGTGCAGCCGAAACTCATTATTCCGTATGTTAATGCATTAGCTGCGTTGTTGAGCCATGGCTGTATAATTAACGGGTCGTTAGTAAGTGGGGATGGGATTAAAGTAGAGGATTGGATTTAACATACTGTAGCTTGGCCACCAGCGCCGAGATTATTTAGTGCTGTCCATATTCCAGGCTCACAGAAGGCAACAAGACCAACGATGATAATCTGGAAGAGACAGGAGCGGTAGAACTGGGGGATGGCGATGGAAACCATCTTCACGTATGGGTAGATCACGTAGGTTGGGTTAAAAACGTTAAATGGAAGAAATTGTTAGGAAAACATAATTATAAACGATAACATTATTTTAATATCTCATATACTGAAAATATATATAAAAATATAGTGAGCACGACATGCCCCATAGCAAAGACGACACCTAAAATCGGCCGAGCATTCAATTGCCGATATTATGGAGACAAGACATTTAAAAATACCCTGAGTTACAATTCGCTGTAACCTCTAGGTTGGAAGTAATGCTTGTCTTGTGCATATAATGCAGGTATAGGCCTGGCCCCTTTGATGGGTATTTGGGGTCTCTAGAGGTGGCTTCTCGCCGAAGTCAGTTTGGAGGGGTTGGTGGGGCATGTTTGCTCCTTCGGCATTCTGCCTTAACGGAGGAGAGCACGCCATCCCATTCCCCTAATTGCCGTTCTAACTAATGCCAGATTGCATATTCTAATAATTTACTGTTAATCTCTGCTAACCTGAATAGCTTCATGAGGTCGGCGCATTTTGAGCAGCTTGCTGCTATTATGAATCTGAATTGCTTGAGTGACTCCCTGTTATCCTCGGCCTAGTTTCACAGTTGTCGCGGGAAGGAAGCATATAACAGCTCAGGTCCAAAGCTGGAGGTGTAAATTGACCATGTTGAGGTGCTGGTATCGAATTGTCTGTAATAAATTCAAATTATGTTAAATAAGATGATTAGCATGAGTTGTAGTAATAAAGCAGGAGAATATATATATATATATATTTATACTTTTTTTCTCACAAAATACCAAAATACCCAAAAATATATCCCCAACCAAGTCATTCTACAATAAAACCTATTAATTAGCCACACTATAAATCACAATATCAAATCCCATTCATCATCCCCCCCCCAATCTAATACTCGAAATTTGACCCCCAGCACACTGGCAAAACCCAACACCAACATCACCACCACCTCCCCTCCCGCCGCCCCCGCCGCCCCCACAACCACAAACCCGGGCCCAAGCCACACCACACCACACCACACCACGGCCCGGCAGTGCACCCACCAGCCATACCACGTGTTCGCGCGTGTGTGTGCCGGACGGAACACGAGTAAGGTAAGGTAAGGTAAGGTAAGGTAAGCTATTGTGGATGTGCGCCTCCAACGGAAAGGGCGTGAATGGGGGTGCCGTTGCGGTGCGGGGTGTGGGATAGATGCGGGGGAGTCGGAAGTCTGGTTGTCGGTGTGTTCGTTACCTGGTTCTGCGGGGGGATATGGGGGATATGGATATGGATTGTGGTGAGCTGGACCGAGTAGGTGTAAGATCGGGTATTCGAACTGGCGGCGGTTAGAAGTCCGTACAGAGTCATGAGCAGCGGGCGGTGAGTGCGCACGTGGGGTGGGTGGGTGTCACGTGCGTTGTCACATGCTAGGCTGGTTCCCCTGAAAATTAAAATCCGGTTTATCTCCAGGACACGTGATGAATAAATGTATGGTGTGTGCGTGAGATTGGGTAGGGTAGAGTAGACGGGTCGGGCGGTTCTTGGCAAAGATGATGACGATGCTGTTCGGGATGGGGATGTGATACAGAGATGGGAGTTGCTGGTTGTGAGAGGGAAACTTAGGGGGAGGTGGTGGGACGGCTGGTTGTGGCGGAACGGGCGTGTTTGTGTGTGAGGAGGTCGACGTATGCGTTTGGGGAGGTTGACGTATGCGTTTGGGAGGAGGATGTATGTGTTTGATCGGGACTGCTGGTCTAAGGGGGTTTGTATGTGTCTAGGTGTCTTTGTGTGAGATTGTGTGTTGTTTGTATTGCTAGATCCGGGTGAGTTGTCTGTGTGTGTGAAGCTGTACTATGTATGAGGACGGTGGCCCTGTGTGTGTGCACGGCGGCTATTAAGCCAACTGTGGTAGGTGGATGGTAGGTGTATGGTATATATGATTATCTGTAGATCAATTGATCATATGAGCCTATGGAGCAGGTAGAACCCACGGCCACGACGACCACAATCTCTCTAGCATCAATTCCCTCTAGTAGAACCACAACCAGAACCACAATCTCTCCCTACTTACATACCATCAATTTCACATGCAGCAAACACGCCCGCGCCATGAAACAACTCTACCCGACGGTAGACGGAAGGGAAGTTGTACTTTTGGCGTATGGCGGTCGACGGAGTAAGTCGTACTATTACCCTATGGCGGTAGAGGGGAGTAAGTCGTACTATTACCCCATGTTGTTGCACATATACTATTACCAGATGCCGTCGTGCAGATAGCAGGAACGATGGGAATAGTGTCACAGTCGACAGCAAGCAGGTACGATGGGGATAATGTGTCGCCGTCGCTTTAACTTTAACAGCCGGCAGGTACGATGGGGATATAGTGTCGCCGTCGTACAGACAGCAGCAGCAGCAGCAGGTACGATGGGGATAGTGTCACCATCACCCTAAACAGCTAGTAGCAGGCAGGTACTATGGAGATAGATAGATAGTGCCACCGTCATCACCTCAAACCAGCTAGCTAGTAGGTATGACGGTGTCACTATCCCCATCACCCTAAACCAGCCAGCAAACCAGGAAACCACCAAACCAACAAAACAACCCGCACAAGCCAGCACAATCCCGCACAAACCAACACCAACACAACACACTGACGCGTGGTTGTACACCCGTCTTACCGCGAACCTCCCCTTCCCCTTTCCTCCTCCCGGCACTTGGCAGGAGAAGGTACTTCATCATTACATACAATTCCCCCTCTAGGACCATGTACCCTCGCACTCGCTCTCTCCTCCGCCCTTACTCGCGTACTCGGCACCTGTGATCGTATAACAAGGCATACGTAGTTCCATACGCGGCTCACTAACCGCAATCTCCACTAGTGACTTTTAGTTAGAGTGTCTTTAGTGAAAGTGTACAAGGTTGGTACCACTCTTTTACCCAACTAATCACTACTAACTACCGTGTAATTAGCACGCACTACCACCCGTCCGCCACACAATTCAGGGCAACAGTGACTTGTACTCCACATGTACATTCCCCCTGCTCTTTTGACTATCCATTGTACCCCACTGACCTCCACTAACATCCACTGACATCCACTGGCCTCCACTGACCTCACCCCCCCAACCTCCCTAACTGCCCTATGAGCTCTACTAGAGTCTGTCTACTTTACCTTCTCCTCCCCTCTCTACCCCATCCACTTGCAGGTAAATTGTGAAATAACCAGTCTTAACCCAGTATAATCACTCCTAACCCCAGTCCTAGTCACTCCTAACCACTCTCTAACCCGGTCCTAGTCACTCCTAACCACTCTCTAACCCAGTCATATCCTCTCCCAACCACTCTTATGTGGGTTATACAATTAAACACTAGCATGGTTTAACTTCACCTAACGTCGTCTAACATCGTCTAACGTAGCCTAGCACGGTCTAGCATATCTTCCTACCATGTTCAACTGTACAGACAGCATACACCATCTCACGCCGTCATATCCGTAATATCCCCATTTGACCTCTTCCTCCATCTCTAGTCTCTCCGCCATTCCCTGTCCTAATGTCCTTACAATGACCTCTATATCCCATTCTAAAGGATCTATGCATCCAGACCTTCAAAGCCGCCATCTCTTTAGCTATAATCCCACTCCTCCCCTCCTCCCCGACCCCTCTCCAAGCACCACACGCGACTCGCCGCTCCACACTTCGACAGCCGCCGCCGCCGCGCCGCTGCTTTTTATCATCCCTACCGCATTTTCTTGGCTTCCCTTGGCGGCATTTCGCTGGAGCCCTTATTTCTTTGCCACTTGGCCGTCTTGATCCTCCTATCCCCTTATGCCTGCTTCCAAGAAAACGATCTAAACACGACTAAGAAGAGCCCACCCCACACTCTTTTTTTCCTGGATCCGGATCCGGACTCGGTTCCTGGATATAACCAACTGCCACTACGTGCGTACAACCACCACGACCGCGAACCCACGACGACACTTTCAGCCTCTCCTCCGCACTTTCACCCACATCACATACATACCTCGAAACCTTGAGGATTGCGAAACGACGTCGTCTCTTTCTGCTCTTTCTTTCCTCTCTTTTCGACCTTGCTTCAGCGTTCTGTCCGTTGTGTCTGTCTTTTACATGTTGAGCTGGGGATAAGGGATAATGGTTGTGAAGCACGAGAATGTGAAATGGGTTGATGTAAGTTCACTCACTCCCCCAGCAAACAAACACCTCTCCTGTCCCCAATCCACCATCCTGTCCTCCTAGCCCTCTCACAAGATCTCGTGGTCCAGCCTCACCAACAGCTCCCCCCATCACCCAAACCTCAAAAAAGAAGACCCCCCAAGCTAACCCTCCTCCCCCCCAGGGCCTACGCGGTCTCGCCTCCGTCTCCGTGGTCGTCACCCATCTCGCGCGCACCTTCGACCAGATCCTCTTCTACCCCAACACAGGCGGCAGCCCCGAAAACCAGCCCTACTTCCTCCAATGGCCCATCATCCGCGTCTTCGTGCAGGGCCGCATCGGGATCGCCATCTTCGCCCTGGTGACCGGCTACGTGTGCGCGCTCAAGCCGATCCGGCAATCCAAGAGCGGCAACATCGACGGCGCCCTCACGAGCGTCGCGAAATCAGCATTCCGCAGAATCCCTCGCTTGTTCCTGCCGACGACAATCGCGACGTGTATTATGTGGGTGCTGAGCCAGCTGGGGGCGTATGATGTCGCGGCGGCGACGGATAGTTACTGGTTGATTACGACGAGCCCGGCGCATCGTCGGCCGTTTAGTGCGGCAGTGCATAGTCTGTTTCGCGAGATCATGGTGACGTGGACGATGCTGCAGAATAATTATGATCCGAATCAGTGGACGCTGCAGCCGCTGCTCAAGGGGAGTATGATGGTGTATATGCTTATTTTTGGGACCATCTATATGCAGCAGAAGTATAGGATGATGATCAGTCTGGCGTTTTACGTATATTTCTTCTTGGCTGGCGAAGGTGCGTTCCCCCTTCCCCCCCCTCACTGTTCAACCCCCCCCGTTCCCAATCACACCAGCTAACACAACCCCCAGTCACATTCAGCATGCAATTCTTCTTCGGCATGTTCCTCTCCGACCTCTCCAATCACCAGCCCACCCTCGACTACATCAACGCGCGCATCTGGATCCGCCGCTTCCTTCCCCCCCTCCTAATGTTCATCGGCCTCTGGATCGCCTCCTACCCCGAAGACCACGCCGACTGGGCCAACTGGTCGCAGCAGCTCAAGGACATGTCGACCTACATCCTCCTCATGAAGCAGGACACCGCGCGCTTCTACACCGGGCTGGGGATGGACTTCATCTGCGTCGCCATCTTCCTCTCCCCCACCCTCAAGGACGTCCTGAGCAGCAAATACCTGTTGTGGCTCGGAAAGAACTCCTTCGCCGTCTACCTCATCCACGGCACGCTCATCCGCACCATCCTAACATGGTGCATGTACGGCATGTCCATCCCGGCAAAAGTAGAGAAGGAAGTTGACGGCAAGATGACTCTCGTCAACGGCCCGGGTCTGAAACACGGCGGGTACGTGTACATGACTGTCTTCATCCCGCTCTTCTTCGTCCTCCTCTACTTCCTCGCCAATCTGTGGACCATGCATGTTGATCCGCTGTGCGCGAGGTGGACGGCGGCGTTTGAACGCGCCACGCTGAATGAGAGTGAGAAGACTACGTCGAGTGGGCCGGCGGGGCACGGGTTGTTGAGTCAGCCGCCTGCTTGAGGGGTGGTTTTCTCTCTCTTTTCTCGTCTTTGGTATTTTTTTGGGCAGGGTTGTGGGGGGGTTGTGGTATTGATGGGTTGGCCTGGGGGAGGGGAGAGGCAAGCGTCAAATGAGATGATATGAGATGTCTTTGCATAGCCAAGTGCATATGGGATGGGCGTGTTCCCTCCCAACTACAGTTTTTGTTGTTTGTTTATTCATTTCCGTCGTCAACTAGGGAAGGGGATAGGGATATAGTTTTTTTTGTGGAGAGGAGGGGATGGATGGATGGATAGATGGGATGGAGATATGATCGCGAGATGGGGATAAACCTTTTTTTTTGTGTCCATCATCAACCCAACCCACAGGCTACGGCCTTTTGTTTTGTTTTATTTTCGTTACCTAACTCTCTGTCTACTACTACTACCTACTACTGTTTTGTACGATTAGGAGGAGGAGGATGGGATCAATTGTGGTATACATGTTTTTTCATTTCGTTACCTTTTTTTCTTTTTTGAAAACGGACTTTGCTTGTATGTATGGAGAAGAAGGATATATACCTCCATCTTAGTGGGGATGACCACAACGGGAAATGGGGATTGTGTGTATGATGGGAGAGAGGGATAGAGAGAAAGGGGTGATAGAGTAGTATGTACGGAAATGGAACAGTACATACCAACCCTTGACCAATTCCCCTGACAGCGCTTAATCTGCCTTGAGAGTGCCTTACGCCACGATGTCCTTGGCGGGATGGTTTGTGCGCCATCATTGTTTACGGAACACAACAATCATATCACGTGCTGGAGTCGCGAGCTGAACAATGTTGAGACTAAGACGCGGGGGGTCTTCATACCGACTGTAGAGCTATATTATAGCAACATGGATCTCTAGATAAGAACGGTTGGCGGTCAGTTTCCATAATGCAGACAAGGGATTCTACAGACAGATCATCCTATAGACATAGGATTCTACTTATACCGCCGCCAAAATATTCTTGAAATCGGCCCATAGCTGCAGCAGTCAAATAGCAGCTCCAATCAAGCCAGTTTAGTTCTCAGTTTAATTCTCAATCCAGCCCTCACTCCCCCCCCCGCCCCCCCCCTCCACTCGCCAATCCATCCATCTCCCCCCTCCTCCCCCTCCTCCTCCCCCTCACCCTCACCACCACAGCATCCCTAACCTACCCCACAACCATCTCATCGACCTCCTCTTCCCCCTCAACGCAAACTACAACCGCAACTTCACCTCCCCCCTCCATCGTCCTCGGGATCCAAAACGTGCAGGCGGCGTATGCCTATGAATGGGGCATTCACTGGGGGATCTGGGCCGCCTCCCGGTCGCTTAGCTCAGTTGGTTAGAGCGTGGTGCTAATAACGCCAAGGTCGCGAGTTCGACCCTCGTAGTGACCATATTACATTTTTGTAATTTTGCTTGCTTCAGCTTCTTTCTCTTTTTGAACGTCTGTTGTGGTTGATATGTGGTACATTCCGGGTATGCGAGGCATCGCAACGTCGTGGGAGAGGGGGGGTTAACGAGTTCCAGTACTACTTCAACGATGTGGCGATTGTGCCGATGAAATATGAGTTCTTGATCGAGTTGCGAGAGCGTTTAGAAAGGTGGATCCGGACTGGCCTATGTATTATACTCCTGGGAACAATAGCGTGGGAGATAGTGAGGATGATGGTTCAAGCTCTAACGGAACAGACACGTCTTCTAACAGGACTGGGACTGGGAGCCGGGATTCTAAAGAGGATGCTAGTGTATCTAACCGTCCTGGTCTATCTGGGATTGCTTTGGGGTGTTTGGGGAGGTGGTGGCGGTGATGGCTGTGTAGGTTTATTGTAAATAAGGCGGTATAGCATAGTTTAGATATGCTGGAAATGATATATTTCAATATGGATATGAACTATTCTCTTAATATTACCTCAGTAACCCTTTTACAGCCTTCCTAAGTACCTAACTGTAATATGGCTATACTAAACTTGTAAATACTTCCATGAAATGATATATTTCTAGTATAAATATGGACATGGATATGGGCTGTTCTCTTAATATTACCCCGCCAACCCTTCTATAGCCTTCCTAAGTACCTAAATCTATAATGCTACACTAAACTTGTAGATATATATATTCTTGTAAATATATTCACAAAATAATATATTTCTAGACCATCCCCCTCAATATTACCCCACCAACACCTTCCACGGCCTTCCCGTAGCGTTGGGTACTTCTGCATGTGCTTGTTTTCGCCCTGACTCCTTGTACTTCCCTAGCGTCAAACCAACCACCACCAACCAAACCTCCCAAACTAAAAAAAAAGCGGCCGCCGTTCTGTTTTTGTGCGCCCCACACAAATATTATTCTCACGCCCGCGCCTCACCTCCTCCCATCTCCTTCCTTTCATCTCTTTACCTCTTTCTTCCCCTCTCTCTCTCTCCACACACGCGCGCCAATTCTCACCCTCGGTGTCAGAGACAAGCTACTAAAGGGCCTCTTATTCTTCATCTTCTCACCTCTTCCTACTCGACTCGAGATATTATTGGGATTCAGTTCTCAGTGATTTTCAAGCCACCAAAACTCAGCCAACCAGCAAAACTTCGAAAGAGGCATTGCCTGATCTACCAACAGACGGACTACGGACAAGACAACGGACTCCAGACAAAGCAAGAGATTACTTTCACAAGTCTTTCTCTGTTCTAGGAAAGTTGGACATAAGGAACCCTTTGTTCAGCCAAACCCAAGCAAGCTCGAACCGTACGACTACGCTCGAACCTTTCGAAACTCCGCAAAGCCAACAACCCAACACACTACCACTACTACCAACGAACGCACTAAGCTTCACACGCCCACCACAACCCACGAAGAAAAACGAACACACCGGCCCACCAACCCGACACACGCCGTGCCTTTAACTAGCCATGGCTTCCACCACCACCACCACCGCGCCCCCCCCGCAGTTCGCCTTCCGCACCCTCAAGGAAATCGGCCTCACCGACGCCGCGCCCCTCTATGCGGCCGTGCCCGGCTTCACGCGCCCCCAGGGAAACTCGCGCTGCTGCATCTACTCGCCCTGCGGACGCTACTTCGCCTGGGCCGCCGTCGAGGGCGTGCACGTCGTTGACTCGGCTACTGGCCTCCCCGTCGCGGATCTCCCAGTCCCGAACGTCTATGAGCTCGCCTTCTCGCCTCGCGGATCGTACGTTATTACGTGGGAGCGCCCGAGCAAGGACGAGGCGGGCGATGCGGTCAAGAACCTGAAGGTGTGGCGGACGATTGAGGAGGGGGAGCGAACGGTGCTTGGGCGCTGGGTGCAGAAGAGCCAGACGGGGTGGAATTTGCAATACACCGCTGATGAGAAGTACTGCGCGCGCGTCGTGACGAATGAGGTGCAGTTCTATGAGAGCCATGAGTTGGCTGTGCCGTGGAACAGGCTGAGGGCCGAGGGTGTGGCGGATTTTGCCTTGTCGCCTGGGAACAATAATTCGGTGGCTGTCTTTATCCCGCAGCGCAAGGTATGTCTATTTGACTAGGAGGAATTAAGTTGAGGTCACAGCTAACGAAAAACTCAGGGTCAACCCGCCGCAGTCAAGGTATTCAATGTGCCTCAGTTCGGTACCGCCGTATCCCAGAAGACATTCTTCAAGGGCGACAAGGTCCAGCTGAAGTGGAACGCCCTAGGCACGACCCTCATCGTGCTCGCCCAAACCGAGACCGACAAGACCGGCAAGAGCTACTACGGCGAGACAACCCTATACGTGCTCAGCGCCAACGGCGGCTTCGACTCGCGCATCACTCTCGACAAGGAGGGCCCCATCCACGACGTCACCTGGTCGCCCAACTCGCGCGAATTCGGTGTCGTCTACGGCTACATGCCCGCTAAGACGACCATCTTCAACACCCGCGCCGTGGCGACGCACTCCTTCCCCCTCGGACCGCGCAACACGATCCTTTTCTCGCCCACCGGCCGCTTCGTGCTCGTTGCCGGCTTCGGTAACCTCGCGGGACAAGTCGATGTCTACGATCTGAGCAAGGATTACCGCAAGCTCACGACCATCGAGTCTGGTAACCCCAGCGTCTGCGAATGGAGTCCCGATGAGCGCTTCCTCCTCACCGCGACGACCTCCCCACGTCTCCGCGTCGACAATGGAATCCGCATCTTCCACGTCTCCGGCTCCATCGTCTACAACGAAGACATGGTGGAACTCTACCACGTCGCATGGCGCCCGTCTCTCCCAGGCCCCAACACGGTATCCAACCCGCTCGCGCCAGTCCCCCAACACTCGTCCGCAGCGCAGTACCTCACAACCGTGAAAACCCCCTCCAAGCCCGCTGGCGCCTACCGCCCCCCCGGAGCCCGTGGCACTAGCACCCCCCTCCACTTCAAGCGCGAAGACGAGGGCGGCGCCGCACACACCGTCAGCAACGGGACCTCCCTCGTCAGCGCCCCCGTTTTCGGGCACCAAGGTCCGCGGGCTCGTCGCGCTGTCCCGGGCGCGGAATTAGTCGAGGCGACCCCCGCTGCGAGCGCGGAGGATGAGAATCTCTCCAAGGCCGCGCTGAAGAATAAGAAGAAGCGCGAGGCGAAGAAGGCGAAGGAGGCCGAGATTAAGGCTGGTGGTGGAGCACCTGCTGTGCCGCCTGGATTTGAGGGCGTTGCGGCTGGGGGCCAGGGCCAGAGGGCGAATGGTAATGCGAATGGCAATGCCAACGGCGGTCGCGGGGCTGGGCGTAACACCCCTGCTGCTGCGTCTGCTGCGCCTTCTACGCCTGCCCGTAACCGCGCCCCTGCTCCTGCTGCTGCGGTGCCGGTTCCGGAGCCGGTGGTGGTTGTGGAGGAGGTGTTGAGCCCGGGAGGCGGGTCGGCGCATGCGAAGAAGTTGAGGGGGTTGCAGAAGAAGATGAGGGCCATTGAGGAGTTGGAGATGAGACTTGCGGGGGGGGAGAGGCTGGAGGATACGCAGATGAGGAAGATTGGGACGAAGGCTAGTGTGGTTAAGGAGTTGGAGGGGTTGGAGGTGGGGGTTTAGGGTAGTTAGTTGGATGTTGGATGTTGGTGGGGGAAGGGGGTAATATAGAGATGAATGAAGTAGTGCATTTATACCAGTCTTGCAATATCTGCCATCATGTGGGTATGTTTGCTTCTTGTCCTGTTGTAATAAATGTATACCCCTATCTTGAGTATAACCCCCCCTAATTTCTCGTTTCGCTACTTTAAAGCCGCTCCATCACTACGGAGCCTGGCACATACACTGTTACTGCTGTTTGTGGTGATATTGGAAAAATATAAGAACCCGTCGATCTCGTAGTACTCACTACCTACCTTGCTATACACGTAGATGGGGAAGATTGGGATGAAGGCAAGTGTAGTTAGTGTCTGGGTGTTCTATAGATGATAGTTAAATCGGCTTCTTCTATCAAGACTTCGAAAATTGAAACTAAGCCACTCTCCTAAGACGCTAGCCACATATCCCTGCACATACCCGCTGTCAACCATTCTCCGAATCTCACCTACAATTGTCACGTTTGTCGTAGTAAAAGACAGGCGCTTCTTCGTCATAGTTATGGTTCTCTTTGTCTACGCAGGATTTGTACCCTGAGAACCGCATCTAGAGGTCGATTTTGACTTCTAGACTGATGTCGCGGCGGTGGATAAGGGAGTGGACGATTTTCTTGTAGCCTTTTGGTGGGGAGAATTTTGTGGAAGTCCTATCACCTTCTCTACCCTATGAGAGGCGTTAACGGTGACTAAGGGCTCCAGACAAGGCTGGGGCTGAGCAGTTGGGGGAGCCTGGTGTAGAGACCCCAACAATAATGTTACATCCTGTCCGTTCTATTCCCTTTAGTATACTGTATCAAGTGTGTGCGTTTCTTGACGATATTCTCTGCGCGTAGCTCGTTAGGTACGATCTATCATCGCTCCCTGCCTCCAAGTTATTGTGTAAGGCTCTGATGATGGTGCGTACGAATCGAAACACGGCCTCAATCGGACTTACCACACTCTACGAGCCCGAGGATGCACTGATCGAGTAAGTCTTGCGTAGACGGTGATTTTGGTCTGACCGTTTCGACTCGAAGCTGCTAACATATAAGGTAGCATCGTCTTTATCCACGGCTTCAACGGCCATCCCGAACGGACATGGACATACAAGCGGGCAGATGCCGACCCCCCAAATCATTCCAATGATCCCGAACTCCCTGAACGTCCGTCCAAGTTTCGAAAACTCAATCCCTTCAGCAAGGACCAGGAGAGAAACAGCTGCCCCCCGAAGGAAACATATTGGCCCCGAGACCTTCTTCCCCACACTGTCAAGAAGGCTCGGGTCCTGACATTCGGCTACGACACAACGGTGCATCACAGGTTCGGGCAAACGAGGAACCGCAATACCATCTACGACTTTGCCTGGGAATTTCTGAACTGCCTTAGCGATGCTCGCCAGTCAGATGGGCAAAGTCGGCGTCCGCTTCTCTTCGTCGCTCATAGTCTCGGTGGGATCATTACGAAGGAGGCCCTGCGGCAGGCCAACTTAAAAAGCGCGCACGAGTCCTGTGCACATCTCAGGGATATCTTCTTGTCCACCTCGGGCATCATTTTCTTTGGTACACCACACCGAGGAGCAGATCCAAGAGGTTTTCTTCAGCATGTTGCTGAAAGAGCTGTTCGTGCTGCGGGGTTCACGGTCAACCAGAAGGTCTTTGATACACTTTTGCCCGACTCAGAGCGCCTGAAGGAACTCCTTGATGAGTTTCCTCTACTTGTTAGTAAGATGAAGTGGAACATTGTCTCTTTTAGAGAGATGCATGGTATGGCAGTCCTAGGCGGTAAAAAGGTCTGTTTGTATCCTTCATATTATTGCTTGTACCCTTTATACTGCTCGCGACCTCTTTACTAACTAGCTATTAGGTTGTTGACGATGCATCATCTTGTCTTGGTGATTTCAACCTAGAGATTGTCAGAGACATAGAGAGTGATCATAGGGATATGTGTCGATTCTCTGGTCTTAACGACCCTCGATATAACAAGGTTGCGGCGGCTATCCACCGTATTGTACAACCTTCACTTGGGGAATTGAATAAAGAAATATGTGTCGAGGAGTCTAGGTCGAGGCCGAGAGCAATGACTCCTGAACCTAAGACTCCTGAACCAAAGACTCCTGAACCAAAGACTCCTGGACTAACGACCCCTGGACCCGCGACTCCTGGAACAACAACTTCCGAAACCAAGGACGATGGCAAAATACTTTCTGAGGCTCAGCAGAAAGAAATGATGGACCGATTACGCTTTCAGCAAATGGACGCCCGTCTATTAACACTCAAGACAGCACAAGCAAAAACCTGTCGTTGGCTACTCAAGAACGGAAACTACAAGGATTGGATCAATACGACGAAGATCAAAGAGCACCACGGCTTCTTTTGGATTAAGGGCAAGCCTGGAACTGGAAAATCTATTATGATGAAGTTTCTATTTTGGGAGGCAAAGAAGTCCATGAAGGGCTCGATTGTCATGTCGTTCTTTTTCAACGCTCGAGGTGGAGACCTCGAGAAGTCGACTACTGGATTATATCGTGCGCTGCTTTTGCAGCTCTTAGAGAAAGCTCCGGAAACTCGCCACGTCCTCGACTACTACGGAACGTCTGGGTTTAATGCCATTAAGGAGGCTAGTGATTGGCCTGATGAAATGCTCAAAGAGGCGTTTACTCGAGCTCTCGAGAAACTAGGAGATCAGCGAATCGTTTGTTATATTGATGCCCTAGATGAATGCCCCGAGGATGATGTCCGTGATATGATATCGTTCTTTGAAGGACTTGGGGATCTTGAGAAAGCAGTGGAATTCCGCGTTTGTTTTTCGAGCCGCCATTATCCGGAAATCAGCATCCGAACTGGTCTCCAGCTTGTCCTTGAATCAGAGCAGGATCACAAAAACGACATCATTCTCTACATCGATACCCACCTTAAAATCGGCACAACTACTCAAGCTGAGGACATCAAGGCACAGATTTTAAAAAAATCTTCAAACATCTTTCTTTGGGTTGTATTGGTCATTCCTATCCTGAACAAGGAATACGATCGTGGGAGGATTAAGGCTCTGAAGAAAAGACTTGGGGAGATCCCTGCCGGGCTGCACGAATTGTTCCTCGATATACTAACGAGGGACCATAAGAACATCGGTGAACTCCTGGTTTGCATTCAGGCTATACTATTCGCCGCACGACCATTTAGACCAGATGAACTCCGGATCGCAGTCGAAGCAGGTAACGAGGACGATCCTACAGATGGGCCATGTGATCCGGCTCAGATGACGGCCGACAATTTGAGGAGATTTGTATTAGATGCTTCTAAAGGGTTGGCAGAAATCACCAAATCCAAAGAGCCAACTGTCCAGTTTATACACGAGTCGGTACGCGACTTTCTGCTTAAGGATGGAGGACTGAAGAAACTACTTCCTACTGCGAAGAATTTTGAGGGACAAGGGCATGACACTCTCAAGAGAATTTGCTCACTCCAGCTTTCGCTATATACTGCACGACTGGCCTTATTTACTGAACGAGTGTCAGTAAGGGGCGAGAACCCCTTACTTTGGGCCAAGGAATACCCATTGTTACAATATGCAGTAGATCATATCTACTTTCACGCGAATTGGGCACAAAAACAGGGTCTAGATCAGACTGTGTTCCTCGAGACTTTCAATACTCGAGAGTGGCTGCGGGCACGTAACGCTTCTCACAAGACGCTGCTACCATCGGAAACCTGGCACAATCGCCCTCACCTCTTGTACTTTCTCGGCGAATATGGTTGTGCTGATCTTATTGGAATCCACCCCGAGAGAGACCAGCACCTTTCATTAGAATGGGGACCTTTTGGATATCCTATAGTAGCAGCTCTATATGGTGGCCATAGTGCTGCTGCTCGCGCATTTGTAAACCTCCCTCAACTGCATGATGAGACCTCAGCGAATCCAGCGCAACCGATATCTCGCCGCAGTTTTACGAGGAAGAAGGGAGGCTTTAATAAGATACGGCATGTCATCTCCTTCCTATGCCAATTCGGCGATGTGGACATTTTGAGGGTAGTGCTGGAATCTAGCCTTCCCGGAGCTAAGCAAAACCTAGGGGTTTTGCTTAGCTCCCAGGACACTATGTGGGAGTGCTTACAATACGCCTCATCAGAAGCGATTGTAGACATGCTTATGGAATTCAACACTGCTTACATTGGGATCACTGAAATCATTGGTCACAAAAAGCCGCTCAATCTATTAAATAACGGCGAGGAGCCGACTCTCTCGAAATTTCCACATCTGGAATTAGCCCTGAAAAAGCACCCTCCCCTAATAAATAAGGGTGGATTCTGGGGTAATTCTATAAACCTGTTGAGCTATGCGGCCAAGAGAGGGTTCGAAGATATCTCGAAGCTCTGCATAAAAGATACATATGCCTGTAATATATCAAATGCCCTACGGTGCGCGGTCCGTGGACGTATTAACCACAGCAGTCGATTGGTAATCATTGAAATTTTGCTAGATGTCGGAGTAGACCTAAGGGCTGGCGAAAATCAGAATATTGACGGATTGATCTTCGACGCAATGATGCAAACTCACAACGAGGAGGTCGTCGCTTTACTGTTATCCACATCATCCTTGGATCTAGAGGCTAATAGGCAAGGTTTGACGCCACTCCTCTGGGCAATTCAAGAATCGCGAAAGACATTTGTCAAAATGCTCTTGGAGGCTGGCTCGGACCCTATGGCACGTACTCCAAATGGAACCACAGCCTTGACTCTCGCCGTGAAGTTATCCGATCTCAGCTCATTTCGATGCATGCTTAGCAATCCAAAGTGTGAGGTCGACGCTCGAGATGACAATGGGCGGACAGCCCTATCTTGGTGTGCGACAGTGGCAGATAAAACTGCTATAGCAATGGTCTCGGACCTCATCAAACTACAGAGCGTGGATCCAAATTCAAGGGACTATTCTGGCCAGACTGTATTAATACGAGCAGTACGGTCTGGCAACCCTGAGCTGGTCGAGGCACTGCTCAATTCGCCTAGAATTGATCCAGACCTTCCGGCAAACAGGGGCTCAACTCCACTGATGCTCGCCATTAAATTTTCTCGTGATTATGGCTGCAATCGAGTGTTCTGGGAAATATCACGAATGCTCCTCTTGACAGGGAAGGTTGATATTGATCGTTATAATAGGCGCACTACACTTCATTCACTTGCTGAATATTATGGAACAGTCGAGCTGGTAAGATTAGTGGAATGCTTCTATCGATGTAGCGGAAGTCAAATGGACGAATTGAAGGACTTGGAGTGGGATGGCAAGGAAATGCCACAAACTCTGCAGTAGACCACGGGAAACTCGAGGGATTCCACACTTGTTATATCAATTCCGCTTGGTGGACCACAAACCCATCTTGGCCTGCCACCTAAGTCATTTCTGACGCTATCATGGTAAATACTAGGATCTGTGCAACACTCTGTGTACCATTTTAATCGTCACTAGCGAGAGATTTTACATCTGCGGATAGTTGAACAGTTTAAATGTGTCACAGTACCTAGCCAGCTCCAGCTGGGTATAGTATGCGACGGCTGCCCCACCGCTAAAACAGTATGAGAATGAATCAAATATCTCAGCATTTCTCATACAAAAACTGGTGGCGTGTGCCAAAGCACAGACTTTAGTATTTCCCACCCGAACTGCCCATATTCTGTGATGCAGCCCTGAGGTCTAATAATTAAATATCTAATACTTGCATACAATCAGATCTAGACATGCAACAAAGACCGCCCGTGTCTTCGCCTATCGAGTTGAATATTGCTGAATCCTAATGGGGGGTATATTGTAGTGTTGGGACACGGATCCGTTCGGGGTGTCGATTCAAGCGAAATTTGTGATATTCGGTATAGACCCAGCCAGATTTATGGCTGTATCAGAGTCTGGGTGGACGAAGAATGCAATGGCAATAGTAACATAGCTGAGAACGAAATCATTATTAGGCTAGCCAAGGAAAGAAGAGGGTGGCGAGGTACTTACGTGCCGATCAAAAGCACACCTTCAAAGTAATTGGTCTGTCCGTCACGAACCAGGCAGTTCACTATGAGGACTGACATGGTGAGAGCAATGGTTTCGAAGGTGTCGAACTGCAATGTCATGTCTTTCCCAATGATCCAACCTACTATCACCAAGAACGGGGTAACGAACAGTGATATCTGTAACGTACTCCCCACAATGACGGAAACTGCAAGGTTTATCTTACCAGTCCTGGACCATTTAACCGTGGCGACGTAGCATCCCGCATTCCCAACGATGGGCACGATGATGAGACCGATAAAGCTGCGACTGACACCTAACGCCTCGACGAAGCCGTCGACACTGTCGATGAGATAATCGGAGCAGACCGCCACACCGACAGTCGCAAGAATAAGAACCGTGCTGCTAGACCAGGTGCTCAACTTGTCGCTTTGCTCGTCCTCTTCCTCTTCAGTGAAGAGATGACTGTGGGTATAAGACTGGAAGAATAAATACAGCAGGTAAAATATGAGGAGGATTATGGATGTGGTGCGGGATAAGTTCAAGATATAATCGTTTGGATTATGGTTGGAGTCATTAGACCCGGGATTGGCGATATAGAGAGCGGACGGAATGATGAGAGAGGAGCACGAAATGATCATCAACGACGTGAGAATGCCGGCAATGTCAATGTTGATGTCAACCGTTTGCTTTCCCACTCCGACACAAAAAAAAGATGTACCAAGAATCTAGAGACAGGTGTCAGCGCGGATTGGGAGTGACCAAAGCAGTGGAGGGAAGCCTTACAAGCAAGATGGATGATAGAATACTGCCGATCATACTCGACTGCACAATGCTTATTTCCCCCTCCTTGAGAGCACTTATGCCAACCTGAAGAGACAAAGTCAGCGACGAAGGAGTCATGGGTTTCTGGTGAAGGAGTCTGCGTAGGGGCAAGAAAGCATACTATCATTTCCACGGCATTGCCAAACGTGGCATTGATCAATCCACCAATGACCGAGCCAAACTCGGCTGCCAGTTGCTCAGTCGAGAAGGTCAATATGGAGGCGAGCGGGAACATGGCCAGGAAGTTGAGAGTAAACACGGCGGCGGGGCTCCAGCCGTGTTCAGCGGCATATATACCGAGAGGTACGCAGACGAGAAGGACATTTGAATAGCTGTACCGGATCGTAGCACTCAGCGCGTGCCATGCCTCACGAGAAACGCGCAAGGACACATGTTGTCGATTTCCCCCCGAAACTGGCTGCCACTGGCTGGTCTGGTCTTGATCTTGAGCGTGCCGCTGTCCATTGAGCAGAGGCATCGTGTCGGTCGGGGGCGACGGCGATTGCGCTTGGATGGGCGACGCGGGATTAGCCATGGCACAAAATTGCAGTGATCAAGAGGTCTCAAAGCCCTTGGGAAGCAGTGCTGAGCAATTGCGATAGTTCACAACGCAGGAGGAGATCTGAGGTTGTTGTAAGGTTGATGTCAAAATGTCAAAAGCATAACTGCAAGGTAAAGCTAACGTCCTCAGCCTCGGGGGGGAGGGGGTCTTGCTGCCCCGCCGTTCTTCACCTAGCCTAGTGCCTTATGGAGGTACTGTGCCGGCAGGCACTCGTGCTGTGCTGTACTCCGTAGTCCTACTTTGTACTGCTCTACTATCACCCCCTGTATGATTGTAACGACCTGGAAAAGTATTGCTAAAGCTTGGCAGGATCGCTCACTAGAACTGGACGTCATTCTGCCTAACTTGGGTGCGGTGGAGTAGTAAAAACAGTAGATCGTTACAATCATATAGGGAGGGAGGATAGGATTAGTAGTTGGTCCCGACGTGGCCTACTACAAAGGTCCCTGTCTTGAATCCTAAGCAGTATTTAGGCTTGAAATAGCCCATAAATAAAATTCGGCCTAACAGAAGCAATCTATCCAATAGAATAGCGATGCAACGATCATCTCCACCTGTAAATGAAAACAATGACACTAACGGCTGGTACCGTTTAAAAAAAGTGGCACAAGCCGTTTCATACGGGGCTACGCGTACGTATACGGTAGAAGTCCCTATACTACAGTCACTGCTAGAAAGAATAGCCAAGCGTAGGGTTATGAATGTCGGTCAATTATTGTGTAATATCTGAAGCTGACGGGAATCGGCACCTGTTGGCTGAATACTACATCGCTAGCGTGCTTGCGTTGTTACTCTACATGTACAGTTCAGTGTTCAGTACGTAATTACAGTACAGCTCGCGAAGTGAAGCGTTCTCAAGGACACAAATGCGAAGAGCCTCTATAGCCGCCACTACTACACATCCAACGTCAACATCGCATACAAACTTCCTATGACGAGGTAATACTGTCTGTGCAATAGCAGCTTTGCCATGAACCCCGAGTCGTTGGCGACAACCCGACGCCGTAGCCACGCTCGTTCTTCAAGCCCAACAATGGACCCCGTTAATGGGGCTGAGGCTCCCATATCTCGCCCTGGCCCTCGCTCTTCTTCCAACTTGGAGCCGCAGGGTGGGTTGCTGCGCAGAATCAACTCCCTTCCGGTCGCTAGGATATCAAGGACCGCAACGGCGTCGCTATTTACGCGTACCGAGACCTGGGGCGATGCAGGTCCTTCGCTCAACCATAGTTATGGGCCGGCCAAGGGGCTTCTCGTCTTTGTCCCCATTGGTATCGCTGCTGGAGTCTGTGGCCTACCTGATGTGGCTATCCTCATCCTCAACTACCTGGCGTTGGCGTCCTTGGCTCCCTTCATCACCTTCACCGTCCTGGGGCTCTCTAATGGCGTGGGAGTCTCGAGTGGCCTCCTAAGGGCTATCTTTGGAAATGCCACTGAACTAATTGTAAGTATGGCCTTGCCTCCTAGTCCACGCTCTACCTCGATGGCCATCTAACATGAAATTTCTCGACAAGATCAGCATTACTGCTATGTGCTATGGCCAGTTCCAGCTTGCCCAGGGGACATTGATAGGGAGTACCATATTATACTCCCTTTTTGTAAGGCCCATTCCTTCGTTCTGCCTTGCCCGCTCTAACTTTAGGAAACGCTAGGTCTTAGGTGGCAGTTTCTTGTGCGCCAGCTACGGCAAAGATCATCAAATGTTTAGCAAGACTCGAACGGGGGCCATGTCAGCTCTTGTCATGGTCGTGTCCATTTGCCTCACCATCCCGACCATCATGTCTATATCGAACAAGGAAAGCGTACCACAGGAGGGCCGTCAACGCAACATGCTAATACTATCTCACGGTACTTCCGTTGTCCTCTTCTTCCTCTCCATTTCGTACCTCGCATTCCGCTTCCAGACTCACCATAAACTGTTTAACCGCGACCATGGGCCCACGCGTTCATTGACCGTGCTTCTCATGCAGCCAGAGCACGTTACCACGAGCCCTCTCATCCTGGCTTTCGGCTTCCTAGGCGCCATGGTCTGCGCTGGGATCTGCACCAACTATGTGATCCGCAACATTGACCTTACGGTTAAGATGTTGCACATAACTAAATCTTTCGCTGGCCTGGTTCTTCTGCCGCTGGCGGGTAACCTTGCGAAGTCCTTCAACATCATTAGGAATGCGAGACAAGAGGGAAATATTTCGCCCAAAACGGCGAACAACTTGGACTGCGCTATACGATTAATCATGACAAATATCCTGGATACCCTGCTGTTTATCATGCCTCTCTTGGTTCTGTTAGGTTGGATCATTGACAAGCCTATGACGATGCAGTTTGGCCTTTTTGAGACCGTCGTCTTCCTCCAGTCCATAGTCATCATGACATACTTGGTACAACATGGCAAGACTACTTATTTCGAGGGTTTTATGCTCATTGGAACGTAAGCATATTTTAGATTTTTCTACCAGCTAAGACGCCCTTTTCATTAACATGTAACCCCTAGATATGTCTCTATCGCTGCCGCTTTCTATGTCCGCCCTGACGTAGCTGAAGGCGGCACCAACTCATGGAAATGATGGGTATAAATAAAAGTAAGGGAAGACAAAAGTCAATTATATGGCTCAATAAAAATAGCCAGCGCGATAACCGTGTACCTAAGATAATAAAGTTAGCAAATGGCATGCAGATTTTATCTTCAAAACCACATGAATGACTGCCTTACATTGACAAGAGCATGATGCCATGGAAATATGTGTACTTTCCATCCTGCAGCACCTGGTTCACGCTCAAGACAGCCAGGAGGAGGATGTAGGTCTGTGACGTCTCGAAGTAAAGGTCCATGGCGCGGCCCATGTACCAGCCGATGACCACGAGAAAGGGGAGGACAAAGAGGGCAATCTGTAGAATGCTCCCTATAATGACCCCAATGGCGAAGTTGATCTTCCGCTGCTTTGAGGCCGCAACCACCTGCGACAGCTCAGGGGCATTGCTAGCCAAGGGGATGAGAAATATAGCGATAAACGTCTTAGTGATATGCAAGGATTTGGCAGTCTCGTCGAGGCTCGTAATAAAATATTGCGTGCACTTTGTAATCAATGCCGCCGAGATGATTAAGATGGCGACGGCTGAGTAGACCTCAGACACCGACGGCGTATCGTCTTCCTCCTGGCTTTTAATAGCTTCTCTGGTAGCCTCGTCAATCTGCTGTTGCTGGGGGTCCTCAATGCCATCTCCATGTGCCTCATGATGGACGTCGTCCTTTTCGTCGAGAAAAACAGACGGGTGAGTCCAGAGCTGGAAGTACAAGAAGATGACATAGATGAGCAGTAGCACAACGGCTGTTGCCCGCGAGAAGGACAGGATCTTGTCATTAATATCCTCGCCCCCCTTGGGGAGGGTCGAGTACAGTATTGTAGGCAGAATGAGCGCCACGGCGGCGACGAGCATCAGCGACGACAATGCGTCGACTATAGCGGCGTTGACAGAGAGGATGCTGGTGCCGTGGGCTGCGGCAATGAAACAGCAACCTTGAACCTGCAAGAATAGAATTAGAGGGTGAAACTTGGCTGCGGCCAGATTGGAAGCGACTGACGAGGAGAATGTCTGAGAGGATGCTACCCAACATGGTCGACTGTGCAAGCCTTATTTCGTTCTGGTTAATGGCCAGGATGCCTACCTGCAATCCGAATTAGCAACTCTTAGGTGGCGTTTAGTTTAGGTAATAGCTAACAATTAACTCGACGGTATTGCCGAAGGTGGCATTGACTAGGCCGCCGAGCAGCGAGCCCCATCGATTCGCCAGAGTGTCTGAAGCATCTGAGATGAGAGCAGACAACGGTATGATGGCGAGGAAGTTGAACACCGATACCAGTACCGCGTTCCAACCAAGGAATCCGGCAATAAAGCCCAGTGGCGCGAAGCCCAGAAGCACTTTGATTACGATGGGTTGCTCAGCGACCTGCCGCCCGGCATCGACAAGCAGCCGCCGCCATCCCAGCTCAACATCCTCTCGATGAGCACGACCGCCGCCTAGCTCGGCGGAGTCGTTGAGGAAGGGATCGGATTCCGACATGGTTCGATCCGTGTCGTAATTGATTAGAGGGAAGAAGAAATCAGTCTCTAAAAAAAAGTTCGTGTCGGTGGTGACACTATCTGAGTTGCTAGCAAGCTGTATCTGGCTGGAGTTGCAAGATCGATCACAAGGCTGAGACGGGTTGAGCCGCAACAACACCTCTAAACTTTAGTCAAATGCCATTTAGAAGCTAGGGAGCTGGAGCTGTCAAACGCGCCGGGGGACTGCTTATTGGAGAGTTCTGTCCCCTGGTTTGTGCCGCCAAAGCTACCTAAGAATAGTGCAGTGAATATTAATGACATTTACCACTCCACCCGCCAAGTTAAGGACGCGTAATCCTAGGAGCTAAGCCAGTCAGAATAGTGGGGAGTACAGTATCCTAATGTAAATCTTGAACGACGGGTCATTTCCACTGGACGGTACGGTACATGACACTTGCCGAGGACGAGGGGTTTTTCGTACAGCGCACAGTACAACGAAGAATCCTTCGTCCTTAGCTTTAGGGGAAAGGTGTTGCTTGTTCACAATTGGCTGAACATGAGGACGACGGGGGGATTTTCATTCCTACGGGTACTTACTTCAGAGACTGACTTCTTACCGGGTAGCTCCTCCTTACCTCACGGAAATATCCCTACGCTAATGCACGTGCTATGAACGGGGTAGGTAACCCCTACCTTAGTGAATACGGAGTAAGATTATGGACGGATTTGTTTTGTATGGTCCATGGGAATGGATTCGTGAAGTTGCGAGACTTGGCTGAGGGAAAAAAAGGCGAAAAGGCTGAAATATAACTACGAACAATTGGCCGACGAACAATACCTACCGATGAGCTGCTTCTCCGTATTCTAATTCTTAGCCTTCTGTCGTCCTTAGCATATTATCATAGCTGTTTGGCCTGGGCTATCTTCAACAACGACGACGTAGCACCAGAACAGCAGACTCTCCTTATTGCAGTCACCTGCACCCTGCACCCTGCACCCGACATCGAGACCTTGCTATGCTTTCGCCATCCACACAGTAGCAGCGTCAAGTGTTCGATGGGGATCTCACCTGGCCATGACGTCGAGTCTAGGCTGGTATCCTTTGACACTCCTCGGAGACCAAAACCACCCACGATAACAGTCACTCCAGGTGTGAGTTTGCCCACATGCGCCTCTTGTCTCACTCCACCCTGTCTCACTGCATCTTGTCTCACCCCGTCCTGTCTCACTCCATCCTGTCTCCCTCACCAGACCATCTTACAGGCCTCTCAGGATGACCGCGATAGCTCGTCGACGACGCGTCTAGCAACGGCCTACGATGCGCCCCAACGCGTTGTCGCCGCCGATAATGCCTCGCAGCCACTTTTGGGACCTGGCACAGGGCGCGGCCGAAGTTCTTCGTCGTCCTCTTTTGCGTCGTCGCTCCGGCCTGACGCACCACCCAGGCGCATCTTTCCTAACATTCCCATCGATGCGTCAGCGTCAGGCAGTCTAGAGCCTTACCCTCGCTCGCCTTCGTTACACGATGGGTCCTCGACCACCACCATGGCTCCAGTATTCTCTGTTGGAAGATCGCGTGCATCTTCGGGGATAACTGTGATCAGACACGGAGACAACGACAACATTCTAGCGCCTGGTCCTGGTAAAAGAGTTTCTTCTCACACCGAGGATAACCCGTTTGCGTTCGGCCCTAATGTGATCGCCGAGATGATTGCTTCAAAAAGCCTCACGGAATTTCAAGCGTTAGGTGGACTCGCAAAGCTAGCACAAGGCCTGCGGACAGATCTTTTGACTGGCTTGAGCCTAGATGAGGCATGGCTACACGGCACTGTCCGTAGCGGGTCAGCGTCGCTAGCTACGGCGGCGAGACATCAAGAGAGTTACCAGGTTTTGCAGGCTAGGAGGGCTGTGTATGGGACGAATCGTCTCCCAGACCAGAAGACAAAGGGCATCTTCGAGCTCATGATTTTGGCACTTAGCGACAAGGTCTTAGTTCTTCTCTCCGTTGTCGCCATCATCTCTCTGTCCCTAGGTCTGTATCAGGCTTTCGGGCAGCCTCATAAGCCGGGCCAGCCACGTGTCGAATGGGTGGAAGGCGTTACAATCATGGTTGCTGTTATCATCGTCGTCGTCACGGGGGCCTTGAACGACTATCAGAAGGAACGACAATTTGCTCAACTTAACAAGAGGGTGAGTTATTCTCTAATCTCATGACCACTCTCACTCCGTGACTATATTACTGGTATAACTTAGAGTACTAACATTTGGATGTAGAAAGAAGATCGCATGGTCAAAGCAATCCGATCGGGGAGGTCGGTAGAGATTTCCATATATGATGTCCTCGCAGGTGATGTGCTGCACCTAGAGCCTGGAGATCTTGTCCCAGCAGACGGTATTCTAATTTCCGGTTATACTGTTCGATGTGATGAATCTTCCATGACTGGAGAATCCGAACAGATACAAAAAGTCGCTGGGGACGAGGCCTTGGCTAGATTACATACGTCCGGAGATGTAGACAGCTTAGATCCCTTCATCATCGCTGGGAGCAAGGTTTTGGAAGGAATTGGCACCTACATTGTCACAGGCGTCGGTATCAACAGCACACACGGGCGACTGATGATGAGTCTGACAGAGCGTACCGACGAAACACCATTACAAAAGAAGCTGAGCATAGTGGCGGACAAAATTGCCATAAGCGGAGTGGCCGCGGCCGTTACCTTGTTCGTTGTTCTCACAGCCAAGTTCCTGAGTCAACTTTCAGGAAGCCACGACTCTCCGTTTGAACAGGTCCAGGCGTTCCTGCGAATATTCATTGTCTCGATCGCCATTGTTGTTGTAGCTGTCCCAGAAGGACTACCTCTGGCTGTCACACTAGCACTAGCAATCGCTGTGACACGAATGCTGAAAGATAACAACCTTGTGAGGATCTTGTCGGCTTGTGAAACGATGGGAAATGCGACTACTGTGTGCTGCGACAAAACGGGGACCCTCACCACGAACAGGATGACAGTTTGTGCGGGAACTGTAGGCGTTGCGGGTCGGTTCTTGGATGAGGGGAGTCAACCAGGCGGTAGCGAATCACGACGTGGTTCTGTTCGGCCTAACTCATACAACACCATGGAAGGAACAGCAGGGAGTTCCGCTTGGAAAGATGGGGCTGTTCCGACGGGGACGTTTTGTTCTCTGCTTGCCTCAGATGTCCGAGATATCATGGTGAAATCCATCGCCATAAACTCCACTGCCTTTGAAGGCGAGGAAGACGGCAAGCCGGCTTATATCGGTTCGAAGACCGAGGCTGCACTCTTGACATTCGCGAGAGACTGGCTGGGAATGCAACCGCTCGATGTGGAACGCGAAAACGCCGAGGTGGTCGAAATTTACCCATTCAACTCGACCAGAAAGTGCATGGCTGTTGTGACACAGCTGCCCAATGGCTTGTATCGAATATATCTAAAAGGAGCGCCTGAAATTGTCTTGGAGAAGAGCAGTCGAGTCATTTCTAAGACAACTTCCCAGCTGAGCGAGAACGTCAATTTGACAGAAGATAGACTTGAGGTGCTAACGGGAGCCATCAATGAATATGCTTCTCAGTCGTTACGGACTCTTGGCTTCGCATACAGGGACTTACCATCATGGCCTCCCCTAGGGGATGGGGTGGGCGAGGTGCCTTTCGACGACATATTTGCCGACATGACGTTCGTAGGCGTCCTGGGACTCCAGGATCCACTCAGACCTGGAGTTGAGGCCGCTGTTGAACTGTGCCAGCATGCAGGAGTATTTGTAAGAATGGTGACCGGCGACAGCGTCAGAACTGCTCAGGCGGTAGCAAGAAAATGTGGCATTCTCACGGAATCTGGTGTTATTATGGAAGGCCCAGATTTCAGAAAATTGTCCGTTCCCGAGATGGATAGCATACTGCCGCATCTGCAGGTGCTCGCAAGATCTAGTCCAGAAGACAAAAGGATGCTTGTGAAGAGGCTGAAGGAGCTAGGAGAGACCGTAGCTGTCACAGGCGATGGCAGTAATGACGGCCCAGCTTTGAGAGCGGCAGATGTTGGGTTTTCGATGGGTATCTCTGGCACTGAAGTTGCCAAGGACGCATCGTCGATCATTTTGATGGATGACAACTTCTCGTCGATTGTTAAGGCAATTGAATGGGGTAGGACGGTCAACGATGTGATCAAGAAGTTCCTCCACGTTAGTTTACATATGAAAGAGTGGAGAAAATCTTGACTAACATCAATCACAGTTTCAACTTACGGTTAATGTCACCGCAGTCACGCTCACCTTCGTATCTGCGGTTGCAAGTAATAAGGAAGAATCCATACTTACCCCAGTTCAGCTGCTTTGGGTGAATCTCATTATGGACACCTTTGCCGCTCTCGCTCTCGCCACAGAGCCTGCGAACCCAACTGTTCTCGAGAGGGAGCCAGAGAGGAAAACAGCACCACTGATCTCGCCTACTGGCTGGAAAATGATCATAGGGCAAGCTATATACCAACTCATTGCCGTCATGCTTTTATATTTTAAAGGAAACGAGATGCTCGGATATACGCAGCCGGAGGATATGGAAAGACTCCAGACACTGATCTTCAACGCTTTTGTCTGGATGCAAGTTTTTAATCTCACCAAGTAAGCTATTAAATGGGGATTTCCGAGACTCTTCCAAAGCTAACTATGCGCTAGCAACCGTCGACTCGACAACAAGCTCAATGTATTCAGCGGCATCCTCCAGAACCCGTTCTTTATTGCAGTCAATATGGTCATCATTACAGGTCAAGTTCTCATCATATACTTTGGGGGCAGCGTGCTCGCTACGACACGGCTCTCTGCAAACGAGTGGGCCATATCTCTTCTCATAGGATTCGCGTCTCTTCCCGTTGGCATGTTACTTCGTCTCACTCCCGACGCATCACTCCAACGAATCTTCACCTTCCGGGTGGGCACGCAGAGGTCAAGGGAGACTCGGGCATCGGAGGCTTCTGAGGGCGACCAGTGGCACCGCGCCATCGAGAATGTGCGTTTCAAGCTTGGTTCTAGAAGACAACCCCGCAGCTCGCGACTGGAACGTCTGCGACGTGGGATTTTACCCTTCGTCAAGGCAAAATTATTTGGAGTGGCCCAGGATGATGACGGAGAGGTAGACGAAATAAGCCCTTTACTTCCTTTTAATAGTAGGCAGGATCTCTCACGGACAGGTTCAATTTGTGCACCTGCTGCAGCAGTCATGGCAGGCATTGTCGCAGGGGGAGTGGCTGGTTGGCCACGTATACCAGATGAGACATGAAATTTAGATCTGTACTCATAAAATTTTCTTTTGTTCTAGAATAGAATCATCTGCTTTCTCATATTCGGCGTATTTGCTCGAACGTTTCTACCATGTCCTTATATTTTTATACAAGTTTCTGATCGTGATGATGTAGCCAAAGCTATATTTGCGGCTAAGATGCATGTGTGATTAGCTCAGCGGAGATCCGTGGCTAAGCATTTGCGATCGGCTTGGCGATCGGCTTGGCGCCCTGTCACATTTCCAGGGGTAGAAGGTTTCGAGATTGAGCACGCGTATACTCAAGGTTTCAGTGCGTGAAGGCCAACCGAAGGGGGAAGGCGACGAAGCGACCGATCGTTTCCTCTCGAATTCGGTGGCGAGACATTGTGAATTGAGGCAGGCTCTGGGTCTATATGAGAGCAACGGCGTGCATTTGGTGGACTCGATGGACAATGATAGCTAATGGTACGAGTTAGTTGGGGAATCCGAGAGTGACGAAGATTCTCCGCGAGTTTTGGTCAGCCTTCGGTTTAGGGCGACAAAAAAAAGTCAGCCTCAGAGAAAAAAAAGTGGACGCATTATCAACTATCCGGGCCCCCATATGATTGTAAAAATCTATTGTTTTTACTGCCTCACTGCAACCAAGTTAGGCAGAATAGCGTTCGATTTTAGTGGACGATCATGCTAAGCTCTTGCAAAACTTTTGCGGGTCGTTATAATCACTACAGGGGGGAATAGCATATGCTCGACTAATACAACAAACACCTTATCTAGTCACAACCCGCCGCTGGCCGAGCCCGCGTGAGGCTGTGTCGCTCGTGGCATGTCACTATGAGGGATTTTTCGGAATTTTATTTTGAACCATACTAGAATAATGTGCCATTTTATATATAACCAGCCTCCTCCAGCCATGATAGAGTTCATTTATTCCTCACTCACAGTCTTCCATCTACACACCGAGATTCGATTACAGAAATCGAATTCATTAAACACTGTGGGTTTTGCCAGGCTTAGTTGGATGCTACTTTTGGTGTATTTGATATGTAACTGACAATATGCAGAAAACGAGATTGAACAGGAGCAGAGACTCCTGCGAAACGCTGGCGACTATCATCTCTTCCCATGGGCTAACAGGCTTCATCAAGCCTGTTGGCGAGCTGCTAGAACCCACCCGACCACCATAGGATGAAGGTTAGCCTACTACCACCAGAAGATAGTCGAAAAGGGTCCCTCTACTAACTCATCTAAACCATAGGATAGATCTAATCTTCCAGTTTACTACTTCCTAACAACCATTTTCAGAATCGTTTACTAGACCATCGAGCTGGGCAACTCAACGAGCACCAAGGTCGGCTCTGCGACCATTACTCTCTCCTTCATAACCAAATCGCGGACCGGCACGTTTCTCTAACGCGCAAGCAATGGAGCGGTTATTGAAAGCCCTTCGCTCTCCAGGCGGTAGACGCGCAGTTGAGTGCACGGCACCGACACAAATGACAGTGCATGTCGAGGATGAAGGAGACAAGGCGGGCGAGATTTCCGTTGAAAACGACAATACCTATAATCTCACAACGAAGGCTGGACGCTTGGATCGGTGGCTCGATAAGGTCGTGGAATTCTCGGGCTCGGAGCCCATGTTTCTCACCATCATCATCGCCCTCCTCGCCTGGGCATTCTTGGGGATTCGATTTGGACAGTTGACACAGTGGAAAGTCGCTATCTCTGACGCCCAGGCCATCCTTAATATGGTATTTGACGCCTTCCTCATGCGCCAGCAGCTGAATTCGTACGACTCGCTCATCGAAGTCTCAGCTTGCCTCAGATCTCGCACTACTAGCAACAAGAGAATGCTGCGGAGCCTGATCGAGAGCGGGAAATATGAGAAGGTCAATCCGATGCAATTTCACGAGCTGGAGCAGACAGAATTCGCATCAGAGCTCCCTGTGGAGAGCTTGCTAGGCCGAATATCCACTGCCTTCTCCACCTTCCTAGGCCACATCGCTACAGTGGTCGCTTTCTGGGTGTGTATCTTCATCTGGATTGGATTTGGCCAGTACTGTGGCTGGTCCGACACATGGCAGTTATACATCAACTCGGCCACATCAGCATTGATGGTGTTAATGTTGGCATTCTTGGCAAACATTCGTGAGCGGCACAGCAAATACACTACGAAATGTCTCGAATCCATCTACGAGGTTGATGCTGCTCTTGAGCTTAGACTCCGAACCGCCTCCGGCGACACGATTGAAAACGCGCCCGTCCACATCCCAGTTCCCGAGAGGAGCAGAATCCAACGCGCAATCGACTACTACGCGGATCTGGTTGGCACTCTTCTCGGGATCGTAATCCTGGTCTTTGCACTGATCGTTTGGGTCGCGATTGGCCCGGCACTGTCCTTCAATTCAAACTGGTGGCTCCTCATCGGCACGTATGCCGGGCTGATAGGCATGAACGATGGGTTCGTGCTGCGCAATGTGCACAACGTGCTACATGGCTACGAAGATGCCCAGTTTGTCCAGGTGACATACGACGACATGGACATGCTTGCTGTGATTGGCGTCACGCAGCTCAATGAAGAGCGCGTCGCGGCCGACTCACTCACCTACCGAATCTCGGTCAAGATGGGTGATTTCTGCTCGCACGAACTCACGGTCGTGTTGGGCGCCATCGTGATTCTAGGCCTGGTCATTGGCGCCAGTGCAATGGAATGGAGTGTTACTGGACAGCTGCTCTGTAATGTCCCGCCTAGTATCATCGAATCATTCTTCACGATGATCCTGATCACTGGTCACAATATCGGAGATGCTAAGAGGCGTGTCGACCTTCACAACATCTACCTGCGAAGGCTGAAAAGTATCACATATGTCAATACGCTGGCCAAGCCTGAGAAGCAGGAGAGGTTGTTACGCCCGCACGATCACACGGAACTTATGGAGGTCAAGATTGATTCGCTTTAGGTGAGGAAGAGCCACGAGAAGAGTAGAAAAGCAAAATTGAGTTGGATAGGGAGAGGAGCTGAAAATATGACGCCTTTGTTCAACACAATGGTCGATTTAGCTTCAGTAGCCTCTAAAAGTTTTGTTGAATTACCTGATTTTTCGCGTTGATTTAAGTATTAGAAATCATGATTTTAAGTAGTTATTTTCCTTTTACAATACTATCATACTTAACCAGTCCCCTACTTCTAATGTTGCTGTTGTTTCGTACTTTAGTGTTGTTAATCAACCCCTCGAAAAAAAAATTGGACACATCCCCCACACAGCCACGCAAATAACATTCATATCCATCAACTGCCTTCAGAAAAATTATAATTACTGCATTACCCAAACACCTATACCCGCTATTAAACTGCACCCACCCCGCTACCCAACCTAGGTACCATCGCCATCCATATGCTTTTTGAGACTCCTTATACCCAGCCATCCACCCCGCTACCCAACCCAGGTACCATCGCCATCCATATGCTTTTTGAGACTCCTTATACCCAACCATCTACCAACCTATTATACGCCCAACCGTGAGGTCGCCCTATACCCCCCAACCCAAGAATTAGCCAGCAATTAAACCTATAACCTCGCCGCTTCAAAACTACCCAACACCACCACCCCCAGCCACACTCTCCATACCCCCCATCCCACCACCCATCCCTATCCCCCCTCCCCCTCCCAAGCCCCCACCAATCCCCATCCCCATCCCCATCCCCATCCCCATCCCCATCCCCCCCTCCCCTCCCCCACTTCCAATCCCCAACCCCCCCAACCCCACCCCTCTCCCCCCCTTCCCAACCTTCTTAGCCCACCTCAGTCCACACCCATTACACAAATCCCTCTTCCCACTCGGCCCCCTCCTCCACTCCGGCGTCGTCTTCGCCTGACAATTCGCACAATCCCTCTCCCCCCCACCCCCCTGCCCCTTCCTCCTCTTCCTCTTCTTACGGAGAGACAACAAGGCCGAGAGTTCAGTGGTGAGGGAGGCATTATGGCGCGTCAGGGACGTGAGTTCCGACTGCCACGACGTACACCTCGCAGGCAACAATTCCGTAATCAGCGGCGACTCCGGACGCCCAGACGCGTCCACCGCCGCAGCAGAACCATCCACTTGATTAGGCGTCCTCATCCCCGGCTTCACCAACCTCGTCAACGCAATCAAAAACCCACACTTCCCCTTATTACCCTCCCCCGCATCTCCCGCAAACAAACTAGTAACAGCCATAACCCCCACCCCCCTCTTATTCCTAACCTCATGCCTCCACCCCCTCCCCCTCCCCACCAGGCACTCCTCAAACCCCACCCTCTGGTCCCCAGGCAAGAGGGCTTGGAAACTCGTCCCTACCAGCGAAGAGGGTGAGCGATCGAGAAGCGTGCGCACGGAGGTGGAGATGTAGAGGATTAACCCGGAGGTGGAGAGTTTACTCCAGATGTCGGAGTCGGTTAGGGTGCCTGAGGCGGAGATGGTGGTGTGTGAGAGGGTGTAGACGGGGCGTTCGCGGCTTGTTAGGAGGAGCGTTTTCGAGGAACTGCTGGGGTTGGGAGGGGAGGGGCGGAGGCGGCCGTGGGTTTCAAACCAGATGTAACCGCGGGTTGCGTGGCGGATGCGGAAGATGGTTGTTATCCCCCCCCCGCTGGTTGTGGCATCCTTAAGATCCCGCATCACGGACACGATATCGCTAGGATGGCAAACAGACGATAGAGCCGTCCCTACCAGCTCCTCAGGCGCATACCCGAGGATCCGCTGGCTGGAGGGGGAGAGGTAGAGGAAGTGCCCTGTGGGGGAGAGGATTTGTATCACATCGGGGCTAATCTCCAACAGAAGCGCGTCCCGGAGACCAGTGCCGTCGTAGTTCAGCCCCGCTTGGTAGGAGGTTAATATCGTCGAAACTTCCCCCGGGCTAAGCGTTACGCTGGTGTCGAGATGCGATGGGGTGGGAAGAGGAGCGCGGGGCGTGTAGCGAGGGAGGTGGTGCTGGGAATAATTGACCGAATAGGTCCCCGTTGTGCTTTTTGAGATGATGGCGGAGGGGTTGTCAACGAGGTCGATTTGGAATCCGACGTAGTATTTCACCTCCTCCGTGTCCCAGGTTATCGGCACCATAGTGAGGAGGTTCGTGAACGGCTGCCCCCCTTTCCGATAATTAATCAAACTGCACTGTACCTCCTTTCTCTTTAACACCCCCCGTTTTAAGGCGTACACAGCAGCATCATCGACGTATTTCCTCTTCTCCCCCTTTTTGGACTTCCCGTCGGGAGACTGAAGGAATCGACAGTTCTTCATCCACACCTCGTTCTTGTTGTAGCCGGTCAGCCGCGAGAAGATTTCCGAGGCGTAGATTACGGGGTTATCGGGCATGGTGGCGTCGCAGACCACGAAGGCGCAGGACATGTCGACGGAGCCGAGGTCGGTCTCGGGGTTGGTTCGGGAGGTGACTTTCATTAGTATGCCTTCTATATTGAAGCCGCTGCTGGAATTATGGTTCGTAAATGTGGTGTTTGTAGAGGAGCTCACTGGTCCGTTGAACGCCTCTGCGGTCGTCGTTAGAAGTAGAGGGGAGTATGTCTCCATATTAGGCATTTCGGGTGGTATTGATGAAATCGTAGGAATCGTAGGAATAGAAGTCGTTGTGTATAATGCTGGGCTTTGGGTCATGCCGGTGCTAAATTCGACATGGCTGTTGCGTCTTGATATATGGCTATTACGCCGGGACGTATTGTGGGATTCGACAAGAGTTATTTCGCTGCGTGAGCTGTGGCCCAATACTACACTCGATGTTCCACTGTTGACCTGTGATGCTGCGCTGAGTGCGAAGTCCGACGAAATAGTGTCCATAGACGGGCCTGAGAACGGCTGTGTGAAGCTATTCGGGTTGAAGATGATCGCTGGCTGGGTGTCTTGCATTTCGGGAAATGACATCATATCGCCCATCATATTCGTTGGCATTATTTGAGGAGCGATGGCCTGATAGGCAGTAGGAGACTCGATGGCGACGGAGGTTTGGGCCATAAGTGAGAAATTTGTCGGGTTTCCGGCCATATCCATATTCGTTCCCATGTCCCCGTATACTCTCGACACATCTAGCTCCTGTACTGAAGGCCTCCTGCTGTGGACACTGATATCTACGTATCCATTTGACACATCTAGTTCTTGAACTGAAGGCCTCCTGCTGTGGACACTGATATCTCCGTATCCTCCTGGCACTTCGAGTTCATGTACTGAAGGTCTCCTGCTCTGGACACCAATGTCTCCATACCCTCTTGGCACTTCGAGTTCATGTACTGAAGGTCTCCTGCTCTGGACACCAATGTCTCCATACCCTCTTGGCACCTCCAGCCCTTGCATCGAAGGCCTCCTGCTTTGTGCAAGAAGATTTGCGTTTGGCGCAGTAGTAGTAAACTGGAAGTTATTGAGAGCCGCCTGACCCGAGCCGAACTCCATCATAGATCCTCTCCGGTTCTGAATAGGCGTATATATATCGTCCATATCACCTCCAAACTGCTGCATAGGCAAGCTCTGTCGCCGCAGAAGCTCCTTGCTATTCTGCCGCACAATATCATCAAGCGTATCCCCTCCCCCCATCATATCCGGCATATTCGTCATATCCATAGCCTCGTTTTCGGATACCGGGCCCAGCATGGCCATCCCCATGGCCTGGCTTCCAATATCATTTCGTGGGTATCGCCGTTGAGCAGGCGGCGGCTGCTGTTGCTGTTGCTGTTGCTGCTGATGTTGCTGCTGATGTTGCTGCGACCGATCCTCGCGAGTATATTGCGGCCCGAAGAATTCTTGCATGGCGCTGCCAGTTGCCTCATAAGCCGGTCGTCGTCCTCGATACCGTGCGTATAGGTATCATGGATGCTTGCTCCAGCACGCGGTGTCCACTATCCGGGAAGAAGTCGAGCAGCAGCCTATACCGACGGTGATGATCCCCCACACCGCACGAGAGGCGCTGGAGCCCGGCTATATACCGCGCAAGCTGCAATGGGGGCAGGCAATATGACTCCCTCGGGGAAAGCGAGAGTTCTTCCCGAATCGAGGGCGTCGAGGAGGCCGTAACTAGAATGCAAGGCTGGAATTCGGGCAGCGCGTCGGGGAGCGGCGGAGAAGAAGACACAAACATAGAGTCTCTGCGTGGTCCCAGCGCGTCAGATACAGGGCAATGCATAGACGTGAGGAGCGTGTGTGTGTGTGTGCGTGTAGTCTGTCTATAGCGGGATTTTTCAAAAGAGCGGCGTGTGGGAGGATGATTAGAGTTGGTTCCGCGTGGAAGGTCTGCATTTATTCCATCATCATCATACTGCCGTTATCATACTCCACGAGAGGGCGCATATGCAAGGCAGCGAGTGTCTTGTTTCAAGAGGGATTCTTTGCGTTCTTTTCCTTGAGGGGGGGTTTTGTGGATTTTGGTCACATATGATAGAACAACAAAAGAGATGGGGCTCTGGGGAGGGGGGATGGGGGTAGAACAGTAGAACGGCAGATCTCTCTGTTGGAGAGTTCCTCTAGTGCCCACATCGCCCATCCGGATCTAAACCGTAGATGCCCCGGCATATGGACTAGGACTCTCGGTACTCATCTGACATGTATCAGTACATCGGTGAATGAAAGGGCGGGGAAGATTGGGTAGGAGATGGAGGAGAGGGGAGGAGATTTCCTGGGGGGGTGGGAAGACAAGAAAGGGAGACGAGAGGGGAAATGAGAGACAGCAAGGAGTGTTCTAGCCTACCACAGGGGGTGTGTGGCACTGGTATTCCCTGTAATCCTCCAGTAGATTCCTAGTAGATTCCCGGTAGATTTGCACTGGATTCCCACTGGATTCCCTGCTGGATCTCCCGCTGGTTTTTCCAAAGAGTTCTCGGCCCAGGAGTCTGTTGCTTGGAAGTACCAGTACCAGACGTTGTGCTTGGGCTGCATGTACATTCTTTGTATACCCCTTGCACTTGATGTCTTATATCAGATATCGCGCTTGGCCTTGGAGTTGCAGCCAGTAGAAGAAGCCGGAGAGTATGGTCTAGTGTTACTATATGGCTATCCCATAATACGGGTGTACCATATAGTAAGCTGTATAAGGAGTAGTGGACTCGTACAGCATAAAGGGCTGGATGAGTAAATTAGTTAAAAGGGGACTGTATAACGAGCACATGCGAAAGATACTGAAATTACTGGAGTAACCTGTGGTCTGGGATATCATATAACGAGCTGTCGAATTTGTTATAAGGGGTACTCTCACTAGGAGTACTCTCAGTTTCGTGTATAGGGGGCTGTTGTGTTGCTATGTTATGAGTTTGTTGTATGTTGTAGTTTACGACGTGTAGGGTAACTCAGTAACTAGGTTGCAATGTTGTGTCTTACTGTATGTATTGTTTTGCATGTCTATAGCGTGTATAGTGTGTTATTCCGTATACTCTACTAATAATAACACCTAATCAGTACTAATAACATTGTTAAGTATGGGTATACTGTAGTAGTAATAACACCTAATTAGTACTAATAACACTGTTAAGTATGTTACGTAGGTGGTAAGTAGGTGGTAGCTAGGTGGTAGATTAGAGTGAGTACCAGCAGACATTAGAGACAGCAGGTACCTACTATTGTGGTTTAGTAGGCAGACACAGTATAATAAACCACTACAGTGACTTGGTTACTCTAGTTTCCAGCAGTCACTCTGTTACTCCAGTTACTCTAGTTACCACTAATCTAATCTACCGTAGTTACTCTGCTACCACTACAGTTCACGCCTGGAACATCCCGCATCCGCTAGCTACGGCGGCGGAAATATACCAAAGTAACGACAGTACAGTAAGCTTTATCGATTTACGCTTTACTGGGAAAGAACTGCCTAAGCTTCACGTCACGACATAACCTCCGTGTTATCCTCTGCGCGCCTTCATCTTCCCCCAAGCTTCAACTACCTCACTGTCGTCCTCTCTGAACAATAACCACGCGTCATTTACCTGTGAAAAGCCACACAAGTCACTGGCTACGCCGCCTCTCTCACCATGGGCTTCTCAGAGCGCTTCCTCCGCACCGAACAGAACGTTCAATTGAGGTGTGCAACCTTCTTCCCAGCTTCGAGACACCATGACTAACCTGACTCCATCAACAGTTACGAGCTCTCCCACCGCATCTACACAGCCGCGCCCTACCCCACCCCCGCACCTAATGGCTCCTCAATCGTCATCTGCGGCCACGACCAGGGCGTGCGCATCCTCTGGCGGGGTGGCCGCACCTTCAAGCCCGCCGCGGCACCAAAGGCCAACGGAAACGGGGCCTCAAACAATGCAGTCATGATTATTGACTCGGACGATGAGGCGCCTGCCGATGCCGAGGAGGAGGCAGAGTTCGAGGACGAAGAAGCCGAGACAGACCCGTCGCGCCCGTTTCCTCCGGTGCTACAGTATATTGATCTCGTGTTTGGCACCAGTGCGACGCACCTGGCGGTCTGTGCGGCCGTGCAAGATAGGATTGTCTTTGCTGCCACCTGTGGGGATAGCTCGGTTCGGCTTGTGTCGCTCCCGATAACGCCGCCGTCGCCCGAGAGGAAGGCAAAGAACAAATCGAGGAAATGGGGCGAGACTGTCGTTGCTCTATCCGGATTCTCGACCCCTGCTGATGGGGTTGCTATGACATTCGTTAGAGAACAGGACGAAAAGGCCAAGTCGAGCGGTTATCTGCTTGTAGCCTCTCATTCGAGGGAAGTGACGGGCTTGCTGTTACTCCACAAAGTGCCAGTCTTGTCTGCGCAAAAAGGAGGGAAGACGACGGAGAAGCTGTCACTAGACCACACCGCACCGTTCCAGACGCAGTACCTGTCAACTCCAGCCTCAAGCCTCGACTTCAGCCACTCCTCAAACAGCCTACTTCTCGCAGACAAGACAGGAGCAATCAGAATCTACTCCCCCTCCGTCTCCGACGGATCCTGGCTCCTAACCCTCCACACCGACTTCATCAAGTCCGACACCGCAAAATTCTCCTCCCGCAAAGCCATCCTCGACACCAAATGGGTCCTAGGCGGCAAAGCCGTCATGGTCCTCCTCTCCGACGGCGAATGGGGCGTATGGGACCTCGAAGGCTCCGCCCCCGGCGCATCCAGAGGAATCCTCGGCAGCCAGGGCATTAAGGGTGGCGCCCTAACCCCCTTCTCCATCTCCGGCTACATCGACGGACCCTCCATCAAATCAACATCCCGCCCCACAGCCTCAACTTCCAAATTCGCCCCCATGACCCCCGCTACCCGCCGCACCGTCGAGCCAGCCCTTCTAGGCGCACACAACCAATCCGCCACCGCGGGACTCATCTCCGCTCTACCTCTCCCGAAAACAACTACCACCAGCCCGGCAGATGAGCGTATCGCGTTCTGGATCGAGGAAGCGTACGCTGTCATCCCCTCCCTCCGCTCTTTCTGGGAAGCCCAGCATCGCCGTGGCGCGAACCTCTTCAGTGGCGCTTCGGGAACCAAGATGCTCCGCATTGATGGCGTCAACCTCCGCGGCGAACGCTGCACCGGCCTCACGCAGAGCATAGTCGATGGCGCCACACCCGAGCTCATCATCGCAGCCGAGCACCGCCTCGTCATCGTAGCAGATCTCCCCGAGTCCGGCGGTGCACAAAGGCCCAGAGTACCAGCGCTAGAGAGCGGTGCAGGGCAGTTACAGATCGCAGCCGCGGGAAGGGATCTGGATATCACGGGCATTGATCAGATGCTGGATCGTATGGATGAAGATGCTGGATCGCCGCTGTATGCGAAGAGGAAGTCGATTCAGACTTGATACCTCCCCATCCGATTTGCGCAAGAAAAGTTAACGGTCGAGATTTGTTTTAGATACCCAATACAGCGATTTCCTGGACCCCCCTCGCCGTGACAACCCCATGCTACTCTTTCTTTCCCCTTCTCACTTCTCATTTCGGCCCCTCACAGCCCACCCACCCCTCCCTCCACCCACCACCTACCCCATCCCCCCTCCCAATCACCCAACCCGCAAGGCAAGGTGGAGTACAAGGCAAGACCCATCCTTGAAACTCTGTATTCCATGCGGGACATCAACCTCGTGCATTTCATGCACAAACGAGTAGCCAGCGCGCTGGAACCTATGTCCTCTACCTACGGTATGACGTGTGGAGGCGCGCTGTTGTCTAGGCAATTCTTCTATTCCCGCGAGGCAGGTGCAGGACGTTGGGCGTTTCTGTGAGCTGGGCGGGTTATAACGGTTGCTACATTTTTTGGGGATTATTTTGCGTGTCTATGAATTAATAAGATTTGTCTTGATTTTTAATTTTATGAAGGTGGTTCATTTATATTTTGACTTGACTTTAATGAATGGTGTTCATTTATATCTTAACTTTAATCTAATGAATGGTGTTCGTTTATATCTTGACTGTTCACTTATATCTTGACTTTACCTCAATGAAGGATGTTTATTTATATCTTGACAAGGATGTTATCATTTGAATCTCACATCTTAGCTGACTCAACTAGCATACCTATCATAACAGACCATACTGCCTCTAATGAAATATACCACATCCACTTTCATCCCATCCATCACTGCCATTAACGCATAGATCCACTTAACTCACTAGATAAGTACCGACTGACTGTAGTTGCAGCGCTACACCTACAAAGCACAGCACAGCAAGCAGAACAAAAACAGACTGACTGACAGACATTGAAACTGACAATATAAATCAAACAAAGACGCCAAAAGTGTGCGTCCGGTAGACAAGCAACAACCTTTCTTTTCCCAATTTCCCTTTCCAACCCCGGTAACCAGCCGCCAAAATTTCCAGTTTCCATTTCCAAAAAAAAGCAAATCCAAAGCAACACCATCCAGAATAAAAACAACAACACACATAGCGCATCGTATCGTATCGTACACCAAACCCGCGAGCAAGGCAGGCAGGAGAAGTAAAGTCAAAAAGTCACCGAGAAAACCAAGCAACTAATCAACCCACACCCCCGCCCCCTCCCCAAACAACTCATCCACATCCCCCACCCCCCCTCCAAACCCCTCAAACTCCTTCCCCCCCACAAAACTCAACAGCGAATCCCCCTCCTGCGCACCCACCATCGGCAATCCCTCCCCAAACGCCTCGAGGAACATCTCATCCGCATCCTGCTGCCCCTGTCCACCAGGCATATCATAAAACGACAAACTCGCGCTCGGCGACGACGCCTCAAACGTCGACGCGCACAGGTCAGGCGGCGAGCGCGCACTCAGCGTCGGGCTGGTAGCTGCGGCGGTGTGGTGGGAGTGATGGGAGTAAGCCGGGCTTGCGGCATTCTGGATTGCTTGCGGGGAAATACACTGCGTTTCCGCCACCGCAGTGACGGGCTGCATCGCGTATTCCAACTCCAACTCAGCGTCCACACCAGCACCAATGAATGGATCAGCAGACGCATACGGACTATGCGCGTACTCAGCGAACGGAGGGGCATCGAGGACGTCGTAGTCCCCCTGCGGCGCGGGCGACAGGCCATACGAGCTCTCCGAGTACTCCGACGCCGAAGACGGCACATCGGATGACGGGTTACTCGCCGGAGCTGCCGCCGCGGCGTTCTTGTTCTTCGTCCGCGTGCGCTGCGCCTTGTCGACGCGCTCGTCGTGCTCGGGGCGGTGCTTGCGGGGTCGTCCGCGCTTAACAACTTTCTTGACTACGCCCTCGAAGGCGCCAACGCACATCCCGCGCTGGCGATGGCGGGTCAGCGCATCGTGGCGCGCGAAGCTGTTTCCGCACGCGCAGGGGTACGGCTTGACGCCGCTGTGGATCTTGGCGTGGCGCTTGAGGTCGTGCTGGCGAACGAAGCACTTGCGGCAGTGGGGGCACTGGAATTGGCGGTCCCCGAGATGGGTCTGCACGTGGGACTTGATGTTTTCCTTGCGTCCGAAGCGCTTGTTGCACGAGGGGAAGAGGCAGAGGTATTTCTGGTCGGTGGGGGAGGGGCCGGAGATGTAGCACGCGATGTCGTCGGTGGTGATGCCGGTTTCGGCGTGGGCTTCGTCGGCGTGGGCGCTGTCTTCGGAGAAGGAGCGGTGGTGGAGGGAGGAGGGCATGGGGGAGTTGGCTTGGCTGGAGAATTCCTCGAGTTCGGGGTATGAGCCATTGGGGGCATCGAGGTGTGGCTTGTTGTCGAAGGGGTCACGGTAGAGTGACCTTTGGGATAGTTCTGGTGATGAGGATTGGGAGTGGAAGTTCTGGGGAGGGTATTTCGAGTGGGTTGGTGATTGATAGGGTGACTCGTAACTCCTGGGCTCGGCCTTGACGTATGATGGCATGCCAATGAACGACGAGTTTGGCATTGGGCTGCTGCTAGGAGGGGACGGAGGGTCGTCCATCTCCGCTTGGATACGCATGTATTGGAAATTCGAAATTGATTGGCGATTCCTGTGGTGGGTTGGCTTAATGGTGGCCTCCATGGAAGTGTCATGGTTGCCGGAGTATGCTTGTGGCATGTGTTCTACCTTTGCATGGCGAGCAAATGGTGTATGTGCTGGAGTGAGAGGAATGTAGTCTGCCACGCTGTTAGTAATGGAATACAAGATATGTGAATCAACATACTCGGAGAATCATGATTAGGAGGCGTGATTGGCCTTGAAGATGACTGCCTAGCAGCTAAATCTTCATATTGTGCCACTCTATCGGCAATGCTGCCACTGATCCGACGGCCATGCGAAGACCTGTTGGGTCTGATAGTTGCGTTCCAACTTTCTTGCGCCTGCGAGCCGTCGAATGCCATTGAAAAGTCAACATATGCTGAAGGAGTGGTCTCCTCATCCTGGTAGAGTAGAGAGTCATTGCCGGCGAACTGGCCATTCCTGGCGTGCGCGTTCTCGTTGACTGTATTTATCGAATTGATCGGTTCGGGGTATGCTGAATATGAAGCGCGTTTTCCTGAGACTCCATACGCATCGATACACCCGATATCAAAGCTTTTCCTTTGCGGTGTGACAAGAGGCGATATTAAGTAGTTCTCATCGTTTGTCGGGTTGAAAAAGCGTGTCGGTTGTTGGCCCTGGCGTGCCAGTCTGTGCTGCTGCGTTTCTTGCAATATATGCTGTTGGTTGTCGTATAATCCTTGGTTAGTGATACTTACTGTGTCCTGCGTTGGTGATTGGCGTCGTCGTTGATCCAGGCTCATGCCTCGTCGATGTGAGGCATTCTTCTGGTTTGTTGGCAGGGTTGGGACCTTCGGGGCGTCGTAAGCCGTTGGTGTCGATTGTTGTCGTCGGTGTTGTCGGTGTCGATGAAGGTTTTTTGGATTGGACAGCATTTGGAATGCAGTATGAGGTCGGAATAAATTGTGTCGTTGAAAGTATAGCAGTTAAGCTAACCTATGGTTCCGAGGACTGTTCCATTTGTTAGATATGAGCATACTAATCAAACAGTTCACAGTTCATATATACCTCCGCAGCGCAAGCCGTAAGGCCAGGCGTGTTAAGATTGAAGATCTATCAGCTCTTGTCGGACTCTGGATGAGCCTTTGGTAGTTTGGGTGGCCTTGTTGGCCCTAGGATGGAGGAGGAGAGGTTTGAGAGATGAGGTTTTGCGCAGATGAGGATTGAAGCTTTTGTATGGATTCAATTGGATGTGAAGTAAAGATGTATTGTAGATGTGTAGAGGTATAGAGGATCCTTTGAAGGGATTTTAGTAGAATGATCTTCTCAGGTTGTGGTTTCTTGGGATCTCCAAGGCAGATGACGCTATGTGATAGCTCGCATAAACAGAGATGGTCGTTGCCGGGCAACGGATAATCCTAAATTCGGAATGACCAGGGTTGGTTGGCCAAGCTTCCGAGTTTGGACTAATCGATTAATCGGGATCGGAATCAACACCAACAGAAACCCTTACACCAGTCATCGCAGGCCACACATTTATTCTCAGCGCGTAAAAGGTTGATTAAGTTGAACCCTTGCTTGCATATTCACGCGTCGCTGCAGAACCTCATTCATACCGAGTATGTCGTCTACCACTGGTACGATGCGGGGGACTCCCTCGAGGAGTGGAGCTGCTCGAGGAGCCATGCCTCAGTTTACAAACAGTCCTTCCTCCGGAATCCCGAGACCCCTAGAGAACCATGGCAGCTCAACCCTTCAGAGCGAGGCTGGAGGCTCTTCAGTGAGCACCAGCAGGCAGAAGCAGTCGAAGAGAGATGAGGTTTGTTTACTCTCCGTCCTTATCGCAGCCGCTGCCAGAACCCCCCTTTAACGTTTGATTAGGCTATCCGAAGAAAAATCGAGACCGACCTCAGCAAGAAGACGAAGACCACCGGCCGTGCGAGACAATCGAAGAGAGCTCCCCCGGGAACTGTCATGGCCCTGAGGCCCAGCCAGGCCCTTCAAATCAAGCCAAATACAACTGTTGCCGAGGCTGCTCAATTGATGGCGGCAAAGAGAGAGGACTGCGTACTGGTCACCGATGATGATGACCGCATTGCCGGTATCTTCACTGCAAAGGATCTTGCATACAGGGTTGTTGCAGCTGGTATCAAAGCCAACAACATCACAATCGCTGAGATCATGACCAAGAACCCGCTCTGTGCCCGCACCGACACAAGCGCAACCGACGCCCTCGACCTCATGGTCCGCAAGGGATTCCGCCACTTGCCAGTTATGGATGAGAACCAGGACATCTCTGGTATCTTGGATATCACCAAGTGCTTCTACGATGCTATGGAGAAATTGGAGAGGGCATATAGCTCTTCCCGCAAGCTTTACGACGCTTTGGAAGGTGTTCAATCTGAGCTTGGGTCCAGCCAGCCGCAACAAATCATACAATACGTTGAGGCTCTACGCTTGAAGATGTCTGGGCCGACCCTAGAGTCTGTCCTGGATGGCCGCCCTCCGACTACCGTCTCCGTCCGCACTTCCGTGAAGGAGGCGGCCATGTTGATGAAGGAGAACCATACCACAGCCGTCTTGGTCCAGGACCAGGGTGCCATCACCGGTATCTTCACAAGCAAGGATGTCGTCCTTCGTGTCATTGCTCCTGGAATGGACCCCGCCAACTGCAGCGTCGTCAGAGTGATGACTCCTCACCCGGATTTCGCTCCGATGGAGATGACCATCCAAGCTGCATTGAGGAAGATGCATGGTATGTACGATCCAGGTGTAAACTGATAGTTGCTAATAGACGATAGATGGTCACTACTTGAACCTGCCAGTCATGAACGATGGCGGCGAAATCGTTGGAATGGTTGACGTCTTGAAGCTTACATACGCCACATTGGAGCAGATCAACACCATCTCTACAGGAGACAGCGAAGGCCCTGCCTGGAACAAGTTCTGGTTATCGTTGGATAATGATACGGAATCTATGATGTCAGGAGAGGGCAGCCATCACCAGGTTGCTAGCAGGTCTCTCATGTCCCCGGACCACTCGAAGCACGGTGGAATGATGGATACCAGCGTTGCCCCTGGCGATTCTGCATCCCACACCGGAGCCGAGTCTCCTGTTAGGCACCTGGAGGAGCCTGCAATTCCGGTCGAGGATATTCCATTCCCGTTCAAGTTCAAGGCACCAAGTGGCCGTGTCCACAGGCTTCACATCACTGCGTCCAACGGCTTGGCAGAGCTGATCGCCCTGGTCACAGCTAAACTGGGTGCTGAGGTTGAGGCTGTTGGAGGAGCAGCGACTTTTGAGGATGACAAATTGGGGGCTTCTGGCTTTGCACTGAGCTACCTTGACGATGAGGGAGACACTGTTTCCATCACCACTGACCACGATCTCAAGGAGGCCATTGTCATCGCCAGACAAGGCGGACGCGACAAGGTTGACTTGTTTGTTCACGATCCCGAGAAGCCAGCCATCACGGTTACTGTCGAACCAGTCCCTGTCATCGCTGAACTACCCACACCACCAATGTCAACTGTCCGCAGGAGACGCGAGCGCGTCATCTCGGAAGAAGACGAGGAGGAGAGCGACGAAGAGGACCATCACCGCCTTCACTCGCGCAGCCGGAGACAACAACCGGTTATGCAGGAGGCCCCTCAGATCATCGCCGGTGTACCGAATGATCTGTTGCTGCCGGGTGCGATTGTTACTCTTGCAGTTGCCATCATTGGTGTTTTCGCGATCACCAAGGCGACCAGCAGGTAATAGTAAGGAGAGATGTTTAGATTTCAGCGGTATTTTTACGCCTTCATGATGTACCTAGCGTTAGCAGTAATGATGCGGGCTTTGTAGTGGCCCAATCCATAATTTTTTCGGAGCTTCAATAAATAGATTGTACCAAATAATTTGAATAGTTCGCGCTGTTGTGGTGTTGTATGCTCCTGTTGTCGGTCGTATACTCGTATACCGTGGTCACGGATCAAGCTTCGTGCGCTAAACCGCTTCAAGACTAGCCTAATATTGCATCCTCGAAATCTCAAAAGTCGCTCCGACGACGACAACCAAACTCCCCAGAACCATCAAGCCCACCACAATGATAATACGGAATGTAGTCTCACGGCATGGTACGCACCACCCCCCCTCACCCCCCTCCCACTCAATTGACCGTCCTAACCCCCCTCCCTCCAGGCCGCCGCGCCCTCACCACCTCTCTTCGCACCCTCACCACCACCACCGCACCACCCCCTCAAACCAACCTCACCCCCGACTCCGTGAACCCAACCGCCGGCGCAGACTTCAAGGCCATGAACCACATCAAGCGCGCTACCGGCTCCCTCGGCTCAGACATCGCACCCTTCTACCAGCCCCACCGCGCCATCACCGCCCCCCTCGGCCCTAACGACATCACCCTCCCCCTACTCCTCGCATCGCAGTCCCACATGGGCCACGCGACCGCGCTGTGGCATCCAGGGAACCAGATGTACATCCACGGTATCCGCGCGGGGATCCACATCATCTCCCTCGAAGCCACGGCGGTCCACCTCCGCCGCGCAGCAAAGGTAGTAGAAGGCGTAGCCTACCACGGCGGCACGATCCTGTTCGTCGGCACGCGCAAGGGCCAGCAGCGCGCTGTTGTCGGCGCGGCTAAGCTCGCGGGCGGATGCCATGTCTTCGATCGCTGGATTCCGGGGAGCTTGACGAATGGGGATCAGATCCTGGGGAGGGCGGGGATTAAGGTCGTCGATGAGAGGGATCAGGTTATTGATAATGCGACGGTTCGGAAGCAGTTGGAGGATCATAGGGCGGTGAAGCCGGATCTGGTGGTGGTGCTGAATCCGTTGGAGAATTATATCTGTTTGCATGAGTGTGGGCTCGCGGGGGTGCCGACTATTGGGATCGTTGATACGGATGTTAACCCGACTTGGGTTACGTATCCTATCCCGGCGAATGATGACTCGTGAGTTCCCCCCTGGTCCCCCATTTGATCTACCGTCATGGTGTAGAGATAGATTTGCTAACTTAATCCATCCAGACTCCGCTGCACGCACCTCATCGCCGGTGTCCTCGGACGCGCCGGCCAGATGGGACAGAAGAAGCGCGCTGAGGACGCGAAGAACGGGAAGGTGCCCTGGGAGACTGCGGAGTACCTGTCGGACTGGATGGCGGAGGAGGCGGAGGCTCAGGCTGAGGCGAAGAAGGGTCCTGTTGAGAAGCAAGAGTAGGGGCTGGGGGGAGGGAAGGGGGGAGGGGGATAGTGTATTGTAAGATTTGTATGAATTAAGTGTTGGCATAGCATAGCATATAGGGCTGGAAGGCGTGGTATCTATCTACTGTATAACTCAGCATCCGTTTAAAGCCCAGTGATCCGTAAGCCACACCCTACACAGAAGTGCCTTTCAAGACCATCTGTGGCCAAGTCGACCTACGAGCCCACACCACAAACCACCCATCGTCACAACCTCATAAAAGCACACAGATTCCATAAAATTAGTAAATTTACTACCACATCTGGCTCGCCGCTATGCTTAAACCCATATAAACCACCCTTCCCCCTCCCCGGCGACAACCCGCACCAGCATCTCCATTCATGGTATCAACCTCCCCTCCACGCGTAAATCTTTACTACCCAACTAGCTAAACGCCGACCTGGCAATCAACTGCGCCTCCGGTGCCAATTGCGCTGTCAACACATTCAAATCCTGCCCCGTGATCTGGAGCAGGTTCTTCGTCGACGTCACGACCTTGACTGCGATTTGGCCTTGCAGGGTCTTAGCCTCGAGGGCGAGAACGACGGCTGCGAAGACCTTCTGGGGTTGCGTGAGGACAGCGGGGTGTTGTCTGTTGGTATGGTTAGCTGGTGCTCCTTCCATCCTGGCCAAAATGGGCAAATGTTATAATGGAGGAGTGTACTCACCGATCAATAAGCTCCGACAAATACAAATACGCATACGGCGCCGCCTCCTCATCATTAACCACCGGCAGCGTATCCACCCACCTCCTGCTCGTCTCATCCGGCTCCCTCACCTGCGTCGCGTTATAATGCAAAATCTTCGCAATAGCCGCACACGCATTCTCAGTCACGAACACGTTATCCTCATCCCTCGCATCCGGCACCGCACACAACGCAAACAGCGTATCCACCGCCGCGCCAAGGAAGCCCGCCCACACAACCCCGCCCTTATGCGCCGCCATCCCGACACCATACGCAGCAGCCTGGCGATTCGCGGGCGCAGCGTCGCGGCACCCGGTGATGAGAGGCTCGATGATGAAGGCGTTGTACTCCCAGCTCCTCTCGCCGCAGAATTCCAGCACGTCATCCATGATGCACAGCCCCCACTGTCGCTGCGTCGGGTCGCCGTTCTTGAGGAAGGCGTCGTAGGTGGCGCTGAGGCGGCCCCAGGCGGGCAGGAAATCAACACCGTGGTTCTTGAAGATGCAGTGGAAGGCCTTGTTCATCTCGGCGAGCAGGGCCTGGTCGTCCTCGATGGCGTAGAGGATGTCGTCGTCCTCCTCCTCGCCCTCCTCGCGGTTGTTCTCCTCGGCTTCCTCGGCGCGCTCCTTGACGCGCTCTTTGTAGTCCTCGAGCGCGGACTGGGCCGCGGAGATGAAGGCGTCCATTTGCTTACCAGAGAGGCAGTTCTTGCCCATCACCTCGACGGATTCGTAGAAGGAGTGGTACATCTCGGCGAGGGTCTCGATGGCGGGCTCAGCGGTGAGGACCTCGAGGATCTTCTCGAGCGTGGGCTCCCAGAGGCTGATCAGCTCGTTGGAAGGGATTCCGTAAGCCTTCTTGTACGAGTTGATCAGCTGCGGCACGAGCTTGGCGGAGATGACGCGGACGGGGTCGTGGAAGAAGAATGCAAGGCCTGGGACGGCGATGTTCTGCATGATATCCGGAACGTATGGTGCAAAGTCGGCCTCCAGGACTTGCGCGTAGACAACAAGTAGCTCAATAGCAATGTTCTTCTCGTCCAGAGTGCTCGTCTTGATACCGATGATCTTGCCCTTGAGAGGCACCAACTCCCATCCCTCCTCTTGCTGGATAGCCTCGGCCTGCTCCTCGTCGTCCAAGAGCTGGATATCAGCCTTGGCCTTAGCAATCTCGAGAAGCGGTGGCATGACGCTTGGTAGGAAAGGAATGAAATCCTTCTCCAGCACTCGGCACATGCGTCCCCAGCAGTGCATGAGGTATTGTGCTTGCGGGTCGTCGGCATCAGTGATGCTTCCCTGGATCGAAGCGAGGAGCTGCACCAGAGTCATGGCATCATCGCGGAGACGCTCCTTTCCAACAGCCAAAGCAATCAGAGTAGCGCACTCCATAGCCTTAGCACGCAGCAGGCGGAGCTCCTTGGTGTTCTCTTGTCGCAGAACAGTAAACAGCAATGGCATAAGGGTATCATAGTACTTGGAGAAGGCAGCCTCAGCCGAATCGGCAACTGTCGCAATAGTTGATAGAGCTTGTTCCTGGACGTATCGCTTTGGGCTTTGGAGGATCTGGAAAAGGAGGCTCAAGAGACCATCTAGATATGGCTCCAATACCTCCTTTTGAGCGGCTTCGCAGAAGTTAACCAGGGCCGCGGCAGCGTGGGCCTGGACGCGGGGTTCAGCAGACTCGAGAACCGGAATGATGGCTGGAAGCACGATCTGGTGGTAGTTCTCCTGCATGGTGCCGGCGAAATCAGTGCTCATCTGGCCGAGGGCGTTGCAACCTGCCCATCGTACACGTGGGTGAGGATCGCGCAGCGCCGGGACGACCAATTCGAGGACCTTGTCCAGCTCTCCGACCATCAGATCACGGCAGCCTTCTGAGATGGCTGAGATGGCCATCAGAGCGGCGTGCCTGTCTCTCCATGCGTTGGAGGTCATCATGCGTGGTAGCCAGCCGAATGTGGGTGCCAGAATAGTCTGTCCGCCAAGTCTGTTCGCCAATCTATCCATACAGTGTTCACCGGCAACATGGTTCATGTCGCTCTCCTCAGGCTCCATATCCTCGGAGTCGTTCCACTCAGCTGCATCGTCATCGTCGACGCCAATGTCAGTCATCAGACTCAAACATTGGGTAATCATATCAGCAGTGAACGAAGGATCCTTTCGGCACATCCCAGGCGCGTAGTCGGCGAATGTGGCCATGAGCTCCAGAGAGTTTTGCCTCGCCTGGTCGCTGAGCTCCTTGTCCTGAATGACTGATATGCTGAAAGCGACGAGGTTGCGGAAGAGCGGCTTGAACATTTTCGGGGCAACCTCTGCAAGGTCGATGAGCGCAGTCAGGGCCCTTGTCAGGTCCTCGGAATCCTGCGACTCCTTGATCGGTGGGAGGATGTTCAGGACCTCTGGGATCAGTGCGTAGTACTTGACTTGCGCCTTCTTGCTAATTGTGCGGAAAAACGAGGCGAAAGCCTCCATGGCCGATAATCGGACATTGACGTTGACATCCTTGAAGCCCTTTGCAAAAGCCGACAGCACGGTGTCCTCATGCTGCTTCTCAATTATACCGGGGGTGGTCGCGAAGATCCTGTAGGCATTTTCCCTTTGTCCTTCGTCTTTGGAGTTGCTAAGCGTAAACAACACACCGAGTAATTCGGGCCATTGTTGACCTGTATTGTCAGGGCCACTATCAGTAAAAACCAAGGGGTGCGCTCGTACCGTTATCTGAGTATTCTCTCGCCAACTCCGCGACAGCATCGCCGACCTTGTTCCGCACAGTGTTGACGGTCTCGTTGGCGAGCGCCTCGAGCAGCTTCTCGCGGATCGCATAAGCCTGCTCTTGTGATATAGATAGGAACAGCTCGATCTGGTCTCCGCTCGCGGCCTTGCGAGTCTTTGAAGCTATGCGACGGAAGATAACTGAAGCAAATGAGCGCGTCTAAAATCCCCAACATTAGCCAACTGTAAGCGCCGACGGAGATCACCATCCCACGGGGTCCTGCATGCATACCGTGGTGTCGGTGGAGCCATGGATCTGCTCCACCAGGCCCATCAAAAGGACCTCTGGCTGGGTGTTTGTCCAGTTGTTGGCAAGGTGTTCTTCGGCCTGGGAGCGGATGTTGTTGTCGCCTGACTGCAGGGCCAGCAGCAGCTGCGAGAGCTCGGTATGAACCTGAGGTGACAGGACCGACGACATTCTCGCGGGTCTCTTTTGTTCTCCTCTCTACCAGTAATGGCTGCACCGGATGGTTTGGATGGACCCTGATCGATCGCCTTTCTCTCTTTCTTGTTTGTTGAGGGTTGTTGGAGGGGCTAAGAGCGCGAAAGTGTCAATGGCGCGTATAACCAAGGGGGACTGTACGGCCTTTTTGTTCGTACTGGGGGTGAACCCACGGTGACAGTGACCAAAGAAAGGACGTATGTAGTTGTTTGTTTGTTTCCAAGGAGGTCAAGAGAACCTAGAGGAATAAAAGATATAGTATGTATATGGCGACACAGGTATGACAGTGATTTTATAGAACAGGAGAAGAGACAAATAGAAGGAGAATGGTGGTGATGGTCGTCGTCATGTCGACCTTTTGTGGTAGTGGGGTTGTTGCACACAACAGATACAAAAGTTGCCATACAAATTTTGGGAGGGAGCGGGGAGGGATGACAGGCCAATCAGAGGGCGTTATCGGGTTGGATATTCTTCAATATTCTGTATTTCTCTGGCAAAGTACGACATTTCGGTGCAGCCAGGCACGGCGACGCTGCCCGAATGCATGAAATGCGACGGTACAAGGGGAGATTTTATTTATTTTAATTTATTTTAATGGGCTGAATGGACGGATGGTAGTTGAGATGTCTGTGTCTAGAGGAGTTCTAGAGCCGGTGACTAGATATGGCGGGTTAACTGTGTAAACTGTGTATAAACGGTGAATATATGTAAATAATCTAGGCTCTCAGTAGCATCTTATCCCATCTTACAAGCTTGTATTTATTTATTCAAATATTCACATAAATCATCACATGAAATATAATTAAAATACAAAATTCACCAAATAAATACAATAAAATACTTAATTTAATTGAATTTTGTACAGTTACAGTACAATGCAAGTTGCTGTGTTACCCCTCAACTGGCGGCCTGACGGCCTTATTGCCTGGTTAAATGGGCATCAACACATACCCGAGAGAGGGTTCCTGCCGCGGAACGGAGAAAGGCACGGGCCACCCGCCTATACAGTATAAAGCCCTCCTCTTCCTCATTTGATAGACATGAATCGTTAAACCGACTCTGTTGACTCTGCATGAATGTTCTATGCACGTCTAGATATTGAATTTCTACGTCTTGAATGTCTAGTCGTGAATTTCTAGAGCTTGTATGTCTAGACATTGCATATATAGATCTTTGTCGTCAGCCACCAGTAATGGAACATGGCCGCAATCGAAACCAGGTATAGTATCTAATTACACAGCTAAGTCCATCTCTCAGAACACTATCATCGTATCCTTTCCTCTCCTCTCCTCTCTTCCTCGACAAGCTACTCCAATCTACTCAACCTACTTCAACCACCTCGCCAACTCCTTCTCAGTCCACTCCCACAGCCTCCCCGCCATTTCAGGGTCCTTGCTACTCGCGTTCTCATATGTCGACAGCTTGCCAACTGGCTCATAGAAAGCACCAGCCTTGATCGATTCCCGCGGCACACTCAACGCCCACAAATGGCAGTAACTACCCTGCTCCGGCGTCCTGATCCTCCCAAGCTGCGTCACATACACAAACGCCCTATCGAACAAACTTAGATCCGTCACCAGCGTCGTCCCCACAACCCCCGGTGACAAACTAAAGCACAACAGCTTCGGATACCGCTTAGCCAGCTCCCGCGCATACAACATATTTGCCAGCTTAGTATCACAGTATCTCTGCCAGCGACCCATCACAGGCCGTGTATCCTTTATCGTCTTCAGCGGTTCAAACTCCATTACTCCACCATGCCACCCCGTACTCGATGTGATAATCACCCTCACATCCGCCCCTGGCAGTTCCGCCGTCTTCTCGAGAAGCGGCAGCAATCGCCGCGTCATCAGCGCGTGCCCGACATGGTTCGTTGCGAACTGCACCTCGTATCCATCCTCGGACAGTCCCGGCGGCTGTGCCATGATCCCGGCATTGGCGAGGAAGACGTCCAGACGCGGACAGGTCGCGATGATCTTGTCAGCGGCGGCATTGACGGAAGTGAGGCTTGCAAGATCGCACGGAATGAAGGTTATGTTGGCGCGTGGAGAGAGTTCCTTGGCACGCTTTATGGTGGTAGCGGCAGATGTGGCGTTGCGGCCGGTGAAGATGATGTGGCCTGGGTTGTGCTTGGCTAGTTCGACGACGATTTCAACTCCGATGCCGCCAGTTCCTATGCGTAGCGTGTTAATGATTGTGTGAATGGTATAGAGAAGGAGAGCAACGTACCTCCTGTCAAGAGGATGACCCGGCCAGCGAGGTCTGGGATAGTGCTCTTGTCAAAGTCGTTGAACATGATTGCTACTGCGACCTTTGTCTTTGTTTGGGGGTGTATGGTCTTATACTTCCACGGGAAAGACAAGGTTTTATAGACTTTGGATCTTCTGTCTGTTAGGCTCCTGTGCTCCTGTGCTCCTGTGCTCATCGCCAGCTTAATAGGACTTCTTAACTCCGCGATTCTAGTATCATTATGAGATATCTGGAGGAATCGACCTGACCAATGATCGTTCGTGGTTTAAGAGCAGACCAATGATATCGCTCATCACACACGCTAGCTAGGATTAGTATTGGGGCTGATCTGGCAGATGGCCGATGACGCTAGTCCCCGGGCGAGAAGCTTAGACAACATTGATATTTCGAGGATGCCACTCTTAAAATACTCTACCCACTAACAATGCAGAGTTTACGAGCGAGCAAATCCTCGCATCGATGCTCATCACCATCTCCTCCCCTGCTTCCGCCTTATAACTGCATCTAACTCCCTGCTATCACCAATATCTCCTATCTCCATCCCTTCCTCCCGCAGTTATGATCGGAGATAAGCCAGCACCACCAGTCAAAAAAACCAGAGCCCGCAGACCAAAAGTCAAGACTGGCTGCAAAACATGCAAGTCCGTATTACCAATCAATCCCTGCGGCAATCTAACCGCTGACCACCCACCAGGCTCCGCGGCGTCAAATGCGACGAAGCAAAGCCCATATGCCGCCGCTGCATCTCCACGGGCCGTACCTGTGACGGCTATGGCATCTGGGGCGGAGGGGGTAACGCCTACGGCAGCGTCTCTCGCATTACCAACTCCTCCCGTTCCCCTAGCTCCCTGCCCTTAACCACTATCACCACAACCACTATCACCACTAGCACCTGCACCCCCGGGCCCCTAACAAGCACCCGCACCCTCCCCCCCTTGCTCGGCGCAACAACCCAACACGAACACCGCGCATTCGAGTACTTCTTCCACCGCACCTCTCGCAAGCTCCCCGGCATCTTCGACTCCCCCTTCTGGTCCACCCTCGTCTTCCAAGCCAGCGCCTGCGACCCCGCCGTCCTCCATGCGCTCATCGCCCTCGGCGCCGTGGATCTGGGGAAAGCGACGCGCGAGCTGGCGTGCGCGGCGGAGAGGGTGAGGGGGTATGAGAGGGTGGCGCTGGTGCAGTATAATAAGGCTATTGTGAGTTTGGGGGTCCATTTTAGAAGGGGGGGTGGGGATGCGAGGAGGGTGGCGCTGATCACTTGTATGTTGTTTATTTGTATTGAGTTGCTGAGGGAGAGGTTTAAGACGGCGAAAACGCATCTTGGAAATGGTCTTAAGTTGCTCGGTGAGATGAGGCGGGGAGAGGGGGGGAGGAAAAGGGGGGGTGAGCTGGTGGTTAATACGGAATTGGAGTCGGTGGATGATTACCTCGTTGAGGCGTTTACGAGGTTTAATATCCATTCCTCCCTCTTTGGTCAGGATAACATCCTCCTCTACACCATCGCTCCGCACCCCTCATGCGCCGACCACGCCATCCCGCGCGCCTTCACCACTTTCCGCATAGCGCGCCTCTACCTCGACACTCTCATAAACGCCATCTACAACCTCGCTCACCAAGTCGCTTCTCTCTCCCCCGCCTCCCCAATCCCAAAACACTACACAAACACCCAATCGCACCTTCGCTCATCCCTCGATCAGTGGCTAAAGGCATTCCAAACAAGCCTCCCCACACTCACAACCCACCACCCCCTTATCGCCCCCCTCGTCACCCCGCTCCTCCACACATACTACACCATGTCCACCATCACCCTGTCCACCTCCCTCTCTCCCCGAGACGAACTAATCTACGACTCCCACACCGCGGCGTTTGAATCCATGATCAGCCTCATGCGCGGCGTGTTTGAGACGATTTTATCAGCACACGCGCCGCTGGGGGATGAGATACCGGACCCGCCTGGGTTCACGGCGGATATGGGGTTCATACCGCCTCTGTTTTTTGTGGTGCTTAAATGCCGTGACAGGGTCGTGAGGAGGGAGGCACTAGAGCTGCTTGATGGGGCGCCGCATAGAGAGGGGTTGTGGGATGGGATTATGGCGGGGGGAGTGGGGAGGAGGGTTGTGGAGATTGAGGAGGGCGGGAGTTGGGGGGATGAGAAGGGGCAAGGGGAGGTGGTGGTGCCAGGGTGGGCGAGAGTGTATGATGTTAGGGTTGTGTTGAGGGATGGGTGGGAGGGGAAGGCGGAGTTGAGGTTTAGACGCTGTGGGGAGGGGGGGGGGGAGAGGGTGGAGAGCGCGGAGGTGGAGGTGGAGTTTGGGAGTATTTCGTCGGGGAGGTTGGGTAAGTGTATGTTTACGGGGAGGTAGGGGTAGATGATAGGGGGTTGGAGTTGGATTGGTTCGAGATATATGTGAACATTTTGAGGGTTGGAAGTTATTTATGAGAATATCGAGAGATATTTGGATTTTTATGTATTAATTTACGATTATATTCTATTATTTTTAAGACTTGGCAAAGATAATGAATTCTTCTTATAAGTTATGTATTGTATCCAAACATTGAATATTCTTATAAACATTCTACTATAAATAAATTAATAAAACTGATATTAATTGACTATTCCGGCTATGAGTTGTAAAATGGCGGGGGACGATTCTCGCGGGCGCCATTACGGGGCGGGGCGGGAAACCAAATATCGAGATGGTGGGGTGTGACCAATGGTGGGGCTGGGATTTGCCATTGCAGCTCCCAACTGCATCATCCATTCTTTCCCCGCCCACCAACTGTCCCCAAAGCTTCGAAAACTCACGAATTGAAGAAACACCACCGCGATTCCGCTCACCTACGAAACTACATACAAACTCGCATGATCGGAGCTACAATCCACACATCCTCGAACACCAACACACCCCATCCCACCCCGCAGACCCCTCATCCCAATCCCCCCACATATCCCTCAAAATGACGCCTCCAACCTCCGACCCTACAAACTTCACCTCCACGCCCCCCCTCCTCACGCCTCAAGACAGCTCCCAAAGCACACAAGCTGACCGCAACCCCGTCCCCCCAGCCTCACCGCACTCCGGCTCCCTCAGCCACCGCTCCAGCTTCGCCGACGGCATGCGGCCTCACCCTCCGTCGCCGCGGAACCAGCGCCACCCCTCCCTCTCGCAAGCCGCCGTGCAAGAGCTCCTCAACAACCCGACGCCGCTGAATAAGCCGGATGCGAGGTTCACGGGGAGAGACTGGCGCTCGATTGAGATTGGGGAGTTGGTTACGGCGGAGGATGTGAGGTTCGTGGAGACGAATACTAGTGTGGAGGAGGCGACGAATGTAAGTCCCCCATGTGAGCGATAAAGGGGGTTGAGATGCTGACGCTGGGAGATTTTGATTACATCCGGTTCGCCGCGTGTGGTGCTTATCCGTGAGGATGCGGAGTCTTCTACGGCTTGTGGGACTTTTGATTATGGCGACTTGAACGCTTATTTGCTCGTTGTGCTTGGTCTCGGAAGCCCGGACCCGGAGATGATAGAAACATATACTGAAATTGCGAGGAAGGGACGCGAGGGTGTGGAAATCCCGCTTGGAGACGTGGTGTCCTTGGCGAAGAAGGCACCGCTCGTTACGCTTGAGGAATCGGAGAGCTTGTCGGCGGCGCTGGAGTTCTTTGCGGGTGGTGTGCACCGGATTATTGTTGTAAAGGACGGCACACAGGATGTTGTGGGCGTGCTGAGTCAGTTCAAGCTGTTGAACTTTTTGTGGGAGAATGGCAATTGCTTCCCTGTTATTGAGAGGCTGTACCCGAAGATCCTGAGGGATTTGCAGATCGGGACTCACCAGATCATTGCTATCAAGTAAGTGTCCTCATTATACATCCATGAGTATGAATGAGTGCTAATACAGCCAGCGGCGACAAACCCCTCACCGAAGCCCTCCTCCTCATGAGCACCGAAGGCCTCTCCTCCCTCGCCGTCGTCGACAACGGCCTCAACGTCATCGGCAACATCTCCACAACCGATGTCAAGCACCTCACCAAGACCAGCTCCCTCCCCCTCCTCAAATCCTCCTGCACCCACTTCATCTCCGTCATCCTCATGGAGCGCGGCACAGACAACGGCAAAGACTCCGTTCCGGTCTTCCACGTCCACCCTTCCTCAACCCTCGCTCACACCGTTGCTAAACTCGTAGCTACTACCTCTCAGCGCATGTGGGTCACCGAGTCCCCTTCCCCGGCTCCAACCCCAACTCCACAAGCCGTACCATCTGTCCTCGCAGCAGCCCAGCCGCATGGGACGAACCCCTCCGCCTCACCGCCTCTGTCGCCCGCCTACCCATCCATCTCCGCTGCGTCATACCCAGGCGTCCGCTCCGGCCGCCTCACGGGCGTCATATCACTCACTGATGTTCTAAACCTCTTCGCCCGCCAATCAGGACTGCAGACACAAGACCCCAATGAGGAGCGCCAGCATAGGAGGAGGAGCTCGAGTATCTCATCGATGCCGAGACCGAGTATGGATTCCACGAGGGGATCGAGCGTGGATATTCGCCGGTGATGGACCTGGTGGTAGTCATTGGTGATTGATAGTGGTTGGGGGGGTTTAGGGGGTGCAGAAAACATGAAATCTACGAATTATGGAGCTTTTGGCGCTGGGAGGTGTTTAAATGGAGGGGAATGAATGCTTGGTTTATCATCTCAACTCTCGTGGCGTTTGGGGATTAGATTGACCAATATGTTTGGGCGAGGGCAAAGAGAAATGGGCATGGTTGATAGTTAAATGAAATATGATAAATCTTATCTTGTGTGTGTATTTGCTACTTTTATATTCATATTCCATTGCATTGGTGATGGATGGGAGTTAACATTGATATGAGAACCCCTGTAGCGCTAGGCGGGAAAACCGTTGACCCGACGAGGCCGTAGATCCAAACCCCAAGGCTGACAACTCCAACCCCAATCCTACCAAAACTTTACGTCTCTGTACCTTCCTACCAACCTCCATACCTCACCGCACACCCCCAACCCCAACAAAATGCCCGACTCCTCTCCGCGCCCAGAAAGCAAAAGAGAGCGCAAACGCTCCCCAACCCCCAACTCCGAAGACGAGCGCCGCCGTCGACACCGCCGCCGCGAGCGCGAGGATCGAGATGGCGAGTCCAGAGACGCCACCGACAGCACGCGAAAAAGACACCACCACCGCGACGACGATAAAACTCGCAGTTCCCACAGATCAGACGAAGAGGGCGTATCAGCTACTAAACGCCGCCGCTCTAGGAGTCCGAGGGATGGAGAGTCCTCCCGCCGACACCGTCAAGGACGAGAGCACGGGAGAGAGAATAGACACCGCGACCGGTCCCGCGACAAAGATTCGAAACCCAGATCCCCACGCCGTGACCGCGATCGCGACTCTAAACACCGATCCCCGCGCCCGAGAAGCCGCGACCGAAACCGCGATGTAGACCGCGATACGAGACCTCTTTCCAACGCGCCACCCTCGCCGATGCGGAAGAGCAACGCGCCCCTCCCGAGTCAGCAGGATAGTTTCTCCATGATCCGCGGTGGCGGGCACGGCGGTGGTGGACGTGGTGGATTCGGTGGCAGTCGCGGAGGTCGCGGCGGCGGACATGGCGGAGGAGGACGAGGCGACGACGACAACGCCCTAGTCCCCCACGACGGGGCTCCCCCGCCAGAGAAAAAACAACCCAACTTCGCCCCCACCGGCCTCCTCGCCGCCGAAACCAAAACCGTTACCACCTCCACCGGCGCCGCCATCGTGCTAAAATACCACGAGCCGCCCGAAGCGCGCAAGCCCCCCCCCCGCGACGCCTGGAAGCTCTTCGTCTTCAAGAACAGGGACATAGTCGATACGATCGACCTGGGCAGCCGGAGCTGCTGGCTCATCGGGCGGGACGCCTCGATTGCGGATTTACCAGCTGAGCATCCGAGTATCAGTAAGCAGCATGCAGTTATACAGTTTAGGTTCGTGGAGAAGGTGGATGAGTATGGGGAGAGGAAGGGGGGGGTGAAGCCGTATTTACTGGATTTGGAGAGTGCGAATGGGACGAAGCTTAATGGGGGAGTGGTGGAGGGGGCGAGGTTTGTGGAGGTTAGGGGGGGAGATTTGTTGGCGTTTGGGGAGAGTACGAGGGAGTATGTTGTTATGCTGCCGAAGGACTAGAGGGGGGCGGTAAAGGATTGGGTGTCGCTGTTGTTGTCGGTACCGGTGGTCTGGGTAGGGTTTGCTTGGGCGAGGGAAGGGATCGTGGAGGGGAGATGCGGAATACCGGAGTGAAGAAAATCGAAATATCGCTATTGAAGAAGCAGAGCTCACGTGGCCATACCCGGTGAGTATAATCGACGACACCGACAACGCCGGCCGCCCATGCGCCAACTGCCATCCCAACCGCGGAACTTCTTCCATCCCACTCCCTCCTCCCCGCCGGCGCTTTCCGCATCGCCGTCCGCAGATTCCCATGCCAATACCGACAGTACCCTCCTCCAATACCACCTCACCTCACGCGGCGCCGACATGACAGCGGAATCCACACCAGAATCATCTGAAGTATATATATATGCAGGTGCGCGAACCGCTCACGCGGCGGCCAGAAAGCCGTTTTAGGGACCGACCGACCGCTGCCTGTCAACGGCGGATGTGGCTGCCTCATGGAACGTGTGTGTGAGCAGGAGCAGGTGCAGGGACTGACGATCTGCTCATCTAGGGTGCTAGATCTGATCTTGCATGAGACGGGCCGCGGAGATGATCTCCGATCTGGATCTGACTGGCTGTCAGATTCCTCACTATACTGTTGCTTTGCTTTGTATCGTAGTTGTACATGTATCACACCGTTGTAAGATACCGCCGGACTGGGTGTAGATAGAAAAACCCCTGCTAGTCGATCGCGACAGGGGGAGATCTTAAACATGAAATGCCATCCCAAGTCCGGATGAAATGAAATGACCCTCGTGCAACGTCCGCCGATCGGGGGACTGGTGACACCTACGTACCGGTGGCTGACCTACCCGCGCGCTGCTGCAGTGTACCCTTGTGGCGGAAGCTTGTCTGAGCCTGCGGTTGTGCGTAACAGCGATATTGCTGCCTTGTGACACTCATCCCGTATACTGTCATACGCTCTCCTGCCTATGTGCCAGCACACGTCATTCGCCCATTCGACCCCCACTCATCCTGTCTCTTATGCAGCTGTCAAACCAACTCGCCACGCAACGGCGCAGATCGCTACCCTCCCTGCGTCCGAAGCTGCAGCAGAGAGACATGGTGGAGTTGGTGATGCGTGGTGAGGGGGAGACTTGGCGGCTGTGGCGTTTCTGGAAGGCGGGGGGAGGGGAATTGTGCATGAAGGGGGCTGGGAAGGTGGTTGTGCATGAGGGGGGCTAGGGTTGAAGGGACTGTGCATGAAGGGAGTGGGGGGATATAAGACGGGGGAGTATATAAGACGGAGGATAGGATGGGGGATTTGGGATGGAGAGGAGATGCGAGATCTCGAGGGGACATGGGATTGTCTGCCTGCCTGCCGTGGGTGGGGATATAGGCAGCGGCCCTTGGTGATCCTGGTACCATGGCGTCGGGGCGTGAGTGACGAGTGAGTGAGTAAGTGAGTGCCGGACTCTGCCACGATGAGGCTGGATATGCCGTGTTGTGTTTGGAAAGGCAGACCGGGGGCGAAGGAGAATGTGAGAATGCCAGCCAGCCAGTGGGTATGATACCCAACCAGTATGACTCCTTCTTCCCGAGCCTCTCTGACATTTCTCTGGCCGGTCTATGACCCTCTTCCCGAGCCTCACTAACCTTCCTCTGGCAAGTCTATGACCTTTCTCTGCCGTGTCAAGAGTTGGTATTCACCACTAAGCACTCGCGACTCACCGCATCTCTGGCCGGTCTATAACCTCTCTCTGCCGTGTCAAGAGTTAATATTCACCACTCCCCACTCATCACTCACCGCATCTCTCACATCCCACAACGCCCGCGCAAGACAGACTCGGTGTGCTATCCCGTCCGTGGTTCTCCTCCCACCCCGTGATAGCAAAAATGCGTATGAATAGCCCACAGTAGCCCACAGCAGCCCATCAGAAGCCAATAAATAGTGCCCCCCAGGCTGTCTCACGCCCTCAGCGTCACCCAGCCACCACCTGTGTGCGTATGCGTGAGTGAGCCAGTACGCCCGCCCAGCCGCCGCTGTCGGCATATGGTACTAGGCACCACCGCCACGCACGACGTGTTGGCCGCCGGTATAATGGCCGCCTGGGCTGGCCGCTGTCCCGTATAACTGGTCGCTGGGAATGGCTCACCGGGTGGCCGCCTGCCGCCTGCCGCTTGTCGCCTGTCTTTCCCGATGGTATGGGATGGTGGTGGTGGATGGCCCTGTAACGGCAGTGGTCGGTAGGTGGGCAGTAGGTCGTTGACTTGTACCTTCTGTACGTAAAGTACACGCTGGGGTGTGGGTGGTTGACTGGTACAATTTAGCGTATTTTGGTTGTAATTTAGTGCATTTTGGGTGTTAATTTAGTGTATTTTGGATGTAATTTAGCGTATTTATTAGAGGGGTGACTGGTATACGGCAGACGCTTGGTACCTCCCTCACCCTCTCCCGCCCTCCCAAACGGTCCCCCGTACTCCCCCGCCACGCCCCGATCCCCCGAGACACCCGCACATGACACTGGCAAATCAGCTGCCCATGTTGATTTTGGCGCCAGCAACCATGGGAGATACTTCCAGCCACCGCTATTTATGGCTGGCTACGCTTGTACCTCCTATGCCCCTCGACATGGATGAAGCATGGATGACAGGGCAGGCGGCGTTCATGGAGAGCCCCTCTACTCTCCACTCTCTCTCTCTTTCCTCTCTCTGGCTGAAATGTAGGTAGGTATAAAGTCCACTCTATGTACCCCGCACTCTACTGACACCAATGAATAACAGGCTTCTCTGCCCCTTCTCTGCCCTATTTATTCACATCCATTCACGCCGAGTACCTGTCCTCTACCTGCCATCTACTTCTTATTCCTCCCAAGAGAAGGCTGCGAGGGGGGTGGAAGAGGCTGTGAGCCGGTGGTCGTCTGTCGGTGTGCTCGCTGTGGACGCCGCTCTCTCCATTAATATGCACTCCTTCCTGGCTGAGCCCTACTTTGACCCACGCTCCCCATGATTCAGTGTGATTAGAGGGATCGATCCCCTTTCCGTCTAGACAAGAGAAACAGCGTCTGCATGGCTTTCTGCGCCCTCCACGTGAACTCTGTTATTCGGCGTGGCAGCCCTCTCAACAGACTAAGCCCGGCGGACGATTAAAGAGTATATATAGCTCTGTCCCCCGACCACCCCCTGCTGTTCGGGCTCCTACGCAGATATACTACATACACATATATACGCATACCTATCGTTTGGCTTGTTCTGGCCACAAATCAACCTGCAGAATGGTGAGTTCTCCCACTTTTCACTTTCCACTTTCCACTCCACATTTCCCTGGACCAGTACTGGGCCAGAGACCAGAGACCTTAGAGAGCACCAGCTAACTTCTTCTCCCACAGGGCACAACTACGCCCCTCGACCAGATCAAGCGCTTCGAGGTCACCGAAGTCTATGCCCACCCCGAAGCCACTGTCGACATCGTCCTCGTCCACGGCCTCAACGGCCACCCACAGAACACATGGACCGCAAAGAACGGCGTCTTCTGGCCCAGCCAGCTGCTGCCTCTGACATTACGGCAGGCCAAGGCGAGGGTCCTAGTCTATGGCTACAACGCAGACGTATATACTTTTGGCAGCGATAAGGGCGCAAGCTCTGATATGATACACCAGCATGCACAGAGCTTGCTGACGGGACTGAGCATGGAGAGAATGAGCGAGGAGAAGGAGGAGAATGCGATCATCTGGGTCGCGCATAGCTTAGGTGGGATACTGGTAAAGAGGGTGAGTGTCCCCGGAGGCTCGCAGGAGGCGTGCTTAAGACAGTGACTAAAGCTAACGTATCTAGGCACTGGAACTCTCAAACGACCTCACGAGTAAGAGCGCCGACCCAAGCCGCTCCATCTACGTCTCCACCTACGGCATTATCTTCCTAGGCACGCCGCACCTAGGCGCTGACGGCGCAAAATGGGGACAGGTCCTGCACTCACTCGTGCGGACCGTCATGCCCAAGAAGATCGTCGAGACGGAGGACCAGCTGCTCAAGACGCTGCAGAACAACAACGAGACCCTTCAGAACATCAACCTGCACTTCCTCGACATCTACCAGCGCTTCGAGATCGACATGGTGCACGAGGCTATGAGAACCGATCTCAAGGGCACTAAGATCTTCGTCGTCGACCAGGCCTCTGCCTCCCCGCCGTTACCAGGCGTCCGATACTACGGCATCGAGGGCACGCACTCGTCCATGTGCAAGTTCGAGAGCAAGAACGCCCCAGGCTATCTGAATGTCAGCACGGCGATCAAGGGGTGGGCGAATGACTGCACGCCGAAGATCCAGGCGAGGTGGGCTGCGGAGAGGAAGGCAAGGAGGCAGGCCAAGGAGAATGAGGCTAAGGAGCTACTGGGCATCTTCGTAACGGATAAGGATGATACTGTGAGTTAGCCTTAGACGAGCCGTAGCGAAATATACATTCTGACTTTTGAATAGTTGAGTGCCCCAGTGGCACAGCCGCGGCCACAGGAGGCGTCGGGAACTTCAAACAGTACGTCGGCACCTACTTCCCACCAAGCACCGGCGACGAGCCAGCCGCGGGCTGCACTCGAGGCAGCGTCGCGCCAGGCTGCGTCGCCGTTCCAGTACCAGTACACAACGGAGGAGGTTGAGGAGAGAGAAGCGGAACTGGTGGAGCGTTGATTCTGTCGTTCTGCGAGTTTTCTCTTTTTGATTTTCGTCGGGGTTGTGTTTTTTTCTTACACTCTATATCATGTCACTCTACTCTACTTCTTCTATCCTTATAAAAATGAACAGGGCTGATTTCTCTCGTGCCTATGTAGACTCGTCGCTCGCCGTATCAAACGCAAATATCGCCCAGCCTGCTGCCAGACCCGCTGATCCCGCTACTACTGCAGCCCCTACCGCGTACTTCATCAAGCCCCAGGGGTTTCGTCCTAACTCCCTTTTTGTCGGCCGCGAAGAGGAACTCGAGAAAATGCATCGCATGCTTTTCGACCGCAAGCGCCGCGCCGAGGGCGTCGCTGCTGTTCTCATCCAGTGCATCCCTGGCGGTGGAAAGACTCATCTTGCGCGCGAATATGTCTACAAGCACCTCCAGGACTTCCCCGGCGGCGTCTTCTGGGTCACTGCCAAGTCGCCTGAGCAACTGGAGGCTGGCTTCTGGCATATCGCTGCTACCGTCGCGTTACCGCCCGCGAATGGCAGCGTGGCGGCGAAGCAGACGGAGGATTTCGTCAGATGCGTTATTGACTGGTTCACGACCCACCACGACTGGCTGCTTGTCCTTGATGGAATCCACTTCGACCACAACGAGACTCTCAGTCGGTTTATCCCCGATAGCACGAATAGCAGCCTTCTCTACACATCCACCGAGCACAGTGTCGGTGGCGACCACCACTTCATGAACCCGGAGGTTATCAGAGTACCTCTGCTATCAGCGCGCGAAGCGCAGGAACTTTTCCTTCAGGAACTGGGCCGAAAGAACCCGACAACAGACGACCTTGCCGAGGCGATGAAGCTGGTGCAGCGAATGGGATTTCTGCCAGAGGTAATTCATGTGGCGGCGAAGAGGCTGAAATCGACGCAGGAACCGTTGGCCAAGTTTGCGAGAGCCTATGCGTCAGGGCCGAAGTTGAGGGCACTGGACACTTATGTAGCTGTTGTGGAGCAGCTGCGGAACTCAGGGGCGGATGAGGCATTAAATCTGATCAGTATACTGGCATTCTTCAGCAGTAGTATCCCAGTGGAGATGATTTCGTTAGGTAAGTTCCCACTCTCTCTGTGTCTATCAAGCTGAACTAACATCCACAGGCCTCAAATCAGTCGACATCCCCGTCAAAACCTACGAAATGGCCACCGGGCGCTCCCTAAACAACACCTTCAAAATCCTCAACAGCTACGCCCTAATCAGCCGCTCCGAACACGACCTCAGCCCCCACGCCTCCACCTCCTCCAAGTCCTCCTCCCACCTCCTCGCCGACGACCTCGACATAATCCGCATCCACTCCGTCGTCCAAGACTTCTTCATCGACTCCCTCCGCGCCGCCGGCACCCGCGCCGTCTGGCTCTCCCGCGCAATGGTCCTATTCACCAAATCCTACGACCAGGCTTCCCAGCGCATCCAAGCAAAGACCAATGCGGGTCTCGTCGGCGACTTCCGCTCCTACGAGATACACGCCCGCTGTCTCCTAGCCCATCTCGCGCGCTTAGAGCGTAAGGGACCACAGCTCCCCGCTATCCGCGAGCCGCTTGAAGCGTCGCTCCGAGACATCATGGCGGAGATTGTGCGGCGGACTCGCGAGTCGTCGCTGGATATCGCTAAAGGCGGCAGCGATGAAGCGTTTATGTTGTCGATTTTCGATCGCACTAGCTCCTCGTCTGATACTGGTCCGGAGACGCCCGGTCCTGCAGACTCATATCCGCCAGGTGCTCATCTCTGGGGTATAGAGGTTTCGCAACTGGAAAGCCCAGTTAGCGTGAATGATTTCCCACTGAAGTTCCCTGCCATGCCGGAGGTTGATGATGGGTATGACTCAGACTGGTCATCCAACGCCTCCGCCTCCGTCATAATGCGCGGCTCCCACTACTCCATCGGCCCCGGCATCGCTACTCCCACTAACCCCACAAACACAAACACCATCACCTCCCCGACGCTCCAACTCGACTCCCCCACACCCACAAAAGAAGAATGGACCGTCGTCCCCCCCCGCCACCCCCGCACCACCCTCCCCCGCGCAGACCTCCACCGCACCACCCGCGCCCTCGAAGCATCCCGCTACCACGACACCACAGGCGCCTTCCGCGCCGCCGCCGACCCCCGCGTCTCCCTCTCCCACGAGACCGCCATGGGCGTCCTCGAGCGGCGCGGCCGGGGCGGTAACCGCGGCGAGGGGGTAATGGGCATACCCATCCCCGGCGCGAAGGGGAATCTGCCTAGTGGGCTCAGCGCGGCGGAGGTGGCGTTGGGGGAGATTAGTAAGAGTTCCCCGCCGCCGAGTAGGGGAGGGGGACATATTCAGGATAGGGGGAGGAGAACGAGTAGTCAGAGGAGACCGAGTGAGATGCTGGGGGGGAAGAGTGCGGGGTGGCAGGGTGAGGCGGTCGCGGGGGATACGATTTTTGAAGCTGTTGGGAGTCCACTTTCGACTTCGACGTCCGGGTCAGGCACTGGATCGGGACAGAAGAGATCGAGGAGTAAACCCTCCCCGCGCCCGAGGCCAGCTACCCCGGCCGTGACGGCGCTAAGGGGTATCCCCTACGAACCCCGCCGTCCCACATCTTCCTCTTCCTCCTCCTCCGCCACCACAGGCGCCCCACCCCGACGAGAAGAAAACAACCTCTCCCCCCGCCCGCCAATACGCATGTACACCCAACCCTACCCCATCTCCACACCTGACTTCTCCGCCCCCCTCCCCCCCGCCAAATACCCCCGCCAAACAGGGCCTTTACCAATCGAATACGCACCCGCCCTCTCCACCGCCCCCGTCCTCAAAACCCCCGACGTCCGTCCACACGTCGCTAGCACCGTCAGCGCACCAACGCCGTACTTGTATCCCCACGCCCCAGCCCCCGCGATGGGCGGATCTCAACAAGGCGGCTCGGGATCGAGCTCAGGACAAGGACAGGGACGTGCGTATTTTCCCCTCCTCCCCACGAACCCGCAACGACCCCGCCGCGTGGGCGGATACAGTTCTCAACCTATGTCGCGCAACGTCTCAGGCTACAGTTCCGCGCCTATGAGTCGCGATGCCTCAGCGGGGTTGTCAGCGCAGTCGGGGAGCGGGAGTGGAGGGTCGAGAAGCGGTGGGTCTAGGAGGAGTGGGGGAAGTGATGGGGGGATGCCGATGGGGATGGCGAGGGGGAGGGGGGAGATGAGGAGAAGACCGAGTTTGGCGGAGACGGAACCGCCGCCTGAGTTGCCGAGGTTTAGTCCTGAGACGAGGGAGGGGGTTGATATGGGGTTTGGGGGGATGGGGAGGTTTAATTGAGCGGTTGGTGGGGGGATGAAGGTGAGTGGGTGATAGAGGGTGAGTGTCGAGGGTAGGCTGTCGAAGATGGATGAAGGACGAAGGACGACGGAGTATGGAAAAAGAGGAGGAAGAAATAGGAAAAAGAAAGAGGAGGAATTAATTTTGATTCGAAGTTGCATTTTGGACAGCATGGACAAAAAGATAAGGCGCGATCTTGGGATTTGTATTTTTTTATGTCATCGGCATGGATATATATGTGTGTATGGGATCTGCATTTGGCGTTTTTCATGGGATTGGGATCTGGATGGGATATGATAAGGGGAGTGGGCATTGTTATGGTATCTTTAGAAAGGGAAAAATCTTGGATACGGCATGATAATGGCGTCTAAAGGTGATGGTGAGGAGGAGGAGGGGGTGTGAATAGTGGTGTAGATTAGACTGCTTGGCTGTGTAATCAGTATCAGTATAGATTATATCAATTAGATTGAAAACTTATGACGGAGAAAGTGGTGATGCCTTGTATGTAGCTTGATTCGTAGAATAAAATGTAAATGTTCTGCATAGCAGGACCTCCTACTCCACATCTTAGAGACACCAGTGTTCGGCAGATCGTGATCCGGATCTGATCCGTAGCCCTCACGGGTCAGATCATGATCCGTCTAATATCTGACGGATATATCCGGATCAGATCCGGATCTCTTAAAAATGAGGCTTAAAAAGTGAGGCTTAAAATAGAATAGTATAATAATAGATCTAATTACTCCTCCCTTTCGTCATTAGCGTCTTCGGCTTCGCTCTCGTCAGTATCTACTATATGACCCTAGTCTCGTAAGCAGAGTAAATATCGTAGTGTTTTAGGAGAGAGCCTATTCCTCTTCTTCGTTAGAATATTAGCTCCATTACTAAAGACCCGCTCTAACGGCGCTAATGTTACGGGAATTGCTAAGTAGTCTCGAGTAATTGTAGCAATAATTAGATACTAATACTGTTTTGCTGCCTAATATTTGAGAATATCTGTTACTAGACCTAGCTAGGGCTTAACAAGCTAGCGCTTCCATTCTAGTTCTTAGTAGATACTATAAGAAATATATAAATCGTCGTTAGAGTTAGGTTCTATAGGTAATTGTAGTAAATTGGCTTTAGCATCCCTCTGCTCTTCTTTAAGGAAGTATTAGCAGTCTCTATACTAAATAAAAACGTCATGGAACTACTGCTTTACTCTATTCCGTTTAACTTCTTTAGTATTACTTAGCTAAAGACTATTGAATACGTTAAGATTCATGCGCGGATTACAAATTGTAGCTACCCCTAAATGACTCTATTAATGATTTGTAGCAAGCGTATAATACTCATTAAGCTTCTTAAAAGCAGCGATATAAGCTAGACTAATTGTTAATGATATACTAACCTCATTCTATAGAGCCTTAAGCTTCTTTATCATCTTTAGATACTAAGGAATTGTAAAGTTAAGCGTTAAGTATACACTTGCTTAAAGCTTCTACGACGGCTTAACGAATATGTAGAAGAAGTTCTAAAGAGCGTAAAGTGTTATCTAATCCTCTAGTATAAGAGTAATATTTCTTATACTTAGATCCATTTGCTAAGTAGCACAGATTGCTATAATTAGGGTCTATAGCTTAATAACAGCTAAAACCATTTCGTACGTTAAGTTCTACTAGACTAGCATATTAAGTGATAATTATAGCTTCTTTAGACTAGCAGTAATAGTCTACTTTTAAAGAGCATCTTTCTATTACCTTCAATTCCTAAATACATAGATATGCCTTTATAGCTTACTAAGGGTATTCTTAACTTTGATATTGCTTTTAGACGAGCTTGTTAGAATCTACGTAGCTCCTTACTCATACTAATAACTTTTAGCTTGCTTAGTAGGAGCAGCTTTTAAAGTCTTAAGAGCATCTTAAATAGTAATATTAATGATATAGGCTATACATTATACGTCTCCTTCCTTAACTTTAAACGTCTATGGCTGTTATGTCATCACTTCCTAGTCTTTAGCTATTTTCTCGTATTCCGTAAGCATAACAGTATTAGCTAAAGCGTTGTCTCTTATATAGGTAAAGATAGCTCCTATAATACCTATATCATCTATTACAAGTGCTAATTATTAAGCTAGATATTCGCTACTATAGATAGGCTCTTAAAGATGTATAACGTTAAGTACTTTAGACTTCTGTTGCCATTTATCGTTAATCTAGTGTGCTGTAATAGTAGCGTAGTCTATATAATTCCGTATAGACTATGCATCTATTGTTATTAATATCTAGCCTCCTCTCCTAATATAAGAATTAAGCTCGAGTTATAGCTAGCCTTAGTAGTATGAGAACTAACGCTAAAGTTCTTAGTGTAGCGTACGAGCTGATATTAATATAGTTGTTAGGCTTAAGAATTAAACTAATTTATAGAATAAATGGCTTTTAATAAGGCGTATCAATAGATTATTTAACACAATGAACTATAGTAATAACTCCTTATATTTCGAAGGATTACTAGACTGCTTTGATATAGCTAATAGGTGTAGGCTAAAGAACGATGATGTACTGCTTAACGTACTAGACGACTGTCTATTCTCATTTTTAAGGGCGTATGATACTGCTAGATGCTTTAAAGAGTAATGCCTCTATAAATTACCTGTTGACGACTGCTTTAGCCCTTGTAGCGCTATTGAAAATCTGCAGTCTAGCTATAGGCATACCATCTTTATAGTTAGCGGCTGAGTATTAAGTGGTTCCCGACGATATAAGCCCTTTGTAAATAGCTTTAAAGTCGTTAGTGGTAATATAACCCTTAGACCTTAAAGTATATTACTTAGTGATCCATTAACTACTTCGACTAATGGCAGAATAGGGGTAGATTGAGGTATAAGATGTGGTAACGACAGCTCTTCTATTTGAGAATAGCTCTCATGATCTAACGGTAAATCTAATAACTTAGAGTCGCTCATTATTACAGCGGTAATCGTCACAATATAGTAATTAGACTGCTATTATAGATTCAATTATACTACGTCTACTGTGGCCTTAGCATCCTTAGCATCCTTGGCAATATCCGTATGATCCGGATCATGATCCGGATCTCACGGATATGCCAAAATTATGACGGATAGGATAGATCCGGATCATGATCCGGATCGGGTCGGGTCATCTACGATCTGTGCCGAACACTGAGAGACACAGTGCCATTGTGTTTCAGGTTCATTTGTTGATTGTTTGATAAGCCTCTGCGACATTTAGAAGACAGCCTCAAAATATATAGCAAAAGAATGAGCTTTCCCACAAGACCGGGTTATTACGTCTGATCATAGAGCAGAAATGCTCACTCATCAAACATAGAGGCCGGCATGTCGCGTCGAGACACCAGTCTGCGACGGGTGGCTAGCTGTGGTGACAGAGATAAAGAAGATTCTCTGTGCTCAGAAGTCGATGGACCACCAAGTAACGGCGTGGATTTTTCCGCTTCTGGGGCTGTTGAACTTCTAGACCAGGTTGAGGACAATCCACTTGATGGTTCATTGTCGAAAGTGCCATCTTCTGCGACTTTGGCGAAGTCGCACTGTGGATTGTTCATTCTCTGGCACCTTTGACACCAACCGCGTACAGCCATAAAGGTGAACCATGGTGACTGATGATCAAATCCAGGTCGACGGATGCATGCATGTAGAGTGATAAAGAGATTAAAGAGGAGAAATGTAGACGAAATTGAGGCCTACCTCAGGCGCACCTTGGGCACACTTGAGACTTACTGTCAGAAGACATAGACGCGTTAAGATCTGGCCAAAAGAAATAGTTGTAGTCGGTGGATAATGCTAGGAATGCGAGCTCGCTAATGTGAAATGCGTGCCAGAGCAGGCGGAACGCGCTGGTATTTCCAGATGCGTGTTCTCCAGTGCTCACCTATATGCGCTCACATTCTTATGTAACCCGAGGGGAACTGAAATGACCAAGTCAGGATGATCTCAGGAGGGCAGCACAGATTTCTGAGTTTTATTGATTAATGAAGCTGATAATTATGCTGAAGTTGATCCAGAAGGTTAAATTGGACCCTGCCAAGTGCGGACCATGCCGATCGATTGATCGAACTAACCCGCAAGTTCAACTGAGTCCGCTACCCCTCTCCAACCTTAATTCGACGATTCTCCACTACATAGCCCACAATAACTGTCAGTTCTGACCCTTAGGTCTAACAAGTCTTTCGCCGGGATTCCAGAGTCCAGAGAACCTCGAACAACCCCATGACAGAAGGGAGAGTTGAGTTGTCATAGATCAGCGAATGAAGGGGGAGTGGTGCTGTAAAGGATCTACAATAAACAGGGCAGTATGAAGTCACGTTCTTAGTTATACGCGTATAGTATAGATCCTATACACTACGAAGACTAAACGCTGTCCCTCCTCTAGAGGTCTACGTTCCTACTATATACTCTACGCTAGGGCTTTAGAAGGAAGTTCCTTGTTACAGCCCTTAGGGAAACTATAGACCGTGTAGGGTTCCGGTATTAGTACAGGGGTTGTAGAAACCTGCCGTAACACTCACTTGCTTGTGAAATACGTTAATCACTTTGTTAATTTAGTAAGTTAGACCTTTTATCTATTAAAAGATGTACGTTAAAGACAGTAAGAATATAAACCCGCTAACGGCTGGCCGAGCTAAAACTCTAGCAGAGAACTCCATACAACAACCGAAAGCTCTCGTCGCCGTCCTGCCCTCTTCGCATCGTTACCCTATCAACAGTGGTGCTGGGGAGAATTTTCAGCATTGCCACAGAAATTAAGGCCGTTGTACCAGTTCATGTACCCATAATCCATATCCTTAAACCCATCGACACGCCAGGTTCCGGCAATGTAATAACCGCAGGCCGCCGTAACCTGCCGAGCGCCGATAACAACACTGCCCGAGAACACTTGTGCTGGAAATGAATCTCGATTGCACAAAAAGGCAACGGAACTGCCCACAACAGAATAGAAGGCCACCCCGCCATTGATAATTGGCCCATTGTTAAGATGTTTGGAAAGAGCGTTATTTGCCGCATCACAGCTTCCGTGGTCCATTCCAAAACCACATCCACACCAAGCTTGGCCGCGCTTTGCAAGCCAAGTTCCCTCAGAAAGAGCATCGTGCGGCATAGGTTCCCTAGGCGAGATGTCTATGGCGCCAGCTGGAATCAGCTCGTGGACTTCATTGCCAGATTCGTTAATGTAAGCACGGTAGACTCCGTCTGTCGCTCCCTGCGGGATTTCGAATGAGGAGGCAATGGCCATCAGGCCGAGGATGAGGAGAGGTTTTGCAAGCATTTTAGGAAGTGTACAGAAATTTCCGGCTTAATAAGATGATTAGACTCAGTAATGAAGAGTGATGAAGTGTTAATAGCAAGAGGGCCAAGAGGAGGTGGAGAGGAGGCTTATATACTTAAGCAGAATGAAAAGCTGGTCTAAAACATACACGATTTCTCCTCGGGTATCTATCTATAGAATGAGGGAAGCACCTGAGTCCTACCTCTTAGTAGTTATCATTATGTAAATCCTATAGGACTTAGAGTATAACTGGTTCTTGCCTTAGAATTATACAAGGTCTATTGCTATAACTAGAGGGTTATTAGTACAATTTAGAACTTACATTTACACGATACCATTTCTGGAGTGCTGACGGTTGCAACCGATATAGTAGCTGCATAGTGGCATTTAACCGCATCATCAACCTCGTATAGGGAGCTAAGTTCTAATATGTCACTTATATTATTAAACTCGTATAGACACCTAGCTCATATGAAAGCTGTCTCTCTAACATAATAGATTTGTATTATACCTTGCATCTGCATATTAGATTCGGATAGACATTTGCGTTCTGGTATGACAAATTCCTGAGGTTATACGTCACCTATATTATCAGACTTGTATGGAAACTTGAGTGGAATCGTTATGGGTGGGCATTGCCGGAGGATCACCGAGAGCGGGTCAGACCATGTCGCTGGTAATTAATTAGATGGCTCGTGCAAACGTACTCTCTGCAAATCGGCTGAATGATTAGCAGTAAAAGAGACAACTTGGTTGGCTAAGCTCAGTTGCCCTAGGGGTTCAATTCATGACAACAGCCCTTAGGTGCTTTTCGCACGAGATCTGGTCCGTAACTAGGATTCTCGTAAGATATAGATAGGCCTTCAGACGATTATAACAGTCTTTAGAAAATTCTAGTGCGAGTTTGTAGGTACAGAGATGATGAAAACTTAAATGTAGCCTTTGCAACTTAATTATCTGTCTGAATTTTTAGGAATGGGGGGTCGAATCAGAACATGCCTTTAAAAATACTAGAAGGCTGCTAGAAGGAACTTGTAATTAGCGGGACGTCCCGAAACGCTGGCCTAATCGGGAAGTTAGCAGATCTTGAGTGTCCGGTTAATCGGCAAGGTGTTCTAGAGCGGCGGTAGAGGGTATAATCCGTTTCATCCCGTTACTTTGCTAAAATGTTCATGGATTGCAAGGATAAGTCTAGGAGAAGGTGGGTTTAGCAAACACTTAGTAGACATCTGGTGAGGGATAATCGTGACTATCTAGTAGACTATCTGTAGGGGATAATCGGGACCATCTAATGGACCATCCGGTGGATCATCTGGTGAGGGGATGATCGCGACCATCCCTATAGGTAATAGCTAAAGTGCTCCACTTTTTAAGGGATAGGGACCACCTAGGAAGGGCAACCTTCTTTTGAATTATAACTACGAGTGAATGACGCTGAGCAGCTTTCATTGCTGTACCATTTTTACCACTTTGCTTACTCTACTCAGTCCGTTCTATATTTGCACTAGCTCTCTACCTATTAATTAAAGCAGCATTAAACGCCTATCTCTATAACCTCCATTTGCCACTCATTCAAAGTTTTAAGGAAAGACTGTGTGTTAGGATGATAACGGCTAAGGACGGGTTCTCGCAGCTGAAACCATGTCTCTATTAGTGAGATAGCCTCCTTATTGCGACTTTAGGACTTTAGCGTTAACGCAAGGTTACCCATGGCCATCAGCGTGTCTAGTGTTTATGTCTAAGCACTCTCTGTCTCGTCTCCATTACTCGCACTTCCATATCCTCAGCCTCCTTCCACTGCCCTTAACTCCATAAAGTGGAGGCCAGGCTGGCCATGCTAGTGAGCGTGTTGGGGTGCGCTACCCCAAGCATCTTCTCTATTGCTTCTAGAGCTCGCTGGTGTATTGCTTCCGCCTCTTTGTACAATAAAAGACTTTAACCCCCAGTATTCATCTTATCCTTCGATCCTTCGATCCTTCGATCCTTCGATCCTTTGATCCTTCGATCCTTTGATCCGTCGATCCTTTGATCCGTCGATCCGTCGATCCTTCGATCGTTTGCGACTTGGTTAATCGAATAAATCCCTCATAACAAAGTAGCTAGCATCTGTGCCGCGGAATTACATATCAAGAGGTTTAGGTGGAGACTAAGCCGTCTAATTGCCGGCGCGGCTGATATTATAGTATGAATGCACTATCAGCTATTACTATAAAAGACAGATCATCCCCCCTAGAAGATAGGGTTACTCATCTTGTCTTCCCTCTCTTTTATTTAAACTCTATTTTCTACCAACGAAATATACGTTACTAGTTCAACTAGGCTTGCCTTCAGTATTTTGGCTGCAACGCTTCCTACTACGACACATTTCTTCTGTGAACATCTGTGCATTAGAGCATCTCTAATCGGTATGCCGTCCATTTGGTAAATCGGAAGAGGAAATGGTCTACTGTCTCTCTCGTCTGCCCGCACGCATATCGGTCCGATTCTACCACGCCACTACGGTGGAGATACCCATTAAGCCGTGCCATGCCTGTTTAGAGCTGGGCTAATACGCCGGCTACTTTCCGTGTCAGTCGATCGTACAGTTGTCGAGTGTGTTTACCTGGGGGTGCTGTGTTAACTCTTTTAGAGTGTCTTTCGATGTTCTCTAGTAGTGCCGTGGTTGTTTCTCATTTAGCTCTTGCAATCCTGAGGGTTGTTGACCACATATAAGGTAGTTGCATCTGTGGCGTCGCTCATTGTCGGGTTACTGCCTTTGCTCTCTCTTTGGCTAGCTTCAGGAGTCCGCTCTCCTCACATGATGGGAGCCACACGACTCTCATTGTGTTTCCTTCTCGCCGCAGCGCTCTAATGGTCTCGTAGAAACGACGGACCTGCTCTTGGTCAGATTGTTGCTAGGGCTGTCTAATTGTGAGCGCGGCTGACTTGCTCCTCGTCAGCAATACGATGTTGTTGTATCTGAGCCTCGGTAGCCGACTCAAGGCAGTCGCCATTGCTAACAGCTCTCCCGAGTACGGGTTCTGGTCAGTCCTTGTGCCAAGTGTAGAGGAGGAGGTCTCTGCAGGTAGGACGCTTTTTAGAGACGCCTGGATCTCAATTGCTCCGCCTATTCCGACTACTCCATTCTGTGCTGAACTAATACTGACCGCGATGCGGACACTTGCACCTCCGTGGGCTAGTTCTCCTCACGGCTGCTGAACGATGAGTCGCCTGAACGTAGCCGAAAGATCAACCTTGTGTCAGAGTATCATCAGGTTCTAAACCCCAATGCCAGGCTACATTAGCAGGGCCATCCTATTATTTTTGATGCCGTTTGAATATAGTAATGAGTCATCGCCCAGCCGCTGTGGGCTATGCAATATTTCAAGAACTAAATACCTAGCCGGTCAGAAGAATAAGTGATGTATACGGGCTTCCCCACGTTTTCGTAGGTGTGATAACCTGTCAGCTGGAATTATAAACCGAAATATCATATCCTAGCAATTTCTGTCGATCCTGTCAGCACGGAACAATAGAGTGCGACTTCGTCGTTGATCCCAGGCAGCATGTGACATGCTTGAGTGTCCTATCCTTGAATTATCCGTCTTAAACCAGTGATTTCCAGGCATTGTGCGGGGATGCCAAGCTGCGCCACGCCAAGCCATTGATCGACGCCAGTGAAACCATAATAGGATATTAGGTTTGACCTGCGATAATCCCTGGTCTGTGCGGCTGGATATCAACGTCATGCGAAACTGCTATTTTACCAAAAATAGTACTATTTGGACCTGAGAGAAGCCATATGACGGGGAAGCCTAGCTACTCGCTTTTTATACTAGGCTCTCTTGAAATGGGACCCTTGTTAGTGGCTGCGGGGCATCTACCCGTGCTGACAGTGTATTGTTAAGGTGCCGTTAATGAGGGGTTCGGGACTGTACTCATGGGTTTACTGCTTGAGAGTGAGTCGGCTGCTAGTGGCGCTTATCAAGTCCAGCATTGCAACAAGAATCACCTTACCAGAAAGCTAATTATAAGTGAGCGAAGTTTTCTATATCTACGTTGTAGCTGTTTCATAATTGCCAGTGCGTTAAGAGTCTCTGTTATCATTCCGTCTTTGCCGTTTTTAGTCATATACAATGCTTCTAATGATACGGTGCACAGCCAGCTTAATTTACTTTTCTGTGCATTCTCATCCAATATGCTTCTCTCATTCTTCCGTTCCTGAGGTGGGGCTGACCTGCCAAGGTCATTTTCGTTGATCAACTTATAGTTTGAGGTACGAGATCAACATTAGTGACAACTTCATGTTCCAGCTCGTCGATCACTTCCATAATTATGACGCCTCTAAGGCATATTTTCTATATGTTACTTCGAATCTGCCTCGGACCAGACTACAATGCTGGAATAGCTTCATGGGGCTGTGGTATCTCTCGAGAATGAGGACTCTCTGGCCTATCGAACTAATCTTTCTGTTGTCATGATGCCTTCATAGCTGGCTTTGAGGCAGTGACGCCCTCGCAAATAGGTACCTAATGGGCTCGAGGTATCCGAGATGTGAGACTCTCGAGGACGTTAAAGGGGCATCAAAGGGGGCTCAAAAGTCTATAAGAAGGGCGGCTTTTCCCTCCCAAGATCATCATCGCAACGACACAGCATCCAAAGCATCACTGCCTACAAAGACCAACAAAATCCAATTTATACACTTTCCGAGTCTACTTAATCTACTCCTATATCAATCAACATGAAGTTCTCTACTATTCCCGTTCTCCTCGCCCTCGTCTTCGCCGTCCAGGCTGAGGTCAACTCTTGGTACGTCAGCTCCAAGGACATCACTTGCACCGGCGACGCAACCGGCCAAATCAACTGTATCCCCGGCCACACCGAGGGCGTCGAAGAGGTAACTTCCCCTTCTCACCAAAAACCAAACAGACCATCTAACCTACTCATTAGGTCCACCTTGACCACCCTACCACTCGCAACGTCGCCATCCGCGGCCGCGAAGTCGAAGTGCCAGGCCTGCAGAAGCGTGTCACTTGCAACATCGACGGTGTGACCCAGGGCCTTGCGTGCTTCACACACTGCTTCGCCATCGGCTACTGCAACTCCCACTGTGACTCTAACAACATCTGCCGCTGCACGTGCAAGGACGAGACTCAATGGTGGAACCCAATTGTCTGCAGCAAGACCAGCTGCTAAATTAGCGGCGATGATGATGATGGTGATAGTCCGGAGCTGGTGAAGTATGTAGAGGATAAAGAGGTGGAGAGGAAGGTCCAAAACTTTCCTACGGGAGGTATTAGTAGAGGAACTTGATTTTGTATCTGTAATGCATGCACACTTAAAAAATTGAACTTTGTTCAGCCCATTTTGTTGATGAGCGGTATTTCAAATGGTGATATGATCTGTTTGCAATCACTACTAGTACTATGTTGCCGCAGAAGCCCCAATAATAAACAGCCAGCAAATATATGGCGTTTATAACATGGTTGATTCGCTTAGTCCCATTAGATCGGAGTTACGGAAATGGTGCGATTGATTGCAGGGTATTGTCTGTGCTTGGGTACCAAAATAATTTCTTCTGCATATTCTAGAAGTTTTCCATTGCCAACGAGGCTTGATGGTGTACGGCGTGCTCGAACTTAAACCACATGCCACCCGCACACTCCCCTCGTTCCACTTGTAACATCACCCCTTCCCCACCCCCTGAATACCCAAGTCTACCTCTTCTTCGGTGCTCCGATAACTGTCCGCGAATAGCTCACACTTGCAAGCGGCACATCCTCTCTCCTCGCTCTCTGCTTCGCCTCGATCCCCGTCCGGTCCGTAACAACTGTCGCATCGATAATGCTGTCAAACTCGTCATCATCGCCATCGGATCCATTATCTGAATCCGCCTGTACATCAGGTTCGGCGACCGGCCCGGGACACGGAATATGCGCTGGAGAAGGTTTGGAAGTTGAGACGGGGTTGGAGAAAGGTTTCGAGGCGAGGACTTGTCGGCGCAGTTCAGCCATTTCCGCTTCGTCATCGGAGTCGTCGGAGAGATCGAAGGGGTCGCGGTCGTTTTGGGGGATGGAGGAAGATGGGTCCGAGGAGTTTTTCGGGGGTTTGGAGCCGAGGTATATTCCGTCTATGCTACCCTCATCGTCGTCGTCTTCCCCATCCTCATCATCATCTTCATCTTCGTCGGAACTCACGGCGGCTCTGTGGTTGGTGTTCCCGCTCTTCCAAATATCATCCGCTGCCCCTTCCTCCCTACTGTCCGTATATTCCTTCTCTAATCTCTCCATCCACGCCTCCTGTGCCTTCTTCACGCCCGCTTCATCCTCACACGCAGCGTAGCGCTTCAGAATACTGCTATTAATTTCCAAGAACGCGCTACCATAGCTAAATGGCGCCAATATCTCCTCTGCCCACTCAGGATGTCCACAGATATAAAACGCTGCCGCTAGGGCCTCCACGCAGTTTAGGCGCCATGGCTTTCCGTAGTTCACCGAGTTCGCCGCCACAAGATATGGTAGCAGACGCTCGCACTTCCCGCCGATGCGCGCCCACGGCACTTCACTCGTGCGCGCCCATGAGCACTCTACCACCGCTGCGCCGTAGGCCTCCATTATCTCGCGGTCTGCGGGGGAGACGGTCGCCTTGCCGTTGGGGGTGATGATGACGCCGGAATGCTTCTGGCCGATCGCGAGCTCGCGCATCAGGCCTTGCTTCATAAGTTTGCGGCCAGAGCAGCGCTTCGGATCGCAGTGACCGAGATCCCAACATGCGGCGCGGAAAGAGGGGCGGGCGTGGGGGACTTCGGAATCGTCATCTCTGGGGCCGCGTTGGCGGGGGGCGTTGGCGTATTTCTTGCCTTTGGGGCCGAAGCCGTCCTTCTTGTGGCGAACCATAGCCGGAGAAATAAATTAGGTATTTGTAGTATTTGATTTCTGAGATCGTTGCGGGATATAAAGCGTAAATGTGGCCTGCTTCGTCTTTTGTGAGTCGTATGTGTGGTTTGGGGGAGGTTGATATGCTGCCCCGCCAAATTCTACAATCACGATAATAACATTGTGCCGCTCCACACCGCCCAGTGCCTTCCCCCCGACCCTCCGACATGGCCGCGCAGTGCCAAGCTATATCTAGGTGGAGTATCGACATCACCACACCACATCATAGCTCCAGCTTCCTTCTATTGCCCAATTTCTTTGCATGCCCTCTCCCCGAACTAGCTCACACCGGGCTTCATAACCACCCAAACCCGCCCATGGAAGCTGCCTCAGCGCGTATGGCTGCGCGCGACCGCTTCTCACAAGCCGGCGACTCGGGTCCCACCCCGCTCCAGCGCTTCATCCAGCAAGCCTGCTCGCCCGAGTACTTTGAGCCGAACCTGTCGCTCAATCTCGAGATCGCGGACCTCATAAACTCCAAGAAGGGTAATGCGCCGCGCGAGGCCGCCGTTGCGATCGTCAACTATATCAACCACCGGAACCCCAACGTGGCCTTGCTGGCGCTCAGCCTCCTCGACATCTGCGTGAAGAACTGCGGATACCCGTTCCAGCTGCAGGTCGGCACGAAGGAATTTCTCAATGAGCTTGTTAGGAGGTTCCCGGAGAGGCCGCCGGTGAGGGCCACGAGGGTCCAGTTGAGGATTTTGGAGGCGATTGAGGAGTGGAAGAGCACTATTTGCCAGACAAGTCGGTATAAAGAGGACTTGGGGTTCATACGGGATATGCATAGGCTGCTCAGTTATAAGGGCTATACGTTTCCGCAGGTTAGGAGGGAGGATGCCGCCGTATTGAATCCGAGTGATGTAAGTGCTTTGGTTCCTTGTTGTTTAGTTCCCAACAGCTGGCGGAAACTGACACGTAATAGAACCTCAAGTCGGCAGAGGAGATGGAGGAGGAAGAGAGGTCTGCGCAATCGGCAAAGCTGCAGGAGCTGATCCGGAGAAGTGGGCCGGAAGATTTGCAGGAGGCGAATCGGTTGATGAAGATAATGGCTGGATATGATACCCGATCGAAAACTGATTATAGAGCGAAGGCAGCTGAGGAGGTGGGCAAAATTCAACAAAAGGCGAGGCTGCTAGAGGAGCGGCTTGAGGCTTTCCAACCCGGAGAGACAATGACCGAAGGTGATGTGTACGAGGAGCTTGCCGCATCACTGCAAAGTGCCCACCCCAAAATACAGAAGATGTGCGAGGAAGAGTCGGATGACCATGAAGCCGTGGCGAAACTCTTCGAGATCAATGATAGCATAAATCGCACGGTCGAGCGGTATAAGCTAATGAAGAAGGGCGATATTGAGGCGGCATCGAAAATCGCTAAAGGGACTCTGGGAACAACTACTGGGGTGGCAAAAAACGCTGCGAATGAGCTCTCATTAATCGACTTTGATGCCGATGGAGAGGGTGTGGGGGAAGCTTCTTCAAGTGCGCCACCGTCAAAGCCAGGTGGACTCGAAGACGACCTTCTTGGGTTATCAATGGGTGAAAGTACTATTAGCGACGCTCCCTTTGGACAGTCTGGTGCAATTGGACTTGGTTTTGGTGCAAACACAAGTATGTCATTTGGCCACACCCTATATGGCAAAGCTAACATATTTAGACATCCCTGGGCCATCATTGATATCCTCAACCACGCAAAACAACAGTGCGCGAGCTCCGACTCCTGCGGCGTCAACACCATCCCCAGCATTGACACAGCCAAATTATGCCGGATTCCAGCCGCCTGCACACCAACGACCCTCTGATCCATTTGCAGCTCTGACTCAACCACTCAGACAGTCAACGCCACAACTTACTTCCAATACTCCTTCCATGTTTGACTTCCGTTCCAATACATCTACTCCAAATCCAAGCGCCACAAATCCGCCAGTGTCCACAGATGATGATGAATGGGAGTTTGAATCTGCACTACCAAAAAACAATGGGTTGCCATCGTCGAATGTGATCACTTTGACCGACTCTGTTATAAATATCACAGCTGAAGCAAGTCGTAAATCGAATTCAGATACGGCTATCACGATATCTCTGAAGTATTCCAACAAGACCCCCATGCCAGTCTCAGATCTCGAACTCAAAGTAGCAGTGCCGAAGGTATGCTCTCCACGCTCATGTTATCCAGTACCTCACTAACTAGATACAGAAATTGCAGGGAATTTCACTCAAATGGGAAACTCTGACAGGGACAACTCTGCAGCCACTTCAGAAAGACGGAATCTCACAAGTGGTACATCTCAATGGCGTAGCACTTGGACAAGGAAACAATGTTAAACTGCGGTGGCAGCTATTGTACAAGCTTGGTGGCGACTCTAAGCAAGAACAGGGCGAGATACCAACTCTTGGTGTTGCCTAAAAAGCTGATATTATAGTAGGGGTAGGGAAAGCGTTTTAGACTTGAATCTATGTAGCGGCATTGCCAGCGTCTTGATTTTCAAGAACATAACCATGTCCCAACTGCAGTTTGTGAGGTGTCCATATGTACCATCGTTAATTACCCAAATACTGGGTACTCTATGCGAATATATATTCTATGTTGTCTAATATCATAATCCCATTATGCCAAATCCATGCCAGGCATCCCTTGCATTCCACCCACCCTCTCCCAGAATGCCTCGAAGTCTACTCCCTCCCTTTCAAACAATTCGTTCGCCTTTTTCATTGTTTCCTGTTGCCTCTCGGCGGTAAACCCACCTTCCCTCGCACTCTCATACTGTACAAGCTCAATCCAGCGGAAGAACAAACTCTCTTTTCCCATCAATGTTAGCTCATCCTTAAATAGTACAATCTTCTTTCGCGCCTCTTCTTCCTTGTTGCTACCCTGCACGTTCTCATCCCAGGTCACCCATCCATAAGCTGGGCTATGCACCAAGGCCTGTGTCTTGAAATCTGGTAGCACAGCATCCTTGGCATCTATCATCTCCGTAGCATATATCATGAGCTTCCAATCCAAATCCCACTTCGCATTTAGAAGCATGTATCCAGTCTTTTCGTGCATGGCCGTCACGCTCGTTGCGCGTCTGACCTCTTCATCAAACAGCTTTCTTGCCGGTTCCTCCGTTTCTAGTACAATGTCGACACTGGGAATTATCGCTTCGACGTCCCAAGCCTTTGATCTTCGGACTATGACCTCGCTATTCCGGAAACCGATGTTGGTTCGCCATAGGACCGGCGATCCGTTATTCGTGCCCACAAGAAATTCGCGCGGCCATGTGAGTAAGAAGTAGTGGAAGTAATCAATCAAAAAACCGAGGAACCGGTTTAATATGGACGAGAGTGTGAGAGGCGCGGTGGTGTCGTGCCTGGCGAAGGAGGTCGCGAGTGAGATGTAGAGAGGTAGCGTGTAGCTGATCCGCCACGCGATAAGGGCAATTATGGCTAGGTTCGTGAGGACGGGTACGGCGAAAACTTTCTTTTTGAATGGTTGAGGGGACGCATCGAGGGAGAGTATATAGATGTGCTTCTGGGAAAGCTGGGATAGTAGAGGTTCGAGTTGAGGGGGTGGGAGGGAGAATGGCGATGGGGGCGTTGAAGAGCGCGGCTTCTTGGGGGTGGAAGACGACTTGAATAATGCCTTTGAAGGCTTGCCTTTGGATTTCGGCGGCATTGCGAGGATGATAAGTGATTCAATTGTTTATAATTCAAGACCTAAATCAGTGTTCGAGTGGGTGGCGATGCCGTCAGCGGCTGTCACCGGAACATTTCCGCGCCGACTTTGGTTGGACCTGGATGTGCCATAATAAATTTTGGGAATCAACGTCGCTTTCAGACGCTGAACTCCGACGTATCGCAAAAATGAGAGTCGGAAGGATATGGGGCGTAAGTTTACGTATTTAAAGCGTGATATAGTCAATGCTGATGCTTAATAGGAATCCCCTCGCTCTTCGATTTGCGCGTTTTGCGCCCATGGGCTGGGACCAGCCAGGGCACCGTCACATACCGCACGACGCTTCCTACAAACATCGAACTCGAAACTGAATTCATCGGCGGCTGCGGAAGCGCGCCAATCTCAGGGTTCTGATGATAGGCCACAGCTGCCCACGTCTCAATCCGCAGGAGCAGCCTTCTCAACAGGGGGGGGGTTCGGTCGGCCTGCGTTCGGCAGCCGGCCAGCATTTGGAAACACAGGCGGCGGCGGGGGTGGCGCGGTTGCCGGATCTGGACGTCCTGCATTTGGCTCGGGGCAGATTGAGTTGACTGAGGATGAAAAGAGGTTGAGGGATGCGCTGAAGACACAAGGAGAGGCTGAGGCGCAAACCCAAGCCCAGTCCAAACCGTCAAAAATACGAAGACCACTCAAGATATACGGTGGGGCTGGTCCTGAAGCATCAAGGGCAGGGCGCCCAGAGCCCCTCGATCGTGTACAGAATGCGACAGTTATGGCGAAGGAGGCACGACTGGAAAGGGCGAGGCAAATGAGTGCTGGGAGGCGAAAACGTAATGAGGCTTTACCTAAAGATACCGCAGATGGTACACCACGGTCCTGGAACCAGCTGAACAGGCGTGTTTTAACCCAAGGTGAAGGCTCCGATAACATCCCCAAAGCCGGATTACAGGATGGCGATCACCACGAGTCAAGGGGATATACGTCGCCCTCTGCAAGAAACCCATATACGCGCCAACAGCAGCAACCCGAATTTTCTTCCCACAGGCAAATCTCTATAAATAAGTCGTCCTCAGACGCGTCTACACCAGGACCTGCACCGGAACCCCAGTTGACTACTTGGCGAGCTGCACCCCAGAAGGTCGAACCTGAGCTTAGCCCGGCGGTGCTAAGGTTACGACAAGAGGAGATAGAAAGAGCAGCGGAACTAGAGCAACGGCAGAAACTACGTGAGCAACGCCCACTACAGCGCTCGGCCGAACACTCGGCGTCGTCCTCCCGTGAAAGCGAAAACCTAGGCTTCAAGGGCCGTGGTAAAGACAAGAAGAAAGATCGCCGAAGAGAAGAATTTGCCACAGAAGAGGACGACCACGTAAACGCTGTCGTCGATCGAAAGGGAGAACTAAAGAAGGAAAGGAAAGCGGCGAAGGCGGCGAAGAAGGCTGCTGCGCCTACCCCGGTGCTATTGCCGGAATATATCAGCGTTGCGAATCTGGCCACGGTGCTTAAGGTTCGCTTGGAACATTTCGTCGAGAAGATGGAGGAGTTGGGCTTTGAGGAGACGGGAACAGATTACGTTCTCAATGGCGAAACTGCTGGACTCATCGCCCAAGAGTATAACTTTGAGCCGCTCATTGACCGCAGCGAGTCGGAAGACTTGAAGGCTAGACCAGCTGCTGAAGATCCGTCAATTTTCCCTCAAAGAGCCCCTGTCGTGACGATTATGGGACATGTTGATCATGGGAAGACTACGATCCTAGATTACCTGCGAAAATCGTCAGTTGCGGCAGGTGAAGCAGGAGGTATCACTCAGCATATTGGAGCCTTTTCAGTGCCTATGCCATCCGGAAAGGTCATCACATTTTTAGATACCCCAGGTCACGCGGCATTCCTCAATATGAGACAGCGAGGTGCAAACGTCACAGATATTGTCGTCCTCGTCGTTGCAGCTGACGACAGTGTCAAACCCCAGACGATTGAGGCCATTAACCACGCCAAGGGCGCTCGCGTCCCCATAATCGTCGCCATTAACAAGATAGACAAGGAAGATACCAACATAGATCGCGTGAAGCAGGATCTCGCTCGTCACGGCGTGGATATTGAAGATTATGGAGGCGATACCCAGGTTGTATGCGTGAGCGGGAAAACGGGACAGGGCATGGATGAGCTTGAAGAAGCTGCCCTCACTCTCTCAGATGTCCTCGATATGCGGGCCGACACTAAAGGTGCAGCTGAAGGCTGGGTCCTAGAAGCTAGCATCAAATCAATGGGCAAGGTTGCCACGGTTCTGGTCCGGTGCGGCACCATGCGCCCGGGCGACTTCATCGTCGCAGGCAAGACCTGGGCACGCATCAGGTGCATGCGCAATGAAGCGGGGATTGAGATTACAGAAGCTGGTCCGGGAACCCCAGTCGAGATTGACGGGTGGAAAGAGCAGCCGCTTGCTGGTGACGAGGTTCTCCAGGCACCTACGGAACAGAAAGCAAAGAACGTGGTGGATTACCGAGTTGAGAAGGAGGAGCGCGATCGCTTGGCAGAGGATATGGAGGCTATTAATGAAGACCGCAAGATTACGCATGAGAAGAGAACGAAGGAGAAATTGGAACTAGAAGCCTCGAAGAAGCGCACCGCTGAAGAGAATGCCGAGCATGATGCCCTAGAGGAGGTTGATAAGGAAGAGCATGGGCCAAAGCAGGTCTATTTCATCCTTAAAGGCGACGTCTCTGGATCCGTGGAAGCGGTTACTGACAGCATCGCTGCGATCGGCAGCAGCGAGATCCGGCCGGTAATACTGCGTTCGGGTGTTGGCAACCTCTCCGAGTTCGACGTTGAGCACGCGGCGGTTGCAAAGGGATTTTTGATCTCGTTCAACAATACCATTGACCCTATGATCCAAAAGAAGGCCGATGCGGCGAAGGTCAAAATTCTAGACCACAACATTATATACCGACTTGTGGACGACGTGAAGGGAACGTTATCGGAGTTCTTGCCTCCGATTGTAAGCCATAAGGTCTTGGGAGAGGCCGAGGTTGCGCAAGTGTTTAATATTACGATTAAAGGGCGCAAACAGAAGCCGATTGCAGGGTGCAAGGTACGCAATGGAGTTATAGGACGGAACACCAAGGTACGGGTGTTCAGACACGGCAAAAAGGTCTTTGATGGTGAGTTGATATACCCGGCTTCTTTATTTTCTATCCAGCGGGAACACTAACGAAATGCAGGTGACCTTGAGAGTTTGAAGAATGTCAAGAAGGACGTCGCCGAAGCTAGAAAGGGTGGGGAGTGCGGTATGGGCTTCGAGGGCTGGGATGAGTTCGAGGTTGGTGACCAGGTTCAGTGCTATGAGGTAAAGGAGGAGAAGAGGTTTTTGTAGTATAAGAGGATGCTGTACGATGCGCTGTAACAGATGGAGTCGCTATAATTTGTGCAAGTAGAAACGAAACGATAGGCACGGGGTAGATTTGGAAGACAATCCACAGCATAAGGGCACGGGAGGAGTTTGGGAAACATACTGTACATATAGATATAGACTGAGATAATTCTCCGCTACCAAAAGAGACCATTTCCAAGAGCCAATGGAAAATTCCAACCCAGCTGCCGTTCCCACCCTATTTGCCCGCCCTGGGGATCGCATATCCATTCATGTCCCTAGCTTGTTCTCGGCGGCCCCCAAATACCACAAAACTCATTCAAAGCCTCCCTAATCCCGGCATCCCTCTCCCGCTCTTTAGCACTCTTTTGGTCTATCGCCACGGCCAGTGCAATTTTCATTCCGTCAACCTCGATGTCCGATGCTATGTAGTCCCTTATCTGCAGTATTCTACTCTCTAGCTCCGCGACAGGGTTCACGTGCGTTGGCGGCGGGAACTCTGCAAAGTAGGCGGCCCTTTCGGCATTGACCTTATCGCATTGAAAGCAACGGGGGACTGAGCGGTCAACTGAACTGGGAGAGACCGAAGGGAACACATATTCCAGGGTTTCGATTGACGGAGGAAGATAGAGTGTGTCGGAGCATCTTGGGCATCTGCTTGAGGTTGAGGCGAGGGGAATGGATGATAGAGATGCAGAGGATGAGGAGCTTGATGAGCCCTCTGGAGGTTGCAGTTGGCCGATAGACATGCTGGGTAGATACTCTTCGGGAAATGAGTACCGTATATGCCACATAGGGACGAGAAGGGGGTTGTTTGACGAAAGGAAAGGGCGATAATTTATAGAAACTACAGATTATCGAACAATAGAGATACAACAAAGAGGTTCCAACGAGGCGGAGTGAATCGAATAATTGTAAATGGGTCACTAGGGGGATCTTTTGTCAAACAAAAGGCCATCGTCCAACAAAGGGATACAGGCAAACAAAAGAAGCCCCAACTTGGACAACTTCTGTTGACTGGTACTTCCTTCCCTGCCGATGTTGGTAATTGCTAGCCACCTGGGCAGCCAAGTTTGTCCCGTAGTTCTTGCCTCAAACTATATAACTTGCCTTTTTGCTGAGTTTATTCATACTGCCTTTCGTTTATGAAGTAGTCAGCGTTGTCTGACGCTGACTGTATTGGTTGTCAGTGGTCAAGAAGCCCAGCTGAAGAACCCCCATCAGACATAAAGAAGTCACGGTCTTACCCTCTGCATCTCACTCAGATGGTAAATAAAGATCGAAACAAGAAATACTTTCTCCCTTCATGTCTGTCTAGGGTGTTCGACTAACGTTCCAACAACGGGGGCGCCGGCCACTCGACCCAAAGTATCAGGTCGGAATGTCTACACTGCCCAGCAGCGACTTTGTTCCCACAAAGCCTAACAACATATCGACAACATCTTTACATCACCCATGCTGTGTTTTACCTTGAGATAGAGGTCATATTCCCACGCGATGTTGGTAGATACGTGCAGTACATTGTCGTCTAATCCTTGTATTATTCGACCCATCCTGGACAGAGTTAATGAGGCCTCTTTTCGCTGTTGGGGATAGATAAAGTACCAAGGTTGCCAACACTCATTATATACTACATGAATAGCCCAAAGCCATCTCTGGTCGATGTTGTCCTGGCAGGGTCAATAGGCGCTGACGCCTCCGGCCACCAACAATAGTAGTCGGTTCCCAGCTCTGTTGCCAGAATTTGAGAAGAACGAGAAGTATTTTGACTCAAGCCCGGTATAGCAAAACATCATAGAGGCGTTGTTTCAGTTTGTATTTGAACCGCGCGCGAGCATAACCCCATGGTGGGCTTCAAACATTCAAACAACCAACCATGAGGTCTGTCTGATAACTGGCGAGGCTGAGGCGAGGCTGAGTCGTCCTCCCTCTCCAAGCGCTCAACTACCCCTCAAAACACAAGTCTAACTGTATCTGATTAGCGCATCTCTAGTAAGTTATCAGATTCGATCATGGCCCCATGGGCAAACGCTGAAGGCGGTCTGAAGGCGGTCTGTCGTCTTAGTCGCGCGCCTGGTCTCAAACGCGGTTTCTTCGCCAACGAACGCGTTCGATCTCACACTTTCCCACCCACATCAACCTAAGACACCAATATCAAACTCTGTTGCACTCATAACTCATCTTCTGCATCCGCAACTTCGTACAAGCCGTACATTTGTACAGCCAGCCGTTCAATACGATGTCTGTGGTTTCATTGCTCGGCGTTAATGTTCTCAACAACCCCGCCAAATTCGGCGATTCGTATGAGTTCGAGATCACTTTCGAGTGTTTGGAGCAACTCCAGAAGGGTTGGTCTCTCCTATCCATCAGATACATGCAAAATCAGACGATTTTATTCAGCAAACCCTCACTAACAGTCCACAGACCTAGAATGGAAGCTCACCTACGTCGGTTCAGCCACCTCGTGCGTTAACCCTTCCCAACTCCACCCTTCGGCCACTAACGTCCTCAGTGACGAGCACGACCAAGAACTCGACTCCCTCCTCGTTGGCCCTATCCCCGTCGGCGTCAACAAGTTCATCTTCGAAGCCGACCCACCGGACACCAAGCGCATCCCCGACGCTGAGATCCTTGGCGTCACCGTCATCCTCCTCACCTGCGCCTACGATGGCCGCGAGTTCGTCCGCGTCGGATACTACGTCAACAACGAATACGACTCCGACGAGCTCAACGCTGACCCGCCCGCGAAGCCACTCCTCGACCGCGTCCGCAGGAACGTGCTCGCTGAGAAGCCCCGCGTTACTCGCTTTGCAATTAAATGGTTTGTGTACACGTCTCGACGCGTTCGAAACAACAAGCTAACTAGTGTTGTAGGGACTCGGAGGAATCCGCACCTGCTGAATTCCCACCTGAGCAGCCAGAGGCCGACTTGGTAGCCGATGGTGAGGAGTACGGCGCCGAGGAGGCTGAGGACGAAGAGGAGGAGGAGGAGGCTGCCGAGAGAGCTGGTGAGGCTAACGGCGCTGCCGAAGGCGATGATGAGGCTATGGCTGGCGTTGAGGGCGTCGCCCCAGCTGAAGAGGAAGATGATGAGGGAAGCGAGGATCTCGAGGGCGAGAGCAGCGGCAGCGAGGCTGAGGAGGAGGAGGAGGAAGAGGGTGAGGGTGAGGGCGAGGCTGATGATGGCATGGAAGTTGACGAGCCTGAGAAGGCTGCCAACGGCACCAAGGTGGCTGTGTCTGACGCCGTCATGTCCCATTAGTGGAGAAGTTACGATACCCCCCTACGCCGTTTACTGGATGAAAGGATGTCATAACTTCTTTAGGGAATCTTGTTCTTTAGATGGGTTCGGATTTACCGCTTGGAGTATTTCAGCGTAGAGTCTTTAGTTGATGTTCTGAGCACAATTCATCATTCTAAATGTGCTTACTTTACGTGATATTGTGCATGTTCTATTCAGGTCTACATTCAAGTTTCATCACCAAGTAAAAGTATAATATAAGTTCAACGTCTGACAAGTTGGCTCCAATGTCATTTTTATTCATAAAATCATTCCCTTAAGGGCACAGTCAACGCTGGAATCCGCGCAACAATTTTCAGGTTGAGACATGCTCAACTAGTCCCCTGCCAGTCCCCCACTGGCCCCTAGTCCCACAGTCCCTGCTTTTAAAAGAACTTCCCAGCCACAGACTTAAACAAAAGATTCCTCTTCTGCTTGCTCACAAACTTGCTCGCATCATCCGCCCACCCAGCACTGTTCTCCTGCGTACGCTCCATCGTATCACCCATAACCCCCAGCTGCTCCGTCCGCTCATTGAACTGTCTCGTCATGTAATCGCCCCAGCCCTCCGTCTTGGCACTAGGTCCTGGCCGTGCTTGGTTCGACGCGCGCTGCTCCTCCGCCGCCGCCGCCATCATACGTTTGCTAGGCGGGCGATCCGGTCCGCCAATGAGCAAGTCTAGGTCTGTAGGGCTGACGTACATCGTCCCTGAGATCCACTGCATGTTGGAGATTGTCGGTCGCGGCGGGATAAGTGCCTCAATATTGAACAGGCGGTCGTCAGACCGCGCGAGTGGCTGCCCGGTGCCCCAAGCGTTCAGCATCGCAAGCTCGGAGGGACCGGCCCAGCCGAATATGTCGCCTGAGGGCGTGACGATGCTACTTGAGATGCGGGACTTGTCGAGCATCGGCAGGTTCTGCACACCTAGTTCTTTGAGGGCGGGGATAGAGTAGGCACGTGCGGTACCATCACCGAAGACACCAACGATGGCGTAGCCATGGAGAAGAAAGTGGGTTACTGATGCGGCGTGGCACATGACTGTTGAATCATCCCAGGTTTTCTGTGCTCCCTTCGCGGTAGCGGGTTTGAAGACCCGTACTTCAGCTTCGGTGACTGCAAAATAGGGTTAGCCACTTGCAATACTACTATCAAAGAGGTAAATAACGTACCGACTACAAGCATTCCAGGGATGATGCGCCCTTCACGGAGGGACGCTACTGTGGGGCCATCAGCTACAGCCGGCTGTCCAGAGGTGGCAATAATCGGGCAGATAGAGACAACACGGTCATTCAACTGTGCGACTCCCGCAAACTGTGTCGTGTAGCCTCCATTTTGCTGCGGCAGGATCTTAAATGTCGCTACTCGCCCTAGGTTAGTACCAACGAAGCAGCATATGCTTGAATATTCGTCGCTGTCGAGGGTCAAGACACCAAAGGCAATCGAGACAGCCCAGTCGGTCTTGGGTCCACCGTGGCTGCTGCTTCTGTTGAAAAGGCTACCTTTCTTTTCATGCTTCGCGAAGTCATTTACAGAACCGTCAAATATTATTGCTGGGCCCCGAAGATCGATGATCGCGAAAGTGCCATCTTCAGATCCAACTCCGATGAAGCCCACATCAGACATCTTCAACGCAGAAATAGGCCCATGAGCCATGTTATAAAGAACAAAGGGTTGCAAGCCCTCTCTCAACCCAGGCTCGGCCCTGTCGCTAATATTCTCGATGGTTCCCGGCCTGACAGCAACAGGAGGGGAAGGCTCAAACCCCTTGAGTTTGTTTCCACCCCACCTGTAAATGGCAACTTCACCAGACTTTGTGCCAACAGCCATCTCTCCGGTTTGACCAGCCATATTTATGGCCGTAATTTCAATGTTCTCATACCTTCCAAGTGATCGAGCCACATCAATCTGAAGAACACCGCTATTCTCCAACTTGTCCGAGGTCCCTGCATCCCAGATTCGAACTGTGCCATCACCATGAGCTGTCTGTATGATTGTCCTGTCTTCGTGTTTGCGGACGTTTTTGCTCCCTCCAACGCCGCCACGTAATAACGGGGGACCTTGCTGCCGTTTCTCCGTCATTCCTAGCCATCTAGTTCTATTGACGGTTGTGACAGAACATGAAACAACAAATGGATGAACAAATGTCAGCGACGGGTGCAGCTGGTTCGTGGGCGATATAGGGTGCCCGCTAGGAAATGATAGTGTAATAAGCTCCCCTGATGATAATAAGGCGATGACAGCAATGGGATCTTGTGCGCCGTCAAAATGAGGCGAGGCGCGAGGAATAAGGCAGTAATCAATAACCTCAGCACCGGCCGGTGTCTCGAGGAGCTTCTGCTGTTTTCCCTTGAAATGGTCGGTCAAAGTTTGCCATGACGAAGTTGCATAAACCGGTGTAGGACCAAGCTCCAAAAATGTAAGTCCCTTGGTTTGCGCAGACATTGGAATCCCACCGGCGATTAACAATCCCGTGTCATCAGGGTTGGTCTTCGCGCACCACGAAATCTTAGCATACGGTTCTTTGATAGACAGGCCTCCTTTGGAGCCACCAGGCTTGCTACCTGGCTGGTCTACGTGTAGATCATCTAGAGTGCGAGCCATGACGACTCTACCATCCTTTGGATCCCAGAAAACAAGGCTACCATCTTCATGTGCCGTAAGAACGAATGTCCCGGTTGGATGCCATAAACACTGTGTGAGCCGGGGCCTGCGGGTATCTCCAACGACGTTTGGATCGGAGGCACCCCCTGGGGCGCCGGGCGGAACTTCATATTGAAAGAACTTCGTAGCTTTTGCCTCTTTAAATGAATAAATCACAGCGCCTTCTGTGTATCCAATAAGAAGCTGGCCAATATCCCTCGGGTGCAATTGCAAGGAAACGACAGATAGAATCCGAGACCTCGGACTTCGTTCACGAAAAAAGTTCGGCAGTCGGAGCGGCGCTGCCCTCTCACGGTCAAGATCAAACGCAACAATTTCGCCCTGTTGTAGTCCCAGGAATGCCCAGTCAAGCATAGGGTCTGTTGCCAGGCACGTAACGATGCCAGGTGCCGTATAGCTGCATATCTTCTTGCCGCCTCCGATTAGGTCCCATACCGTCAGCTCGTTCTTCGTGTCAAGGCTCAGCAATTTGTCTGCACAGAACCGTAATTCTTTGACCGATGCTCGCCGAGACAATTTAATTGTGACTTGGACTCGGTCCCTGCCGAATATATAGATTTGTCCACTTCCATACTGCGATTCGTTCGTGCCCACTGCCAGCAGTGATTGCACCGGGTCGTACGCAAACGTACTGCGGAACGGGTGGGATCAGTTACCAGTCCAGATATGAGCATTATTAAAGCGGATTACCTTATTTGTGAGTTGATGCCATATCGAGCTTCATCGTCAATCGTAAACAGTCCAGGCAAGATAGACGCAGACAGGTCAGTGTGCATGCCAGACTGCTTGGACCGGATAAAGGCGGCCATAGTGGGCTAGTTCTCTGATATATCGCCCGTATGGCTTTCAAATACTCAGGCCTAGAATCTGTATCCTTATGGGGTGAGGAATCGATTTATTTGCTTGACGCAACGAAGCATAAAGGGCCAAGGCGACATGTGGTTCTTGGTGATCCGACCATGTACAGTACGTAACTGCCCCGCCGAAACGGCACAAGGCTGGAGCCGTAACCCCCACTGTCTCAGCCTTGCGCCAAGCGTCATCAGATTTAACGAACTGGTGTGTTGGCGATGTTTGATGATTTAACAGCAAGTCAGAGAATAACTGTGCAAATGGTAAATATATATTAATAATAAATCCCTAGACTCGGTCTTTGTATTTTGTGCTGCCTTAACTTATGTCCATATTTACAAGCTAATAGCTTCCGAAAATGTAGAATAATTAGATGATTCATAAATGAATTAGCTGCAATTTATTAAATTCAAAAAATCACAACGAATAACTTCTCTCTTGGATTTACAAGACAACAGTGTTTGAAAACACCTCAGTATGGCACGGTAACTAGAGGTTAGATATGAAACGAAGGGATATATTCTTAGTCCAAATTAAGAGATGGGATAGGAAGAAATAGGACGAGAAAGCCAACAACTGGCCGACACGGTCAACCCACGAAACACCAGCACTAAAATCGTCCATCATTATTTGTCATAGTAAATCTCATATAGTATAATCTATGTAAGAGAACGTATGCGAGATAGTTATCCACTTTCCCACGATGATAATTCCAACAGGCGGCTGGTAAAAGTTCTGTTGAAGATGTCTGGAGGACCCCAGCTTTCGCCTTGTGGGCCTCTCGAACTAATCCAAGAACAACAGCAAGTTTACTTCTTGACAACCTTCTTCTTGGTGGGCCCCATAGCAGCCTCCTTCCTCTTCTGCTCGCGGGCCTCGACTTCCGCCTTCTTGGCCTTATCGGCCTCTTCACGCTCTTCCTTCTCAGCCTAGGACCGGTTAGTATCGTCGCCATCAAATCGGTATCATGGTCTATAACGTACCTGCTTCCTCGCAGCCTCAGCCTCTCTCTTCTCCTTAATCAGCTTCAGTCTTGCCAAATCAGCCTTCGCTTCATCGGTCTTGCCAGCCTCATGCATCTTCTGATATCTCTCCTTGGCTTGTTGCGCTTGTAACGCCTCCCTCTCGCGTCTGCTCAACTCGCCAACTGGCTTTGGCTTGCCCTTGCCACCGACGCTAAGGCCCTTGACTCCGTCGGCAGCCTCGTCCACACTGATAGGTGGTGCGCTCGCCTGGTTCCTGGCTGCCTTGCTATGGTTGGGGTTGGCAGGCATATCATCATCCTCGCTATCCTCCTCTTCCTCCGAGCTGCTTGGAAGATCGCCGGGCTGTGCCACGGTGTTCTTCTTCTTCGCGATAGCAGCCTCTTTCTTCGCCTTAGCAGCGGCACGGCGCTCCTCACGGGTCATCTCGGGCTTGTTGGCGTCATCCTCGCTCTCCTCTTCGGAGTCGTCCTCCTCTTCTTCCTCAGAGGATTCGGCAGCCTCAGCGCCTTCACCCCACATTCCGAGCTCGTTTCCATCGGCATCGAGAGGTCGTAGGTTCTTCGAGAAGTGCTTGCCGCCTGCAGAGAAGGGTGGATGGTTAGCTGGTGAAGAGAGAGGGAGATACAAGCTGAGTTATTAATACTAACCTCCGCGAGTGAACTTCTTGAACTTTCCGCCACGTCCTCTGCTGCTGCTTCCTGGGGGTCCTCCTGGAGCCATTTTCGGTCGTTTGAGGAAGTATTTGAAATAGAAAGTGTGTGATAAGTTTCGAACTCGAGAGAATAACTGTCAAAGAGCTGGCCGTGTTAGTTTTGAAGTGATAAGTTAGAAATGAAGGTGGTATTGTTTACCTGTTTACTTGCTTTCGCTTTGGCGTGAATCACAGTTGCTGCCCAAAAAGGAGGGGTAATTCACCGCCCCTCCAAACCTGAATCCGTGCGTTTTCAAAGCGCCAAGATGCATTTTCACGCTATCCTGAATCAGGCTCTAGGACACATGCCTCGCGCCAAGACTGTACACGTGACGAGCCGAGTGAAATTTCCGACTATTTAATCTTCGCGAATCTCGCGCTCTTCTTTCCTCTCCACATAAAACTATCATCCTTCATATTCACTCTGTTCCTTTCTTCTCAGTGGAGGCTTGGAGGGGAAATGACAGGAAAGAATACATTCCATTCTGCGTCGACTATCTATCCTTGAGTTTTGGCGTGCAAACGCGTAGGCTGGAGATTGATGGCTGGCGGTACATTCTTGCTACAAGACACCCCTTTTGATATGAGGATTTGTTGGCTACCAATATTCTGATACGATACGAGTATTATAAGTAAACATCTATAAGTAAACGTATATAATGAAATCCGAAAAGAATACAGAGTGTTCTGTTTACATAAATAACTCTTGAGATGCTCAGTGTCTTGCTTGTCCGTTTTTGACATGCTGTTGACCCCAGAACTTCCACGCGTGCTATGCCCTTCAAAGAGGCTCTGAGATCCGTCTTAACCTGGAGATATTGAACATACACCTGATATATCCATCTATAGAGTACCATCGGATCCAAGTATTATAGCAACGTTCATTCCCTTCTGTTTGCCCATAAAAAACTTCGTTGGTGGTGTTGTTGTTGTTGTTGTTGTCCCAGGAGCATTTGTATTGAAAGCATTTGATTGGCTGATTCGATTTGAGCCTCTCGACGCTTAGTAAGCACCTGTCATTGACTGGAAATGAATGTTGCGCCTCAAATTGCTTCGCGACAACTTTCTTTGACGATATCAACGTCACAGCTACTGGACTGAAATAACGAATCTATTCAGTCTTGATTTACCTTGAGCTAACGAACAGAATCTGCGATAAAATCAATTTGCGATGACCGTTGCTGTTATTACGCGCTTTTAGTTGCCAAACTCCCGTATGATTTCATCTCTTCCTCCAAACCGAGATCATATCAGCTAATGAACAACAGGCCCCTAACTACACACCCTATCTTTTACATACCCTTTCAAGAACACTTTTCAATTGGCAGTATGGCGGAGGATGATGCGGAGATTGCGCTCTTGCATCAGATGCAGAGTGGGCAAGAGAGCGTGTCGTGGGGACAAGGCGCAGATGATACAGAAGAGGGTGTTGGTGCTACAAATACAGAAAATAGCGACCAAGCTGTGAAAGAAGAAGAAAAAGATTTCTCCGATGATCAAGTCCTTCGTGCTTTATCCCCATCTGATGCTCTGTCTGATGGCGAAGAATATAATCCGGAATCAGCCAATCCAGTTCCAAGTCACACAACTACGAGTCTAGCTGGCACGGGGCCTCCATCCAGAGCGTCTCCGGCGCGAAAGCCCAAGACCATTGGTGGGTTCTTGGCAGATGACTCTGACGACGAAGATGATGTTGAGATTGCGACGTCAAAGTCGACTGCACTTCTCCAGCCCCCGACCAGTGGTCCAACTCGCTCCGTGTCAAGATCTCCTCTACACCTCGAAGCTGTGCCTCAAGACTCTGCAGCTCAAACCCCTGTTCCGACCTTGGAGACTCCTAACCCCCTAGGTGATGGTGAACAAACTAGCGCTAGTGTCTCCAATCAAACTTCTACTCCCAACGCCTCAGCAACTGTCACTGCACCAATCGCAGGTACTAGCTTACCCAAAGCACGGCTTCCCCATGATAGAGTAGGTATCTTAGAGGACCGAATCAAGGAAGATCCAAGGGGCGACTTGGATGCCTGGCTCTCCCTCATCACAGAACACCGAAATCGCAACAAGCTGGATGATGCTCGGGTTGTTTACGACCGGTTTTTCAAAGTGTTCCCCATGGCGGTATGAAATCCAACCACCAGCTTCTATTATCCCTAGGACTTTTCGCTGACATCAATGACAGGCTGATATTTGGGTTGCCTATGCTGAAATGGAGTTGGGCATTGACAACTTCTTCGCTGCGGAGCAGATCTTTGGCAAGTCGCTACTCACAGTACCCCATGTCCAGCTATGGTCCGTCTATCTCAATTATATTCGCCGCCGCAATGACCTAACCAACGACGTCACTGGATCTGCACGGGCGACCATATCACAGGCATATGATTTTGTGTTGGCAAACGTTGGCATTGATAGAGACTCTGGCAAAATTTGGCAAGAATATATTCAATTCATCCGCAGCGCCCCTGGACAGATTGGAGGCAGTAGTTGGCAGGACCAACAAAAAATGGATCAAATGCGCAAAGCTTATCAACGTGCCGTTTGTGTTCCAATGTCTAACGTAAATGCTCTATGGAAAGAGTACGACCAGTTTGAGATGAGCCTGAACAAGATTACTGTGCGTCCAAGTCTATGAAATGGTTAATAATCGCAACTGACATGTGTATAGGGCCGGAAATTCCTTCAGGAAAAGTCTCCATCGTACATGACAGCAAGAAGCGCAAACACTGCGATGGAAAATATTACACGCGGCCTTGTGCGTACTAATCTCCCACGCCTCCCTCCGGCACTCGGCTTTGAAGGGGACAAGGAGTACCTGGAGCAGGTTGGCTTTTGGAGACAGTGGATCAACTGGGAACAAGAAGATCCTTTAGTCTTCCGAGACGAAGATATTCAGGCCTACAAACAGAGAGTCATTTACGTCTACAAACACGCGGTTATGGCATTGAGGTTCTGGCCAGAGATGTGGGTTGAAGCTGCAGAGTGGTCCTTCAACAACGGCATGGAGAAAGAAGGCAACGATTTCTTAAGCCAAGGGATTGCTGCGAATCCAGAGAGCTGCCTTCTGGCCTTTAAGCAAGCTGATCGCTTGGAGACCGTGCTGCCAATGGAGGAAGGGGAAGAAGGCCTTGTCAGCAGAGGAGCTGCCGTCAGGGCTCCATACAATACACTGCTTGACGCGTTGTATGATTTAATAAAGAAGCTGAAAACCCGCGAAAATGCAGAATTGGCTAGAATTCAAGAGTTTGCGATGCTGGATTCATCCATCAATCCTGCCTTTGATAGGGGGGACGATGATGAGGATGATACCGACAGATTACTGAAGGAGGCAAAAGAATCCGCACGAGACAACCAACTGAAGGTTGTGAAACAAGGGTATCACATGCAGTCGGAACTGACACAGCGCACGCTGTCATTTGCATGGATTGCTCTTATGAGAGCTATGCGAAGAGTGCAGGGTAAAGGCAAAGTCGGTGCCCCTGTTGGTGGCTCACGCCAGATTCTGAGCGATGCCCGTGTCAAAGGGAAGATTACTAGCGATGTATACATCGCCAGTGCTTTGATTGAGCACAACGTATACAAAGACCCGGCTGGGACAAAGATATTCGAGAAGGGCGCAAAGCTGTTTCCAGAAGATGAACTATTCATATTGGAATATCTCAAACACCTGTTGTCCATTGGCGACACTACAAGTATGTATACCAAGAAACCCCAACTGTTCGCATATTCTAACAACTCATAGATGCCAGAGCCGTCTTCGAGACATCCGTGAATCGACTCACCCAGAAACCTGAAAACGTTGCAAAAGCCAAGCCACTCTACGTGTTTTTCCACAAATACGAGTCAGAATATGGTGAACTTTCTCAAATCAACAGGCTGGAGCAACGAATGGCGGATTTGTTCCCAGAAGACCAAAGACTCGCGAGGTTCTCATCGCGATACTCCTCTGAAAGATTCGACCCTACTGTTGTCCGTCTAATCATCTCACCAGTGGCACAGATGCGTCCAAAGTCTATCATGCAGTCTATCGAAGAGCCGATTTCGGTGCAGCCGAGCCCAAGGCCGCAATACAGGGAGGTTAGCCCCCGTCCACAGCCCCGACAGGAGGTTAACCCCATCCCGGCTTATTTACAGCCAACAAACTCTCCAAAGCGCCCGCTTGGAGGAGAAGAATCTGACAACGAGTCTGGCCGCCCAAGGAAACTTGTTCGTGGGGAGTCACCCCTGAAAGGAGCTGCAGGTCGCCGCCTGGACCAACAGAAGAGGATGCAGCAGACTCACGGCGGCGTTCAACAGTGGCAATCCAACGGTCCAGCACAGTTCATGATTCCCAGGGATATCACATTTTTGCTCAGCATCATCCCGCGGGCAGAGACATATAACGCCACGCTGTTCAACGCAGAAGCTATGGTACGACTACTGGACAAAACGCCCATTCCGGATTACAGCACTTGGAAGGCGTCGCGTGACCAGGCGCCAAGATATTATTGAGGAGGGACGGGGCTTGTATGTTGAAAGGATTTACGGTGAATGAGGGTACAGAAGATCTGTGGATTTGTATTATATGAGGGAGATTCGGGACTGAAGATGGCCAGCATGGAGTTGTGCAGGGAGTTGTTATCTAGGAAAGGTGCATTAGTGGTTCGCATAGCCAAAATGAAATCAGGAACCCTGGTATTGTTCATTTGTTTTGCTTCATTTGTGATGGTTTCCTATGCTATTATGTTATGCTACGTCTAAGAGAGCTTACATCAAGAAATTCTCAGATATGAGAAGACAGCCGTGTTCACTTTAGTCCCGTTGTTCTTATATTTTCATATCTGTTACCTTCATAAGGCCCAAGATAGCAATAAGAACAGATTAAAGCCTCTATTCAAACTGGCTGGTAATATAATTCAGGTGCTCCTTTTCATATATTCAATATACTTCCTAGAACTGAGTTCTATTTGAAGACTTTCATTACCCTGTGGTATCACATGGTCTCTTGCAATACCTTAGTTATTTGGCCTCACAGTTCCAGATTAAGCAGGCACGCTATCACACCCGGTCCTTCCTCCCTTCCCTTCTTGTTATCCTCAGGTTTCCTCATTAGTAGAAGGAGAATAATAAGAAAACTACGCTAGCTTAGCGCCATTGGGGCCGAATATCTTGTTGTTGGGCCCCTTTGTCCACCACCTTTTTCTTCTACAGCTTCCTCTCTTCCTTTCTTCCTTTCTTCTTTTCTTACTTTCCATATTTCGCTCTTTGCCCTCTACCTCGGGGGGCTCAAACCCAACCAAAGCTCACTGCTCTTCATCATATTTACAAATCTCAGGCAAGATAGGCTCTCCAACTCTCCTCTTGCCTGCTTCAGGCTTCAACTCTCTGTCAAGACTCGTTCAGGCTTGTTGCAATACACAACAACCAATACAATAACTCGCACATCAAACCAAACACCTACCCACACAGTAATACGCCGTAGTAGTTCACACGCTCAGCAATTGTAAGATCAGCAACTCTGCAACTCACTTGCTCCTGACAATATATGCTAACTCAATTGGTGATTTAGGTGATCCAGGCATAGCCTCATCTCAGAACGTACATAACTTCGATCTGAGAGCTGAAACTCTCATTTTTATTTGATCCAAGTGAGTTTCTATTCCAACTCATAGTCAGGAAACATCACTTGATGTGAATTGGGCCTTACGGCTACTGGAATACAATCTTTTCATATCAAGCTGAGACGCATCATCTGATAAACTATTCTAACAAAGGTCACAGGAATATCTGTTTGTCGCCTGACAAATAACTCTGCAAGATATCAATGGCATTTCCAGAGCGTCCCCTTCGTGGGCGAGTCGAGCTCCCTGTTCAATGGATTGTGAATGGAGATGGGACGGTAAGTTTTCAACTTTTATTTCTATCTTTCATCTGTATCTGCCTTTGATTTGTCTTCGGGATCACCATGCACAAACTGTTTCTATCATTTCTCCATACCGCGTGTTACTCCACACGCATTGTGTTTTATTTTGGGTTGTTTGCCATACCTGATATGAGCTTTCATACCCGTTTCCCAGTCGCAGAGATGAGGAAGCATGGCACATGCATCATGTGGGACTTGGGAATTGGCAAGCGCTATTCTCATCTTCTACTGCCGATTCCACTGCCGATTATAGGCGCATATTGCCTTGCCATTCTACCGATTCTAAGTGTCAACCCTCAGTAGTCGGGCAACTACCCGGCAAATTCGAGGGTATATATTCGTGGCCGAGCCAGACTTCCGACCTTCTTCCTTCTTCCTTTCTACACATCACACTTTGACCAAGAACCTGAAGCCTTCGAAGACTTCCTTTCATACATTCATACATTCATACACTCAACCCATTCATCCTTTCAAACATTGCTATACACATCATCAGCCCAAAAAAATCATCATTAACCCGTGATATCACTCAGTGATATCACAACTACCACATCTCATATTCATCTCCAGTATCCTTTGCCTCATTCTTATCCAAGTTATCTTTATTCAACCCGACTTCATCATGGAGCCAGGTCATCTCTGGACGTATAACCGCGAGTCTAACGTGAAGAAGTTCGAGTTCCCACCGGTCCTCCCACCCCGGCCCAGCTACAATTCCGACCCCGGAACAAAGAGTGTCACCCTCAGAGTGAACCAGTTCCGAATTTCTGAGTGGTCAGACAAGTCGGTCTGGCAATACGATGTACGTTAACCTCACTCCCAACTGAATCTATTCATATTAACCCCATGCCAGGTGAAGATTGGATCTGGAGCCGAAAACCGCGGTCTCCTCAAGGTTGTTTGGAACAGCAAACCCGTTCAGGAATTCTTGGCCGGCCATGCGAAATACTGGCTTTGGGATGGGAACAAAATCGCATGGTGCGACAAGCCAACCAAGAAGATGAACTTTGAGAAGAAGATCACGGTCAACCTGGATGAGCTCAAGGGCAGACAGCCTCGAGTCATCAACGGCGTCCCCAAGCCGGACATAACATTTGTCACCATCAAGTGCACCACGGAAATCCCAATGGGAGTCATTCGAGCCTACTTGTTCAAGGGAATGGATTTCGACAACACCGTCCTCATGGCAATCAATTTCTTGGACCACTGCCTTCGCCAATGGCCATCGGAGAACTTCATCCAAGTCAAGCGCTCTTTCTTTCCGAGAGGCACTCAGAGACAGGTTCTTCATGGCCTGGCCACACTCATCGAGGCACAAAAGGGTGTTTATTCGTCCATCCGCCTTTGCGAATCTCCCAGTACTCCGGGTGCCCTGAGCACAGGTCTTGGTGTCAATGTTGACGTCGCCAATGGAACATTTTGGGTACCCCAACTTCTCAGTCAAGCAGCTCGCAACTTGACTTACGAGAGAAACTCTGGCTTGAACTGGGATGTGTTCTCAGAGAGTCTGAGACCTGTCCCAGTGAACGGCAAAAAGACCAGTTCTGGTGCTCAGTACCACATCATGTCGAGGGAATTCAAGGAGCTTCGCAAGCTTCACAAACTTCGATTCCACGTCAAGCACCGCGGAAAGGAGCAAAATGAGCGAGTCTATCAGGTCAAGAACTTTGTCTTCTCCCCAGATCAGTACGGTTCATGGGGTGGCCATGCCAAAGCAGTCACCTTTGAGAAGAAGGACCCTCAGAATCCTAACGCCACCGCAAAGGAGATAACCATCTACGACTACTTTGAGAGGACATACAATGTTACTCTCCAATACTGGAAGCTGCCATTGGTGCAGACAGTCAAGGGTGGAATCTTCCCAATGGAACTCTGTACCATTGCACCAGATCAGCGCTACATGTTCAAGTTGGATCCCAAACAGACTGCGGATATGATCAACTTCGCAGTCGTTCCACCGAACCAGCGCCTGGAATCCATTAGAAAGGGGGTTGACTTGCTGAGCTGGGGCAAAGATCCATACCTCAACCACTACGGCATCAAGATCGAGAGCACTCCGACTATCACGACGGCAAAGCAACTGCAGCCCCCGGATATCCACTTCGGAAAAACCTCACAGAAAACAATTGTGAAGCCAGGCTTTGCTGGGTTTTGGACCCTCGATAGAAGCCAGCTGCTGTTGGTTCCACCGAAGCCCTTGAAGAATTGGGGCGTATTCATGGCTGCGGATAGAAATGGAAGACCAATTGTCACCGAGCCAAGATGGGACGAGTTCATTGCCACTTTCAAGCAGCAGTACATTGCCCTCGGCCACAAGGGTGCCATTCCGGACCCAAGGAAGTTCTTGTTCAACAGTGACAATATCGAGTCACAGATTGACAGACTGCTGGCGCCGCTTGCTTCCACCCCAGAGAACATTCCTCAGATTTTGTTGTTCATTGTCCCAGATAAGAACTCTTGGACTTATGACAGGATCAAGAAGCACATGGATTGCAAATATGCTCTCGTGTCGCAGGTCATGGTGAAGGGACACATCGAGAAGAACAACCCGAAGTATTGCAAGAACGTCATCATGAAGCTCAATGCCAAGCTCGGTGGCACGACTAGCAAGGCCTGCAAATCCAATGCGAAGGAGCCTACGTTCTTCAATACGCCTGGTCAGACCGCAAAGAACCTTGTGATGATGATTGGCGCCGATGTGAGCCACCCTGCCCCTGGCTCGGAGCAGCCGTCTTTTGCAGCTGTCACCATGTCTCTTGATAGCGACTGCTGCAGATATGCGGCAGCATGCGAAGTCAATGGCTTCAATAAGGAGATGATCCAAAAGCATGTCTGGGACAAGAAGGTCAAGGCAATGGTCAACTGGTGGCTGGAGACTGTCGGAACTGTCAACGGCCAAAAGAAGGTTCCATCCCACATCTACTATATGCGCGACGGTGTTTCCGAAGGTCAGTACTTACAAGTGCTCAACGATGAAGTCAAATGGCTCAAAGACATGTTGGAAACCGTGAACCCACAGTTCAATCAGACTAAGTTTGCTGTGGTTATTGCATCGAAGCGCCACCACATCCGTTTCTTGCCACGAACTGAAGACCAATGCAAAGACAAAGACTTCAATCCTTTGCCAGGAGTTCTGGTTGAGCACGACATCACTCATCCATTCCAGTACGATTTCTACCTCAATGCCCACAAGGCAATCAAGGGAACTGCTAGACCAGTTCATTACCACGTCATTCTCGACGAGGTCAAGCACAAGCCCGGCCAGCTTCAGGAGATGATCTACGCACACTCATACCAGTATATGAGATCCACGACGCCCGTTTCCATTCACCCAGCTGTGTATTACGCACACTTGGCATCCAACAGAGCCCGTTCTCACGAGAACGTTCCAATCGTTGACGAGCCTCGTGGTGGTCAAAAGGCTATGGAGAGAAGACAGGCAGCCAAGCTTGAGAGCGATTTGAGACTGGAGAACGCGTCTGAGGGTGGATTGACCGCCAAGCGCTCGTCTGGCAAGTCGCCATCGACTCAATACCAGATGGTGGAGAATGAGGTGATTGGGAAGTTCTGGAGAGAGCAACCGCAGCCGGTGAGATTTAAGGCGCTGACCCAGGCGTTCTTGTACGGCATGTGGTACATCTAGGCCCTCGGGCTTACTGGTCAGCTTCGCTGGCATATTATATTTTCACTTCTAGCTCCATTGTTGGCCATGGACTTTTCGATGGCAGGCATTGGAGCCGCAGCTCTTGGATCACACTCGCTTTGGCCCTTTTTGCCAGAGTGAGTGCCACCTGCTTGCTTATTACGGACAATTTCTTTCCTTGGGCGCGGTTATCAATTGTACGGGGACAACACTAGAACTTCTTTCGGCCAGCTACAGGAGTAACTCTCGCCTTGGTGGTGGAGTTTATGGTGTTCAATAGATAGGTCGGATATCTGCCTTCCTTCCCCATGCGCTGGCTTTCATCCATTGTTTTGCTTTTGAGATTGGGGCAGACAGGTCCATACAATCAATAAAATTATCTAAAACTTGACAACAGTGATTGTGACCTTGCTTGATATTTGTATGTGACTACGGATTGCAAAGTGTCAATTGTTCAGTTTGCATCAAAGGCTTGTTCATAAATCACACGGTTCCGTGTGCATGTGGACGAGTGGAGATGTAATATGCATGGATTAGGTATTTACTGGGCCTCATGGTTTGGAAAAGCTTGTACGAAACTTGGCGGCCATAAAGTGATCATACGGACTAGGTCATCGACTGTGAAGGTATGAAGGGTGTGGCCCCGAATCTAATGCACTGGGGTTTGTGTTGACCACGATATGTATTTACAGGAGACCTGCACTGAACGAAGGCAGGTCATAAACTTCTTGGCTGCATAGAGGAACGTTGATCAGATCATAAAAGTAAGGGTACTGTAAAACTTCACTGATATTATTGAAAATTGTAAATATAGCAATTAGCGTGGCTCGTTTCATTTCAATTTACGTGTCGTAGAGAATCATTCCATCGTAACCATAATAAAATCAAGCCTGTGTAGCCTTGGCCTCGGCCTCGGCCTCGGCCTTGAGACCATTATCGATATACTTATGGCACTCCTCTGGATCTTTGTATACATGCCACACGCTCTTTGGGACGTCTTTGAATGCCTTCTCGAATCGAGACGCGTCATTCTTCTCTTCAAGTCCTACTTCGGCGATGTTTTCGACGCGGCGGATAAGAATCAGCTTTACCCAGCCGGGGTATTTGCGATATCTGAGCAAAGTATTAGCAAGCAAGGCAACGGGGACGGGGGGTGGTTGACTTGCATTTCGCCGTAGGCTTCAGGGTCAGACTGGGTGGAATCGCCGATGCAAATCATCTTGCGGCGCGGCAGCCATGAGTGGATCTTTTCCATACGATCAACCTTGTATTCCTGGGTAGCCTGCGTCAAACTCGTGAGCAGACCTGCGAGATTCCTCCAGCTGGCATCGCGGAGAATAAGAGTGCCTTGAGGGTAGAATTCCTGGATGAACTCGTGGAGGAAGGCGTATAAGTTGTAGGGCGAAGCGGAGAGATAAAACCAGGGCGCGGATTTGGTTAGGACGGTTTGGATATATGAATATAACAAAGGCATTCCTGGGACAGGAGCTGCGTCGGCGGCAAATGTGCTTCGGAGAATACCGATCGGGTCGCCAGTTTGGGTGACTTTGATAGTATCATCAACATCTGAAAGATTCAGTTAGTAGGCGCAAGGTTCACCATGGGTTTCGCAACATACCTGATATGACACTCCATCCGTCAGGCTCTGCGTACACGGTTTTCATCTCCAGTATTCCATTTGTACCTTTGGGAACCATGGCAACACTAGTCACCACATCTCCATCCTTGTGTCGCGGGAGCTGTCGTATGTCGCTGCTGATGCCGTTCCGGCCGCCAGGGCCGAATTTGAGCTGTGTGCGACGCCCAAAATCCACATCCACCACACGCCCTGGTAAGACAGATTGCATGAATGGCATCAGGCGGTCCTTGATCCTTTCCTCTGCCTCGTCGCCATGTCCGAGTCCCAGCTTCTCCGCAATATCAGCCACTACCAGACTCACTTTGACGCCTGTCTCCTTGTCGAAAACGGCAGCGATCACCTCCGCCTCCCAGTTGTTTGTGGTCGGGTTTCGATATGCGGTGTTATCAAACAACCATACGGTATCGTTTGAGGTGATTGGGTGGGGGCGAGGGTTCCATGCCCCGAGGAATGAGAGGATGTTTGTGGTTATCGAAGGGCGGTCGTCTGGGGCGGGGCTGTTTCTGACGTTGGGAAGCTTTGCCTCTGTCTCCTCGAAATTGCGCGCCTTTCGTGTGCGGTGCTCCAGGTCTGATTCGTGTCGGGCTGGAGCTGAAGGTGTGGGCTTGGGATCGAGTTTCGATTCGAGTTTCGATTCGAGGGCCGTGGCGGCTTTTCGGATGAAGCGCGACATGATTCTTCTTTCTATGCCTGGCCGGCGAGCAGAGCTGGGCTCACGGGATTCTGGTATCTTTCTGGGTCGCTGAAATCGCTGCAAGTTTTACAGTGGAGCGCAAACAGTGGTATCGATCGCATGTGAACGGGCTGAGCGCGAGAGCTATACTTCTGACAGTCTGGGAACGAGAGAGAGTCTATAGCGAGCAAGAGCGAAAGGGACGACAGGACGAGAGAAAGAGCAAGGGAAGGAGAGAGGAAGAGACGATTATAAGGATGTTGGCTGGGATGGGCAGCCAAGGCGGCGGGGGGAGCAAGGCATCGCCATGCGCGTCGATGTAATCGCACGCGCCTTTGGGATGCTTCCCCATTTAGCTGGGCGCGACGTCCATCACAGCCATTTTCCAGGGCCATGAGAGGCTGAGCATCCACCCCTTTCAGCCCATCCGGCCCCGCGATCGTCGCCGCCATCGAGAGAGATAGGCAGTACAGTCAGCGCATACACATGCAAGGTACCTCGCCCAAGCAGTAAAATAACAGGTTGCTGGAAGTACCTGACATGACCAGTAGACTCCAGGAGCCACCACAGCTGATACAAAACGTATTGAGGCGGACAACCACCAACGGATCAAAAGTTGGTGCACGAGTACACTTGTCCAAGGCTCCTTCCTTTCTGTCGCTCAGGCTGTCGAGATCACGGGTTGTCGCGAAGGTTGGTGGTGGTTGGTGACTCGGCCCGTGTTCTAGCTCGCCGTCATCTGATCAGAGCTAATGACCCTAGGGGCTCTTGGAACTTTCTTTGGATCCCTTGGAACGTTTTTGGACGGTTTTCAGTGTGGATAATGATGAAGGCGACAATTTGAGAACTCGACGGCTCTTTGCGACCAGGCTGCCATTCTGTACATCTGTGGTTATTGTCTCGTTGGTGAGTAAGACAGCTACAGGAAGGGATTCTGAAGGGCGAAGATCTACTACTGTTCAGACCAACGGTTCAGATCCAGGGTCCGCGACAAACAGAATGGATCGAGCTGCTGCATACGTTATCATTACTATACAGTAGCTGCGATCCCTTCAAATTCTCATTCTATCGCAAGAATTACTTCACTACACATGGTCACACTGCACATGCCCTCCGTTCATAGTTCTCTACTCTCCTACCACCCCTTCACCGCGTCTGCTGCTTCCAAAGCAACCATAAAGTCCGTCAATATCCCCCGACCCCACCCCCAATCCTCATCTGCGCCGTGCCTAGGCCACAGTATCGAGAATTTCCAACTCCTTGGAGTAAAGGATCATCACATATGGGCAAGCAAGTGCCACCGGAGCTCCAAAGTGCGTGCCGGCCTTTATGCACATTGAAGTTGTCGTAAATGGCAATCGCGTGTTCTTCGGTGCGGAGCTCCACGCTGGAGAGGCATGGAATGGTGTGAATGGCAGGCACCTGGTTTCTGCTGTGACCGATGCTTTCCTTCGTATCTCGGGCGGCGAACTTGACGTGTTGTTAGAAGAGCATATCGATACCATGCTGGTAACTGGCCTATCTTTTCTGCCCCTTGTAGAGAATGATCCGAGGGTGCATGCTCTTCAAGGAGGCCATTAATTCTGGGTCCTGGTCTGCAAATCTCACTAAGTGTGGCCATGTTGGCATATGAGCTCTGAGCGACTGATAGGAAGACGGTGGAATGGCCTGCCCTAGAGGAGTTTGTATTTTCGGGGACATATTGAGATTTCTAGATATAGTTTCGGTTCGATTCGTTTGCTCACATTGCGCACATTTCTGAGGTTTTATTAAAGAGCTGGCAAGATTAGGAGGCTCTGAGCAAACATATACGCATTGTTCAGCTCTTGGTATCAGAGGTAGTCAATCTTGGTACTTTTTGAAGATATACACTCCCACTAAGACTGAAAACTGCAAGTGAAACCTTCGTGTCTCGTCCACAACACATACATCACACAATGCAAGGCCATTTTTCATAGGCCCTATTGGAACACAGCCTTTGAAATACGAGCGCAGGTCTTTCGGAAAGTTTATAACTCTTAGTAGAAAGTTGTAGATAGCACCATGACACTCCCCACCGGCGGTCATGTTTGATACGTCTCTTAGACGCTGCCTTTTTGTAGGATGATTGGGTGGAATTTTATTCCCATCAGTATATTCATTCACTGGAAGAAAGCGGCGATAGATCCCATGAGTAACTTCTTGGGAACTGTGGGGGTATGGACGAGAAAATGAATGGAGGGCTGTAGGAAGCCAGACAAACTGGACAATGCTCCACGTGTGACGAAAAGAACGCGGAGCACAAAAAACACAAACATGCAGCCTCTAGAAACACAAAGGAAGCTCCGGCTATTATCAAATCCCTCTAGGTATGGGGCCCACAGCGTGCAGATACGAGTATCTAAAGATATTGGTAAAGAGGAAGAGCCCAATCAATATGAGAGAGAGTATGTTGTTGAACTTGGGAGGGAGCGTGCCATTCCACGGCAGATACAAAAGGTCGGTAAAATGATTTTCCGATAGCGGGGTTAAAGGAGCAGGGGTTTATGGGTGTGGGTTACCGACCACCTTGAGGGATCAAAACAAACAATACTCCGAACATACGCTTACCACACTTTGGGATCATTCGCCAATAATGAAGCCAGCCTCGGGCGTTACTTTATGATGCGGAGGATTAGAGATCCTAGTATAGTATACCTATAGCATTAGGTAGCTATTTATTTCTAACGGTATGACAAAGATAACTTCCGAGACTCCGCGGACGTGCATCCCAAAGGGGCAGCTGTCGAAACAGTGCCAAGGAAGATATTCAGGCGGTAGTACCGATATTAACACCGGCTGTTTGGTCGTTGCTTAAGCTTATTCCTGGTTAAGATTACCTTTGCTTCACAAATGCAAGTGCTCCATCGGAAAAGAAAGCCCCGGAGAACCTGTTTTGCCGGATGGACTGGTCACTGTCGCTGGCCGAATGCCGAATGCTAGAGCCAAGTGTGGCAAGTAGTCAACGCTTACTTCTCGTTTCACTTTGGCTAAGAACTGACTTTACGTAGCGTCTTGGGACACAGCTGGCTTCGGTGATCCTACGCTCATCACCGTTGACATGTCGATCATTCCACCCATTTGAACTTTCCACAGTACCCACGTGCACCCCATACTCTTGGACGAAACAAGGTTATGGCGGGGAACGGCTTGGGCTATTCTTCACTAGGGGCAACTTGAATTAGGATTCAATGCGTTTCTTATGCCACCCGGACGGCATTTGTAGGTGCTGGGGTTAATATAGCTGCCGAAGAAGGGCCGTTTTAATCATCAGGCCGCATATGGCAGTTCAATTCAAAGGATCGTTGTTTCATCAGACTCCTCGGCATGTCACCTGAACCTACTAATCTACATATTTATGTGTATATATAGCTAAGTGGAACTCTCTTCGTCCGGTTTCTTTTTTGAAGTCATCCCCGATTCTTTGCTCAATTGGAGACCAAAATGCACTTCAAAGCCCTTGCCGTTCTGTCCTATGGCGCGTTGGTCGCCGCGTGGTTCCCTGGAGAAGACAGAGGCATCATCTCCTCGGATGGTGTCGATCTCTTCAACCGCTCTTCATCCGATGTAAGCGGCAAGCGCTGGCTTCCCGCGGGGAAAATACGTGGTGTGAACGTAGGATCTCTATTCGTAGTTGAGCCTTGGATGATGTCAAATACGTGGGCCAAAATGGGATGCGGCGGGGTAAAGTCTGAGTTCGACTGTGTCCTGAAGCTTGGGCAGGCAGCCGCAAACACTGCTTTCAAGGGCCATTGGGACACCTGGGTTACCCAGGCCGACCTTCAGGAAATGATCAGCTACGGAATCAACACAATCAGAATCCCCGTCGGCTACTGGATGAAGGAAGATCTAGTCTATGCTGACAGCGAGCACTTTCCTCAGGGTGGGCTCACTTACTTGACAAGACTCTGCGGCTGGGCGAGTGATCTGGGAATGTATATCATCATGGATTTACACGCCGCTCCTGGAGCACAGCAACCACACAACGCATTCACTGGACAGGTAAGTAACATTTGTTATCGAATACAGTCGCAATTGATCTAATTGTATGCCAGGACGCGCCATCCGCCGGCTTTTACGTGGACTATCAGTTTGAGCGCGCACTCAAATTCCTCGAGTGGATGGCGAACCTCATTCATACCAACAACAACTACCGAAACGTCGGCATGTTGGAACTGGTTAACGAGCCCATTCAAAATTCTGGCAATGTTGGATCTATGAGATCTACTTACTACCCAAACGCATTTTCGGTAAGTCATAAGGCTCGACATTTCCGGCTCCCTCCTAATTTATCACAGCGAATCCGTGCGGCTGAAAGAAAGCTTAACATCGGTGCCTACGACCTCCTTCACATTCAAATGATGAACCAGAAGTGGGGTTCAGGAGATCCAACTCAATACCTCTCCGATAATTGGTTTGCAGCATACGATGACCACCGATATCTGAAATGGGCAAACATTGGCGACGTATCACAGAGCAACTATATATCCACGTCCTGTAGAGACGACCGTGGCGGCAACACACCCACCATTGTTGGAGAGTGGAGCTTAAGCGTGCCTGATAATGTGGAGTGGACTTCGGGCTGGGATCCAAGAACCCAGCAAGATTTCTACAAGAAGTGGTTTGCGGCACAGATTATCTCGTATGAGAAACAACAGGGCTGGACATTTTGGTCGTGGAAGACGGAGCTTGGTGACTACCGATGGGATTACCAAGGTTAGTACTTCCTGATATCATTGATGCCCAATACTAACTATCGTAGCCGCCGTCAAAGCAGGGGTTATTCCAAAGAATCTCGATTCGGTATATAATATGGGTGTGTGCTAGGTATACCAAATTGACGTCCCGTCTATGGCTTGTATATAGTTCATCAATATATAAAGCAATAACCTAACCTGTGCGTCTTGCAACGAACTGCCCGAGAAAAACATCAACGTGAACTAGCTTACTAGACCTGAAGTCATCCACAACTGCTATGCTAGTGATGCTGAGATTCCTCAAATTTGGTGGCTACTGGTGATACATAAGGCAGTGTTGCAGTGTTTAGGCTGTCCGCGCAGTATTAAATATTATTATTCATCTATGTTATGAGGGCTTGACTTGGGTGGCATGCTTAGTCGCATCATCTCCGTGGAGAGATATATTAACCACCCCTCCCGATCCATTATTTACAGCACTCTCTTTCCGTGTTGTCGCTTCTTTTGCTTCTTTCGAAGCCGCAGTAGCGAGAGTGTCTCGCTGAGCTTCCAAATCTCGCACCGCCTCGTGCGCTAGCTTCGCCTTGTGTGTAATGTCCGAAACAAGATCCTTCAGTGTGTCTCCGATATTGTGGTGGTGCAGTTCCGTTTGGCCGACTTGTGCCCTCACGTTTGCTATCGGGGTCTGCAGTCCTCTTGTCGTCACCTGCACCGCTTCCGGCTTGTGTCCGAGTCCACTCATGACCATATCCTTTGCTCTACCCGCAAGACCTGCCTCAAATTCCTTGAACTTTCCCTTCATGCCTTCAGATGCTTGATTTTTCAATTCCGAACCGTGACCTGCAACATGTTGTTTCAACCCCTCGGAGTTTGGCTGGCCGGCAAATTCTGACTGGATGCTTTTAAGCTTCTCGCTCAGGCCACCAGTTTCAACCCGCGGAAGATTAAATGCTGAATCTTTGGTAGCGCCCTCGACTTGTTTCTTTGAAGAGCCAAAACCAGCAAATCGATCAGGAGTGCTTGCTTCCAGGTCATTCTTCACCTCCTCGTACATTTTCTCTATCATCCCAATGACTCCATAGACGTCGAGGTCACATCCAGGGCGGCTGAGGTCGCGCTCTCGTTGCTCAATAAATTCGCGAACCTGCTTCCATTCCGTGTGATAATATTTTAGTCGATTCGGGAGTCCGGATCCTTTGAGGAAAGTTAACACACCAGCGATCACTGTGTTGATGGCGCCGAAGGCGGTGATAGATGAATGATTGGCGCCAGCTGCGCCCAGTGCGGTCAGAGACGCTGCGACAATGACCTGCACGCCGAGACACCCGTTGATCAACCAAGAATAGTATTTGTGACCCTTCTTCGACTTCGCTTCATTTGCCACGACGCGTGTGTATATTCCAAGATTTGGTGCTGCTCGAGAATTAACCATAGACGGATGGGTTGTAATGCCGGTGAGATGTCGGAAAAGAAATAACCGCTCGTCCGTCGCATAGTCATGTCGTCCGTCATAGCCAACATGATGGACTTGGAGCTGCGGGTGGGCAGCGTTACCCGTGTACGATATGCCATTCTCCATGTCCGGCTGGGGAGACGTGCCTCCCCCGAGGTATTTATCCACCAGTCTCGTAATTATACTTTGACTCATTCCTGCGAAGCTTTCGGCTGGTCAACTAACGAAAACGAAAGATAGACGTGAAGGAGCTTTGCAAAAAAAGGAGAGAAAAAAGGATCGAGATTAGAAGCCATCATTATGATATGCATGTGGCTCTAGGCCCGGCAATTGAGCAAGGGAGTGCTTTTTCTGGTTAGTGAGAATGGTTTATTGCCATCGGCACGAGGGCTCGTCCCGCCTGAGACAGCTGGAGCCAATTAATAATTGGTTATCTATTGAGTTATCATTTTTGTTTGCCGCTGACTGGCTGGAACCGAAGATCGCACCCCGAAATGACTAGCCATGCAGGGTATTAACTTTGCGGCTGTACTCTAATACAGAACCACCTCTGGGGTTAACCGCCTAGGGCTCAACATAGCTGCATGGCCACACGGATTGCTTCCAACTAGTACAAATAAATTGATTCTTTGGTCATACAGATAGCCTATAAATTGATAAAGTGCAGTCACACGGTTCAGTCACCTGGTTCATCGTTGAGACCACGAATCGTGGTCCACGAATCTGGCTATATCTGGCGAATCGCTGTCAAAACTTTGTCTCAGAAGTGAGACCCCCTACAAAATGATTACCGACGAAAGCTAAGACCCTTAGGGGCAGGATGCGCGCTGCACTAAATGGAGGGTACCAACTATGACAGTATAAGCGATGGCGGGGACGATCCTAATGAACCTTGGCGGTGATCATACTAAAAAGAGAACTTCAGCTTTGTTGATGCAGAAGCTGCAAGGCGGGATTCGAATGGTATCCACGCTACGAGATTACTCAGGACAAATAAGGAGAGACATCCGGTCCAGGAGTTACATCGCTCTATTTCGAAAAGTTGAATGGGCTCGGTCGTGGTGTCTGAGTTGCTACATGCAGTGTCGAAGCGGGTAAGCCCGCCAAGGGGCCTTCCCGGGAGTTCGAGCCACCGTCGTCAAGCTTCTATTTGTGAACGCGCATTTTTATTTGTATAGAAAACAAGAGAAGAGAAGACATTGTAGTATCACATTCGTAGGGATTATCATACCGCTACCCTGTCTATATACGGCGTATTTGGATATATATCATGTTTCCCCTTTAATAAATACACTTTTAATCTATTCCTGTTTATCGGGGCACTTCATTATTCAAACCATTATCAACCCAATCCTCCCCCATCAGTGTGCGGCACGGATACCAATATACCCGTGGTATCCGGGTATATCCTCGAGTATATACCTACCCGGCGATATTTTGGGAGTATCTGGGGTATCCGGATACTCTCGAGTATATATCCGGATACTTGCCAAGAGTTGCCAAGCCTAGTTAAGGCTTCATTTTACAGACGTCATCTCAACGTTATGCTTAAACTATAGCCTTATAAGCATACTAATACCCTTAATATCTAGTTATTACTTAGGCTATTTAGTAATTCTAGTAAACACTATAGCCTTAGAATAAGAATTTAGTAATATTATAGTATTATTATAAAAAGGTAAAATAGGTTATTACTACCTATAACATTTACTTTACTTTACTTATAGAATTATATATAAGAGGCTAATAGTAATAGTAATAATGTTAATAATAAGGTAAATAAATAGGTATAGGGAGTATAAGGAGTATAGGGAGTATAGGGGGTATAGGGAGTATAGGGAATATATAGGGTATAGGGGTTAGGTCGGTTAAGGTATCTTAAAAGCTTCATTTTATATGCTGCTATTCAGCCTCATGTATACGGATATATACCCTACTCTACCCGTGAGATCTTGGCCGGATACATACCCTACCCGTCGACATCACGGATACTACCCGGATATGTATCCGCCGAACACTGTCCCCCATTTACCTCCCTCCCCTCACATTTGCGCTACACCACCCCTTGGGATTCCTCCCAGTAGCTGTCCCCGGTATCCTCCCGTCGTCCAGATTCACACTATCATCTACCCTTATAACTACATCGCTTTTAACCTGAATTCCCTTGATTTCTTCTCTACTCCCCTTCTTTATAATCCGATCCTCACTGCCTACGCTCGCTAGCTCCAAGTCGCTACCCAGTCGATTAAATGAGCCATCCTGGGTACCGTAGTGCGTTTGTGACGACGCGATATTGCTCTCGTTCTTGCCTTTTGTGCCCGCTGTGCCAGCTTGTCCGCGGCCAGCTGTATTTGATCGCGAGTTCGAGCCGTAAGGACCTACACCGCGACGCGAGTCGATGAATATGCGGATAAAGAGACGTACGACAGGTGCGCACGTCGCAATAAGGATACAGTAGTTCTCGATTCTGCGAAACAATGTTAGCTATAGAAACCGAGGTGATCCCGAAGGGGGGTGCGTGCTGAAGCTGATGAATGTTCAGACACTTACTTGACCCACAGCACGAATGGAGGAATGTTATACGTGAAATCCAGGCGATCTCCTAGCGCCTTCAACAGGTAAGTCTTAACGATGCTGGCCACTCCACTGAGCACCAAAGGTCCAGAAAGCGTAGCAGTCTGCCACAAACGCCGCGATTTTGTCGTGCGGTCGAGTTCTCGAAAGCGAGCAAAGAAGCTGCTGCTGTGATGGGTGCTAGAGCGGAAGAGAATTTGCCATAGTTCGAAGGCGGAGACGTATGCGAGGGAGAAGTCGATTATGGTATTGAAGGCACCTTGGACGAAGCCGATAGTAGCCTGGACCGAAGGGGCCTGGCAGATGACCGAGCCGTCGGTAGGGAGGGGATCCCACATGTAGTGGAAATACTTTGTGCGGTCGACCTAGACAAAGAGGATGAGAGAGGACGGGAGATGGACTATGTGACACTTACCAATCGATATGGATTGGGTCCGCATTGCAGGACGATTTGGAGGATGGTGAAGGAGTTGACAACAATTTGAATAATCGCACACATTATCAGAATGCGCTTCGCTTTCGTGTTGTTGATACCGAAGCACTGGTAGAGAAACCACATCATTCCTGTGCGAGATATCATTGAGGCGGCAACGGCTGCGTCAGTGATTAGAACTATGCCATAAACGCCAAAGGCTGTTTGTGGCACTTACCAACTGGTTGCGATGCAAAGTCCCACTTCATTGATAGGTTTCTTTCCTCGTTCGATAGGTAGAAGAAGTGCCTTCCAAGGCCATGATTTGCACTGTAACTGAGTTAGGGGGCTACAAATATGAGGGACTAAGGCCTACCTTTTTTGAATTAGACACATGTGGAGGATCTCGCAGGCGTATGCAAATAGGAATATCAGGTCTTCAAGTCCCCATACCCTCTCGGGCGAGGAGACCTTGGGAAGAGCCCAGTAAACCCATGCTTTCACCACAAATCGGAAAAGTAATACGAGAGCGACAACTCCAGTGAGCACCTGCAATGAAGATTAGACAACCGCTTACTTGTAATATCGAACCTTCCAATTCTTACCCAGCAAGCCTTGAAGATTCCAATTCCTGTAAGTGAAAGTCAACTGCCGCGGTTATTCGAGGAGCCCATCACAACCCACCAATATCTACATCTCCTCCTTCTGGGCGTGGGATGTCCATGGCCGAAGCCTATCTTCGAGGCCAAACTGTCGCAGCCCTGCAGAACAGATCGGAATTAGAATCCAACCAGAGCGCGAGCGCACACCGACTTCCGTTTTAGGGTAGGCAGGAGCTCAATTGGATATGAACACATTGATGAGGACGGCGTGTCATTATAACTGACGAGGTGGATGAAAGGAGTTAAAGTGCATCGCCATGTTACTATATCTGTGAACCGGTGCGCGATTCTCTGAGTTTCAGGAGCACAGATGTGCTGGGAGGTCTTCTTCCGACATCCCGGGACAATATCCCAGAAGATATTGTGTGCCGCCGTGGGAAGGGGGGTGAGAGGGTGTAAGAAAGATCATTATTGGGCCATCTCGGTTCGCCAGAAAATCCCACCAGCGATGCGTCTTCAGACTCAATGAGTTGTATACTTGGAGAGTGATTCGGCAGGGTTCATGGGAGGACAAGATACAATGCCTTGTTTGTACTGGACGCCACCGAAAATCCTTGTCTCACTTCAGTATCGGCGAATATCCAACCCGCTCCCAGTGCCAGCTCGTAGCGGCGCCCATAAAACCTTGCATACTCTCCCGCGTTCTGTAATATTTATCCGTAATTATGCTTCCTGGACCGCCGGAAGATGCCATGCATCGTAACTTGAGCCTAAGAGATATAGTAATGAGTATTAGCTTGCAAAAGTGGCCAGGGCAACACGCGTCGCACAGCTCAGGACAGGTGGTAGTACTGTATGTAATGCTGTTCGCTGAAGAAGTTAGTAATTGTGACAAGGATAGGGATGATTATCGACTTTGGCCTATTTTCGTGCATCCTAACCCTCTTCAAGTAACATCCAACCAGTTATCGTGCTCAAGTGGCTAGACCATGTGCGCGCGTGTAAGCACTTCCTGACGAACTTGTCATTAACATATAATAACGCAGTAACGTCGGTAACATCGTCGGAGTCGGCCGGTAACCTTCTAGAAAAGCGTTGCCCCATTTCACTGAGCAGCGCCGGCGACTAAGGGAAGTGGGCGGGCTCCCGTCTATCCGCTGTCAACGAAGGAGCTATAGGGATCGGTTGCGCTACAATAGTCTCCTATATGGAGTACTTGGCACTTGGAGATCCGCACGCACTGGGTAAATCCACTTGTATTTACCCAGTGATCTGCGCCCAGCCGATGCGCACTGGCTTATACTACAGTGTACAGTAGGCCTGTGTTAAGGACGTGCGAGGTGTGGAGACATCCGCCTTGTCCTCGTCATCATCGACTACTGAGTTTACAGTACAACAGTTTGAGCTTGTGTGTGCATGGAATATACGCGGCCATACCCCGAACTATCCCCAAGTTTAGATGAAGATATGCCTGGTAAAGCAATCTCTCTTTCCCTCTCCTTTCTGCCAGCCTTCCCACCCCAAAACCTTTCTCTTCGGTTGCTATTGCTGTAATTATCTCTTGCCATTATGACCCCACCCCCAGGAGCACTCTTAGCGGCTAAGGTCACAGCAGTAAGTCATTTCCAGCGTGTATGGTCGCCATCTAACAATTGCACAAGGCGGGGGCACTGGGCTTCATTCCTGTGGTTGTCCACTTTCGATTATTTGAGACGCTGGCAAAGATCGGCACGGCCGCCAGTTCAACGGAGATCTTGGAGGCGAATAACATTGAGCGTACCGAGGAGGAAAAAGCCGCATCGCCACTATGTGAGCCTCTCCCAAGGCAGATTATAGAGAGTAAATACTGACAAGTACTATAGGTTTGAAGTTGGTTGGTATGGCTATTTCTCTATCATGAGAATACTGTGGCTATGAGCTGATTGCGTTCCAAGAGGACACACTATTCGTTTTATCAGGACAGGGTCTCGTTGATCTAATCTCAGACAATGTCTTCGCCCCAAATGCAATCACGCATCACTGGGCATCACAGCCTTCAGCGCCACATGGCGCTCTACACTTCACCACGGAAGTCCTCCTCGCCTCGGCCTTTCTGATGCCGAAGCTCCAGGCCACACACTTTGCATACCCCTTAGCTGATGCTGATACGCCGTACCAACACGCGTTCTCTCTCCTCGGCGAAAAGAGCCTTGCCCAGCAGCACACTTATAGCATCATGGAGGAGATTGGGCGCATGGACTCCTTCAACATTTTCATGGACGGTAAGTTTGGGTCCTTTGGGACACTGCCCGAACGTCTTCAACGGTTCGGCTATGATCTCGATGCAGCCATCGGAGGGACCGAGTCCGACGTAGTGATGGTTGACATCGGAGGCGGAACCGGAGCTGCTCTTATTGAGCTGAAGGCCGCGTATCCCCACTTGGCAGCATCATCTCTCGTAGTGCAGGAATTCCAGACAGACCTCCAAACGCTCGACAGCGGCATCACGCTCCAGGAATGGAACTTCAAGACTTCCCCCCAGCCTATACGTGGCGCCCTGATATATAGTCTCACACACATCCTCCACAACAACTCTGATCTAGAAGCATTGAAGCTACTGAAAAAGCTAGTAGATGCCATGGAGCCGTACTCGCGACTTCTAATCCACGAGTTTTCAAAGAACAGTAACTACGGCAATATGCACGGGACGATGGTAGGGCTATATGCTGGCAGATTGAGGAGTGCCGAGGAATGGGCCGCGATGGCGGAGGTCGTTGGGTTAAAAATCACGTTTGAAGTGTATCCGGAGGCTGGGGAGGGACTTATTGAGATGATGAAGGTTACTTGATGTTACCGTAGGCTCTCTTAGGGAAAGTTGTGCGGTGGAAGGCGCTGAGAGTATTTTTCTGGTAACGCACACACCGCGTTCCAATGCCTTATACTTTCCTTCAGTCGCTGATCTTGTCCTGTATCTGTCTGAAATCTCGAATCGCCCTTCAGTACTCCTTCGTCGAAAGTACTGTAACCCGCACTGTCCCCCACACTATAGAGATCGGCGTGCTGTGTATCCATTTGCACGTTGGTGTAGTACTCCGTACAGCAAGCTTTCCATCGAGCCGCGCACTGTCATTTCCGCCATAGGCCCACATGAAGCAAAGTGGGAGCGAACCGAATCCTTCCTTGTTCTTCTCACAGAAGGTGTCGTGGACTAGCTCCTTCCGTGGCCAGCAACGAGAGCGTTTGTTTGAGCATCGCCAGGATTGGCCACGATGCACTATGTGCACTATGTTGGAGAGGTCCGTGAAATCAAAAATCATTTAGATGTGGAGCAATATCGACGCACTATAGTCGCACCAAACATGCCATATAGTGGTATGAACCGGGGACTGACTGCGAGCTTACCGGGGCCTGTCAAATGGACGATGGCGCCGAATCGCGTCCCGAAGACGGGCGGAAGGGACGATGTGGCGGCCATGCGGCCGTGGCCGCGGATTAATTATGGGAGACACGACTTTTCCGTGTGTCCTCATCCCTGTTGCTGCGTCAGCCAGCAATATGCAGTGCTACCAATTACTGGCGACAACGGATCTTTACCCACATATGGCATGTGTTTCGGCGGGGATCCTCGACGGCGATAGTCACCAATGCGCCGTGGGGGAGTATCGCACTGATGACACTCATAAATTGAACCTAGTTGTAGAGTTGGATCATCTCAACCCCGGCCCCTGCATACAATGTATGATCGTTCTCGCCATGTCTATTCCTCATTTCCTGCGTCTGGTCCAGCCGCGACGTGCGACTGTCCCGACTAAACCAACAGGGTGCTCGGAGGTTGTTGATTTGGGCCACTTTCTCCAACTCAACCTCTGCAATATCCGTAAATCTATTCGGTTATCAATATTTGAAGACTCCAATCCCTAGCTAGACGTTGGGATATATTCTTTTCTATCACTTTAACTTGCGTGAGCTGCATTCGTCGCCCATCCGTTGAAATCAAGAGGTATAGAGCCGTAATCTGGCTCGAGTAGCGCGTCTGCGAAAATATTGACTCCGAGAACAATGTCAGAAACCACGCATCATCAGCCCGCTGTCACTGGAGAGGATAGCAAACCACAAACGCCGGAGGCTAAAGAGGCTCAGATCCTGGAATCAACTACACCGACTGAGGATGTCGTCGAAAAGATCTCCACATTCAGCGGCGACTTTGACCCCAATGATCCCAAGAACCCCAAGAACTGGAGCAACACGCGAAAGCACCTCATTTTCGCGGCGCTTATGTCCAGCTCACTCCTATGTGATGGGTAGGTAGTCGTGGTATTTTCCCCTCTGGGATGGTGAGCTAATGCAGACACAGTGGAATGACATGGGGCGCAACGCTCCTGTTTCCGCAGAGTCTTCAATGGCAGATCGAGCTTAACAAGGCAGCCACCAGCATGAATTATGGCATTCTTCTCCAAGGGTTTGGTGGTATATTCGCCGTTCCTCTCATTGAAGCTTATGGGCGGTCAGTCTCCTCACTCCTACATGCTGACCCCGGACTGATATGTTCTCCAGCCTCCCAGTCTGGTTCTGGACCCAGATTATTGCAATGGGCATGGTGATCGGCTGTGTGCTATCCCCAACCTTTGAAATCTTCACAACATTCCGCTCCATGCAGGGCCTCTTTGGCACCGTTCCCCAAGTCATCGGTCTTCCAATTATATACGACATGTATCACCACCGCGATTGGCCGCGCATGATCAATATTTGGGGCACGACGTTTCTTGTGGGTCCATTCCTTGGCCCGGCCATTGCTGGCTACATTCTGTATGGGACTGGAAAATGGGAAAGTTCATTTGCCGTTCTTGCTGGTTTGTATGGCGCGAGCACGCTTGCTATTTTGGCTGTGGGAAGGGAGACCTATTATCAAAAAGGCATGAAAACCCAAGAGACGCCACGATGGAAGTCATTTTTGGGACTTGGAAACACTGGGACGCTGCATAAGCTTTCCGCTGTCGTTGAGCAATCCAAGGCCCTCGTTATCATGATCTTTACGCCCCCAATGCTCCTCGTTGGTACGTCCCATGCGAATATTTGCTCCGTTTCAACCATGTAGAAGCCCATTCACTAATTCTCATAGGTCTTGCAACAATGGTCAACTTTACTTGGCCTATCGGCATAACCGTCACAATATCTTCATTCCTTCTACCACCGCCATACCTCCTCACGCCGGTCCAGGATGCCTCTATGCGCTGGGCCGGAATCATCGGCGCCCTCCTCGGATTCGTTTTCGGCTACTTCTTCAACTCTTGGATCTATTTCTCGTCATCCGCGTCTGGCGTGTCCCGCCGCGCTAACTGGCGCCCCGAGTACCGCCTGCACGGAGTATGGGGTCCGATATTTAGCATGGCTATAGGGCTCGTAGTATACGGACTCACGCTCAACTTCCAAAAGAGTTGGGTTGGTCTTGCATTTGGTTGGATCCTCGTAAACCTGGGAATGATCGCGTCGACTGTGGCCATTACATCGTTTGCCCTCGAGAAGTATCCAGCTTATGCAACGATCGTCAGTGCGATTATCAACATGTGGCGCACGTGTGGTGGCTTCTCGGTTGGATACTTCCAGCCTAGTTGGATTGCGAGGAGTGGGGTGGGTGTCGTATTTGGGTTGCAGGCTGTTGTTGTGAGTGTTTGTATTGTGCTTTTCATTACTCCAGTGATCTGGCTGGGGAGGAGGGAAGCGGCGAGGAGGATTGTGTCTGTAGGAGTGGCGTAAATGTACTCATGAATGGGAGAGTGTAATAGATTACCATTCGTCTAAAAGCGAGGAATTTTCGAGGCTCGATTGAAGGAGCGGTATTTTCAGGCGAGATATTATTGTTGCCATGAGATCGGAGATAAAATATACCACTTTTCTCACAAGCAAATGTAGTACATGTATGTGTAGCTTTGTCGTTCATCTTCAAATGCTATGCCTTATTTGTACTTGTTATGAAATCATTATTGTAAAATTTAAAATTTAAGATACACAACGCCATAGAACATACTATGCTACAGTGTAATGCAAACTCGCTACATGCCTCTACTCCACCTTTACGATGGTAACTCCACCGGGTGCTGTGCCCCATCCATCTCAACCGGAGATTTCATCCCATTAACCTCATGCCAGACAGGCGGTAGCGGCTTCTCATTCGGGCTTGCAGGCATCTCATGCCGGGCCCATGGAAATATGCTCGCGCGTGAGCGCGCATCATTACTTGCATTCCCTTCCGTATCCTTATCAACTCGCCTTTTTCGCCGCAAGCACATTAGGCAGGTAACAAGCACCCCAAGCGCTAAAAGGCAGCCTGTGATGCCGACCCCGAGGCCAATTTTCGTGGCACTTGAAAGGCCTCCCGGCGTAGGTTCATTAGTCGGAGTTGGCGAATCCGTGGGACCTGGAGTGGATGCTGTAGTGGGAGATGTTCCTGTTGGCGTAGATGTGCTTTTTGGCGGGGACGTTGATTCCGGCAACGTAGTTGGGGGTGTGGAAGACGGCGGTGAGGTGGATTCCGAGGAAGTCGACTGCGAGGACGAGATTGCCTGTCCTACAACGGCCGCGATCCTGGTTCCAGTTCCATCCTTGCAACAGCTATCATTCCCACCACCGCAACACCAAGAGCCATCACTGCATTCAGTCAGCGCAACGTTTTGTGCAGCGGCGCTGCCATCCACGCCGGCATCCTGATATCATAATTAGCATCGCCTGGTTTCATTCCTCTAAAGAATAGGCGTACTTACACCATCAGTTGTGCAAAGATTAGACAGACAATTTGGGCTCTTCCACGTAGGATCGGTGCAGCTTCCGCGCCAGTATAATGGCGCATTTTCGAACGAGTTCAAACAAAGCCCATTCTCCTGACATGTGTCTGGCATAACAACCCCGCCCGTCCAATTCGTGCCGCAACACATACTAAATTTTCCAACGACCTGGTTGCATGGCTGAAACGCAGGATTGGTGATCTTGCTGCCATCAGGATTATAGCAGGTTGCCTGCACAATTGCAGGCAGCAATACGCACGCAAAAAGAATAGAAACAAGAAAGGGGCGCTGCCCCGTCATGATGAACGTAGTTGGAGAGGAAAGAAAACTTGCATCTTGAGAAAGATGCGGATGGACAGAAAGACATACTAACTAACCATGGCATATCTTTTTCGGGTTGAGGAACCGGAGATGTACCTGCATCAGGAGGTTCGTGACATATAATGCCGCGTTTATATTTACGTGAGCGCTAACGGCTTCGATGTTACTGGCTTCGCTTATAATGGATATTCTCAAAGTAGTAATGTTCGGGGAACCGCCTAGACTAGAGCGGGGAAAGTACTCCAACCTCATCACTCCTAATCCAATCGGTTAAATCGGACTTGAATAATCGCGCGCCACTAAATAGACCTGTTATAGACAAGTGCATAACCGCCAAACAGCCTTTACAGGCCTGCGATCCGCTCGCTGTAGCCTCGCGCTATACTGACACATTATTGTCAGGAATTCTTTGCTACATATTACAGACGAGGAAATATGTCACAATGATAGTGTATACCTACAATACCTACAAGGTAAAAGTGACATGTATATTTCTAAACCAGCGAGTCATCCCTCGAGGCGTCTGTTTCGCCCTCGAACAAATGAATCTGTTTATTTCTTGCCTCATTATGCTTCTATAGGCTATTGTTCCTGTCTAACACGTGCCTTAATGCTACATTTTGTGTCTAACGTACTTATATGAATTTCGTACCTAAATGCTCGATTTAGAGCTATGAATTTCGTAAAGTGGCTATCTCCAACGAATGAAATCAGAGGATATTTTATTGCTAAATTATGTTACTGTTCACCACCGTATTGAATTTTCATTTATATAAATCATATAAAGCAACACTGCCCAGACTCATTGCTAGCCCGCTAATTTGCTCAATCTTGCTCACCTTAAACAGTCACATTGCTCATCTTTTTCAACCTCAAGGCCTAGAATCCACCGAGTCGTGAAGCTGACATATCGCAGTGTAGGGGTACTCCATTGCTAGACATAACCCCCAAGGTGCCGGCCCGCTATAATCCTAGCCCTACGTTCCCCGCTAGCCACTAACATTACTACTGGAGTAGCCCCAACTAGTTAATCAAGCAACTGCCAACGCGCTAATAAGGTTATAAACTTCCCGATCGAGCGCCGCAACAGTCATATCGGCCACTCGGCGCAGAAGTATAAAATGTAAGCTCCGAGACCACCGCGTCAGCAACCATGCACGAACGATGTGAAGATAATGATTCAATTAACTATCGTAGTCTTCTCTCTAAAATGTAGTATATAGCATCTAGTTGTTGCCCTCGATGTCTCTCCTCCACAACCTCACCACCAACCTCGTACCCAACTTCTTCACTTCCATAGCCAAAAACTTAACAACCACCGCTGCAAAAATGCCTCTCGTAGACGCCCTCATTATCGGCGCTGGCCCTGCCGGCTTGTCAGCGGCCCTTGCCCTCGCGCGCCAGCTTCACACCGCGATAGTCTTCGACAGCTCGCTCTTCCGCAACGCGCGCTCGGCGCACATGCACACCATCCCGACATGGGATCACAAGGACCCCGCGGCCTTCAGGGGCGCAACGCGCGCCGAGATCTTGGAGCGATACAACACGATCTCATTTGAGGACTGTGAGGTCGCCAAGATCGAGAAGACGGCCACAGGGGACTTCGCAGCTACGGCTGCTGACGGGACAGCATTCACAGGCAGGAGAGTCTTGCTTGCCACTGGTGTCACGGATCTGGCGCTTGGTATCAAGGGTTACGATGACTGCTGGGGTCGATCTATGTGAGTACTCTTATTCCACCTCGGCTTCACTTGATTCTTAGAACTAACATTGCCTAGCTACCACTGCCTCTTCTGCCACGGCTATGAAGATGCTGGAAAGCCATCCTCTGGTGTCCTTGCTCTCGGCGAGAACTCCGCCCCTGCGGTAGCCGCTGCCCTCGCCCGCAGTGCCAGGCAAATCACCTCCAAAGTCGTCATCTACACCTCCAACAACCCTACCGTAAAGTCCTCCGTCGATGCCCTCCTCGGCCCCAAAGATAGCGCCATCACGACCGACGACCGAGAGGTCACCTCCTTCGCTCTCGGCGCTGAAGGCAACGGGATCTCTATCACCTTCGCAGATGGAAGCACAGTCCAAGAGGCCTTCCTCGCGCACAAGCCGCCCACAAAGCTCAATGGTCCGTTTGCGGAGCAGTTGGCAGTGGAGCTGGCGCCTGGAGGGGATATCAAGGTGGCGCCACCATTTGGGGCCACGAGTGTCAAGGGGGTATATGCGGCGGGAGACTGTGCGACGCCGATTAAGAGTGTCATCCAGGCAATGCATATGGGGACATTCGCGGGGGTGGGGATTGCGCATGATTTGCAGGCCGAGGGGCCGAAGTTGTAGTGCGACGACCGCCGAAGGAAGATATAACTTGGTCGTCCATTGTATAGGCCATTGAGAGTGGTAAATTGCGATGAGTTCATGGTGGATAGTTCAGAGAACAATACCTAGCACATTCGTTCCCATTAGAGAAAACACTTCGATTCCACACCATATTCACTGCCCATAAATTCCGTTCATGTTAAATTTTAATTCGTATTTCGCTTCTGATTTCTACAGGTAACCCTATGCAATCCGCACGTAAACTCTTTCATCCAAAACATGGTATGATACTCCAAACAGTACTTACAATAACCAACCCACTGGAAATACCAATATGCATATAACCCCAATACCCTCTTATCAGATCTATGCAACCCACCCATCAGGCCCAACCATGAACCACACCGCTACACCAACGAGAGCGCACATGCCTGCCGTTAGCATACCAGCCGCCGCTCTCCCCGCAGTTGTCACCTCGATCGACCCTCGAACCTTGGCCGCAGTATCCACCGAGTCACCATAATCACCTATCGATGTGCCACCCGTCTTGTTAGTAACCAGGTCTCTTGCGCCAGTCACCAGCAGCGAACCCATAACATCCATGGCACCCATCTGCTGGCCGACTCCCTCACGGCCGTCCGTGGTACCCTCGTACCAGCGCAGGCCGCATGCAGCCCCAACGGCCCCAGGTATGCATTGGTTTGCAGCGGCGACGGCTGATGAGGTGAGGAGGGCCATGATTCTCGGGGCGAGGGAGGGGATGAGACGGGAGGTGGCGCCCATCCAGCGGGAGAGGTAGGCCTTGAAGGACATTTGATCGATGTTACAGAGGGGCTCGCCAGGGCTGGCCTCACAGGGCTCGTACATAATACCTGTGTCCTTCCAGAAGAACTGGGTGCTTGCCTTGTTGAAGATGCGAGTAGAGCGCTCGAGCCACAACTCCGAGTTGTTGGTCTGCGTGTATGTGTTAGCGGGGATGTTCGGTGGGTGAGGACAGGGATAAATGCGGGACATACAAATTTATACATATTCGCAGCGCCGTGCAGCCAGATGCCTGCGTTATAGGACCACTGGGTGTGATCCAGCTCCGTGCAATTCAAGAGATCGCTGCTACCATCAAACACGTCTCCCTTCTCGTTGATGAGACCGACCGACTCGACCCAATCCCACGTCTTCTCCGCCCACTCCGCATATGTCGCGTTGCCGGTGTAGACCGCGAGCCTGCTCGCAATGTTGAACATGGCACCGTTACTGATGCTGTTCTTATAGTCGTACCCCTTGTTGAAGACATAGACCTGCCACTTCAGGCCGCCACCGCACGTTTCCGTGTCCCAGCGACCCGACTGCAAGCTGAAGACGGCCTGTGCTAGCGCGAGCCACTGCGGCTGGTCCTTGGGAGGGTTCTGAAAGTTGCGCTCAGCGGCCATCATGGCTGTCATACCCCAGAAACCTTGATCGTCATTACCCATAGATTTGGATGCGTTGATGGGCATGTAGTTGCGGTCGTCGCCGGCCTGGTGCACCAAGGCTTGCTCGACAATGTCGTTATAGGTCGTGTCGTTTGTGTAGTACCAGTAGTCTATCATGGCTCCGAACATAGCTCCTGCTTCCCACCAGTAGTATGGATCCGGCAGGTAGCCTGGCGTGTCGCCGGGCTTGTAACCGGTGTAGAATGACATCAACTTCTTAGCCACCTCGCCCGTGGCAGCTTTGATGGAAGCTGGAAGAACCGTTAGCACTGCGCAAGATATGAGAGACGTAGGAAAGAGCAGTACCAGGAGAGGCGGGGTCAAATTCAATGGCAGTGGCCAGTTGAGCGCCACCAAGGCAAGCTGCTGCCGCAAAGCGCGCGACGCTCCATAACTTCATGATGGGCGGATGCGCGAGTATGTATGTTGAGAAGAAGAGCTAATAGGTACAGGAAGATCGAGGCCGTATGGGTCGGAAGATTCGGGTTCACAGGCAGCTTCGGTCAACACAGCATTGTCGTCACAACAGAGTCTTGGGGCAAATGTCGCAAAGATATCGTACAGCGAGCGAGTTCACGTAGTCGCAGGAGCAAGAGCCCAAAGGAGCCAGGGTATAAAGGAATGAGAAAACACAGCGAAAGTCAGGAACGAGCGAGAGATGAGATGACGTTGGTATGGCAGTATGAAGGAACAGAGAGTAAGAGAGGTCCAAGTCCAAACCTGACGACGACGACACAAACACACACCCTCGATCGCCAAGGCGCGGCATTGCTGGGCTGGTGGTTGTGCCGCGTATGGATAGGGTACTGTATCGCAAATAGCGATACGGCCTCGTATGGGCTGCACATTTGGGGCACTAGAAGGCCAGCCAAGAGGCACAAGATGAACCATGGGAGTCTTGTGCACACGCACTGGAGTAAGGGGATGGGGTTGGGAGTTTGATGAGTGTGCAGGAATAGCGAGTGTGGATACTTGCCCTTGGTGGAAGTAATAGGAGTAATTGGTCTCACGGAGAGTAGCCAAGAAGGCCAAGAGAAAGGGTGGACATTCGCTGGCCGAGACGGGTTAGAAGAGAGGATGCTTATGAAGAGAAGAAACAGAAGAAGATGAGTTTTAGCATGAGTCGGTTGAGAGTAGATGCGTGGTTGTTATATTCTCTATAGAGTCGAATATAGATAAAGAGTTGACCGATTGACGTCTGGAGAAGATCTCTGGCTCGCTGTCAGAAGAAAAGATGTGCGGTCGCGACTTCCATAAACGCTCGCTTGGCGCTAATTGCCCAAAGCTTGGCTGTTCCATATCTGCACCCATGGACATGTAAAACAACCAGAGCATCAGCACAGAGTCGAAGATTCCAGGCGGTAAAGGTAGGAAGTTCAGTGGAGTCCAGTGCATAATCAGCGGAGAGCAGTGTATTCCGGTGCCAAGATCAAGATTATCACCGAGTCGTCGTGGGCAGCGAGGCTGAGCTGATAGTACGAACCACTACTTTGTGTGAACCGAGCACGTTAGAGGAGGCTGAGCCTCGTGTTGTGTGTAGTTAGCGCTTAGTGCGTGTCTCCAACACGAATAGGGACATTGGCATCGCTTCAGTCTGGAATAGATGGTATGGTCGTGTGTGGTTCATTCAGTGAAGTATTATATTACAGTTTATCATCGCCGGTGTTCCGTCTATTGCAAACTGCCCAGGTTGCTGGAGAGAAGTGATGGGGGATCACGTGGTCACCTGTCGAGCACTCCCCGAGAGGAGCTTCAGCGAACACAGAACACTGATTACAAACATAGGCTTCGAATAGGCTTCATAGAATGCAGAGCGGAGATTCTACAGATCACATCATACTTCCCATGCCGACGTTGTGCTCATACCTCCGCCAAGGTCGCTGAGAGACACCCATTTGAGACCAAAATGATCACGGCACAACACAACACAAACACAACACAACACAAACACGCCAAATTAAATATAAGATAGTAATGTCATTTAGATACTATAAACCTGCCAACATACATACACATCCATGCATATAATTACAGATACCCTCTCGCTTTTAATCCGGGTATCACCAGAACCTCCTCCCGCTGCCCAGTCCCCCCCTTTCCAGCCGACTCTAACCAGTCTACAACTTCATTCCCAGAATCTCGTGCACCTTCAGTGCCTGCCTGATGCTTAGATCCAACATGATCTCCTCGCTACCACCTGGGATGGCGTACGCACGCACATCACGGTACAGACGCTCGATCTTGCCGCCCTGGCCACCACGGCTGTACGACAGACCACCGAAGATCTGACTGGCCTCGCGGGCGCAGTACTCGAAAGTGACGGTGCTCTGGGCCTTGAGACTGGCAATGGCGCCACCAAGCTTGAGCATGGCCTCGGTCTGGTCCATGCGCTGGCACTGGAAGATGAGGTTCTCGAGCCACGCGTACGAGGCCTCGATCTGGCGCGCCATGTGCGCGAGCTTGAGGCGGATGACGGGGTGCTTGATGAGGGGCACGCCGAAGGTGCGGCGCTTGTGGGCGTACGAGACACACTCGGAGTAGCAGACACGCGAGAAGCGGATGCACTGGATGATGATGCCGATGCGCTCGTGGTTGAAGTTGGTCATGATGACCTTGAAGCCCTGGTTCTCCTTGCCGATCAGGTTCTCGACGGGGACCTTGACGTCCTCGAAGGTGATGTAGGTAGTTCCCGAGGACCAGACACCCTGGCAGTCCATGCGGCGAGTTGTAACGCCACCAGCCTCGCGCTCAATGAGCAGCACACTGAGTCCGTTCATGCCGGGTTTGCCGGTACGGACGGCAACGGTGAAGTAGTCGGACCAGATACCGTTGGTGATCCACTTCTTCTCACCGTTGACGATGTAGTGCTTGCCATCCTCGGAGAGCTTGGCCTCGCAGCCCAAGCTTGCAACGTCGGATCCTGCGTCGGGCTCGGTGATGGCGAGGCAGACGCGCTTGTCACCGTTGAGGATGCCAGGGAGAATGCGCTTCTTCAGGGCTTCTGAGCCGAAGTGCATGATAGGTGGGCAACCGATACCGAAACCTCCAATGACGTTCCAGACGAAACCTCCGGAAGCGGCACGAGACAACTCGTCGGTGACAATCAGCTCGTGGAAGAGATCCCACTGCTCAGGGGCAACGGAGGCGACGCGGTTGTTAGTGTATTCGGTAGGGAAGTTGTCCGAACCCATCAGGCCGGCCAGGTATCCGCGAGTGCCCATCTCCTTGTAGATGGCCTCAGGGACCTCCTTGGCCTCGTCCCATTCAGTCACGAATGGCTCAATCTTCTCCTCAACGAAGGCGCGGATCTCGGCGCGCAGAGCAACGTGGGTCTCGTTGTGGTATGGGGAGTGGTACTGTAAATTTCGTTAGTGTGATGTTTGGGATTGGTTGGTGAGCTGCGACTACGTACAGTCTGATACCACGATGGGTCAGCGTATGGGATCATGTCGCCAAACTCCTCCAAAGGCTCGAATTGCGATTTGTCGGCCTTGGCGATGGGAGCGGATGTGGCAACCGGCGCAGCTGCTGGTGCTGGTGCTGGAGGAGGTGGTGGAGGTGCTTCGGACTTCTTGGTATCCAAAGATCCAACCTGGAGCTTGGCCTTGTACTTCTTGAGAATACCGGCTGTTATTCGTCAGTATTTGCACGATAGTGAAGAGGTGAGCTGTGCCATCATACCATTGTGATACTTCCAGAACTGCTTGGAGGCGTCCTTTCCGGCGACCCTGGTGAGGATCTTCTTTCCACCTGGGTGGTCGTCCTGGAACTTGGTCAGGTCGTAGACATCCTCGTCGACGATGATGAACAGGTCGCTGGGGGAGTTATGCGCCGCAACATCGGCGGTGGTGAAGGTTTTCGACATTTTGTCGTTGTGTGGTATAATCGCTACAGGTCTAACAAAAAAAAACTTTCCCGAAATGAAGGAAAGTCTATTAGAGAACAGATAGCGGTATAGAGAGAGAAGAAAGGAAAAAAAGAAGCGGTCCGGAATGGGGTTTATTCATATATGAGGGCCTCGGCGGAAACACAAGGTAATCGTCAGCGCTGGTGTGGCTTTCACATGCTCTCATGACCCCACAGTGCGGAGTTTATAACAGGGATTCCCCCCCGCATTTAAGTTTTGCCGTCCCCGGATTCTGGTTGCATCACATGGCGGATTACGTCGTTATGTTCACAGTATCGTCATCATGTGATCAGGATTGGCTTGTGGGCTGCATAAAAGTGAAAATCGAGTGTAATCACGTGTAATAGCAGGCTTCTTATTGGCGCAGGATGAGTTTCATAAATAGAAATTTGATGTTTATGCTTTATTGGGACCCTCCGACACAATTCTGGCATGTGAATGCTTCTCTTCATACTTAGGCCCGTATGGACTACACTAAAGCTGATGCGGACTAGTCCATCATCAATGCCTCGGCAGACGGTGTATTTTCCAATACCTTTCCTCTCAAATGTTAACAAATGCCAACAAGTCTCACTGAATCGTGCAGACGAGGCTACGACTAAATCAAGCAACTCCCGCGAAATATATGGGGATTGTCTCCAGTCTTCATTTCCGTTAGAGTACTTCGAACAATGCGTGCGGGGGAATAGCCAGTTACCCCATCTCCCCCAGCTTCCATCGCGGAAAGGGGCATAGCGTCACTGAGTCCAGAGTTCGACGCGAAGCTCAACGCGTCTAAATGGTGTCTATTTTCTGTCTATTTAGGTTACTCCCCATCACGACTTGCGGTTAACAACGCGAACCCTATCACCGCCACCACGAACAGGAGATGCCCCATCATGGCCCCAAAATTTAGCCAGCTGCGCGTCCCCGCCCTTCCCATCCCCACACCGCGCGCCGTCCTACGGGCCTCGCCGCCTCTTGCCGCACTCACGAAAGCCTCCCTCTCGAACCGTCACCATATCCGCGTGCTGCTCTCGCTGTTCGCGTCGCGGAACCTGCTGAAGTCGCTGCTCACGTTTCGGCCGGTTAATCGCAAGACTCTAAAACCAGGAGTTCCAATCTGGAAAATGCTTCTCCAGGCGCTCTGGGTGGCTGTCTGGCCAGGTCTGTTCCAGGGTCTGGCGAAGCTCATCATAAAGGACCCGATAGGCGGGAGGGTTGAAGTGGAGGCCTGTCAGGAGGTTGTTAGCGATGGGGATTGGGATGGTGGTGTTGAGGTGGAGGTTCCGGCGGGATGACGGGATGAGCAGGAAGGACAAAATTATACACACCATCGGAGAGCAACTCAGCAAAGGCGGGATTCTTATCCGTTTTCAAACTGCCGGGGAGCACGCCCTCGCCGCTCCACCCTGTCCGCGCCATCAACGCGCTCCACAGGTCACAAACGACAACTTCTCGCCCTTCTGCTCTCAGCGCCTCTCCGACGGCCTTTCCAGCTTCGGCGTACGCCCGGGCTTTCTCGGCACTGCGACCGCGGTCAACACGTCCGTCAGAGCGCGTCTCCTCGGCGAGCTGATACTCGTCCACGGGTGGGGTGGTGATAATGACAATGCGTGGGTTGTGCGCGAGAAGGAGGGGGTGGGAGAGAATGGCAAGGAGGTTCTCGCGGTAGGTTTGGAGGGGAACGTGTTGGTGGCTGACGCCGCCGAGGTGACAGGAGTCGTTGGCACCGAAGAAGAGGGTCTAGTTGGGGGTTAGTGGGGGTTTGAATGGATGGCGGGAGAAATACCATGTAGTCGATTTTGGCGGTGGTGGGGGGAGGGAAGATGTATTCGATTATGGCAAGAGCTTGGTCGGTGTTGTATCCACTGGAGGGGTTGGCAACGGACGTGCTGGTGATTGGGAGACATACCTAAGCCCGCGGTCCACAACGTCTAGGCGGCGCATATAGTCTGTAGCATACAAGTCAGCTGGACTGATGAAAGCAATGTCTACTCGAGCGTCCAAGTTTGCTCCCACGCGTGACTAGATTATGGATGCGTACCATGAGCCAGCTGAGCGCCCAGAGCAAATCCTTTGTTCTGGTCAAAGGCGCCCTGGGTGATGGAGTCACCAAAGAGGAGGAATTGCTTGTACGGGAGCTGGATATTATTAGCTTGTTAATTTAATTCTATATGAGAATGGCCTCGAACGAACCGTAGGAGCCGCAGCAAGAATTTCCTTTGCAGGAGCCTTGAAAGCGACCATGTTGGCGATCTCAGATATGAGTGCGGGGAAAGGGATAGATTAGCCGTGGGTTTCTTCAACGATACCAGAGGGCGAGGGGGAATTATTGAAGAGGAGTAAGTGATAGGGTTCTGGGAATAGGAAGCAGAGATATATGTACAGCCAGTATGTTTGCTGGCCAGAAGTTTGAGAGAAATGTTTGTCAGAGAAGGTGTGCACACAGTATCACAGTTATCGGTCTGGAGGTTAGAAGGTAGAGGGGTTGATTGATACTCGCTCGCCATTTCGGACCAAGTTGGTCCGCCAAACGGAGGAATAGTGCATCCGACATCGCATTAATCCATCTTCACATTCCCCATACGCACAAATTATACTATAAGAATTGTGATCTTATAAAGCATAAGATTACAATTCCCCATTTCCACAAAAAGGAGGCTTAGGAGGCTTTCCCACAAAGATCATCGCTGGATCCGCAATGTTTCTTCCATCTCGCGTGCGCCGACAGGGGTAAATTGTTCCATTGGCCTTCTTTTTTGGCTTTTTTGGAAGGGTCTCAGGTGGGCTGAGTAAGCGATATTAGCAAAGTCTGAAAAAAGGGCGAAAAGGGAAAAAGGGACGGTTTGATCGGCAGCGTGGACCCCTATACGGTACGCTGAAACCGACGCCTTGGGGCCTTTTAAGCCCTTCAAGATCCCTATAATTTCGGGCCACAGAAGGTAATTGGGGAAATGACTTGGCGCGTCTGTTTTGGGGACGGGATTGAACTAGATGCGGCTTCTAGAGCGACCAAATGGGTCTGCGACTGCGACGAAGCTCCATGTGGATATGCACTCCGGCGAGTTTGAAGCTGACTGACGGGTGAGTTGACAGGACAGCAGCTAGTCCTGCCGTCGAGCACAAAAGACAGAAGAGAGGACAGGACTGTGCTTTTTCTGCTCCGAGACAGCAAGGCGACGCACGGCGATAGGGTAGTTGTGGTAGTCCTGCTTGTTGTGTTAGTCCTGCTAGTTGAGCTGGTGCTGTATCGCACCTGTCATGGCATTGCAAATCATCGCGACAGGCTCTAAGACCGGACACCCCGAATGTCTCACAAAAGGGGCATATATATGAATAGCTATGGAGACTGAGACTCTAGAAAATGACGCCGGCGGGACAAGCTCTGTATAACATCCGTATAACATCCGGTAGTAAATGGTAAACAAATAGATAAAATAGCTGAGCTAGGCCCAGAGCTGAACCCAGAGCCTAAACCAACACAGCAATTGTCATCAACATAGCATATATTACCATACCCAGGTCTTATGCACATGCAGCCTCACATTCCTCATCACAATCACATTCTTCTCCTCTCGTCCCCCAATCCCCCACGCTCATCTCCGGGGACGCACGTTCTTATCCCCTACATTCCTTTCCACATCGCCTTCGATTGTGGGCGTCGTTCCCCCCTGTGTGACGACCCTTACTACTACCCCCTCTATCCCGTCTCCAACGCGACCAGTCAACTCTCCCACCTCTTGAATCCCACGATCTCCATCACACCTTTCACTTCGCATTTTACCCGCCCTGCTGCACACAATCGCACGGCCACCAACAAATATACCACAGGACGAAACGCGACAAACACACCCGAATTAGCCAGCCCAACGAGGATCTGGCCAGCCTAACTAACCAAGGCGCCACTGTCAGCTGCTTGTCTGTGGTCATAAGCTCGGCATACTGCAGCGACCGGCGCCACGCTACTGCACTGCACGCACAGTACCTGACAGAAACCCCTTCGACGACGATCTCAGCGCGCGGCCAACACACATCGCGAGAACGACGGCGACGAGCCATTGATCGAGACGAGTGTCTGTGATTGCGACCGCAGTGGCTACGATTTGGCCTGTCGACTGTTTACACGACTGTCACGAGCCAGCGCGGAACGAGCTACATATATAGCCGGCACAGGCTACGACCACAACAACACGATCTTTCGCCCATAAACACCACGAAATACTCGAACATTGAACAGCCAGCGCCGCCCACAACGCGGGCGGTTCGCCCAGCACCTCCATCCTCACGCCCATCTCGGTAGCAGCCTGTAATCTCGACCCACGATGACCGGCCCGGCCCCCTCCCCACAACCCATCGCCATAACACTGTTCGGCGCGGGCGGGAGCGGCAAGTCGTCGCTAACGCTATCACTCGTCCGCAATGCCTTCACCTCGACATACGACCCGACGATCGAAGACAGCTACAGCATAACACGGCGGGTGGACGGCGTGGAGTATGTGATTACCATCACGGACACGGCAGGGCAGGAGGAATACCGCGGGCTGTGGGCGCAGGAGGCGCTGCATGCGGATGGGTTCGTGCTGGTGTACGACATTACGAGCCGACGGAGTCTGGAGGCGTTGGGGTGGTTTGAGGCGCTGGTGCGGGTGGAAGGGGAGTGTCGGGAGGAGAGGGCAGAGACGGCGCTTCGGCGGCGGATCGAGGGCAGTGAGCCGCTGACAAGGAGTACAACGCGGGTGGGTCGGTCGAGGCGTGGCACCGGGACGACGATCGTGAGCGAGGCGTCGGAGTTGAAGCCCGTCAAGATTGTGGCGGGGAACAAGGTTGACCTGGCGAGTTCTCGGCGGGTGCCGGCTCGAGAGGGTCTGGAATGGGCGCGGCGGCATGGGTGCGGGTTCATGGAGACGAGCGCGCGGGAGCGAGTGAATGTTGAGGAGACGTTTGGACTGATTGTGCGAAGAGTGGTGGAGGCGCGGAGGGAGGAAGAGCAGCAACGACTGGAGGAGGAGTATGCGAGGGCTACTCAAGAGAGGGAGATCCGCGGGGATAACAGACGATATACAGTCGACTGGACGGAAGAGAGTCTACGTTATCAGCGCGAGCAGGCGAGGCGACATGAGAAGGAGAAGATGGAGCAAATGCCGAGGAGGGATGCCGGGAGGAGCGGGCAGAGTCAAGAGCAGCGCGAGAAGAAGGTGCGGAGGAGGAAGTCGGAGGCAGGTGTTGGTGTGAGACATGCCGTGACGGCGCCGTTGAGCCCTCTTGAGATTGAAGGAAAGCGGATGAGGCTGCCAATACCACAAGGGGATATTGGGCCCCCGAAGAAGGGCTGGGCTTGGTTAAGGTGTTGGTGAGCCGGAGTTGATTTTTGCACCATTTACTTTCTGTTGTATACCATGAGCCGGACGACCAGTGGCATTGAGCGTTTTACGAGCGTAGCGGCTGGTGTCTGATTCCACCTTTTACTGATCTAGGCATCGTTTTATTTTATTTTGGGGGTTTCATGTTGGATAAGCGGGTTTGTCGGGAAGGCATGGTTGTGTAAGAATTACTTGGATATTTTGGATTGAAGGAAAAGGAAAGGGAGTTTGTTGGCTGTCTTTTGCAGGGTGTACGAAAAAAAAGTTGGGAAGATATGACAGGCGAAACAGGACGATGTAGAAGGTAAATAGATATGAGTCAGGGCTTCAAGGCCATTAGAGAGAGAGAAAGGCATTTGCGGATTAATATGAAAACATTGACTTCATAGGTATAACTGCCAGTCTATCTACTCTTGATCATCCCAGCATTCGCACCGGTTCCCTTGCCACGCACAACTTTCATGTCTCCCTTTGTTTTTCCTGCAGCAAACTTTTCTCTCGCAAGCTGAATGGCAGACTTTCCATCTCCGCCTTTTCCTTTGACTGGTCCCTTCTTTGCAGGGAATGGCTTCTTCGCCTCTGCAGCGTCACCTTCATCTTCCTTCGGCGCAACAGCCACCGTCGTTCCCCCTTCTCCCTCCTTAACCTTTCCAATCCACTCTACCTTCCTCCTGACGAAGAGCTCCACCATCCAATTTCTTAATACTACTCTGCCAACCCAGTCTTCGCGTAGCTCAGCCATCGAGCTGGCGAGGATACTGCAGATGCGCTCCTTCAGCATCATGAGTCCCTGCGTGCCATCCCAGAACGCGTCGAGGGCATGCGATCCCGACTTTGACGTTGCGAGCGTGATGATCGACGCTGGGTCTGCGAGGAAGATGTTGACCAGCTTGCGGCGGAACGGTGCGTTGTTGGCACTGCCCGGGTTGCTGGGGGACGAGGGGTCCGTGGGGATCAGAGCCACCTGGAGGATGTGAGAGGTCGTCGTGGTGCAGGCGAGGTGGATGAGGGTGGGGAGGTCGAGGCACAGGAGGGAATCCTGGATCAGGGTGGCTGGGAGGCCTGGGATCGCAAGCATGGCTTGTGCGAGGAGGGAGCCGTGAAGGGTTGTGAGATCTTGGCGGGGTTCGACTTTCTCATCGGTTTCGGCTTCTGGGGCGGTTTGGGGGGTTGTGTTGGTCATCTTGAGGAGGAGAGTCGCGGGGTCATTGCCGTATGCCTCTGCGATCGCGGTTGTGATTGCGGCAGTGCTTTTCTCGGCGCGTCGTGCGGATGTGCGCTCGAGGAGGGTCTTGAGGATGGTGGTTCGGGAGCGTTCGATAAGGTTGGGGATTTGCGGGGTGATGGAGGTGGCCGCTTCCTCGAGATCTTCACGAGAAACGCGCTCCAGGACTTTGATGACGACGTAGGTGGCAATCTCGTTGCGAGCCAATGCGCCGATGCGGTCTTTGAAGGTGGAGCGGTAGATTTGCTTGAACAGTTTTCCTGGAGCGTATGTGACGAGCGTTTCCAGAAGGCGGGATCCGATGGACTCGTAGATGAGGCCACTGACGAATGCTGCGGACTTGGAGCCCTCCGTTTCAATGTTATCGGGAAGAAGTTTTCTCAGGATGGAGCCGGACGCTTCTGGGGCGAGATCTTTTGTCTTTGTCGGGCGCGTGAGCTCCAATTCGAGGAGGAGTTGAAGAGCGGGGTTGGCAGTTTGGTGGCAAGACAGAACCGGGATAGAGGTCTCGTCAAGGATTTCAGAAGTGTCGGAGATGAACTTGTTGACTGCATCTTGGAAGGAGGATGGGACGGCGCGCGCTTCCAGGCTGAGCTCTTCGGCGGACGACTTGAAGCCGGGGGTCGTGATGTTTTCCTTCTTTCTGCTTTGGAGGAGGGTTTTTGTAGAAGATTTCGCGAGTGGTTTTCCAGAGAGAACGACGAGGAGGACGCGAAGGGCGTGCGACGCGAATCGGTCGTTGAGGAGGAACCCAATTTGTCCTTCGAGTTCGTTCAGGGTGTAGAGGAAGGAGTTCTCCATCGACACGTAGACTTCGTCGGTTGGCGCAGGCTCATCTTCGGTGAGTTCTTGGGTGACGATAGGCGCAGAATGGATGAAGAGCGTCTCGCAGCAATGACTGGCGAATCGATGCTGTATGAGGTGCAGGAACTGTCCACTGAACTTTTGGAACAGCGTCTTCTTTTGTGTAGGCGTGCTCAGCAGGATGAGCCTCTCCATCAGCCGCGAACATGACTGGCTGTTCGCAATTTTCAGTTCCTTGCCCTCTGCCTCCTTGAAGACATTGGCGAGGAACAGCGACCGGTCTTCGTCGGACGGGAAGTCGTTCAGCTCGAGCAATTCGTCTGCGCGTCGGAAGTATTCTTGTTCTTCCTCGGCGAGTAGGCCGTAGAAGGGTCGTCCATCCGCTTCTTCGGTGAATGGTGGTGGGACGAAGGTGTCGGTGGTGTCCCCCACGAAGGATATGCCGCCAACATCGAGAGCGGGCCTCTTGCCCACGGGTTCTTCATTCGCATTCGCCTCTCTCTTGCGCTTGCCCTCGCCGCGGCGACCACGTTGTTTGTTTTCTTTCGGCATCGTTGGTGGGAATCGTGGTTTGCAGAGGTTGATTGCACTTATCTTGCGATTGGAACTTTTCTGCCGGGCGGTGGGGGGAGGGATTACGATCACGTGGTAGGCAATAGTTTGTGTGTGATTCTGGCCTTAGGAATTAGCCTTAAGAATTAGGCATTTACATAGTAAGACTTAGTAATTAGATAGTTCTATACAAAGGGGGCTGGCATAACCCTAACCGTTATAAGATGTTCATAACCTATCCTACTCCTATATAGGCTTCAACCCTTCCTTAAATCTAAGAATAGATATTTTCCCTGTTGAGTGTCCTAATACGATAGTTCCGTTCCAGACTGCCATTTCTTCCGGTCGATATTCACGAGGAAGCCAGAGAATCTTCTCCTTCCCTTCTATTACCCAATCATCTAACACAAATAAACCTGGCTCCACCTTACTATCATGTAAGAAGGCTTCTGGCGTGAGAAATTTCGAATGGCCCTTGAGCGTCTCCAGCACTGTGCCCGTGACGGCGTCCCAGAGCCGTGTTTTATCACCTGACCTAGCCGCCACCCGCTTGCCGTCCGGCGAGAAGGCAACTGACGAGACTGTCTCTGAATACCACTCGAGTGTCTGCAGTGGTGCGCCTGTCAGGCAGTCCCAGATCCGTACCGTATTATCCTGTGACCCAGATGCCACGTGCTTGCCGTCCGGCGAGAAGACCACCGATGTAACCGAGCTCAAATGGCCCTCGAGCGTCTGCAGTGCTGTGCCCGTCACAGTGTTCCAGAGGTGTACCATGTCACCTGACCCAAACACCACCCCCTTGCCGTCTGGCGAGAAGGCCACTGACGCGACAGAACGTGAACGGTACGGGCCCTCGAGCGGCGGGAGCGCCGTGCCTGTCACAACGTCCCAGAGCCGTACTGTGTAATCACCTGACCCAGACGCCACACGCTTGCCGTCTAGCGAGAAGGCCACTGACGAGATCTTCCTTGAATGGCCCTCGAGTATCTGCAGTACTGCACCTGTCATGGCGTCCCAAAGCCATACTGTTAGATCATGTGACCCAGAAGCTAGGCGCTTACTGTCCGGTGAGAAGGCTAATGATGTAATTGGACCCCAATGGCCCTTAAGTGTCTGTAGTGCCTCGCCTGTCATAGCGTCCCAGAGCTGTACTGATTGACCATCTGACCCAGACGCCCACCGCTTGCCGTCTAGCGCGAAGGCCACAGGCGTGAGAAAGCTTTGGCCCTCAATCGTCTGTAGCACTGCGCCCGTCTCAGCGTCCCAGAGCTGTACCGTTTGATCATGTGACCCAGATGCTATACACTTGCTGTCTGGCGAGAAGGCTACTGATGTGATAAATTTCGAATGGCCCTCAAGTGTCTGCAGTACTGCACCTGTCTCAGCGTCCCAGAGCCGTACTGTTAGATCATGTGACCCAGATGCTATACGCTTGCCGTCTGGCGAGAAGGCTACTGACTCGACTAAACTCGAATGGTCCTCGAGCTTCTGTAGCGCTACACCTGTCATAGCGTCCCAGAGCTGTATTGAGCCATTAAGTGACCCAGACACTATGCGCTTGCTGTCTGGGGAGAAATCCACTGACGTGACCGGGCTGGAACCCTCGAGCACCTGTAGCGCCGCGCCAGTCACGGCGTCCCAGAGCCGTACCGTTTTATCATGCGACCCAGACGCCATGTGCTTGCCATCTCGCGAGAAGGCCACAGACTCGACTGAGTCCGAATGGCCCTCGAGCGTCTGCAGCGCAGCGTTCCAATTTTCTTGCGCTCTCGTCTTCAATTGGATCCAAGGTGGGATAAATTTCTCAAATTGCCTCCGAACAATGCTTTTCTTCGGGGCGAAAACAAGCGCCGAACAGTATAGCTGTAGGGGTGCCTTTTCAATCACCAATCGGTTATACAAGGCGAATCGCATTGCATCATAGATAAATGCGTGTAAATCGGGGCTTTCATTAACCTATGACATGTTAATTAGAGTCTTGTAAGTAATAGATATATAGATTACCAGAACGTAAGCCTCTAGGGACAATATTGCCTGAATCCCTTCTGACGTCTTGCCCATCCACCCGAGTGCCTCGAGCCAGTGCAGTAGATGATCCTGTAGAAACCGGTGAGCTTCTCTGCCACTATGAACCTGAGAATCACCCCTTTGTATATGCTGGACCCAGTAAAGACATGCATATTGAACTTCAGGTGGAAGGCATTCCTCAATCCAACTGCTCTTAACCTGGCTAGCTTGGCTACCAGGAGTATGCATTTTGCAAATGTCCTTCTTAAGTGTCTGGGACATTAGCTTTATGCAGCCAGCAGCTAATATCTGGTGCGCCTCCTTTTCATTCACCTAAAACTCCCTACATCGATCTTTGCTAAGGAGGAAGTCGCGAAATGAAGGATGGTGTAGGCAGAGCGGGCGAGTCGGCTCCTTTGGAATATTAAGGATCGCATAAAGGTCCTCAAATGTATTGTCGATATCTTCTTTTGGAATGTGTAATAGCTTGCTTAATGACAAGGTAGAAAGAGGTGAGAGCAACACTACTATACTTCCAAGAATATGCTTTAACATATCGCATACCTCTTCTTTCTCTTCGTCTGAATATTCTGAGGAGATCGAGTTCTTAAGGACAGCAAGATAGATCTCGTTGAGGTGTTTCTCTAGTGCGGTAATAGCGCTGCTACTGACCTTGAGAATTGTATCTAGTCTCTTGCGTGCGAATCGCCTCCCTTGATGGATAAACTGACATGCTGTTGCTGCCCAAATGAAGAGGCCACAAGCGTGTAGAACTAGCTGTCTCAGAATCGCCTCGCCTGGCCAGTCTGCGCCGAGAGTCCACTGCTGCCTGATTGTCTCTAGATTGTATTCTAGGAATAGAGAGATATCATGGTTAATAGTCTCTAGTGGTATATCATGGAGTATGAAGTCCTGGTGCTTAGCTTGTGGGATACGGTATATGCTGTGTCGGATTGGAATTTCGGGTCTACTAGTTAGAAAGACTTGAAGTCGTACCGTCGTTAGTGACCGAGCCTCGGCTAAGAGCCCCAGAATGTTCTGGACGTTGATATCACCCTCACACTCGTCGAGCGCATCAACAACGAGGACGTACGGCTGGTGAGATTTCTCTAGCCTTGATAGGGGGCCGAGAACAAGCTGGCGCCACTGGTCTAAGAGGGACAGATTCGCAATATCACTCCGCTTGGTAACAGCCTCACAGATATACTGTCGAAGAGACGGCACATTGAAAGCGAGCTGCACTGCTAGACTTGTAAAGAACTTGCCGGCATGGCTCACATCTCCGTCACCCTTTGAGAAGAAGAAGCTGGCTCCAAGACGCTTCTGCTGATTATACCTGTGGGCGACGGTACGGGTGATTGTTGACTTTCCCGTTCCAGCTAGGCCATTCAACCAGAAGATGCATCGCTCACCTTGTCCATCTTTTCCATCAGCCCAGCCATATATGTCTTTTAAAAGGTCGACGCGGGTGTTAGGGAGGCAGGCAGGTTCGTGTTGGCGGACGTAGGAATTGAACGGCGCGTCTGTTGCAAACGGGAGTAGGCTGAGGGGATCTTCTCGGGCTATCGCGTGCGTGTCAGTTTTGTGGTGCTCCTCTTTTTAATATGTATAATGTTAAAGAGCGTTAAGTTAACTTACTAATATGGTATATATCCCCGAGATGGGCTCTTGCGCCATCGTTGATATTAATGTCTCGGTATTGCTTGTTAGACCCACGTGGCTGCTCGGGATCCGACATAGTGTACTTTGTAAGGTAATACAGTCAAGCTAGCTGCCGCCCGCAAAAGTGGAGAAGGAGCTGTTAAGAGTCTACTAAGTACAAATCCCAGTTAATGAATGGTGAAGTGCAATCAATACGTTATACCTCTCCTTCCTCTTGTAAGTCATAAGTCGCAAGTTAGGTGGGTGCTGTCAGGTTACGTTATGGTTATTAGTTGTCAGGTTACGTTATGATTATTAGTTATCTCGTCGTTGATGGTGAGGGGACTACCCCATCACTGCCCTCCCTGTAAGTGTAGGGTTGCATATTGGCCTAGTGTTGTGAGGCTGTGACTAAAGTAAGTCCTAGTGGGGTCCCACTCCATCCCATCAACTCAACCTTCACTCTGACGGCTCTTGTCTTGCATTATCATTTCTCTTGTCAATGGCGGAGCCGTTCGGCATTGTCTCCGGTGCCATTAGAATTGCATCTGCCTTTACTGCTTGTGTTGACTGCTTCGAGTACGTCCAGTTTGGCCGTCACTTCGGTCGGGATTTCCAGACCAGCCAGCTTACTCTCAACTGCCTGAGACTCCGTCTTACACAATGGGGCGAGTCTGTCAATATCTACGACGATCCTAAACTAGGCAGGCAGGATGCTGCTGCGACCGACTTTGAACTTGCAAAGGATGCGCTGGTCTAAATTCTTGTGCTGTTTGCTGACACCGAGTCCATCTCTAAAAAGTATAAGTCGACTGCGAAGGCTGGCGAGGATCTCTTAGCGTATTCAATAGGCGATATGGATCCGAAGATGGTCGTGCTGGATACTAAGATGAAAGGCTTGGCTACACAGCGTCAAAAGAAGGGTCGATTTTTGAAGCTTACTAGCTAGTCTCTCTATCACAGGTCTACCCTGAAAGATCTCCTTAGACAGATAGTCTCCCTTATCGACGAGATTGAGAAACTATTCCCTGCACCTCAGTCCCAAACCACACTTGTCTAGCAAGAAGCAGCAGAGATTGGTGACAAGCAGTCTCTTGAGCTGATCGAGGATGCAGCTACGGGTGTCGATAACCTCCTTCAAAAAACGGCATGGGAAGTAATTGCAGGTCACCAGTACTCGAATATTAGGATCAATGGACAGGCCCTTGCTGGGGATGCATATAGTAGTGGCTAGAGTAGGGGTGCGATTAGGGCCTCTCACAAGTATAATGGCGTCGAGGTGAAGGAGGGTGGAAAGGCTCTAATTGGGAACAAGTATGGTGGAAAGGACTTCTAGGATTAAGCACATCTGTCACGCTGCTGACCATCTCTCACTCTTGCGTTGTGTTTAGAACATGAGAATATTTTGTATTTCTAAACCTAGTTGCATATTTATAACTGTCGAATTCTACACCACTACGATACCGAATTCAGATACAAACTTGATTAAACCTAGAGTTATAATTGCTAATCCTAGGATCCCGCACGAGTTCTCACTAGCGCGCTTCTACTACTAACGCGACTGTTTCCGTCTGTTATCTTAGTCGCCTCTAGACGCACTGTCCCCCCTATCCTACTTTTCTGTCGCTTAACCCTCTGTCTACTATATACTTTTCCTTAGGAACCTACCTATAAAATAGTTTATAGATACTATAAGAAGATAGGATGAGCATCTAACGTACTTGCATAGCGAACGGACCACCATAGCGAGTGGACCACTTTTCCTTACATCTACTACTTCCTACCATTAACGCGACTTTTCTCAACGAACTATAATGGAATCTTCTTCAATTGAATGTCGTATAATCCTTACCCTTAAAGCACTTGAAAACGACCAAAATCTTACTAGCCGAGCTACAGCAAAGATCTATAAAGTCCCTCATACAACACTTTTACGACGACGCGATGGTAAGAAGTCACGACGCGATATCTCTACCAACTCTAGAAAATTAACTAATCTTGAGGAATCTGTGATTCTTCGACGTATACTTGACCTAGACTCACGAGGATTTCAGCCCTAGCAAAGCTATATTCAAGAAATGGCTAATTGTCTTCGTACAGACCGTAACGCGTCACGCGTTAGACCACGATAGTGTTACGGCTAGGGTTTTCGGCGGCACTATCGCCGACACCCCGAGTATAGTAGTAATGAGGATGTTAGCGATTTGACCGCCCTTAAGGCAGGGTCAGTTATCAGGCACCTAATGAGTGTCCGGCACCTAGGTTTACAGGTACCGGAAGACAGTCAGGCACCTAGGAATTAGGAGGTACCGGAGTTGCAGGTACCGGAAGCAGCATAGGTACTAGAATAGCACTTACGTGATGGAACCGTGAGAACTGCTAGAACTCTTACAGTTCCTACAGTTCCTCACAGTCCCCTTTAGCACGACGCCTCTATATAAGTAGATAGTTAGTTCTTAGATAGGAGCTTCGTGCTCAACTCAATATAGTATTTATTATATACTATAACGTGTTTTACGAAAGCCTTTGTGTCTAATCCCCTGCCTCCTCTATTAAGTAAACCAACGCAACGAAACCTCTATAAGTCTTATAGTTTAAGACCTAGCGTTACACTTTGAGCACCACTTCTACGAGGTACTAGCTCATACACAAAGCAACATAGCTAGAAACGATTCCACCTCTAACGTAGGGACGAAAGGGAAGGCAGCAACGGAGCCTGTCCCTTCGCCTACTACTACGCCTGCGCCTAGAGGGCCTCACCCCTTAGACAAACTTAAGATTGCATTCCTAGACACCTTTAACGGGGACTGCAAGAAGCTTAAGAGCTTCCTCATCTAGACGGAGTTGTAGATGGCCATTAACGCCAAACACTTTGCCTTTAAAGTGCAACAGGTCTTGTAGGCCGTAGCCCTCTTAAGGGGTGCTGCCTTAGACTAGATTGCTAACTACCTAACTAACTACATAAGCTACTATGCAGCTAACGGAAGGGTCACCACAACGGCTAATTAGGGAACTAAGGATATCTTCATCACTTAGGTAGGTTTCGTTAAACAGCTTAAGGCGAACTTTAGAGATGTTGATGAGAGAAGGAACGTAGTGCGAGCCATTTAGGCCCTTAGGCAGAAAGGGTCTATAGTTACGTATACTGCTAAGTTTTAGTAGCATGCCCCTCTTACCCATTAGGGAGACGAGGCTATATACAACTAATATTACAAGGGGTTAAAGGATCATGTAAAAGATGAGATTTCTCAATCTAACAAACTAGATGACCTTAAGGAACTCATTAAGATGGCATAGAAAATCGACAATCGTTGCTATAAACGCCAACTTAAAAGACGAGGAGGAACATCTAGCCACTAATGGACTTAGAAAAGAAAGACACTAAAGAGCTATTAGCCCTAACCTATAGAGCTTAACGCTACGTTCAAGCCTAGCAGAAGACACTACAACCCTAACAAGGAGCAACAGCTTAAGGAACGGCTCTGTTTTAATTACAACAAACCTAGCTATATAGCCCGAGACTATAAGCAACCTAAGAAGGGGAACAGTAGACGTAAGTTTAGCAGACAACTTAATGCTACTTAGAAGGGACAACTAAACGCCACGTTTATAGACAAACCTAATTAGGGGATTAATAGTGTTAGCACCCTAGAAGGACAGAGCTCTAACGACGAGGATCTTAATGAGTTCGATGCATTACTTAAAGTTAAGAACGAACGCCTAAACAAGGGATTAACGGAATCCTAGAAACTCTAGCTAAAGGAGTTTGAAGAAGACGTAAAGGAGATCGCATTTAAGGAAAATCTACTAGGAGTAGTTAACATCTATAGACAGGCCATGCTCTAAAAGGGAACTCTACGAGCGATTCCTATACTACTACCCCTAACGGGATGGATGGGTACTCAACAAGACTAGGAAGTCGTAGTTTGCGCTATAAGGTGTCGCCCTAGGTACCTACAAGGGAGGGAGCCCCGAGGAGCGAACTACACCTCTAAAGAAGCCACTATGTAGTTGAAATACAAGCTTACAGAATATAACACGCAAGATGAACAGTAGGAAGACACTTAGGGCCCTAAACCCTAGGAACTATAAGTAGACTAAGCTGCTATAGACTACAAACCTACTAATAAAGACGTAGAAAGGTTACGTATAACTATAGAGAAATCCAAGCTTATAGGCAAGATAAAGGAGGAACAGGAATTAACAAAGTTAGATGCATTAAGGATTGATTACCCCTAGCACCTATATATATTCTAGGAACACTATAAGTACGATGACTATAAGAGTCACCTATAGAAAAAGACCTAGTATCGACTATTTCTAAAAATCGCACCTTAGGTCTACTTTATAGATATAGACCAAATTCATGCCCTTAGACGAAGTTAGTCTAAAGGAGAACTACCGTTAAAAAAACAACAATAGGTATATGAGAAATACCTACACCTGCTAAATAAAGCAGAAGGATGGGGAGGACAATCTTCCTAAGGACCGCCTATAGAGGATGATGAACATCACTATTACTCCTTAGACGAGTTAAAAAACTAGGAGTCCTCGACAGTAGGCCACTAGCAAGTGACAAAGAGAGGCCTAGTACAAAGCAGCTATGCGCCATAGGAGGCAGCATGCAGCTATATATAGTTACTAAGATACAATAGCAACACCTCTAAGCTATGATTAACTTAGGAGCAATAGGCAACTTTATAACAAAGAAAGTAGCAGACACTTAAGGTTTTAAGACGCAATTAAAAACCGATCCTTACCTACTAATAGTCGTGGATAGAGAGCCTATCTCAACTAATAAAGGGATAGTAACCTACAAGACAGTCCTATTAGAAATGGTTATACTACGCAGACATAAGGAAACGATCCAATTTAATATCGTATATATAGACAACTATGCATGTATCCTTAGTGTGCTGTAGCTTAAGAAACACAACCCTTAGATCGACTAGTAGAATGAGAAAGTTGTAATGAGCTAGTGCGCGTGTAAACAACGAACGGACACGCTATAACGGGAGGAACCCTCCTAGGGCTAATGTAAGGTATATACAACCTCTATAGAGCCTAGTGACCTAGCCTAGGCACCCTTACTAACGAATATACTAGTAGAGTATAAGGAATACAAGTAGCTATTCTAGGAAGGCCCTAAGAACGAGGCGCTTCCTAAGCACCAACTATAGGATCATGTAATACCCTTAGAAGAAGGAAAGAGTCTACTGTTTAGACTAATATACCAGATGTTAGCAGATGAGTTAAAACTACTAAAAGAATATATTGACGATAACCTTAAGAAAGGATTTATTAGACCGTCTAAATCTCCTATAGGAAGCCTAATGTTATAGGTTCCTAAGAAGGATAGAAGCAAACGACCATACGTGGACTATTGAGCGTTAAACAACATAACGATAAAGGATCGATACGCCTTACTGTTAATTAATAAGTTACACAATAGATTCTAAGGAGCTAAGATCTTTACTAAGCTAGATCTACATAGCGCGTACAACCTAATCTAGATAGCTAACAACGAGGAGTAGAAAACAGCATTCTACACCTGCTATGGCCTATTTAAATATTAAGTCATGCCCTTTAGGTTAACTAACGCCCCTACATCTATGTAACGCTTAATAAATAACGCTTTACACAAATATCTAGACATATTCACCATCGTTTACTTAGACGATATACTAGTATACTTAGCAAACAAGGACAAACATACTTAGTATGTTAAGCTTGTCCTCTAGAAGCTAAAGGAATACAACCTACTGTTAAAGCTAGAGAAATGTAAGTTCTATAAAAACTAAGTCGAATTCTTAGGCTACATTATCGGAACGCACAGCATTAAGATGGACTAAGCAAAGGTCATAGCAGTGTTAGAATGGCTAACACCAACTATAGTTAAGGAAGTACAAGCCTTCTTAGGCTTCGCTAACTTCTACCGTTAGTTTATTA